CTGCTGGATGAGACCGCCATTCGTGCGATCAATTTGCTTCTCATGCCAGCCGGAGGTTCCCCCTTGATTGCTGCCAATACCTTCACTTTACTCTTAAAGGCGCTGGCAACAGCTGCCCGCGCAAGTCCAAAGATCACCCTTAACCTGCTACAGGCAGACATTGTCGACACACTCTACCAGATCCTGACGGGAGTTCTCCCCTCAGCATCTGGCGGTGGGAACGAGCAAGGTGGCCAAGGGCTGGCCGGCGATGTGACTCATATGACAGTTATGGAGAATCTTGCTCACCGATCCAAGGAGCAAGTGGAAGAAGCCCTCAGCTTGGTCTCCGAACTCATGCCTCCGCTTCCAAAAGGTACGCCTGAGAAACTCGCGATAGTATGATTGCTTACTCATACCTCTTGAAGATGGCGTATTTGATCACAAGGGGTATACTGACAAGGCATTGTCACGACTGGTGAAGGCTAAAGCCAAAGCCGATCGCGCTGCTGCGCGCCAGGCTGCATTCGCACCTTATCAGCAAAGCCCCGACACATCGGCGCAAGCGACACCTGCAGCCGAACCATTTCAGGATACCAGCATGAACGACTTTCCAATGCAGGATACTGACGATGTTCTTCCTCTTGCCTCTGCTGCTGAACCTGCAGTAGCCGATCGTACCGAGCTTTTGCGTTCCAAGCCTGAAGTTGTCGGACGGTTCATGCAGCTGATGGTGCCCATCTTGATAGATGTATATGCCGCTAGCGTAATCACCCCTGTCCGGGTTAAAACTTTGACAGGTCTACTGAAGGCAGTAGGTTTCCTTGAAGGGGAGGCACTGAAGGACGCCTTTAATGTAGGTATCTTTTTGTCTGTTTTAAAACTCCTTCTGATGTTGAAATATAGCTTGTGCCTGTTGCGAGTTTTGCCTCGTCAATTCTGTCGTCTAAGGATCACCCATCATTGGTTATCGGTGCACTTCAGCTCGTCGATCTTCTGCTACAGAAGCTTCCTACTGAATACCGCCCTGTCCTTCGTCGAGAAGGAGTATTCCATGAAATCGAATCACTTGCTGGGAGGACTTTAACTTCCGTTAAATCCAAGGATTCAGATGGCACCATCGTGGCGGACCCTGTGAACATTCCTATTCATATTTCCTCTACGATTCCCGGGTACAAGAAGCTTCACTCGCTTTCTTTAGAGCCTGAGGATGCAATCACTTTGCGGGCCCGAGTCATTCGCTTCAAGTACTCCTTGGGACAGGAAGAGGGAGACGAAGATAATGCCTTTGAAGAACTTCGCCGTCTTGTCGATAGACTAGCTGCTCCAGATGTCGGCGAATCGGTCATGATATCGGCGTTGAGAGACATTGCAGATCACTTCACATCTCACTCTTCTGTCTCAAGCTTCGAGCTTCTGCAGAGCGGAGCTGTCGATGGGTTGCTGCGCTTTGCTACTGATGCAACCAGGAGTACAGGTACGAATCACTGTTGCGTCTTACCGGGTAACTTAATTTACTTTCCGTCAGTCACCAGCAAACGGCGCCAAGAGTTATTGTATGATTCGTTTAGCCGAATCCCGAGAGGTGGAACTGTTAGTCAGTCCCCACTTGCGGTGTTGGTAAAGAAGCTGCAGGAGAGTCTCACGAGGATGGAGGACTTTGATGTCGTCACTGTTTCACAAGGAACAGATGGTAAATATAATGCCAACCCTTGTTTCTATGTTAGACTCACCATGTGGTAGATTCTAAACGAAGCTCGCCATCTCTGCTTGCCCGACAACTTCGTCTTCGTCTGGTTGCAGATAATGAATCTGATATTCCTCGCAACCTCCAGAACATGGTGGTTTCTATTCATGCCATCGCAACATTCCAAGCCTTGAATGACTACTTGCGTCCCAGAATCACGGGATTGATGTCGACCGGAGGACTGTCTGGAATGTTGGCGGCTTTGGCAGCCTCTGGTTTTGGCCCAGCAAGTTCGCGCAATCCGCCCGACGCCCCAATACAAGCAAGCAACCCCACAGAATCTAGCAGTGCCACAAAAACCGCTTCCGAAACACCCGCCGCTGGCTCCTCGGAGATTGGTCGACGCCGCAGTTTAAGACTGAGCGCTAAGAATGGCGGACCATCAGCTGACAAGAGCGAAGGAAGTACTGCGACAGCCCCTACTATCGGTTCAGTGCTTACTTCCTCATCATCATCTACTACCCCTCAATCTACAGCGCAACGCATGGAAGCCCTCATTCAGGATGGCGGACTCATATCAGACTTTACCGACGATGAAGTGGATGCTGAGGTAATCTTCCGACATGAAACATGTAAGCTTGGTGCTGACTGCTTTCTTGGAAGGTATTTGAAGACGAAGATGACATCGACTCTGCTGGAGACAAGACTGTCACCTTGTCCATTGCTGATGGTAAGCCTACCGCGATAAGACTGTAGGGATTACTCAAGCGAAGCATCCTCAGACGGCAGCAAAGTGGAAGCTCAGACTCCTGATGGAACACGAGTTGCAACGCCAAGTACAGCGCCTTTAATATCATCATCTAGACCACCCGATGCGAACAAGACCTCGTATGCAGCTGCTCTAAAAGCCAAACCGTCAGACTGGCACCTTGAATTCTCGATGGATGACCACCTTCTGCCCCTTGACCTGACAATATATGGCGCGATTCATCAGCATGAAATCCGTAAGAAACTTGGACCTGTGCCTTCGAGCTCCATGTGGCAAGGAATCTATACAGTCAAGTTCAAGAAAGTTAATGGCCCTCCTCCAAGTCAAGAATGTAGGTGTCATTAATTTGATTGGTGCCGCTGAATCTGATGATGTTGGCAGCTCGTGCAGACACCTCGGCATCTAAAATCCGATCGCCTAGTCCCACCCTTTCTTCCCTCCCGGATGATGCGCCCCATGCCAAGATTCTCCGGTTGCTTCGTGTATTACACAAACTCAATGCTGCCGAAGCGCAACGGCCAGCCAGACCGTTAGATCGCCGCGCGCTCTTGGAGACAACCTTCATTAACAACAAGTTAACTGCCAAACTCACTCGCCAGCTGGAGGAACCAATGATCGTGGTCAGGTAATTCAGCCGTTTCTGCTTACATCCTTGCAGTTACTTATGCCGTTTAGTTCATGCTTACCCGACTGGGCACTTGACTTGCCGCAAAACTTCCCTTTCCTCTTCCCATTCGCCACTAGGTACAACTACCTCCAATCGACTTCCTTTGGATACGCTCGCCTTATTCTGAAGTGGCAAAGCCAACAAGGCCGCAGCCAGGACAGCTCCCGGCGAGACGAGGGAATTGGTTTCCTTGGAAGGCTACAGCGCCAGAAGGTCCGTATCTCTCGCAAACACATTCTGGAGTCAGCGGTCAAGGTTTTCGAGCTTTATGGGTCTTCATCTTCAATCTTGGAGGTGGAGTACTTTGATGAGGTTGGGACTGGGCTTGGACCTACTCTTGAGTTTTATTCCCTCGTCTCGAAGGAATTTGCCAGGAGAGATCTCAAGATATGGCGAGACGCCGACTCAGCTGCTCCTGGCATATATGTTCATCACCCTACGGGACTCTATCCTGCCCCCATCAGCCCTGATGACATTGCCAATGACGGGGGACAGTGAGTACTTCCCTAGCCTAATTGGATATCTTGTATCTGACGTCTAGCTGTAGAAAGCGAACACACATCCTCCGCGTTGTCGGCCAGTATGTAGCGAAGGCAATGTTGGACTCTCGCATTATCGACCTTTCAGTTAACAAGATTTTCGTCAAACTCGTGCTAGGAGAGGAAGTGCCTTTGACCATCGAGTCCTTGAAAGTAAGAAATGTTGTATGCGGATAAGACACTGTATTCACATGATTTGTCTAGCTTGTGGACAACGAACTTGCCAGCTCGCTCTCCAAACTTCAGAGCTACGCGTCCATGAAAGGGCAGAGCGAGAAGGTATGTTCACTGATTTACCGCTTCAAGATCAGATGTATTCTGACCTCCCTGATATCTAGCTGTTCCGTAAGGTTGCATTGATGGATATTGTCAATGTCGAAGATCTTGCGCTTGACTTCACAGTTCCCGGATACGACATCGAGCTTCGAGTGAGTTTCATCTTGTTTTTATCACGCAAGTAGATTGTAATGCATTTTTCAGCCTGGCGGACGTAACATCCCTGTGACTTCGGAGAATGCAGAAGAATACATTCACGAGGTTTTGGATGCAATTATTGGCGCTGGCGTTCAGCCACAGGCTAGGGCGTTCCGAGAGGGCTTCTCTAAGGTGTTCCCCATCTCTGATTTGCAGGCGTTCTCGGCGGACGAGTTGGTGATGCTATTTGGTAACTCAGACGAAGACTGGGGAGTAGAGAGTAAGCGAATTCTTATATTGGTATCAACGTGACTGACATCAAGGCTGTAGCGTTGAATGAAGCTACTAAAGCCGACCATGGCTTCCACAGTGAAAGTCGTGCCATTCGCGAGCTTATAGGGATCATGTCGGAATTTGATGTCTGCGCTCGTCGTGATTTCCTCCAATTTATTACAGGAAGCCCGAAACTTCCTATTGGAGGTGTGTTTCCTTGCAGTTCATCTTAAGACTAGCTGACGTGGGTGCTCAAAGGGTTCCGTGGTCTTAACCCTCCACTAACTGTCGTTCGCAAACCGCACGAGCCACCACTTACGGCAGACGATTACCTGCCAAGTGTCATGACTTGTGTGAATTACTTGAAGCTACCAGAGTATAGTTCAAAAGTGGTGATGCGAGAGAAATTACGCACTGCGATGAAAGAAGGAGTTGGCAGTTTCCATTTGTCCTAATACTTTTCGGCATTATAAGTCATCATTGTATATGCGCACAATCTTTGTTCTCCATTTGCTTGTAATGTCATATAGACTCTGGCTCACATCGACAGAAATCCTGCACGTACATGATTCAAGATAGTTCCATCAGCTCTATTTGTACTAGTGGATAGGGGATTTCCCTTTTTATTAACGTTAGGATCTTTGCAGTGCAAATTACTGAATCGGTCAGCGCGGGATGAGCACTGACTTGACTGCGGAACGTGCACTTCACCTTTGGTTGGAAGGTTATATATGTTCTCTTAGGCCAAGGGTGGCATAACCTGAAAGAACAATGCACGTTAGGCCAGATAGGCCTCTGGTCGTCAAGTGCGCCTTCGACAGATGGAACAAGCGGATAAGCTTTGCTTCCGCCAGGAACTGTTCATACGAGCTGCTGAGGAACAGAGTGCGTCTCTTTGGTTATGTACTTACGATCCCACAGCTCATCATTAACATCGTTTTCCTTATTTGCTATATTGTTGGTCAGGTTGAGCAATGCTTCTCGCTTTATGCGACTTCATATGTGATCGCATACAAGGACGATGACGGCGAAATTACCGACATCACCACAGAATCCGATCTCACAGAAGCCATACAATACTTTCAGGCTGGGTCTGACGATCCTCCACTTTCCTCTGCAGCATCAATTCTGTCTGGCCGCAGCTTCGGAAGTCGACGAATCACACTACGTGTTCACATTACCGTCGATTATGATGGCCCGAGCTTAAGCGACACATCGAGTCTCGCCAGTATGGAAGAATATAAAGGTCGCAACAGGAGCGAAGGCGAATTAAGCTGGTCCATCGGAGCAGGGGAAGTTGATGATGATTCAGTGACAGTGAGCTCGAGAGATACCAACTGGCGCTTCGCAAACGGATCAACAATGCATCCTATAACATCACGTTCAAATGACTGGGTAAAACACGAAGACCCGCCATCTATACCCGAAAACAGTGTTACCGGTCGCTCGACATCCCAAAGAGGTTCGACAGCGGTGGAAGATCAGACAATGCATGATGAGGGTCCATTCGCAGACCACCACCAATTCTTTGCTGAAGAACGCTTCCTAGAAGGCTCTACATCTGTATTTGAGCGGCTCAAGCTCCAGGAGGGCGCTGATGCGTCAGCATCTGACGTGTCCCCTTCGCATCGGTCACGCTCTCCTACACCGGTTGACATAGCATTGGCTCGCTCTGCTCAAGACAGAGGAGCAGCGTGGCTGCGTGATCAAAATGCGCGCACAATAAAAGCCATGCTCGGGGCAACACCTGAGCCCTCGGAATCCGATTCGAGGTCAATATCATTAACATATTCCGACGAACATATTCCATCCAACGACATGGATGGTGATCTTGCGCTGGAACGAGATCCTCGCGGAAAATACTACTACTCTTATACTGGTGCGAGTTCTACGACACATGATTCGGGTTACGAGGACAATTTAAGTGTCAAGTATGACGTCGATCCCTTTGGTGGTTCACCCCCGCGGCCAAACAGTATGCAGCTCACATGGATTGCTTCGCAGCAAAAACTGGCGGATAATGATCATTCCAATGATACTTCTGATTCATACAAGCGTTCTTACCCACGCTCCTCCACTTCTGACCCAGTTCCCTACTCCATCGCTCCCGACATTCCACCAGAGGTGCTCCAGTTTGTTGCACCCGCGGGACCTCCTCCAGGCTTGCTCACTACTTGTTCAGACTGTGGAGTTATGTTAGATGGCATCCGTTATGTCTGTGCCGTGTGTGGCGAGAAAGAGCCTCGGGCAAGCATCGTGCTTCGTGGCGGCTCGGACTCTGATCTAGGCAAAGGAAAGGCTAAAGATCTGGACCCAATCCATTCATATCCCCCTCCCCCTCATCACACACCTCTATCGTCATCACCCTCCCCATCCACGTTCTTCGACGTTGTCACGTTGAGTGGGTCGCAACAGGCGCGCGGTGAACACATACATAATAAACCACTCCCTTCCTTACCTGGTTCCTCTTCATCAAGCCCGACGTTGTATAGTGCACGATCAGGCTTCAGATCTCCCCACGGGTCCGAATCATCTACTATGGGCTTTGAACTGTGCTCGGGGTGTATCGAATCCGCTGGCATATTTCATGCACTCTGTGCAAGCACAGAGCGGCGGAATGGATCAGGCGCAGAATCCACATCTCCAGAAGATGACTTGTCTTCATGGAGTCGTTCCGCCCCCAGACAAAAAGGCCAGCTCAGACATGCTTATTTTGAAAAGGTATGGGGCCATCATGGATGGGAAGACGTGGGTAAGCATTCAATGGAATATGCTTTGGAGCGATATTTTTACCTTCACTCTTCACAGAGCAAGATGATATGCATGTCTGTAAATGTTCGACATGCAATTCAGCGATCGTGAACCAGCGGTATAAATGTGCATCGTGTCAGAAATTCAATTTATGTCGAGCGTGCTACAGGTGAGTGGCTTTTTATGCGGCGTCGATTGAGCTAACACCTGGCTGGGCAGCCAAGTCCACGATATACACCCTTCACATGCATTCCTTGTAGTCACGGAGAAGCCCTTAAGGTCTAGAAGTGAACCAGAATATGCATGTGCTCTGCCAATGATAATGTCAAACGACAACAATGAGGAACGATGTGAGTGTTTTTTCAGCAACAGTTCCCTGGCATCTCACGCCGCTATGTCTATAGCCATGAAACATCCCGGCGTCAAGTGTGCACAGTAGGTGACCTATGACAACGTGATTACAGTACCTGATGAGTTCTAGTTGTTTACAAGACATCCTTGGCGCCCGATTCCACTGCGCAATCTGCAACTCTGTCGACATTTGCTCTAATTGCGAGTCTGCAGGACTCCCGGGCAACTTGGACTCCTCAGACGGGGGGCACATATCCTCGCATATCATGATCAAGGTATTTCTTATCCTTCCCAGGGTTGAATACATTTGCTTATGTTCTTTCAAGATTCCCTTTCCACTTGAAACAACAGAAGTGCAAACAGCCAGCCGCCGTGCCATCCATCTATGGACGGGCAGGGACGCAGCGCATGTTTTGACAGCGCCCCACTCGAAACCAGGCTCTATATACTCTTCATATGCTCAGACTGTTGTTGGCTCGAGACACGCTCGAAGTGAGCTCAGTGGCGAATCGCCGAATCACCATCTGCCCTGCAAGGGCTGCAACCAGGTTTGGTCCCCATAATACACTTCCTTCTGAAGGGCTGACGACTCTCTAGACGATAATTGGTACACGATATCAATGTGCTACATGTCCCTCTTCTCCCACATCGTATAGCTTGGTATGCACATCGCAAGTACATCACATGCACTTCCCTCATCACAATTTTCAAGTGTCAATCATGCGAGCGGAGGTCGTATGCTATCCATGACCCAATGCACTCGTTTTTCAAGATACCGAGACCTGTACATGTACAACTCGAGTCGCCAACTGCATTCCTTCCCAATCTGTGAGCTTTGAATTGCAATAATGTATTGAGGTCGGTTTAGTGACATTGTTGGTAGGTACAAGGTTCCAGCAGGTCCTGTTGGTGGCCTTGCGCCCAATGCAGATCCACAAGGTTTGTCAAACATACGGTATATAAGCTTTTGCACTCACTTCGAAGGTTCACAGAGTATCTCTATCATTTAGTCCACTCCACAGCGCTCTGCGATCGCTGTATGGAGCGCATTCAAGGAGCATGGTACCGTTGCGCATATTGCGCGAAAGACCTTTGCGGAGAATGCGAATCTCTTGACACTCACGACGGGACTCACATATTTGTTGTATTCAAGGCACCTGTGCGTTTTCCGTATTCTACTTTACCCACCTACTAACATTTGGAAAAGGTCGACATGGTTCACTTCCGGTGCGTTGTTCTTGCTGGTTTTACGGAATGAGGTCTAATGGTGATCTAGGCGATTCGCAAACCTGGAAAACCCCAACGACAGTCCGCCTATTATTCTTTCCCCAGTGTACTGCTAGATGTATACTGAGATATTTTCGATGTTCTACACATCTGAGGTAGTCAAACAATTTCGTACCTACTCCCACCCTGTCTTCATGTAATGTAATACAAGCATCTTGGAGCGCCAAAGCTCCCAATAAGGATGGACAAAGTTGCACAGAAAGTGCAGTACGCTTATTATAAGACTAACTCTTCTTAAAGCCTGGATGGGAAAAGGACTATGTTAGCAGCTGACAGTAAGCTTTTCAACCATATAATACTGACCTAATCTGCGTCTCTCGTAGAATAGATCTGTCCTACTAGCACCCAAGTTCACGATCTTCGGACATCCATCTCTGTCTTTTTCTAACCGCGTGCACTCTGCGCAGTAGTATGCATCTGATATACCTACGAGATCTGTTTGTTTAAGTTCTAAACGCACGAGCAATTGTAACACACCTGGTGATCCACAAATAATGCACCTTCCTCCATATGTACCAAAGTTACACTCGTCACATATGCGGACGAGTGTTTCAGGTCGGACGTATGAATCACAGACGGGACTGAGTCCCCGTGTATTAGTTGATGACACGAAATTAGCATCACTTGGCGCACCATTTACCATCACACTTCTCACACAATCTGCCAATAGCTGAAGCATTCATAAGATGAGCAACTTCACGGCCGGATCAGTTTATGGTGTACTCACCAATGCCAGGCTGGCGCCTGCACATGATCAAATCTATAGAAATCGTTCAATGCTCTGTTTAATGTCACAGGAGAAGAGACGCACCAGGATGATGTTTCGACATGGTGGTTTGAACGATACAGTTTAACGAGTCCTAGAACTTGAAATGATGTAAGTAACTTAAATATTACTAATCCGACTTACAATGACGCTTACTGAGCCTTACTCAAATTGCGCCATGGAACTGCAGTGTGAAGACAAGGCCAGGCCCTGCGTATTTGCGGAACCAAATCGATAGTGCGATTCATGATATCCGCTAGTACATATGTTTGTATCATTCCATCTTCTTACCCATTCTTGCGCCCATCACAGGAACCATGGACCATGGTATCCCCACGACCTCTGAGAGAGCATCTCCTCAAATGTAGATATCCTCCGAGTCAAGTCTTGTGCCCGTTCGAGAATATCACGCTAAGCTCGTCGCTAACTCCGGTGCAGCAACGTACATGTGTCAAATAATGGCATAGGAGATGCTCGATATTATCAACATCTTTCAGGTATATATGATATATCTCGTCGATACCTTGCCATGGTGTGTTGGAAACCCTTGTGTGGAGTTTGCCGAACCGTGGGATAGTCAACTAGATAGTTCTTCAGCCACATCATTCGATATACCTGATTCCACCGCCGTCATATTGAAATCTTTGAGTCCAAGCCTCAAGCCAACGTCGACGCCATGGCCAAGTCCAAAAAGTGCGTTCGACATTCCGTAGCCATTTATCCAACTGACATTTGCGAAGCCACACCAACCACAACCAGAGCAGCAAGGCACACCGCAATGGTATCAGGAGGCCACAAACTAACCGGAGTCGGTCGCTGAGGGGGGTACGTTGTCAATACATTCAATCTCTGCTCTGGGGCTCACTTTCCTGTATAGGTTGACCCCAAGGTACGTTTCTAGGTATCTGATTCTATGTGCTGTGCACTCAAGTACACGTAGTTCCGCAAGAACGCGCTTTACGCCCTTAATGGATCGGCGAGTTGACTTCTCCAAGTCCCGTAAATTGTTGTGCTGATTGTATGCATTAGCGGAAAGCACGGGCTGAACAAAAAGCTACATCATGATTCAGTTGCGAGCAAACTTCCAGTACGCTTTCATCTCTGGTATCCAGAGAACATGCCACACGCTTGGCTGTATTACCTGCCATGACTACTACATATGGCTTAGGTTATCGAAATATCATATCACATACATCGCATCATCGTGAGCATCTATTGTCTGCAAACTTCGACCACCATTCACCGTCGACTCGCCTGGTTTCTGTCATTCCGACCAAGAGTTACTTACAACCTCGCAGCCTGTGAGATGAAGGAGTAATGCAGCATCACTATGAAATAAGAGACTTGCCCACACATCACTGCATGTTCAGGCCGCCCAATGGTGTTATGTCTGCCAAATCTAAGCTTGAATGATAGTGCTGTTTATGGTTGTTTTGGCCTTTGTAATTTGATGCGTGGACTACTGGGAGCAGTGAGCACTGCCTGGTGAGTACGACGGCTGAGCAACCTTCATAGGTCTGAATTATCGGGGCATCCAGTTGATCCGGAAGTCGACCTGGACCTATAAAACCCCACCCCTGACCGGAGGGTTTTCATCGTTGCAGCCACCCTGCTCGTTCACACCATTCTAGACCATGATCTCCTTCCCTTCTACCTCATGGCAATCCTCACTCATCCAAAAGACAACCCCCCGGCGCCCAAGGAATGACGCAGATCCTTCTCACGGACGTGCAGCAACTGCCATAACTCCCCGCCTCTATCTTACCGATTACCACACCGCTCGCACACCAGGCAACCTCGCACGCCTTGGCATTACGCACGTCGTATCTGCCATCGAATTTGATATCACGGGCGATTTTCCCCCTCATGTCCAGGTCCTGCACGTTCCCGTGCGTGACACAGCTGAAGAGCAGATTTGCTCATGGTTCGATCCCGTCGTGGAGTTTATCAAGGAGGCGCTGGATAAGGAAGACGCAAAGGTTTTGGTACGCCTTGGATTGCTAAGCTGTAGCTTTGTAGGAACCGACAGAAGCACCCCTCGCAGGTCCACTGTTTCCAGGGGATCTCGAGATCACCTATCTTAATATGTGCTTATCTTGTCGCAACGACGCCAATGCGCGCTTTGGAGTCCATTAAGCGTGTCCAAGCAAAGCGTGGAATAGTCGCCCCAAACATTGGCTTTCGCAGACAACTTGTCGTTTGGGGTCGCCAGTTTGAAGAGGCCAAGATCCAGGCCGATGAGGAGCACCGCAGACGGAGGCGGAGTATAGGTGGTGTAACGGAGTTGTTAGCTAAAATGGTCAAACGGTCCAAGTCTGCACCCATACCTGCAGCGCCGCTAGTTGTGGATGAAGATCTACAGGAAATGTCTATCGAGGGCTCAAAGGTAGCCTCCCTGATGGAGGCGAAGACAGTAGCGCTAGAAACTCTTCGCAAGACAAAAGAGGCAGACAACTAATGTTGTTATGGCATGTCTTGCTATGTCATACCCTACGGTAAGCTTGGGTGTTGCATCGTGACACACGAATCTTCCTGACATCCCTCCAAGTGCATGTGGCCACGATGTGTAAATCGTTCATGCATTTGCAAGACCAAGGAACTAGTATCTATTGGCATTGCTTTAATTATTTGGAATCATCGAGGGTCAGTGAATGAACTTGGAAGGAAACTAGCACTTTTCTTCTACCTCACATTTGCCCCACATATCATAATATTTTACGCATGGACTAAGGACTTGAAAAAAATCGAGTGTGTACCGAAGTATTGGTAATAGTAAGAAGTTAGCTTTGGTACGTTAGCGTCTGGCATTGGGCATGACAGGCATATCATGTTCAGCAGCCTTATAAATGCTGCAACTATTCAGTCTGAGAGGGTACATGAAAACTGCGCGCCTCCCTGGTTGTCATTTATGACTTTAGTTGTGCCGTTAAAAGGGACTGCCACCTCGAATTGCGCAACCAATCTTCTCCCCGGTGTCGTACCGCGCTATTTACTCAGTTTAGAAAAAAATTAGGGCGATCAAGACAGGGCTCACCAGCAGTGCCTAACGAGATCTCCTAGATACACAATTGAGGTTATAGGTCTGGATTGAGGTCAAGATCGAGGTCGAACACGGCCAACTGTGGGCGCGTATCGTGGCGGTAAGGGTTCACGCCTGGGCGCTCGCGTGTCTGGACAGGTGGGGGCGAAGGCTCTGGTACTGCGCATGCGTTAAGCTTGCGTTTAATTGAAGGTACAGAAGAAGAAATATTTTACAGGGGACGGAATGAAATGCGCAAAATTGTTTTGTGAGATGATGATGATAGGAGTGAGAAACAGGTACAAACCACAATCATGGGCAGATAGGGCCCCACAACTGGTGGAATACACTCGTTATCAAAGAACCACTCACCCCTCACGCTATGGTTCTCCCCGAGACCGCCCAACGGACGCTCCACATTCAGTCGGCCGCGGCGCATCTTCTCCTCATTCGGGAATGGCGGAAAGAATAGAGGCACAGGACCTACGGCACCTGGTTCTGGCATAGTTAAGCCTGGAGGCGCGCTCGTGAAAGCGCTAAGGCTTTGTGCATATGCGAGCAGTTCAGGATAAGGGATCGCGGCTTCATGTTTACACGAGTTCAATGTCAACAGGAAAACTAAAATAAAACAAAACATAGACTACGAACCCTCCTTCGCCTTTCTTATGCATTCGACACGTTCATCACCCTCCCTCACGATCTCTTCTAATACCTTCCTCCCCTCTTCTAATGCCTCACACACAGTGCGCCATCGAGCATCCACCTCCAATAGTTCCTGCTGTAACGCGACAATTCGTGCCTGTCGGCGCTGATGTGCCGACACTGTTGTCAGTGCGGTTTGCAGCTCAGCATCAACGGCTGCGAATGAGCTTAGAGGTGGTGGTGGAACTTGTTTTTGCGAAGGCTGCTGAGATAACGAAAGGAAGAGGGATTGGGAAAGAGCAGTAAGTTGCGTGAGCGGTGCGAGGAGCTGAGCGTCCATAGTCTAGGTGAATATATTATTTATTTTACATCAATATTGAAGGATGATGCCGCGGAGTCAGAAATTGCTGACTGACACTTTTGATGCGGGGTAAAACCCAGCTCACACGGTTGTCCAAGGAGACCAAAGGCAAACTGAACTTGATCGGACGACTTGTCAACCCACTCTACATCCAACTTCGTCGTATCATCTTCTCCACGTACACAATATTAATGGTAAGATTCTATTTTGTTTGTATAGAATTATCGCTCACCCCAAGTTTACCCAGTCTGCCTACCCTGCATACACCATGGGCGGCCTCTGCATCGTCGGCGGCATCACTGGGTATGCAAAAACCCGGTCGGTTCCTTCACTCGTCGCTGGTGTTGGGTGGGTCGTTCTCTAGCATCAGAAAAACGTGTTTTTGCCAACTCATATACTCTAGCGTGGGTCTGTTGTTCCTGTGGAGTGCAGATGTCATCAGGAAAGGCGCGCCAAATGGGTTGGAGGGTGCCTTAGGCACGTCGCCTTCCTTAATATCCTTAAACATGTACTGACTTTTGTCCTCGTAGGTGCCTCGGCCCTGCTTCTGCTCTCATCTCTTCCTCGCATTACCAAGGGTCCGGTGCCCCTTGTGCTCGCTGCAACGAGCAGTGCTGCGGGTGTATACTATGGCACAAAGGTGTACAACTTGCGCAACTAGTAAAATCAGGCTATCTCCTTCTAGTATCTATAGCGTGGTCTTCAATCAATTATCATCATCAGCCCTTGCCTGTACTTCCAATAAGCCTCAGGATACTCCGTGCTCGACCCCGCATGTATCATTTTATGGCACAGCCACAAATTAATCAATGAAAGAGCATCACATGGTAGTAATACATATGGAGGATATCATAGCATGGTATACCCAGCAGCCGTAGGCAGCTTACCTAGAAGTCTTCGGTACAATCTCGAACCGCATTGTCGATCTGGTAGGCAGAGTGGACGCCGTCTCTCCCACTGCCTCACCAGGTGTTACACCCCGACCATCTAGGAAACGCACTCGTGTACGTTCATTTATCATTACTCCTTCATTTTCGAACCCTGCCAGCGTTTCTAGTCCCCCAGCCGAAGAAGCCATCATGAGATGGACTGGGTTCGACGCATCAAAAATGGGACCGGTGCGTGGGTGAGAACCTTCCTGAATCAGACCGTACATCGCAGCTGAAACAGTGACCGCCCAGATGACCGTAAAGACGCCGATAATATAGATGTATGTAAGGTGTCCGCTGTACCAGCCGTAGGTCGTTATATACTTGGTTCCATTCAGGGATTTGAAAGCGCTTTCGTCCAAGTACAAGTTCGGCATCTTGGTGGCCGCGCCTTCTGCAAGGTAGGCGGAACGAAGGTACTACCGCGCATAAGCCTAAAAAGGATGTGAGACATGACAATTCACTCACTGTAGCAGAAAACTCTACGACGCCACGGAAGTAGTTCTCCTGTGAAAATCACAAGTAAGAAATCTTGTTTGCTGTTCTAAATGTGGCAAAAGCTGCTCACCAAAATTTTGTTCACTGAACTCGCGCGGTCCAGTATGCTAAGCTGTAGCAACATCCCCAAAGGGTTATTGTACGTCGTCTGACTGGAGATAGACAGCTGCTGCACTACGTTCGATATGAAGGCGGTGACATTCATACTGTTGTTCTGGAGTGGCTGGATGTTACGAGGTTCATCGACGGAGATCATTCCCTGATTGTACGTCACGTCGAACGAAGCCACATATGGCGTTACCTTGCAGGCTCTTGCATTCAAGAAATCATATTGCCCCATACCCTGCAGGACAATGTCTAAAGTGGTAGCTACGATCAACATTCGCACTTCTCAAGTTGGGCTCGCTTACCAAAGGAGGTGGCATCCACAAATCCTGGAGGGGGGCAGACAACAATACCGAGAAGGCCAACAGTGTTGTAAAACTTCGAGAAGGCCTCCGTTGTCCAATAACCAGCGCCCGCTAACAAATGATGATATCAGGCCGCGTCAGATACAAGTGAATTATGCGGACGTACTGCCAGAAGGACAATAAGCTATCCATGCCCAAGCTGTGATTGCTGATCCAAAGGCCGGCGAAGTAATATTACGAAACCTCAGCAAGAACTCGCTTGGGTCAAGGTAATCGCAGGTAATATTCGCCGAAAGACCCTGTTGTGTCACGGTATAATTTCTAGCGAGCCCAGAACGGCCCCGGTGTTTTTCATTAACGACCGATGTATTGACCACAACTTTTCCACCATAATACCCAAGACCAATACCACCAGGGGCCAATGACGTGCCTGAAAAATCCTCGACCGCTGGAACGATGCCACCTGAGAACAGAATGAGATATCAACCGGGTACGATGTTACATCAGAGCGCACTACTGGATTTGCTGTATGAGACACCGTTGAAGGCGAAGACACTGTCACCTCCACCTACAACAGCTAGACTTGTGGCTGAAGTACCACTCATTGGCGCCATAATATTGAGGGTATTGTAAGCATTCGCGCGTACTATGGCAAATCATCAACGGGTACCACTCAATGAACAATGATATACAGTCCTTACATCCTAGCAAGATGTTGTCAAGACCTAGTTTTGCATCGAACGCACTGCTTCCGAGGTCCAGATCTTTGCCTTCGATTGATACAGGCCACACAAGGAGTGTCGGCAATAGTAATGTCGTCCAGCTGCGACAAGTTATGAGTCAGTTGCGACACTCTTGAGCATGATTTCAAACCTCGAATTAAGGAGCATGATCAACCCAACGATGATCATCGTGAAAAATGAGAGCCTGTGGTGGTCCCATCGAAGAAGAGGTTGGGGTTTGGTGAGGGCTATCGCGGTATGAAGCTCGACCAGTGATGTTGGCCGAGTAATATAATGGCTGATCGCGTTTTTGACAGCGAATGAGAAAAGACTGCGATGGAGATATCGATGTCAGCGAATCACAAAGTGACCGGTTATCTGAACTTACGCCGTGGTGATTACCGACAGAATTGTGGATATCACAGTGGATATAAGAGTGAGTACAGTAGGATATCTTGTGATGAGGATGACGTCGGAGTCGCGTAGAATCACATATTCTTGATGCCAAACTATAATCATGAATGCCCAACAAAGAGCGAATATACAAGTCGAGATGAAAATTGTCAATATCAACTTGCGCTTCTGTGCAGCCATCGAAAACTATGCGCAGGTGGGTCGGGAAGTTCGGGTTCCAGTTAATGATCCGTGACTATAAGGAGCGAGTGGCACATCATACTGCGCGTAAATCGTGCGAGAATCTGGCCTGTGACGACTGAAAGCGACAGGCGTTTTCAAGACGAATATTGTAAGTGATTACGAAAGCTAGACGATACGCTTACCATGAGTGTCTATATCGCGATCAATGACCACGCCACCCTACGTGCCGATAATAGGCTGGCACCATTGGCAGGCCTTGAAAAAAAAAAGTCCAGGCCAGTCAGGAGTGACCTTGAAGGTCCAAATTACGTTTCCAACACTCATGGACAACGGCATATGCATACTAGTTATCATTTGAATGAAATGCTGTAGAAGGGTCTGCCAGATTAATCCGGTATCTCGGTCATGCAGTATCATATCCTCATCATCGCCTTACCATCCAATTTAACTTGAAAAGCACCTAGCTGCAAACGTTTTGATTCAAACTTCGGTCGGCTCCAGATATAGGAGGTAGGCGCCTGGCGGAGATTCGAAGCGCTTAACGGAGGCCAAAAAATGACGAAACTACATGCGTAGAAAACGCGACTTGTGCACCTAGGCTAGATGTAGAACTCGAATGAAGTTAAACCAAAAAAAATTTGTCAATGTGTGAACGAACCTTCCTAGCAGACAATGTGCTCACTGCCACTTCTGCCACTTTTCCTGCCAGTGATAGGCTGAGTCGCCACAATATCAATGGACTACTATTTGCGTACCCTTTGTCAGCATCAGTGCGTGACACGTGTACTAGGATCAGGATTTCAGCAACTTGGGCTCAACGCTGCGTTCAACAATGTTCTACTGTATACACAAGGTCAACGAAGGTCGGTGGAGATATACTGACATCGCGCACGTACGTCGTGGGCTATTTCACTTAGGCTGAGCCTCGTGTTCTAGACCCTGCTATACCAATGCCACATGAGGCAAATGATATTCCATTAATATTGGCAGGGTGGAAGCTTGTTCGAGCCACATGTGCAGCCTGAAAAGCATGTACTCTCGCCCTCGGTAATCTCATGGCCAATGGGGTCCATGACATGAACTGCTAGATCAGACCATGCCAAATAATGTACACTCTCTGGCTCATGAACTCTTTGTTGCACTGATGCCTGAGCAGTACCGCCATGACACGCTTCCAATCACTAGTAGCGAGCGGGCCCCGAGGAATACTCCTCTCAGCCATATCTTCGATCGGCGTCAAACTCTTCGGTCAGTGACTCGGGTAGTAATTTTCATACCCTGTTATCATTAATACACAAAGAAAAATTCACATAACAGGGTACCAGAAAACATTCTCGACGAACCTTCTGATTTGTGAACGAGCATCTTACAGTTACTAAAATCCCTGTCAACTGAGATCATGATGCCATGGCATTACGGGTCAGATTCTCGCGTCTCGCATGTTTTACATGCGGTAAATAGTCAGTCCCACTTTTCTCTCATCGTAATAAATACTGGTCCTTGACTTCAGCTTCCAAACCCACCTGTGAATTCTCCTCAATGGACCGGCAGAGGCTTCTGTTAGTGCTTACGATCTTCATCTCGACTGTCATACTCGCTCTTTGCTGGGCTTTCATCATTCACTTATGGCATAAAGAATATGTGATTCTCCGCGACTCCATTGTCGTCCTCATCATCAGATATCCAACAGAACTCATTCTTTTATCCACTGTGATATCCACAATTCTGTCGGTGACCACTACAGCGTAAGTTCAGGTAGCTAGTGTACGTCGTGCTTCGCTGACATTATCTATTGAAGTCTTTTTTCAATCGCTGTCAAGCACGCATTGAACCATTATATCACCAAGCCGTTATCACTAGTCGAACTTCACACCGCAATATCTCTCACAAAACCTCAACCTCTTCTTCAATGGAACCATCGCAGACTATCTCTTATCACGTTGGTTATCGTTGGCCTGATCACACTCCTCAATTCAAGGTTTGAAATCATTATCATGAGCGTCGCTGCTGACTTACACCTTATCATAGCTGGACGACATTACTGTTGCCAACAATCCTTTCACAGCCTGTATCAATCCAAGGTACAGAATTGGACCTCGGAAGCCTCGCCTTCAACGCGCAACTAGGTCTTGACTTATCCAGTGGCAACATATGTAGGCATCGTACATCATTATTGCTTAGCCAGCTATTGATAATTCCACCATAGCGTGGAATAAGTTCGTAAACATCATCAACGTTGTGACACCCATGAGCGGGCTCTCAGCTACACGTTCGAGTATCGCAGGTGGCAATGACAGTGTCTTTGCCTTCAATGGTGTTTCGTACAGCAAATCTAGTAGTGCGCTCTGACGGAACAGCAGATATGGATCATAACTCATTCTGTTCTCAGGTGGCATTATTCCGGCGGTCGCAGAATTTGCAGGCACGTCATTGGTCACTGATACGGTTGGCCTTGGGTACTACGGTGGAAAAGTCGCTCCCGGTATACTGGTTCCCGTCGATAAATATTCTGGTCTTGCCAGAAATTATAGCGCCACACAACAAGGTGTTTCAGCGAACATTACGTGCAGTCCCCTCGACTCCAATTACTCGCTGAAAATCGATAATTCTACTATCTACTATAACGACTTTACGATTTGGAATGGTACAGCATATTGTCCTCTCGGCAGTACGTCTGCTCGGCATACCTTGCATTGACACAGCTTAATGTTACTTGTCAGCTGGTACAGGCGGTTGGGTGACGATGTCCTTCGACTATGACTATGGTGGCCTTCTAGAAATGTTTGTTTGTCCTGATCCGGGAACCGCGAGCGTCACATCCTTTGGTCAGTGAATTTAACTTGGGCAGTGTCAATGTTGATCCAAACCTTTACCTTCAGACATCTTCTTACATGCCGAAGGGGAATATCTTAGTACCTTGAATTCAACAGTCTGCAAGGTTGCCCCATATATGGCCTCATTCGACGTAACATACACACATGGAAACATCTCTATCAGCCAGCCTCTTAATATCCAACCATTTCAGAGCAGCGGCGTGAATGTCACATCCTTCATATCGATGATGGTGTCGGAGCTGTCTTGGTCCAGCCAAACGTTAGACAGCAATTCTTTGGGGGAGCTGCTACAACTTGAGACAACAAACGCAGAACGCTCGGTGAATGACGTGCTGGTTAGTAACTTTGCCATGTTTAGTCAGGTAGACCACGGTTTCTTACAAGTTTAAATAGGAAGACTATTTCCGCGGTATCGTGGAGTTTTCTGCCACTGTGAGTCAATTATCATGTTTTACCTATCCTTTTTCAGCGGGGGCTGATGTGCTATAGTACCTTCGTTCTGCCTATTCTGCAGAGGGTGCGAACTCCACACTGCGGAACTTGTACTCTGACCAAAGTGCTTTCACATCCTTGAACGGAACCATGTCCGTGACGACCTACGGCTGGTCCAGCAAACGCCTCACATATATCTATCTTCTCGCAATTCTCACAATTATCTGGGCCGTCACTGTTTCAGCTGCGGCGTACAGTCTGCACCAGGGACGTTCTCGTTCGCGTCCCTTATTTGATGCATCGAACCCGGTTCATCTCATGATGGCATCTTCGGAGGGGGGATTTGAACCTAGCGGCGTCAAGAGTAATGCAGATGTACGAGTGCATCTCCAAGTACACGACCAAAATATAGCGCATGGTGATGCAACAGGAGAGAAGTCCGTTCGAGCTAGCGGATCTAAGATGCGGATCAAGATTGATAAGGACACAGAGGGAGGTAATCCCAAGTAGGCTGCTACAGTGGTATCGCCAGATACTACTATGTCGATGTTGTTGGATGGATAACTTCGTCACTTAGATTTCTCTTTGTCACCCCGGACTCTTTACGTACTTTACCCTCAGTGTAACGGCTTGTCCTCAATTGTCCCGTCAAGTGTCACTAACTATTAGTGCAGTAAAAATTCGAAACAGATTACCACCCACTGTCAGCACGATGATCAGGTGAAAGTCCGAGTCACTGAATGATAATGGTGGCGACATGATACGAAATGATACGACCACCCTCAGCGACGGCGAGGCGTACCACTACGACTCGCAGTAATACCCCCCCTAGTTCAATGTAAGGTTGCAACTGGTACACTTTGTTTTCGGTTTTCGGTTCACATAGACTATTGCTTACGTTAGCACATATGAACCAACATGACCTAGCTTGCGGAGCAAGGTTAACAAAATTATGAAGTCTCTGGTAAACAGAAAAACTAAATCTTCATGTCCGATGCTCACTTAATGTCAGACAGCCACTCAGCGCATACCGCAATGATGATCTTCTTCAGTTCTTGCTTGACATTGAAATAAGTCTCATGACCGTCTAGGGCTCGTTCAACATTCAAACTGGTTTGAAATTGCAGTGTGGCACAGCCACGTGGTCAGTCATGATATGCATGATATCCTAGAAGACTTTGCCACCCTCGCCGTCTAGGTCCGGTACAATTTCGAACCGCATTGACGATCTGGTAGGTTGAACGGATGTATCCTCTCCCACTGCATCACCAGGCGCCGCACCCCGACCATCTAGGAAACGGATTTGCACCCGTTCATTCATCATACCGCCATCATTTTCAAACCCCGCAAGCGCTTCTAGTCCGCCCGCCGAAGAAGCCATCATGAGATGGATTGGGTTCGACGCATCAAATGAGAGACCGATGCAAGGGTGAATGCGCTCCTGAATTAGACTGAACGTCGCAGCTGCAACAGTGACCGCCCAGATGACCGTGAAGACGCCGATGATATAGATGTATGTAAGGCGTCCACTGTACCAGCCATAGGTCGCCACAAACATGGTTCCGCTCAGGGGTTTGAAAGCACTTTCGTCCAAGTACAAGTCCGACATCGCGGTGGCCGCGCCTTCCGCAAGGTATGCGGAACGAAGGTACTGCAGCGCATAAGCCTACAAAGGATGTAAGACGTGCTCATTCACTTACTGTGGCAGAAAACTCTACGACGCCGCGGAAGTAGTATTCCTGTGAGACTCGTGAGCAAAAAGCTTGTATACCGTCTAAACTGAAAAAAGTTGCTAACCAGTATTTCATTCATTGAGCCTGTGTTGTATAATCTGTTAAGCCGTAGCAGCTCCCCCAAAGGATTATTATATGTCGTTTGGGTGGACAAGGACAACTCCTCCACTACGCTCCTTATAAAGTAGGTGACATTCATACTGTGGTTCTGGAGTGGCTGGATATCACGGGGCTGATCAATAGAGATGTTTCCATTGCTGTATGTCACATCGAATGAGGCCACATATGGTGCAACCTTGCAGACCGTTGCATTCAAGAAACTATATCCCGCTTTGCCCTGTAGGATGATGTCTAAGGTGGCAGCCATGATGAGCATCGGCACTACCGAAGTTACCAAACTCCTTACCGAAAGATGGGACGGCGATCATGTATGGGCCAGGACAAACAACAATCCCGAGAAGGCCATCGCGGTCATCAAGAGCCTGGAATTCTACTGTCGTCCAATAGCTGACACCAACTAACAAGCAATGTCAGGCCGCGTCACATACATGTGTGCGGTACAGACGTACTGCCGAGAGGACAATGTGCTGCCCATTCCCAAGTTATAGTCCCTCCTCCGAAGGCGGAGGAAGGATTATCCAGAATACTCAAGGAGTACTCCTTTGGGTCTGGGACGCCACAAGTAACATTCGCAGAAAGGCCCTGTTGTGTCACGGTATAATTTCTAGCAAGCCCGGAACGGACCCGATGTTCTTTATTGACTACCGAGGTATTGACAGCCACTTTTCCACCGAAGTACTGAAGGCCAACACCACCGGGGGTCAACGAGTTACCTGCAAAATCTTCGATTGCTGGAACAATGCCACCTAGGAGAGAAATCAGTCACTAATCCGGGTACATTGTTGGATGAGGCGCACTGCTCGATTTACTGTATGATACACCATTGAATGCGAAGATACTGTTATCTCCGCCTGCGATAGCCAAACGTGTGGCTGAAGCCCCACTCATGGGCGACATAATGTCGAGAATATTGTAAACATTCGTGTATGCTATGATGAAGTCATTGGTTATCCAGTCACGACATATATACAGGGCTTACAGATTGAAGAGGCGTTCATATCAAGACCCAGTTTGGCATCGAAGGCGGGGCTTCCGAGATCCAGATCTTTGCCTTCGATTGGTACAGGCCACAACAGACGTGTCGGTAACAATAATGTCGTCCAGCTGTGACATGTTAGGAATTGATTGCGGCGCTCATGGACATAGTTACAAACCTTGAATTGAGGAGTGTGACCAAACCAACGATAACCAGCGTGAACAGTGAGAGAACACGGTAGTTCCATCGAAGAAGAGGTTGAGGTCTGGAGAGAGCTATTGCGGTGTGAAATTTGACCAGCGATATTGGTCGAGTAATATAATGGCTAAGTGCGTTTTTGACAGCGATCGAGAAAAGACTATAATGCCGATGCGGATGTCAGCGAAGCCCTATGTGCACCAGCTATCTGTACTTACGCCGTGGTGATTACTGACAGAATCGTGGATATCACGGTAGATATCAGGGTGAGTACAGTAGGATATCTCGTGATGAGGATGGCGTCGGAGTCGGGGAGGATCACAAATTCTTGATGCCAAACTATAATCATGAACGCCCAACAAAGAGCGAACAAACAAGTCGAGACGAAGATTGTCAACACCAATAGAAGCTTCTGCACGGCCATCGGAAACTATGCGCATGTGGGTTGGGAAGCTCGAGTTCGCGTCGATGACCAGTGGTTATAAGGAGCGAATGGAACTCCGCACAGATAATTTACTGAGTAAATTGTACAAGAATCTTGCCCTTCAGTCATCTGAATGTGACGGGCGTTTTTAATGTACAGTGGAGAATACATACTCATGTGCAAAGCAGAGCGAGCGCTCATTGTGGACCCTTGATGCATAGCAGGCAGGTTAAACCCTGTCATTACATCCCAGAGAGGATTGCCATCGAAAGAGTGTTTATGCCGTGGACAACGACATGCCATCCTAGCATGGCACCAGTGCGGCAGCCAATAGCAAGTCTAGAAAGAAGCTGTTTGAACCAGTCAGGGAGTGACCTCGTTGAAACGCCCATCAAAGCCTAAATTACACTTAGGGACAACGACATAAGGCCTGCATGCACACTAGTGGACATTTGTATGAAATGCAGTAGAAGAGGTGGTTTGCCGGATTGAGACTTATCTGGTAACTTTTTAAATCAATTTGACAGTGTGAAAAGCATTCTGTGAGGCGTGGTGGCAGCAAATTGTAGCTTGAGCCAAATCTCGGGTCCAGATTGGTAGAAATTAGCTATAATAGGCGTCTAATGGAGGGTCCAAAGCGCTTAAAGGCAACATTAATGGCGGACAGCAGCTATGATAAGCTTAGGAAACCCACCTGCATGCATGCTAGTAGTTTTTTAGACTAAATCAATTTTGCTAGATTAAGATAAGATCAGAATTCTAAATCACACCTTGGGAGTATGAAAAGCACCCTTCATCAGAATGCATCTCGGTTCCACCAGTACAGGGCGGAAAGCGGGGGGCAAGAAAACCACGAAGAACACACGTAATGATCACATTCCAGTCCGGACCAAATGGTAGCGAACTCTCCCACGGATGGCCTGGCCTTATACTCGTGGTCGTGGTTGTGCAAGTCCTGCCTACCAAATGAAGCGAACTTGGGCTGACGATGGTATGGACGGCGCATAAGACGGTTTAAGCTCGTCTCGCTCAGCGACGGTATCTAGCTTCGTCGGCCCACGAGAGCCTTTGCCAGTGTCATTCAGCTCACAAAGGCGTCATTCCTGCCGACCTCGGTCGAAATCCGGCGGAATTTGCGTACTCAACTCTCAGGCACTCTTGTGGCCTCGTTCATCGGACAGATCGTGACTGACGCAAGCCTTTCCAGAAATGTGCGCGCTTGCAGCAGCGTTCAGGGTATGTGCGGGGGACACAGTAGGTAGGGCAGACGGCGCGAAAGTGTGCGAGGAAGCGATCTGTTGAGGCAAAATTTGTGCAAGGATATACGATATACATGATGGTGTCCCGCTCTCGTTTCTTGCGACAGGCGAATTATTGCCATGGTACCCAACTAGGCTTTCTTCAACATTTTCATCGACATCCTCATCAGCGCCCCCACACCCACACAGTTCATCTGCCAAACTTCTCTTCTCATCTCATATCCTAGGCTACTTCCGATCTATCTTAAACTTCTTCATCTCCATGTATATGGTCATCATCATCAATTCCTTTTGCACCCTCGATATATTTGATCCTAAAGTCCTCCCTAGGCATTCGCAGCCCACCTCCAGCCCCAGACAATGACTTGGTACAAAAACGAGTTCATGAATTAGAGTGTGCGCCATATGGCGTGGTCTCATCCAAGGATGAACATTGTTCAGAAGTCTGCGATAGCTCGAATGCGCTGAGAATGTCTCCGAGTTGGCTCGTCGTGTTGTTGACACAAACCTCGACGTAGCGCCGGCCCACGACAAGGCATGCATTCTTGATTAGCCCCTTCGGAATAGACATGTACATGAGAGAGAAATTGCAGCTCTCTTAGGACGAGGGACGTGACAAATAACCATTATTCTTTGCGCATGTACGAATGACGTCCACACATCTTGAAGGTGCGGTATTTATAGCTCTTGATGAGGCAGGTCAGCCGCATGCTTGCGGTGCTGGAGAAAGTACTGTGAAGTGATATTATATTGTTGAGTGTGGGGATTGTGCAGCATCTTGTAAGAGAGGTCGGATGACTCCGAGGTTATCATAAGATTATATATTGTACATGTGTATTGTATGGAATGGCATATACCCAGCGGCCTACTTCGGAATATTTGTCTCCTTTTCCGGTTCAATTGTGAACCACATTCTAGTTGCACTGGCTGGAACGGACGTCCCCTCTTCGGCTGCATTACCATGCACCACACCTAGGTCGTCTAGGAGGCGCACTCGTACATGTTCATTATTCTGAGCACTGTCAACGTGAAAACCTGCGATGTTTTCCAGTCCTCCCGCCGAAGATGCCATCATGAGATGGACCGGGTTCGATGCATCAAATAAGGGACGGGAGCGGAAACGCCCCTGGATCAGACCATATCCCGCAGCTGAAACAGTGATGGCCCAGATTATCGTGAAAACTCCGATAAGATAGGCGTATGTGGGGCGTCCAATAGACCAGCCGTAGGTCGTCACGAACATGGTTCCGTTCAGGGATGCGAAAGCACTTTGGTCAGAGTACAAGGTTGGCATTGCGGTGGCGGCACCTTCTGCAGAGTAGGCAGAACGAAGGTACTACAGCACATCAGCCCCCTTCTGGAAAAAAGGATAGGTAAGACGTGATAATTGACTCACAGTGGCAGAAAACTCTACTACCCCACGGAAGTAGTCTTGCTGTCAAACTCGTAAGAAAGTGTGGTCTACACTGAGTAAACAAGGCAGAAATTACTTACCAGTACCTCATACACTGGGCGCGCGGACAGGTTTATTTCATTAAGCTGTAGCAGCTGCCCTAAAGGATTGTCGTATAGAGTCTGACTATATAGAGACAGTTCCCACACCACCATCATTATGACGCTGGTGACATTCACGCTGTTGTGCTGCAATGGCTGGACATTACGAGGCTGATTCATAGTGACATTTCCATTGTTGTATGTCACATCGAATGAGGCCACGTACGGGGAAACATTGCAGACTGTTGCATTCAAGAAATTGTATCCCGCTTCGCCCTGGAAGAAGATGTCTATGATGGAAGCTAGGATCAACATTGGCACTTCCCGTGTTGAGCTCACATACCAAAAGAGGTGGCATTTGCGGTTGGACCCAAGGTCGGATTGGGACAAACAAGGATCCCTAGAAAGCCAGTGGTAGAGTTCCCGTTCTCAGGCTGTAAGGCTACAGTCGGCCAGATGCTATGAGTTTCTGACAAGCAACATCAGGCTGCATCGATTCGGGAATGCCGTGCAGACGTACGACCGAGAGGACATGTTGCTGTCACATTCCAAAACATAATCCCGTAGTTGTTGACAGCAGAATCGTTGACTTGAACACTCATCGAGTACTGAGGATCGTTTGGGTCGAGGGCACGACACGTGATGCTCGCTGAAAGACCCTGTTGTGTCACGGTATAATTTCTTGAGAGCCCAAAATATTCGTGATTGAGGGCCGATGTCGTATTGACAGCGACTTTTCCACCGTAGTAGTCAAGACCGGTATTACCACTGTTCAAAGATGTGCCTGCAAATTCTTCGACCGCTGGAAGAATCCCACCTTGGGACGGAATGAGTTCCTGATATAGATTTGCTATGATATCAGAGCGCACTGGTAGATTCGCTGTATGAGACACCATTGAAGGCAAAGACACTGTCATTTCCGCCTGCAACAGCCGAACGTGTCGCCGAAGCCCCGCTCATGGGCGACATAATCCCTACGAGGTTAATGAAATTCTTAAATGCTACGATGGAGTTATTGACAGCTAGCCAAGAAATAGTGATATACCACTCTCACATTGGTTACTTGTGTAGTAGAAGTCACGACCTAGTTTCGCATCGAAGGCGCTGCTTCCGAGATCCAGATCTTTGCCTTCGATGTAAACCGGCCACGTAAGGCGTGTTGGCAATAGCAATGTCGTCCAGCTATGATAGGTCGTCAGTCAGCTGCGACGCTCATAAGAAAAGTTTCAAACCTTGAATTGAGGAGTGTGAGCAAACCGACGATAACCAATGTTATAAGAGATAGTCTGCGGTTGCTCCACCGAAGAAGAGGTTGAGGTCTAGTGAGGGCTATCGCGGTGTGAAGATTGACTAGTGATATTGGCTGAGTGATGTAATGGCTAAGTGCCTGCTTGACAGCGATCGAGAACAGACTGCAATGCCGATGTACTTGAATGTCAGCTAAGTTCGTGAACCAGCTATCAGAGCTTACGCTGTAATGGTTACCGACAGAATTGTGGATATCACAGTGAATATAAGAGTCAGCACAGTAGGATATTTTGCGATGAGCATGACTATGGGGTCGCGGAGAATGACATATTTTCGATGCCACAAGTAGAGGATGAACCCCCAGCATAGAGAGAATATGAAAGTAGAGGTGAATATCGTGAACACTAACAGAAGCCTCTGCAGATCCATGATGAAAATTCGCAGGGTAATTAGGAAGTTCAAGTCAATGATCAGTATTTATAAGAGATGTGTGGGACGCGCCATTTACCGCATTTCAAACATGCGGGACACGAGAATTCGACCCGTAATGTTTTGGCATCTCAGTTTGACAAGGATTACCATACATACTCCTGTGCAAAGGGATGACACACATACACCCTGAGTTCTTGAGCGCACCTGTCCTGAATCCACATCAAACCCTGTCACTCCATCTCAAATTGGTCTGAACGAGAGCTAGAAAAATACTTGCCATCAGTTAGTTTACATCGTGCTGACATGGCATTGTTACTGACGCTCACCTGTAAACATGACAAGTGGCGCTGACCACATACCGATGGACTGGGCCAGGCCCATGATGGGGTAATAGGGGCCTGGGTCGGGTAAGGTTTGACCGGGCGCAAGCCCTCTGAAGCCCCAAGCCAGGCCCGGCACATTACTGCCAATAACAGAATCGCGGGGCATAGACTTTCCCGCTCTTGTGTAGCCTCGTTGATCGCACGGATCATGTCCAATGGCAATCTGCTAGTACTTCCGATCTCATCTATCAGACTGTCTCCTGGCGCGTGCACTTCAAGCATCCTTCACGATGACACAGGTCGGTCGTAATACTTGCGGTAGCGGAAAAGTACTGTGGAGTGCGTTGAATTGTTGAGTATGGGGACTTGGTAGCATGTTGAAAGAGACGGATCAGAGCTCTGGAAAATGTGTGACTGACTTGCCGAAAACCATTATGGGACGCAGCAGATAGCCGGCTTAAGTCACACGTAGGGCGGACAGCGCTCCAAGCTCAAGATACGCTTCTATTTTGTGTGGACTGTGGAATAGCATATACCCGGCAGCTTAGCCCTCCTTATTCGATTCAGTCGTGAACCGTACCTTGTAAGCGCTGGAATTCTCCTCTCCTCTCTCGCTGCATCACCGCGCGTTACACCATGATTGTCCAGGAGGCACACCAGTACCTGTTTGTTACTCTTAACGCCGTCATTTCAAACCCTGTAAGGTTTCCCAGTCCTCCCGCCGAAGATGCCATCATGAGATGGACCGTGTTAGATGCATCAAATAAGGGATCTGAGCGAGTGCGTTCCTGGATCAGGCCGTACGCTGCGGCTAAACCAGTGACAGATGTCCGTGAAAAGCCGGGGAAAATAGATGTGTGTATGTGAGGTGTCCGCTAGACCAGCCGTAGGTCGTCACGAACGTGGTCCCATTGAAGGATTTGAAAGCGCTTTCGTCCGAGTACAAGTTCCGCAGTGTGGAGTTCGCACCCTCTGCAGTGTAGGCAGAATGAAAGTACTACAGCATATCAGCCCCCGCTAAAAAAGGATATGTAAGACGTGATGATTGACTCGCAGTGACGGAAAACTCCACCATACCGCGGAAGTAGTCCTCCCGTTGAACTTGGTCTACCTGGCATGAGGCGTCGGGGCATAGTGGCTTGGATATTGGCTTAGAAATGTCCCCATCCAGGATATGCTAACAGAGAATCAGAAATGCCCCAAAATAATGCAATCCAGAAGGCTGATAGAAGAGCGATATTGCAGACGAGGGTGAAGTTATGTCAGTAGCAAGGTGTCTCCTCCGAAGGTTGAGCCGACAAACCAATGCCAACTTTCAGGCCTGCACTGACCCGGGTTTTCAACACTTTCAGTCTTGCAAAATTCCAACCGAAAGTTTGAATCTAAACCTGGCCGTATCTCTCCAAACCTCAGGCCACCCTAGTAGAGCGTCCAGAGCGAAGTGCCCTGCATGCACATCCCTGGATTAGGAGGAACGCATGTCGCCTGGGAGACTAATTCAGAGGCTAAGCCAAAATTCGCGAGCCTTTGGTCAGCGTCTGCATCAGGCAGTTTGTGCCCTGACCCACCGAGAGTCCCACATTTCGCAGTCTTTTGCTTTTATCCAATGCTCAAGGCTGATGGAATGCTAGTATGAAAAGTCTTATCCGAGTCGTTGACTGAAGAGCACTCTGCCCTGAAGAGCTTGTCCAAGTAACAAGAGGCTTGCATAGGCCGCCTAGACATGGCTGACGAATTCGAAAGCCGCGTATTTCAAGTTGTGGACCTGTTAGTGGCGCACGATAATCCTTGAGGCTCACTCGTAACTGGAAGCACTGGAAGTGTGCCAAAATTTCAAACTTGAAGCGGTCAAGCGTGAGCAACGGTGAAAGACAAGAATGACACGAGTTTTGCACTGCACGAAGATTATATCCCGACATACAACCTTGAACCGACATAGTCGGAGGGGACTTGCATCACGTGACTTGCGGGCGTCCGACCAAAAATTCAAAATCACAAAGCTTGAAATATGTTCGCCTGACTTTAAGCTTCAACATGTGGCGGGTCGGTAACCCATGTCGGTTTAGTCGGTTCTACAAGATATAAATGATCTGCTGGTATAATATTGTACGAATGAGTGAATGGGATTAGATATGTAGCGATCCTCCAGCCTAGTCAAGTCCATTCTATATCGTCTACCGCGCCATGATCGCCTGCGTTTTAACCCCTGCCTCATCTATGGCCTGTTGGAATGCAATCAAATGCTCCTCCGCAACCCTTCTGCAATTGAGATCTGCTCCTTCCTGCTCCCACTGCTCAATGCGTCCGCGACTGCGCTCCGCGCCTTCCCACTCCCCGCGCAAGCCACCAAAGCGGTTCTTTAACGCACGAATCCGCCGACCTGAATCTGCAGTAGCGGCCCCATTCACCTGCGCCTGCTCTGATATTGTTGTAAGCGATGAGAGAAGTGCCGCCGTATGTGTTCGCAGCTGCACCAGGTGCGGCAGCGGTGCAGTAGCACTGGAGGACTGGGGTGCAGTGAATGAGGGCTTTTGAGGTGACGAAGGTAGGGACGGTGCATAAGACGATTCAAGCTCGTCTTCCTCAGCTACGGTATCCAGCCTCATCGGTGCAGGTTCGCTCTCGCCCTCGTCGATGTCATCCAACTCACAAAGGACATCATTCCCACCGACCTCAGTCGAAAGCCGGCGGAATTCACGCTCGTACGCTATGAGCTCGCGCACCTGACTTTCCCGCTCTTTTGTGGCCTCGTTAATCGAACGGATCATGTCCGATGCCAGGCTTTCCAGGACGTGTGCGCTTGGAGTAGCATCCGAGCTGTGTGAGGAGGATAAAGTAGGTAGAGCATCAACGGCGCGTAAATGTGCGAGGAACTGATCTGTTGAAGCGAGGTTTTGCGCAAGGATCTCCATGGCGTCTTGCTCTCGTCTTCTTGGGACAGGCGATTCATCATCATAATCCCCATCTAGACTGTCTTCAACATCTTCATCGGCATCCTCATCAGCGGCCCCACTCCCACTCCCACTCAATTCGTCCGCAAAACTAGAGCCTCCCATCTCATCGGCTAGACTACTTCCAATTTCATTCGCCAGACTGTCCCCTGGTGCGTGCACTTCACGCTCCTCGTTTCCACGTACGCAGTCATCGTCATCAATGCCTTCTGCGCCTTCGTCGTAGTCAATCCCAAACTCCTCCGCGAGCATACGCGACCCGCCTCCGGGCTCAGGCATTAGTGCGACGGCGAGTTCATGAGCCAGAGAGTGTGCGCCATTTGGCATGGTCTGATCTAAGGATGAGAGCGGTTCGGAAGCCCGCGTCGACTTGCGCGGCGAGGAAGACTGGTGTCTAGCGTGCGACATTGTACCGCTCGTGGATAGAAGTTGAATGGATGATGTATTATAGCGCGTCTATATATGACACGGACGCGTGTCGGTGCTGCGATGATATCTTGAATGAGCGAAGTGGTGTGTAGTACTTGTTTATAAGCCGTGGTTGTTTAGCCGTTATGGCTCAGAAATATAGATTCAGGTGGCACTGCCTGGTTGAGACAGTGAAAGGACAGACAAAGACTACGGCTTAGTAATCACATATCCTCTGCTTTTCTCAATCACCTACGATACCATCTTGTTCATACTTTGTCTGTCCATACTCACAGTACTCACTGAGCGTCCTTTCTAGCGACCGATCCCATACTCCATTAACGTCTGACATTTCTTTTTTCCTCTGACCCTCTCAATTTTATTCATTTATTTATCCTACTCATCACAATGGCTGGCTACTTCTCGAACCACTCGCAATTCCAGACTCGTTTTGCAAATGTAGCATCTAGCACTACCACAACCACAACCACAGCTACAACCACACCCACCATTACAACAGAGACGCGTCCGCGACCCCCTACAAGCAGGCATTTCTCCACTTCCGTCTCACACCCGCCACACGAAGACCGTGACCGGGGCGCCGATGTTCCCGCGCCGCTATCCGTTCACCCTCTCCGGAATACGTATGTTCGTGGCTTCCTTCTCATTCTCATCCGTGACTGACACCTATTTCCACCAGGTGGGTTTTTTGGTTCCGACAACAGCGCGCTCCGGGAAATAAAATCACTAATTATGAGGAAGGCATCAAAAAAATCGCTTCTTTCTCCAGTGTTGAATCTTTCTGGGGACTTCAAACACATCTCTCACCCCCCTCTGCACTCGTGCCCACTACAGACTACCTCCTGTTCCATGCTGGTGTTCGCAGGCCTGTGTGGGAAGACCCCCTGAATCGTACTGGTGGGAAGTGGATTGTGCGATTGCGTAAGGGAGTAGCAGACAGGGTGTGGGAGGACCTCGTTATGGGTGTTGTGGGCGACATGTTTGATGAATGTAGTACACAGGGGGAAGGGGAAGAAGGAGGGTGGCCAGAAATTTGTGGTTGCACCATCAGCGTGCGTCAGAGTGAGGATATCGTGAGCTTGTGGAACCGCGTCGATGGGGACGCTAAGGTGCGGGAGAAAATTCGGTATGTCATTTGCATTTTTTTCTCATAATTTAGATGGTCTGATTGGTGTTATAGGGATACCTTACGTGTTGTGCTCAACCTTCCTCCATCGACTATCATGGAATATAAATCTAATAACGGTGTGCTCTCTCCATCCATCTGCGATCCATGTTATTGATGCAATCACAGACTCCATGCAAGATAAATCCTCATTCCGCAATTCCGCAATCGAGAGGATGCCCACCATCGCTGCTGCGTCGTGACAGTCTTTTTTGGTGTCATGGCACGAATCCTGTTCATTCTATCCTGTGTTTTTGGTGTACATGCAACATCACACGAACATAATACTTTCTTGATGTCCTGATTTTCTTATCAGCATACAAGGAAATAATCGAATATGAAACTGTAGCTCGAATTTTGAATTGTAGTAGCAGACAGTTGTAGGGTTTTTTGTGGAACCCGACAAGTACTCCAACACAGATTATTCATTGCTCTCAAGCCCAGCGCTAGCTGACTGAGTAGTGGGAGGATAACTATAATATTTCGGCAATTTTTCGCTGCCACGAAACTCCGCGGCGCTGGCCTCAAGTTCGATCGATGGGATCGACCAATTGATTGTGGACTAGCGGGATCGCGGGCTTGAGCTTGATCAGTCAAGTATCACTGGTACTATGTCCCTCCCCCACAAGAATGAGGAGTACGGTACCGAAGTGTACTGGTGAGTAGCCAGTTATCTGCTTCCGAGAACTTTGATTCACGGAGCAACGTCGGTATAAAGGGATAAAAGATACGAGCAGTATGTCTTTGTCTGCTCTCTTGATGAGTCATGAGATACCGTAAATGATTAGAGAAGCTGAGGATGCCTCTTTTGACTGGTTCAAGACCTATGCGGATGTTGCAGATGTCATCCGCAAGCTCATCCCCAGTAAAGATGCACGCATCCTAATGCTCGGTTGTGGAAATTCGAAGTTTTCGGAGGAAGTGAGTCTTCTTGCATCTGCCATGTAATCTCGCAACTAACACCGTCGAGCAGATGTGGGAAGATGGGTACAAAAACATTGTCAACGTTGACGTACGCCTCTTGCCTTTATGCTGCAGAGGTCTTAATTTACCTCGTAAAGTATTCACCAGTTGTGATCGAGAAGATGCGCAGCCGGCACAAAGATGTGCGCCCAGAGATGACATGTAGTGATTTCCACAGAAAATACCGAAACACATACTAATTATCTGATAGGGGAAGTGAAGGATGTCCGGACTCTGGACGGTCTTGATTGCTCATCCTTTGACGTCGCCATCGACAAAGGTACATGGTGGATTTCAGTTACCATCTTCCTGAATCTCACGCTGTCCCGTCCCAGGGACAATGGATGCAATGATGACGTCTTCCACAGATGTCTGGGTATGTTTAATCAATCCTGACAACGTACGATGTGCCACTGATGTTATTCTGTCGTTCCCACAGGAACCACCAGAACAAGTGATCAAAGACTGTACAGCAGAGGTGTATCAGGTCTTACGGTCAGTCGCTTCACAACATCTTCACACTTTCTGGCCTCACGGGCACTGGCAGCGTACTTAAGCCCAATGGCATCTTCATCTACATCACCTTTGGACAACCGCACTTTCGAAGACGATATCTCACTGGTGCACACGTAACACGAAAGACTTCACTTGAGATCAATCAACTGGGAGAATCTTTCCATTACTACATGTATACTATGCGGATGCTCTGAAGTTTCCGCTCTGCTTGTATGTACTGTACTGAGCACCTACCCTTGACCTACCCGTCCACGCTGCTGCAATAGATTTGGAGTGTGTGTCAAATTAGGAAATTCAAACCCCTGACTAGCGATATTAATAGGCAGTCAAATATTAATAAGGTACTGCTACCTCGCACACAACGTCACCAAAACGTTGGGGTTCACTCTTACCATCACGAGCTCGAGGCTGGTATCAATCTGTAATGCCTATGCATGTACAACGCCATGAGCATTTTTACTTCACTTTTGTCACTTTTTTGGTGAGTCATTATTGAGCGATCTTGCAGCAGCTCATTCTGTCTGCGCTACTAGGTCGAGGACTGCTTGTTCAGAGTACCTCGTGACACCCTAGAGGCGCAGTCAGACATCTTTCGCGATTTATTTCTATTGCCTGTTGATGCCGACAAAGCTGAGGGAGACTCAGACACAAATCCTATCGTTCTTGAGGGCATTCTGAAGGAAGAATTTCAGTCTCTCATGAAGGTCTTATATCCCATGTGAGAACTTATCAGGATGGCTTCATTTATTTGTGACTTTGGGCCTGACGCGTTTGACTTTGTCAGGCCTTTTACCCGTTTAACCCCGTCTCCGGACGGACTTCCAGCAACCCTCGAGGAGTGGACGGGCATACTGAAGCTGTCCAGAATGTGGGGTTTCACCAGCATCCAGGAATTTGCCATCCAACAGATGGAGCCTATACTTGCTACGAGACCTCTGGACAAAGTTGCACTTGCTCAGGATTATGGGGTCACAGAATGGCTGGTCCCGGGTTTGCTGCAATTAGCAAGGAGAGAAGAGCCCGTTGGACCAGAGGATGTACGGAAACTTGGACTGGATACTGCGTTAAAGCTGGCCGATGTCCGGGAGAGTGCACAGTCCACCATACCAACTTGGACTCAACGATATTATATGAATCCCATCGACCGTTCAGTTGATATGCCCGTCATAACTGCGACTGGTCCTCGAGGATCTACTTCATGCGATTTTACCAATCGAATCCGTCAAGTATTTAGTTTGGAGGACTCCTCGGAGTACTAGTGACTCGGATTTCAAACACCAATTTGCATACTTTAGTGTATCCATATGACAGCCCGACGTTACCATTGTACTAGTATAATTACTCACGAAGATGGTGAACTGCGAAGTAGTCGTAAAACCGTACGACTTGGAGGAAGTAATCAATGTTTACATGTCCACGAGGCTCGTTGCTTGTCACAGTGTATGTGATTCATATGATCGTGCTACTGATCAAATTCAAGTTTGTGTCCGAAGTACTCCTAACTCAGAAGATATCGATGAAGACAATCGTTCACTCCTAACATCACGAGGGATGCCTACAGCCCAACATCATGCGCAATTTTACTTCACTTTGGTCACCTTTCTGGTGAGTCATTAATATTATTTGGCCTCCATGCAGCAACTCACTGTCTATGTCAGGTCGAGGACTGCTTGTTCAGAGTGCCTCGTGACATGCTAGAATCGCAGTCGGACGTCTTTCGCGATTTATTTCTACTGCCTGTTCAGACTGGCAAAGCCGAGGGACACTCGGACACAAACCCTATTGTTCTCGCGGGCGTTCAAAAGGCGGAATTCCAGTCTCTCATGAAGGTTTTGTATCCCATGTGAGTACTTATTAGTTACAATGGCTTCATTGATTTGTGACTTTGAGCCTAACGGTGTTTGACTTTGCCAGGACGTTTACCCGCTTACCGTCTCAAGACGGACTTCCAGCAACCCTCGAGGAGTGGACGGGCATACTGAAGCTGTCCAGAATGTGGGGTTTCACCCGCATCCAGGAATTTGCTATTCAAAAGATGGAGCCTATACTTGCTACGAGACCTCTGGATAAAGTTGCATTTGCTCAGGATTACGGGGTCACAGAATGGCTGGTCCCGGGCCTGCTGCAACTGGCAAGAAGAGGGAAGCCCGTTGGACTGGAGGATGTACAAAAACTTGGACTGGATACTGCGTTAAAACTAGCCGAGGTTCGAGAGAGCGCCACACAGGCCACTGTGTCAGGTGAGCGATGGGATTCCGCCTCCGGCCGTTCAGTTAAGACAGTCGGCATCACTGCGACTGGTTCTCGAGGTGCTAATTCGTGCGATTTTACCAATCGAATCCGTCAAGTACTTCATTTGTAGGGGTGATTTCAATATTCTATATATGATAGCCTGGTGGTACCACGTGTTAGTATAATTCCCCACAAAGATGGTGAATTGGTGGTACAAACTGAGATGAGATATCCGATATCATAAGGATTCCGCGAGGTCAAGCATGCGCCATATCACGCTAGAAGAGTCGGGTAAATCGTTCGAAGCATGCAAGCAATATATCGATGACCTACAAGATATGATCAAACTAGTTTCAACGGTTGAAACAGAGGTCTCAACAAATAATATTGTTAACTTTTGGCGCAATACCGACCATTCGAGGCTAAGTTTGCAACGTTTGAGTTGTCTCATATGTGGTAATTTTGCTCTGGTTTTGAGTGGATATTTTGCGATCGCGAACTGGATTGCTGTTGCACTAGCATCTACCTGGAGCCACATCAATAGCTCCTTCAGCGTGCTGTCGCATTCGCGCACCGGCCCATCGTCTGTTCAGACTAGCACAAAGCGCTTGCCCTGCAGTGTTTCCGCGGAGGCGAACACGCCCCCGGATAGAGAGAAGTTCGTGTAGAAGCCTCTGACACATATCTTCCGGAGGGTGCTTCGATAGCTAGGAGCGCGATCTGCGCGACCTGCAACACTGTCAACCCAGTGTGAGTAGATCCATGGAGAGGAGATCAGTGATATGTGTTTGTCGATGCTGTTTTTGGCACTGATAATGTTGGATCAATACCTAGACCCTAAGACAGGTCTCCTATCAGACTGCAGTGCAAATTAGCACGGCTCAACGAAAATTACCCAATGTAACGACCTTTCTCTGAATTATGCTGCAATGCAAGACACTCTGAAGCAAAATTCATCAAAAACGCACATCAAAATAACACCTTCACATTTTCATAAAATCCAACCATCGGATTCTCCCCATTAACTAGCCTCGTCTTCCCAAGGTCTGCATATGTCTCCAAAAACTCTGCATGACTGAATACACTGCTCTTCCGCTCACCAACAGGAAGCCCACTCGCAGACGTCACGCCATCCAGAGGTGAGCGGCGAGCACGGGACGAGAAGAAACCGGCTCCAAGCGAAAGCGGAGACGTGCTCGATGCCAGCGGCGACACTCTTGCATACGAGAGCTCGTCCTGCTCATCCGCGTCGGGCCCCGCCTGTGACAACAAGAACTCGTACATCTCGCGAAGAGCAGTAAAGTCCGTCGGGAACATAATGTCGAACCAGCCTTGCTGCACGAAGACGCTCCCACACGGGATCATCGTTGTTCCAACGCGCGTTTGTACCACAGGGGCGTTCAAGCCTGGCACCGCATCCGGTAGCGACGAAAAGTCTGATAATAAAAGTCGGTGACGAGGAAAGTGCGTACGCAGTATCTTCAGTAGGCTTAGCAGCCTCGTCGGAATGTAATCTGGGGGTGAAAGGTTCGGTGCGAATGGCAAAGATGCGTATAATCTCCGCAAAGATGGCGAACGGAGGAAGCGTGGTAGCGGGGCAGGCAGTGACAGCCGCCTACGCAACGCGAGATAGGACGCGATGTGCGGATCACTGATCTTCGTGTAGAACGGTACGAACTCGCCCACTTCGTCGATGGCCACGACCCCCTGATACGCCTCCAGGGTCTTCAGATCATACCGTACCACATCGTGTGCAAAATTGTCGACCACCTCCGCTGCAACAACATAACATGGCGCGTGTTCCTTGCGTTCCCACCGGAAAACGCTCCGGTTCACCACGTCCACGACCTGGCCATGACCCTGTTGATGTAGGCGGTGTCGTTGCGCCCGTGCTAGCTTCTCGCTAATCTCAATGATTGTATACTGCGTGCGGTCATAAACCTCTGGGTACTGCGTCTTCAAGATATCCAGGATATTCAACGCCAGTGTGCCATTTCCGGCTCCCAGCTCGTAGACCTTGAAGTCCTCGTAAGGGAAGTATTTGAGCAAGTACTCCGACACCAAGCACTGAGCTATCGCCTGCCCATACCATGGCTGTAGCACATTTTAGGTATATATACCAATAACACGAGAAATCGAGTTGCACACCTTGAACAACTCTGTCGGAGTGTGCCATAGTTGCCTCCCGGGTCCATCCTCTTCTCCATTGCCAAACTCCATGTACCTCTTTGCAACGTCGACTTCGAACTCGGCACTGTCTCTATACTTGTTGAAATCAAAGCCTCCCTCAACACCACCGCAGTGCGGAGGTGCAGTGAAGATCGTGGCGCGCTTGCTAAAATAACCGTAGTGCGGGTTGTACAATGAATCCTCTATGAAATCTCGAACTAGCATCCGCACTCTAGTTGGCGGTTTACGATGAGACTCGAGGTCACGCGAGGAAAGCATCGGGTACTTGAGGTGTTTCGAGTCGACAGTAGTGGAGAAAGAGAAATCTGGATTGTAGTTAATTTTGTCATTGTGTTTCGGAGGCGGCTTGTCGTTCGCTGTCAGCGCCGTCGAAGAGAAGTAAACCTTGAGGTAAGTTTGTCGTTGACAGCGTCGGTGATTACATGTAAGTGCGCTGCGAAGCATTTGCTAGTCAAAACTCGTGAAATGGTGCTATGTAGTCACCCTTCAAAAGAGACACGAACGTTCCGTGGGACATCATGATGCACTGATGTCGAGTTGTTAAACTCCCGCTTTCAGTGCATCATATCACTTCTATCGAATCTAATTTGAATCTAATCTCCTTCAACTGCCACTGACTTCCGGTATCGGCTGGAACCAACTACAGTTCGGCGGAAATGGCTACAGCGGAGCGCTTGGTTCGCTCTTGGATGGCATCAGAGAAGGACTCTGAGGTCGACGAGAGCGTTGCTGGTACGCCTTTCGTTGCAAGACGGTATCGGAACTTACACGCATTCTTCAGGAATATCAAGTGGACAGTTAACTTTGTTGGATATTATAAGGGCTCTTGGTGAATTCTTAACATCTGAGGAAGATCGCTTGCGGACGAAAGGTGAACCTGTCAGTCGCTTCCTGGCGTTCTTGTCCTTAGTCCTTGCAGGTGTCGAGTTTCTCTCGTCTGTTCTTGGACGATGCCCACACGAAAGGCTCAATCGCCAAGCTGGTAAGTACAAGTGGCCTCAAGGATGAACTATACTCACTTTCTTTACTAGTCCGGGTGCTCACCACTTTCTACTGCAGCAAGCTTGAAGATCTTGAGACCATCATCCCTGCACTCAATGGTCTCTCTTACCTTGTCAAGTTCCCTAACATACAGTCGACTGAGGTGAAGGATATTCTCAACGCGTGCGTATTTGAACACTTGCGCATTTCCATTGCGTTCAATAGCACCCAGTATATTCGCCAATGTCAAAATGAGAGCCCTTGTGCAGTCCACTCGCTTCTTCGTCTTCTCAGTCGTTGATTCCTTGATCACCGGTCATCGAGATACCCTCAAGGAGATGGGAAATACTTTCCTTGCGGGATACGTTAACCTTGCAGTTGGAGAGAAAGACCCTCGAAATCTTATGTTGGCATTTGCCATCGCTCGAGTCGTACTTGTGGAATTCGATACTTCTTCTCATACTGAGGTATGTTTCGCTATGACGGCCTCTGCTTCATGTCCAATTGTCGCACACAGGATTTCTTTGATATAACGTTCTGCTACTTTCCTATCACCTTCCGGCCACCACCCGATGATCCCTATGGCATCAGTGCAGACGATCTGAAGCAATCTCTTCGGTACAATGACATCTCACATATTCTGCCTTCCGTCTGACGCCACTGCAGACTCTGTCTGAGCGCAACTCCAGCCTTCGGTCTACTTGGAATTCCAGTCTTTCTTGAAAAGCTCACTGCTGGATCACCCTCAACCAAGGTCACTGTCCTGCCATATCATGATATCTGACTGTCAATCTAATACCCTATGCGGCAGCGAGACACTCTTCATGCAATGGCCATTTGTCTTCCGGTCTACGGATCTGCTGTGTCGCACGAGTTTGGGAAGAAGATGTGGAGCTCTCTCAAACTTGAAGTAAGGTTCCGTTCCCTTGATTTTTGGGCACAACGTTACGTGAAGTCAGATTTTCCAACCGACTGATCCAGATACCGAACAATCAGCCCTTGATACACTTCAGGTCCTTGTTAGAACCATTCATGCCGATAAATCTCAAGACGCAGTAAGCGAGGACTCTATCACGGGCCTCGCACGAGACATGTGTAACGAGTGCATGCAAGCGTTGAAAGAGCCCGAGAAAGCCCAAGCAAGAGCCGCAATGAAGGTTATATGTGCCTTTGCAGGAGCTGATAGTGAGCATGATCACACTATATAGTGATATAGGCTGAACCTCGACAATTTCTCATTCACCAGCACCGCTTTCTAGTTTTGCAGTCTCGCGAGCCGCTGAGCTCCTCATCAGAAGTTTCCATGACCCAGATGAGGTGTCAAACCGGGCACCAGTGGTTATGTTACTCACGGAGTTGATCGACGCCTGCCGGGGTGACGCCACGCATGCCTCCGTTCCTCAGTCTTCTAGCCCATCGTCTTCCCCACTCATTGATTCGAAGGATGCCCTCCTTGGTCTCCTCATTGTCAGCCTGAAAGCACCTGCGACATGCCTGCCAGCGCTGCACGGTATAACCGCACTTGTGCGCACTCCCAATGTAGTAGCTGATGATGAGCTTGGATACATAGTGCTTGAGGTAAGCGAGCTGCTACGCAAGGAGGCTGACGAAGTAGAAGATGTGACGTATGAATGTTTCTCACCATCTACGATGTAACTACTAAGGCTTATGGTTTCAGCATGGACACCCTTGCCCTCCTTTCTGTCATCGCTGGCATTGCGCCGCACCATCTATCGTCGCAGACGCTCCCGATCCTTTTTTCCTCCCTCCCAGATGTTACTCCATCTAGGGATGCCACTGTGCAGCGCGCATTATACTGGCGGGCCCTTTCGTCACTCAGTGCCCTTTGTGTGCAACCACAACTTTTCGAGATCCTAGTTGTCAGGCTCATCGCTAAACTTGACCTCCTCTGCGCAATCTCGCCAACTCGGACAATTGAACAGGAGAGCACAGCTGCGTATGCCCATGCAATTCTCACCGCACTCGCAAATACACTCGATGCCAAAGTCTCTTCGAAAGACGTAGATGTACCCAAGTACGCCGAGCAGTTATTGCCGCACATGTTCAAATTGTACTTGGATGCCGCCCTAGCAAGCTCGGAGGTGGTGGCTGTCGCTGCAGATCCAAGGCTATTGCAAGTTGGGGCGAGGATTATCAGGCTTGTGAGTCAGACCTTGAACACTGCGTGAGTCTCTGTCTTATCTCTGGGTGGATGACGTTGATCAAAGTGGCAGACGGCAAGAGAAACTTGTTGCTGCTGTGTTTGCCGCCTACACGCAAGGTGACGTGAAGCTGATCACTAGCGGTCTCTTAAACTCGACCACATCATTCGCACCTCTCCATGTGGGTGCAGACCTTCACACTCCCCTCACATATGTAACGTTGACTCTGATCCTAGTTCAACGCCAGTCCCCGACAACGGAACAGTTTCACTCTTTTCTCTTCTACCATTGTCTCATTACGCAAGGAGGTATGTCGCTTTTCAATCTAATTTCCTGTACTTCTATAAATACCACTTCAAGGTCCGCATGCCTGTCGACAACTTATCCACTTTCCTCTCCGAACTGGTCGCATGGAGTGACAACCCATCTAGTACAGTATTCCAACGAGAAGCTGTATTGCATGTTCTCGCGTCCATTGTCAACAAACATGTTGACGGTATCTCATCATATATTTCTCATCGTAAATTAGACTAATCACTTCTCTTCAGATGCACCTGACTTTCTGTCATCCCAGCTGGAGAGCTACTCGTTATCAACGCTTAAAAACACGAATATCCCGACGGAAGCACGAAAAAACGCGATCAGCACCTGGGTTTCCGTACTTGCCTTCTAATTCGCATCCTATTTTACGCTGACATCTCTCTCCAGGTCACAAGGGCGCTCCTTGTGCGCTCACATCCCTCCGCAAACGCATTTATTGACCACTTGTTCGAGCTTTTGGACGACAGCACAGTCAATTGGGACGCGGCACGAGCGATTGGCTTGCTTGCAAGCGAAGATACCGTATTGACGAAGCGCAATAATGCCGTTCTCAGGGTATGCAAAGAAAACCCAGTGGAATCCCAAAAATAAAGGTTGCATTTTTCTAGATCCTACATGTGCAGAAGTACTTCAACGCAGTGATGCCCCGGTTGCTAGAAGGAGCCAAGGGTATGTCAGGTGTCCATGCTTCCGATAATAAAACACATTTCCTATTTGCAAGGGTCACGAACAGATACTGCATATTTGGTTGCTTTGGCGTACCTCATCAATGCTGTACCGAAGGCGGTCTACGTTACCCAGATGCCCTCAGTAAGTGGTGGTTTCATTCGACTACAACATATTAGTTGGCTTTCTGACGGTATTTCTTTAGCTCATGCCTATTCTACTACGCGGACTCGACCTCGTTGACCCATCCATTCGTTCACACATTATTAACACACTATCAAACAATATTGACATTACATCCGCTGATAAGGATGCTGTCTCGATGTATGCGTCGACTCTGGTGCTTGCCATGCTTAAAAATAGCATGTATTTGGAAATGCCAGATCCTGTGCGTCGTTCATGCGTTCATTATTTTTGCTCGAAATGCTCAATGGCCAAAGGGAGTACGCGCAGCGGCGCTCAAATACTTGGCATTGCTGCCAGGCACTGTACGATATGATTTACTGCATCCTTATAAGACGCGTGTATTGAAGGAGTTGGCAACGATTTTGGATGACCCTAAGCGTGCGGTGAGGAAGGAGGCGGTTATCGCAAGGTATGACATGATGGTCTTTTCGGTCGTCCACCCATTAATCATAAATCAAACAGGACGAACTGGTCAGTTTCTGTGTGAGCTAGTACATCCAATGCCGGAACTAAGTTTTTTTGCCAGGTACAAATACAACGGGTAGGTGTGATAATACCTTGGGTGGGGCACGTTAGGGGGTCGTCAAAATACTCCTTAGCTAGAGCGAGACTGCCACCTTGAGCGTCAGAAGGGTGGCCCATGACCCTGGTTATGTCGCATGTGATGCGAAACCTAAGTAGAATCCAGCAGTGTCCAATCGCCTTGGGTACTGGGGTACCGCAATTGAAGTACCAATTTGAAAAATTCCACCCAGTACATCGAGTGTTATAGCCGTGGATTATCCAGGCGGCATGTTGCGGGCAGAACTCATGCAAAAGTTCTGCCAACCGGTTTGGCAGTGCTGCCAGTGATACTATAGAGTCACGACCACGCTGTCAAGCGGAACAAGTTAAGGCTGTCATTTGAGTCACTCACGAAGATGATTCTGAGAATAAGAGGCCCTGGGCCTGACAAGGTCGACTGAGTGATGAGTGCCCTGTTACCCTTAAGCTCAAATCGACATTGGTATACGACTTCTCTCCGAACCAATGGAAACCACTCTTGTGACACAAGTAACGGGAACGAGAACGAAAGCTAGCATCTAAAGTCAGGTCATGACAGAGCAATTAGTTGTGAAGTTGAGCTTGAGGATCCTGGCGGCTGAAAAGGAAGAGGGGGCCTGAATGGAGCTGGCACGGGTGGAGGACTGAGGCGGAAAGAGTAAGTAATTGACCGCTGCCAGTGGATATGGCATATGCATCGGATGATGAACACAACACTGCCGCCGAGTGTGATGACTAATCAAGCCTATCGGAGTTTGAAGAACTTGGTGCGATCAAACACTTGTGTCGAATTTGGCTTGCCATTTCGCAAAGTATGTGGGTAAGTCTCGTCGCCATCGCTTCTCAAGTAGAAGGAAAACTGACTAGTCATATAGACTGAACATCGAAATCCTGAGGGAAGAACATACTGGTTCAATACTGGCACTCGCGAGAGTGTCTGGGAGAAGCCAGATGGTGCGTATCGAGCTTTTGTCCGTCCTGACCTGCACTAAATGTGCATTGATAGACTTGAAGACTCCATTTGAGGTGATTTAACATTCTGCTCTCTATCCGTGTGCTCCCACTCACTTGTCTCTTCAGAAAGCTCTAGGCGAGACAAAATGGAAAGAATATTTCTCTGGAGGCAGGAAGTATTATTATAATGTATGTGCAACGATCAATATCCTTCTCATCAGCGTCTAATCTACTACAACAGACCGAATCCAAAGAATCAAAATGGGATATGCCAGATGAGCTCCTCCTGCTCCTTGAAAAAGTCGAGAAAGAGAAACAAAACAGCCAGCTTGTAGTTGCAGGCTCCATTCCGTATGTCCATAGTGTCTCTTTACGTTCTTTCCTGACCATTTCATCACAGCGTTCCGCCTGCTCCAATTTCTGCTGCGGCAGCCCCAGCGCAATCTGACGGCACCGTAGCCCTCGCAGGCTCGTCTGCCGCGCTCCCCTTCAGTAACACAGGCGTTCTTCCCGCACGGCCGAACCTTCCGGATGACCCTGCCATTCCTCACAATGGTTTCGCCACCTTTGAGGAGGGCGAGAAAGCTTTTATGCACCTCTTGCGCAAAGCAGGCGTAGACGCGGACTGGACATGGGACCAGACTATGCGCACCATCATCACAGATCCGTTGTACAAGGCTCTCAATTCCCTAGCTGAAAAGAAAGCCAGTTGGCAGAAAGTGCGTATTCCCCTCTCACGGTATAACTTATTGCTTAATTTGTTGTCCATCGTGGCATGGGCAGTACACGGATGGTCTGCGTCAGAAGGAAGAAGAAGAGCGTGAAGCACGGCTATCGAAGCTCCGCCCAGCAATACGTAACATGCTCAAGGGCAACCCAAACGTGTTTCATTACACTACATTCGCCACTGCCGATAAACTGTTCTCGCAACACCCCATCTGGCAACAAGCTCGTATCGAGTCTGAGCGAAAGCTCATATTTGAGGAGTACGTCGCAGAGCTCAAGCAACGTGAAGTGGTGCGTCTTTGTCCACTTTCCCCATCGTGAATGCAATCTCACCCACACTCACATTTACAGCAAGAAACCCGTGCTGCACGTACGCGTGCGATATCCAAAGTCGTGTCTCTTTTCAAAGAACTCGATGTAGACGTCCTCACACGTTGGCGCAAAGCCCACGAAATGGTCACCGAGTCCCCCGACTGGCAGGCTGACTCCGAGCTGCGCAAGCTCCCTACGCTCGACATCCTCCTTGCGTTTGAGGATTACTCGCGTGTCAAAGAGCGCGAGTTCGAAGAGCAGATGCGCCGTGCACAAGTTGAGAAGACGCGTGAGGAGCGCAAAGCCAGAGAGGGTTTCAAGGGACTGCTGCAGGAGCTCGTGGCGGCTGGCAAAATCAAGGCGCGCAGTAAATGGCGCTATGTTTACCCGACTTTTGCTTCTGATCAGCGATATCTCAATATGCTTGGCAAGCCTGGATCGAATCCTTTGGAACTTTTTTGGGATGCTGTCGATACACTTGACCAGAAACTCGATGCCAAGATCGCTGTTGCTGAGGAGTGTGCTAGGCGCGGCGATGACCCCAATGCCATGGACGTAGTGAAAGGCGATAAAGAGAAAGAACATGTCAGCGCGGTGAGCGTGCACACGACATTTGAAGAGTTCAAAGCTCGCGTGAGAAGGGACCCTGACAGCGTAGGCAAGCTAGGGGAAGATGATTTACGCGAGGTGTACGACACGGTGTGTTGCTTTTTGCATGTATGTATCGAGAGTACTCATGAGGTTGGTAGGTCCATGACCAAGTCGTGAAGAAGCAGAATGAGGTTCAACGTCGCACAGAGAGGAAGCAAAGGCACCTACAAGATGATCTTCGCTACGCGATGAAGAAACTTCCTGAGCCGCTTGACATCACGTTATCCTATGAAGCTGTGCGTCTTTCGTGTTCTTTCCCTGACATCATATATCAATTTAAATCCTCACGCAGGCTGTTCCTCTCATTGAGAACCTCCCGGAGTTCAAGGCCCTGGATGACGACGAGGGTCGACGTTCAGCCTTTTCAAAGTTTGTGAAGCGGCAGAAGGAACGCATGCGCGAGGCTCCATCGGAGGATGGTGCTTCAACCACGAGTAGGCGCCGCAAAGAGCCTGAGCGCGAACGTGAGCGGGATCGTGATCGTGACCGCCGCGATGACCGTGACAGAGAGAGAGACCGCGAGCGAGATCGTGAGCGTGACAGGAGCTCCAGACATCACCATCGCGAGGACCACGATGGGTATCATGGGCGCGACAAGGACGGGCATGGCGAGCGTGAGCGGGAAAGGGACCGTGAGCGTGACAGAGAGAGGGACCGCGAACGTGAGAGGGAGAAGGAGAAGGACAGGGAGAGAGATAGAGACAGAGACAGGGATCGCGAGCACAAACGGCATGCTCGAGACGAGCGGGATGGCAGGGATGAGCGCAAGCGTAGGAAAGGCTCGAGAGAGCGTGGATATGGACGGACTGATGCGCCTCCATATGGTGAGGAGGAGGAGGCTGACCATGTAGGGGATAAACCCGAACGGAGCAGAGAAGGGAAGCGGGGCTCTGATAGGGCGCATAGTGAACGTGCTGAAAAGCGTGCTCGCTATGACCCTGACATAGATTCCAGGGAGGAGCGCGGGGAACGATCCCGGAGAGCGGAGACACCTGAAGAAGGGGAGATATGATACTAACTTCAGGCCATTGTTTCACGTAGTTTATCATGATTAGGGAACAAAATAATATAGTTCTGCTACTGCTATGAATCTGAAGGCTCAGGGAACTCGATGGACCCTATGCGCAGACGAGTGTATGGGTGCTTGTTCCTGATTGTCTTCTGGTAACCCTTTCTACGCTTCTTCTTAAACACCACCTCCATTTTGCCCTTGGTATGCTCGACAACGGTAGCCGCAACCTTGACGCGACTTGGGGATATTACTGGGTCTCCACGAAGGGTGTAATCCCGAGAGCCGACTTCATGTATATCCTGCAACGCCAATACGTCGCCCACGCGTACGTCTTTGAGATGTGGAACTGTGAGCAAGTCCTTGGGCGCGAGGAGGTATTTACGTCCCGCAAGAGATGCGACGATGTACTGCGAAGGCTGGGAGCGGATAAGTGAAAACGCGGCACTACTGTTTTTCGGGAGCGCTGCCTGCATCGACATCGAACATGACGCGACTAAAAAGCGTGTCAAATAATACAACAAATATGTAAAAATGACTGACCGCGTCTTAGATTATTTGATAGCCAACTGCGAATTTGCCAACTAGCCATGGCGAAATGAAGAACAGCAGGCTGTTTTCAAGTAAAGACTTATGTGACAGCGTGATACTGTGACACGGAGAACTAGTTTAGTCGGAGATTTAAATTAAGTCTGTTCCGAGAAATTCCTTTAACACCGACTCTGCTCGTTCCTTCTCATCCAACTCTTTCCTGTCGCGACAATGCACAGAATCGCTCTCCAGAACTCGGCGCGCAGAGCTGCCTTTGCTGCTGCTCCCAAGGTCCTTTTCCTGCTTTTCCCGTTCAATTTGATGCTCATATAACTTTTTTATGTTCAGAACGTCGCTGCACTTGCATCCCGGTCATATGCCACCGCAAAGCCTGGTGCGTACTCCTTTGTGGTGTCTTCTGCTGTGTTTGACGTGTATTCCGAACTTCCGGGTGTTATTCATTTTAATGCACGTTATAAACAGCCGCGTCCGAGGTTTCTTCGATACTGGAGTCCCGTATTGCTGGTACCGCCATTAGTGGAAATGTCGAAGAGACTGGTCGCGTCTTGAGTGCGTAGTCACGGTGCTCATTAGCTATCTGTGGGTCTCATAGTATCTGCAGGCGTCGGTGACGGTATTGGACGTGTCTGGGGTCTCAAAAATGTCCAGGGTATGTCGTGACATTCGACCATTCATTCTACCCAAATGACCTTGTTCGCAGCCGAGGAGATGGTGGAATTCTCGTCCGGTGTCCGCGGCATGTGTCTCAACCTGGAAGCTGACAATGTCGGTGTCTCCATCTTCGGTAACGATCGTCTCATCAAGGAGGGCGACACCGTCAAGCGTACTGGTCAGATCGTCGATGTTCCTGTTGGCCCTGGCCTTCTTGGCCGTGTCGTTGATGCTCTCGGTAACCCAATTGACGGGAAGGGTCCCATTGAGGCTGCTGAGCGGAGACGTGCCTCCCTCAAGGCTCCTGGTATCCTGCCCCGTCGTTCCGTCAACCAGCCTATGATGACCGGTCTTAAGCCTATTGACGCCATGGTGCCCATTGGTCGTGGCCAGCGTGAGCTTATCATTGGTGACCGTCAAACCGGAAAGACCGCCGTCGCAATCGACACCATTCTCAACCAGAAGCGATGGAATGACGGCAAGGACGAGGAGAAAAAGCTCTACTGTGTCTACGTCGCTGTCGGCCAGAAGCGTTCAACTGTTGCTCAGCTTGTCAAGACCCTCGAGGAAAATGACGCAATGAAGTACTCCATCATTGTTGCTGCTACCGCCTCGGAGGCTGCTCCCCTGCAGTACCTTGCGCCCTTCTCTGGCTGTGCCATGGGCGAGTGGTTCCGTGACAATGGCAAACACGGTATGCTGTTATTCGCTTCTTCGGGCAAACCCGGTACTGAGAAACAAGTTAGCCCTCATCATCTACGATGACTTGTCGAAGCAGGCAGTCGCTTACCGTCAAATGTCTCTCCTTCTCCGTCGTCCCCCCGGTCGTGAGGCTTACCCTGGTGACGTTTTCTACCTCCACTCCCGTCTCCTTGAGCGTGCTGCCAAGATGAGCGACAAGTTCGGTGGTGGCTCTCTCACTGCTCTTCCCATCATTGAGACCCAGGGTGGTGATGTCTCGGCTTACATTCCTACTAACGTACGTGATATTGGCACAGTGTGACATATGTATTGATCTTTATTTTCGCATATAGGTTATTTCGATCACTGATGGCCAAATCTTCTTGGAGGCTGAGCTCTTCTTCCGTGGTGTGCGTCCCGCCATTAATGTCGGTCTCTCCGTGTCTCGTGTTGGTTCTGCCGCCCAGACGTTCGTATTTTATCGTGTTTGTCGTGTATTGTCCTCACCGATTATCTCCGCCTACAGGAAGATCATGAAGAAGTTCGCTGGTTCGCTTAAGCTGTACCTTGCTCAGTACCGTGAAGTCGCTGCTTTCGCCCAATTCGGTTCAGATCTCGATGCTTCAACACGTTTCCTCCTCTCCCGAGGTGCTCGTTTGACCGAGCTCCTTAGTAAGCAGCCAATGTTCGATGATCTAAAAATATCGCTGATGAGTCTTTTAATAGAGCAAGGCCAATACCAGCCCCTGCCTACCGAGATCCAAGTGCCTATCATCTACGCCGGTGTCAACGGTCTCGTGCGTAACCCATCTATTAAGCCTCACATCGGTTACTAATCTCTATCACGCAGCTTGATTCCATTCCTGTCGACAAAATTACTTCATGGGAAGCTGAATTCCGTTCACATCTCACTGCTACCCAAAGTGCGCTCCTGGCAGAGATCGAGACCGGAAATGTCACCCCCGAGATGGAGGCTAAAATCAAGAAGGTCGTCGAGGATCACGTCTCATCGTTTACTTCTTCGTAAACTAGATATTCCTGTCCATCTACCTCGGTTTTTGTTGTAACGGGCACGCATTAAAGTCCCATCGCGAATACCATTATTAATTTCGCAGCGCGATTGTGATATTGTATGTAAGTCAGCATAATGAGATACAGGGCCTGTAAGTGGGGTACATCGAATTCGCAAGAGTTCGCAACATAATAAAGTTAACTTCATTCTGCGACTCCTGTCTCGCTGTCATCTTCATCATCATAGTACTGGTCATCTTCGTTTTCGTCCATGGAATCCTTGAGCTAGATTACGTGCTCCGTCGGTATTACTGTTCTAGGAAGTATAATGAAGACTCACCATCTCTAGTAGTTCATGACACTCGTTCAGGTGTGCCATGACGATACCCTGTCCTTCGGGAATATTTCCACCTACGCCCACGAATCTGCCGTCTTTCCGCATGGAGTCGATCTGGTGCAGTGCCAATTGATACTATGAAAGATGAGTTCCCGGATACCAAATGAATCAAGGGACAACCCACGGGGTAGAGGTCCCGAGGCGTAAACGGACCACCAAATTTGTATACTTCATTCAGACACTTCTTCACTGTGGATAGTTTATTGGCCTGCGTGCGATGAGAACCAGGGTCGAGGACAGATGAGATAAAGACGCACGATGGGGATGAGCTCTTCGGATACCGGCTCGCTCGACGATAACAGACGGTAGATGAGACCATAACACCGTCTCAGCAAGTACAGCAGAACCTGTGAAGGTGTGTGAATAAATGCACGGGCGTTAACATCCAGGCACCACTCACATACTGTCCTGGTGGCCTATTACCCTCTGTATCGACAAACTTGCCATCAATACGCATCTTGTCGATCTCGTGCAGACTCATTGAATAATTGTAGAGATCTGTCTCGCGGAGACTCCATCTGTGCGTGAGGACGAGGTTCTCGAGTTCCGCGCGCAGTTCGTTCAGGCGGTCGTGAATCGGCTTGAGAGAAGACGCTACGTTCTTTGACTCATCCTGCGCTTTTATTTGCTGCAAGATGTCAAAGCATTCCTCCAGAAGAGAGGTACAAAGTGCTTGAGAAGCAGGCATTGTTCCTCCTGGCCCAAGGAATTTTCCGTCGACGCGTTTACTGTGGAGGTGAAAGAGAGGAACGATGTAGTTTAGTCGATGGCGTGTATATCAGAGGCACTCACGAATCGATCTTGCGCAGTTCCTCAGCCAGAGATTTTATCTCGGCTTTATGTGAACCCTCTTTGGCAGCCACCGCGACGAGTTGTCTGCGAATCGTGACGAGGCGTTCGTGAATGGGAACCAGCTCTACTGAGAGCACAGACAGTGAATCTTGGAGTGATCGCATGATAACATCTTTAGAACCGCAGCATGAATTACGCGACTTCAAAAAGGATATTCGGAGATGAATACGTACCACATTCATTGAATTGGCGCTCCAGGAGCTTCGTCATAGCTTCGGGGTGCTTACTGCTCTCAGCATCTTGTTGTACTATGTAGCGGAGCTCGCCCAGTCTCCGTTGGAAAGGGGCCAGGTCCGATTCATTGTAGACCCCCGATTCTTCCATATGACTGAGGAATTGCTGTGTATGACAAATAGCGATTAGTACGAATCTTCATACAGCAGCCGAATGTCTGAGGATATGGAGACGTTGGGGATGCGGTGGACGATAGCCGGCTGGGTCCCCACGACGCGAGGCGCATATCATCCGCAATGAAATGGTAGAGAGAAGGAATACTGACCCTCATGGAGGCCAGCTGCGAGTACACAGCGGGGCACTCCTTCGTTCGCCCCAATGTAAGATAACACAAGGAAAGAAGGCTGAATACATCAGCCAGTGTTGTGTCTACTCGATTGTTGTATGTCGTGTTGTCGTCTCGGACATCGTTGAGTTTTGTGACTATCGGGGAGGGATAACCAAAATGAGATAAATAATACCTTGAAAGAAAGAATTAGATCCACCTTGTTTAACGACGGCCTGGTAAAGGGCATTCACATCTGACGGCTTGATAAACTCCGCACGGTCCCTCTTCAGGGCAGTAAGCCGGTTCCGTATGCTGCGGTGGGCAAGGGTTCGTTACACGAGTAGCAATAAAAGCGCGCACTAGACTTACTTGATCACGGCCTCGAGGATCGGCAGTTCTGAGATATAAGAGATCAGTGAAGCTCGGGATCAAAGTAGCATCTGCCACTTGCCCTCTTGCGCGACCGGTGCGCTCATCGGTAATTCACGGTTCTTGTCCGTCGTCGAGTACGTTGGTAACTGATTGTATTTCTTCAAGGAACAGAGACGCCAGCAAGCCAGCTTCGTCTCAAGTTGCCCAGATTTGACCCATCATGATCGGAAAAGGCAAGTGCTTTATGGTCGATTTCATGTTTCCCACGGCATCATCCCATTTAAGCTGACTGTGGCTATTGGCAGTGCCCAGCAAAGTGCCAGTTCAAGTCAGTTTGTCCCCTCGTTCACCACTACCATCGTCTATTCCATCTGCACGACCATCAAACACAATGGAGAAGATTAAAGAGGTTGGCGGCGATCCTTTGCGCACATCCGATCTTACTGAATGCGCGCTTGTAGAAAATGAACCAGCTGCGCTTTGAGGCAGACAATGCGGTCACTCGCGCTGAAGATGCAGAAGCTAAGAACAAGAAATATGACCAGCTTATCCTTGAAAAGGATCAGGAGATTACTTCAATGACTCACAAGATATCTGTTCTTGAGGCGGAGCTTGACAAGGTAGACGCAAAGCTTGCGGAAGCCAAGGCTTCACAGGAAGAGGGAGAATCTTTGAAAAGCACAAACGAGAACCTTACGAGAAAGATTGCGCTACTAGAGGAGGAACTTGATGCTGCTGAGAAGAACGTGAAAGAAACGATGGAGAAGTACGTTGTGACTACCACCATCTTTATCTGTTATCAACGACTGATCGCCTGTTCAGACTGCGGCAAGTGGACGTCAAGGCAGAACACTTTGAACGCCAAGTTCAACGAATCGAGCAAGAGCGCGATCAATGGGAGAAGAAGTTCGAGGTATCTTGGTGTACTTTGTGCTGTTAGAATGCCAACTGACACTCTTGCACAGGAAATGCAACAGAAGTACAAGGCATCCCAGGCAGAACTGGACAACATGGTCGCCAACATGGAGTCACTGTAATCCGTCTCTTCTGGTCTTCTACGCTCTCCATATAGAGCTTCGATCTTGGCTATCTCACATCACAGCCCGCACAATGTGCTCACGACTTTCTACACGACATTCTCATAATTCTTCTACCAGGAATAGTGTCTGATTATTTAACTGAATGAACTCTTGCCGGATCTTGTGGCTGATCGCGCGATTAGTATCCTTTGTCTTCAGGAAGTTTCGTTGTTGAAACGTTAGGGGGTTCGCAGTCATGATTACATAAGTTGTAAGAGACATTGATTTCATTGGCACGGGACTAGGCGCGTCACATTTCCTCTCTACTGCTCACACTCATCCATCAGAATGAACCCATGATGAGGCAGGCGATGTGCCACGTAGGATTGTTTGTGCAGCTGATATTCACAAACTCGTAGACACCGTGTTCTTCGACCTCCAGGACCATAACAAAGGAACAGACATATTGTTTGCTACTCATTGGGCTTTCCAAAGACGAGACGGCTATTTATATCGACTGCGTGGAGCGATATCGAGCAGCCGGTGTCCAATGTCACTTCCCTTGATGAAAAGCCATTCTCCATTCTCCATTCTCCATCCCCCTCAACTTCATCAACAGGTGGGACCAGTGTTCTCGCTCGCCGTCCGAGTTTGTGTATCTTGTCTTTCTCCATTCGCAATCGCGTCCTCGGTTATTGTCCGACCCCGTATTCCTTTTCTATTTCCTGTGGCTTACTTCGAGTGGTACTATATTTAGTTCTTCCTCTTGGATCTCGTTCGTCCATTTGCAGCAGTGCATCTAATGCTCCGATTTGACTCATCATCTCCAGGTCGTATTTGGGACTGAGTGGACGTTCTGATTAAGGTTGGCAGCTTCTAGGTTTATCCATGCAAAATTCTTCTCTTCTGCTCTGAAGCCACAAAAAGCAATACTGAACAGAAATTGAGCTTTGGTGTCGAGATTCGGCCCGAGGGGGGGGGGGGGGTTCAGGTCCTCTTCCCCGGGCGAGATATTGAATGAATTTAGTTTCATAAGTGAGAGTGCGCCATCGGCCTGCAGTGGTACATGTATATTGTGTCGGCGTTATAATAATATTCACAGAGACAGTGCTTTATTCCTCTTTGAAGTTCAGCGAGACGGAGTTCACACAGTGACGTTCGTCGGCTGTAGATATTGTGTAGGCCCATATCAGAAATATGCAAGATAGAAAGGGACGCACTTGGTGTATCGAATCCTTCCCCCTTGAACACGTGTCCGAGGTGACCACCGCATGCAGTACAGGTAATCTCTATCCTGGTCATGAACATCGTCCGATCTTCATGCCGACTGACGGCACCAGGGATCGCTATAATGAATCATGAGAAAGAAGATGGATTTCCCAGAATGAGAAGTTACCATCAAAGAAAGCGGGCCATCCGCAGCCACTACTAAACTTCGTGCTGCTCTTGTAAAGTGGTGTACCACAGCCAGCACAACCGTACACGCCCGGCGCGTCATGGTGGTTGTAGCTCCCTGTATCGGGTGCCTCTGTTCCCTTCTGACGTAGTATTCTAAACTATCTCCAACCCAAAGAGTGAATATATGCCCAATGTGTAGATCAGAGGACACACCTGCTCTGGAGACAAGATGGCACGCCATTCGCCTTCAGATTTGGAGTTAGCTCCCATATGCATGACGAAGGAGGATTGATGGAAATGAGATTTGAAAGTCAGGAGCGAGGCTCTTCTGATGTTGGTGAAAGACGCAATAGACCTGTGATACCGTAGTAGACGACCAGGGAAATTTGTGGTCATATGGAGGTGCTGGCAATGGCTGAGCAAGACGCTTACAATGACGTCAGGTGACCAGCCGAAAATGGTCAGGAAACTTAAAGTAATAAAGTCGTTGTAAATTCCGTGTTTCAAGTTTCAACCAAGTTTCAACATTGCAGCCATGGCCGAATCGACACTTTCACTTTTAGCTCACACCACAATTCAGACTTTTTCTGAGGATGGCCTCCACTTCTGCTGCTCATCCCCATCTTCGTGAATTCGAGACTTGGTGGAGGGATCTCCACAATTTCCTGGAAGAAAAGGGCTACAAGCTACGAAGTCGCTACACTCCAGACTGGGTGCCTTCTTGGACGAACACCAACAAGATTCCCATAAATTGCGAGGATGGAGTCAGGTCGCCAGTAGGTGCTACATGTCTTTAATAATATAAATGTTAATCGACTATCATGCGTCCTTCAGATCTCTCAAATGTTGGATGCACGGCGTACTCATGATGGTACTCGTGTATCACTCAAATCTATAGACGTGTCACGGCATCCTTATGAGATAGAAATTGGTCGTTATTTATGTAGCTCACCTCTCAGAGAAGATCCCGCCAATCATTGCGTGCCAATTTACGACGTCCTGCAGGTGCCCAATGACGATCGTGAAGCGATCCTGGTCATGCCGCTACTTCGAGATGCTACAGATCCCTTCTTCGACACGGTCGGGGAAGTTGTGGATTGCATCCACCAGCTCTTTGAGGTAATCATTTGATCCAATGACATACGTCCATCGTGATTTATGTATTTCTTTTTTGAAGGGGCTGCGCTTCATGCACAGTCATCATATCGCTCACCGGTGCGCATCCTGTAAAGGCTGCGTCGAGTTCGAGAGGGAATTGTTTAAATAGCGTCGAATTACGAATATGAGGGAAGGCTTTAGTTGAGACGGATAAGGACTTCTGAGTGGTCTTTCTATGATGCTTCTTGGAGCGGTGAATCAACGGGTGAATTCTGCTACTGTAACGAGTGCACATTCGTGGTATATAAGTGTTTCGAGCCGAACGATTAAGCCGAGAGTCGAGCAAGTAGCATGTGGAAATGGAAAATAAGTCGGCGAAGGACGGTGATGATGGGTTTCGAGCATATGGTACAGTAGGTAAGGAGAGTTAAGAAGGAATGTGTCCAGGTAACTCGGATGCGAAGAGTTGAACTCTTCGCATCAGTGAGTCACGTGGCTGTGTTCGAACTTGTCAGTTCGAACGCCTTGTTTGAGACTGGCGCGGTGCGTAAAGGATATCATATCCTTACATCACCCTTCCACTTTGAATATCGACCGTCCGCGGTCGATCTTCCAACAAATAAACTAAATGAAAAAACTGTACTGTAGGGTAGATAGTAGAGAAAGTAGATTAGAAAAAGAATAAAAGAAATGATAACGCATCTGGTGCTATTCGTTGATGAGTCCTTCGAGAGCTTGAGGGTGTATGAACTGCGTGACTTCCAGCGAAGTGGGCGAACGCGGGTGATAGGGTATAATGCGGAAGGCGGCAAACTTCAGTTTAGAGAGGGATCCATCAATTTCTGAGAGGCGGTATGATCCTCCAATGGTGCGGGAGACAACTACCATGGGTCCAAAATATCGAGGCTTGCACTTGGCGTTAGACGCTGCTTCGATCTTTTTATTGAGGACTAGTACGAGATCCCCTGGTTTGAAGGCGTAGTCGAGAATGGTGTTGGCAAAACGACGCTCAAAGTCGCGGATTGACGCGAAGCGGCTTTTGAGGAGGCGTTCGTGGGCTATAGTGAGGTCGGGGTCACGTTTAGCTAACTGGCAGGCACGAAGCGCGATTAGATCCGATGTTGGAATGAGGGTGGATATGTCCGGAAGCATGAACGTTGCGTGTACGAAGTCGAGGGGGAGTAAAGGTTCTACACCGTGTGCAAGATAGAATGGTGAGAATCCAGTGGACTTGCGAGTGGTGACTCGATCTGCCCAAAATACGTGGTGCGCGAGAGTCGGCCATTTGGTGATGTCGCCGTTACACGCCTTGACGAGCGAGTCGCGAATGGTGCGATGTGATCGCTCTACGATGCTGTTTGCCTTCGAGTTGTACGCAGATATGCATATGTGCCGGATACCGTACTTGGATGCCAACCAATCTAAGGCTGCGATGAAGGGCGTCCCGTTGTCCGTAACGATCTCTTCGATTCCTCCCCATCTACACAGGATCTCCTCGAAAAAAAATGCACCCAGGGTGCGCCCAGTTTCTGTTCTTAGCATCCGGAATTCCGGCCAATTGGACAGTGAGCACCGTGCTTGAACGATGTAGGTAAATCCGTGTGACGTCGGCATGTACATGGAGTCGGCGAAAGTCTTGCGGAATAGGGGAGCGGGAATTGAGACGGTGGGTGGAAGAATAACCTTTTCAACGGAGCGGATCTGACACTGATGGCAGGTCTTGAGGTACCATGCGAGGTCTTTGTCAAGTGAAGGCCACCAAAAACGGTCGGCGATTGTACGACACGTGGGGTAGAAGCCTCGATGCCCGAGCTCGTCATGGGTTTGTTGGAGAGTGCGAACGCGATCAGTGCCGAAAAGCACGAGCTGGTGGCGACCGTTCGCGTCTTTTCTCCAAAGACGATTGCCTTGAGCGAAAAACTGGGCAGCGCGTTTTGTGATGCGTGCCCGATCTGCGATTGATAAGGATGATGGGAGTGATAATGATTCTAGGTAGGACAAGATAGTGTGCAGTTCAGAGTCGCATTTCCGGGTGGAATCGTCTGAGGGGATTGCGGATTCTGGGGAGGGAGTAGATGTTGTTGCGTGAACGGTGGTTGAGGTGGGTGTGTTGATCTGTTGAAAAAATACTACCAAGTCCTTTTCTACCCAAATCGTGCATCCCAACACTTCGTCCAACCACTCCTCTACTTCTTCAGAGGTCTCTTCTAATTCTACATAGTCCTCTGGGGCTGCTGGTCGTCGCGAGAGTCCATCCGGTCCAAGGTGTCTAGTAGCAGGTACGTGGCGCAGTTTAAAATCAAAAAGAGAAATTCCCGCTAACCAGCGGTTCATAGCGGCGTTCGGCTGTATGTCCGGATGACTAATCATCCCCTTGACGTACTTGGCATCGACTTCGACTGTGAAAGTTTTGAGGCCGATGAGCCATACCTTAGCTGCGCGAAGGGCCCTAAAGAGGCCGTATAATTCGAGTTTGGCTTGCGAGTATCGAGCCTCCCGCTCGTTCCATGTTATTGATCCGAAACGCGCTGGTCGGCGACGACCATTATTGTCGAGCTGGATGAGAATCCAACCGCATGCGAGGTAGGATGAATCGACGGCTAAGATCACTTCGTTAGGGGATGTGTAGCTAATGGGGCGAATAGCGGGGGAGATGAGGACCGCGGCCTTGAGTTGATCCATAGCGTTCTGGGCCTCGTAAGTCCATTCGAACGGAACGTTCACGCGTGTGAGGTTGGTTAGAGGGTGGGCGATGGACGCGAAGTCCTTAATCCATGTACGAATGGTGCCGACAGTCCCGAGAAACCTGCGTACTTGAGTTTTCGTGGTGCAGGAGGGCCAGTGCGTGATTTTAGAAACCTTGGTCTCGTCGGGGATGCGTCCGTCATACGTACAGCGTTGCCCAACGACGAGAACCTCAGGGACGCAAAGGAATAATTTTGAGGCCGACACTGTGGCTCCAGCGTGCTTCAAGCGGTGCAGGACGCGATTTGCGTCTGCACAATGTTCCCAAACAAACCTCCTGATTCCATCGTTTTCGGGAATGCGTTCATGCGATCCGTCCGGTAATTCATAGCGCGTGTGGGGTCCCAAGACATTGACGTCATCTTGAAAGTTAGGGGCGATTTCGATCTCTGCTTGGAGAATGAAGGCGACGTCGTTTTGAAAGACCGCGGGTGAGTCTGTCCATCCTTGAGGGAGAACGGTAAGGCAATATGTACCAAGGGGGGTTTGGAATGTGGTGATGTCGCGTGACTCTTCCGCTAGAGCTCGATGGTCAAAACCTACAAATAAATCCATCATTGAGTAGATAGAGCGGCCCGCGCATTGTTCTGCAAACAATTCGACGTAGGGCATGGTCGCGGCGTCCTTTACCGTGACGGAATTGAGTTCTTGAAGGTCGTGAACGATCCTGACAGCACCGCTCTTCTTGGCGACACAGAACCAGCGTGATTGGTACGACGAGTTTGATGGCTCGTAAACGCCAGACGCGATTTTCGACTTGATGAGCTTGACGACTTCGTCCTTGATGCCAGGAGGTATGGGAGGTTGGCGGTGAGTCCAGGGGGTGTGCTCGATGGTGGGGATGACGACTGGAGGGAAGTAGTCGTCGCGAAAGCGACCTTTCTCCGTTTCGTCCCAGGCGAGCGCAAGCTCGTTGTTCATGAGAACGTGCGCGGCGAGCTTTCGTTCTTCTGGAAGGAGGAACGTGTTCTTGAAGATACCGAGGTCGTCCATGCGGCTTTGGGTGAGGCGAGTACCGGGTGTGAAGGCAGGAGGGGTAGTTGAAAGGGGTGGAAGGGATGCAAGGGGGTTTTCTGGGAAACGGCGGATGATGCGCGCGTGTGCTGGCATTGTGGTGGCCACAGGCCTCACCTTATTAGCGACCTTTTTGTAGGCGAAGGAGCGTCGGATTGGGTCGACGTCGAAGTGCGCTCGGAGAAGGGATTCCGCGAAGAAGGAGTTGGAGAGGCGGGAAATGGGGGTAAAGGAAAGTTCTGGCAGGTTGGATGGAGGTGGTACTGGAACGGGCTCGTGTTTTGGTATACCGGGCGATGATGAGGCTGGGTACGTCGATGTAGAATAACTCGGCGACGGCGTGTCTGGTATTGTCGGTGGGGTAATATACGTGCTGGGTGGAGGGTATGCGGTTTTTGGTGGAGAAGGGTAACGATGACCATACGATGGAGTAGTCGCCAAAGCGGTTGGAGGTTTTTGCGGAGTAGATAGGGCTGAGGATAGGGGATGTTTGATGGCATGGTAGATGTTAATGGAGCTGGTTGGGGGAATTTGCGGAGTAGATAGAGCTAAGGATGGGAAGAGAGAAGGGAGAACAGAGGAGAGTGCTGAGGCTGTTAATGCGAGGGAGGGATGGGGCCAAGGACGAGGAGAAGTTTTGACGGTGCGAGTGTTGCTGGGATCCCGTGGGTCGTGAACTGCAACGTGAACGTCGTCAGTATCCTCAGCTTTGGAGAGATGAACCAAGCGTTGCCAAGGTCGTCCTAAGAGAAGACGGTAGGGAGCTTCTGGCACCACATATGCATGGGCCCAAGTCTTGATACCTTCCACGTCTATCTCCAACATCTCCAGGCATCCAGCCATCTCCTGCGATCCTCCGTTAGCGGTCTGCATGCGCATCCGTACGTCTTGGTTGATGGGGGCGTTCGTCTTTCGCCAGACGTCTTCTCGAATGACCACGATTTCGGAGCCTTCGTCCAGCAGCGCGAGTTCGGAATGAGAGCCGTTTAACGTCACACGAATTTCGCGTAATGGAGTTGCGTGTTCGATGTTCAGGGGGGGGGTGGTGGTTGCTGCAACGAGGGGCTTTGCTGTGGGTGAGATGGCCGGTGCTGGAACGCGCTGGGTGCGGGAATGCTCAACCGCTTCCTTTCTCAAGTCTGGGCTGATAGCCAGAAGGTCTGATACTGTCAGGTGCGGGATGGCGGTGTTGAGGATTGCTTCATAGAGCCGTTTTGCTGCGTCCGGAGAGGTAGCCTTAGATTCGTATCGAAAGGCTGGTTCCTTCTTGGTTTCTGTGCTGACAGGAGGCGCGGTTTCTACAGGTGCTGGTATGGAGACGGAACGTGTTCTAGGGGTAGTAGGGGGATATACAGGCGCTGGAATCGAGGCGGAAGGTGTAGAAGTGGCTGGGGAATATACAGGCGCTGGAATCGAGGCGGGACGTGTGGAGGTTGTGGTTTCTGATGGGTTTGCGGCCTTCGATTTAGATCGGGTGATGGCGAGCGCCTCAGCAGATGGCTCGTCCTTGATTTCTTCTACAGCCAAGATCACCGCGTGATTCTCGGCTACCGGTTCGCACTGTAGAAAGTACAATTCTGATATGAAGGCGGAGGAGGGGATTTCTTGGGGCGTTGATTGCGATGGGGTTTCTCGTCGGGGGTTTTCGATGACGATGGAGTTGGAACCAGTGGCAGGAGTAGCAGGATGGGGACACGCGTAGCGAGCGTCGATGACCTGTTTGAAGGTCTCGTCTCCATATCGTCGTATACGCAATCAATCGGGGTACGCGAAATACTGCCCGTCGCGGATGATTCGTCCTGCGCGCAGATAGTCTCCTGCCGTAGAGCAGGTGCGCAAAACATGCGGTCCTCCGCAGAAGAAACACTTTGCATTCTGGGAGTAGATGGAAGAGGAAGGAAGGGGGGGTAGGGGAAGATATGGCAGCGTTTGAGAGTTTGGCGCTGGTGAGGGCGTGCTGACGTTTTGACGGGACTTGGGGGGTGCCCATGCCTGTGCAGCTGCAGGCGCTAAGCAAACGAGCCGGGTGTAGCAGCCTGAGTAGGCGACATCGCCGATGTCGAGGCCGTGCATTCTGCGTGCCAGTGCTTCCACTTCGTCGATAGTATTCTTGAGGGGAGCTGGCGGAGGAGGCGTGAATGAGACCCGTTTAGTCTGCACTTCCCTTCGAACATCCTTTCTCTCTTCTTCGTCCTCTGAATCCCAGGGGGCGGCGGTTTTAACTTTTGACGAGCGACCCTCCCGTATGGTTCGAATACGGGTTGCTATAGGTTCATTGAGGTCAGCATCAAACGCGTCGTCTGAAAATACGAAACGCCCTGCGTTGAGTACTTCCTCAAAGTCCGTGGCTTCCGTTCGCGAGTAGTTTGGGTCTTTGAGTTCGAGCCTCCTGTCAATGGCGCGTCGAGTGACGGCAGGCAATCCTTGCCAGAAATAGCGATCTCGTTCGCGTGTAGATATCTTCCCGTTCGAGACAAGCCAGTGCGCGACGGGACGGAATTGTCGGTAATACTGCAAGAGTTCCGTTTCTGTCGATATTTCGTTGTCTGCGTTGTTGATGACAACGCGTTCTAGGTCGCGGATCATGTATCGCTGGCCTTTGGCCGCACCCGAATACTGTGCTACTATACTGGCTTTGAAAATGTCATAGTCCCGGCTTTCATATCCGGTGAGCGTTACCCAAAATCGTTTAGTCTCGATGTTGACGTATCGGACTATCATCTTGCATTTGTCTGCGTTGGTAAGCGCGCACGACGAGGCCAGGTCTTCGAATAACTCGAGGAACTCGAGTAATTCGGAAGTTTCCCCGTTGAAGGAAGGTGCTTTGCTTGATCCGGGTCCCGGCATGGCGCTGATGCCTTTAGCGGTTGACATGATGAATGCTGGTTGGGAGGGTATAGGAGGAGGTACGGTGGAAGGTGGAGGTTTTACGGGTTGCGGGAATGCTGGCGCGGGAGCGTGAGGAGGAGGTGCGATCGCAGGTGGGGGTTTTGCTACTTGCGGTTTTGCTGGCGCTGGAGTGTGAGGAGGAGGTGCGGTTGTGCGAGGTAGGAACTGAGGTTTGGGGATGGGGTGTTCTGTCGTGGTAGCAAGCGTTGTTGGTTCTATGGTTTCAGAGGGGATTAACGGGAGTGTAGGCGTTTCTGGATCGAATACGGCCGGTCTGAGGGTAAATGTTGGCTGATCAGTTATAACTGGGAAGGGGGATTTTGTGCGTGGAAGGAGGTTTATGGTGTCGTCGTCTGAGATGGACGATTCTGTCGGTCCGTCTGTTGAGTCCTGGAAGGGTCTGGTGCGTTGATCCAATCTAAAACGTGTTGGGGTGATAGCGGGAGCGTCGAGAAACGGATTGGCTGTGGAAGAAGGAGAGGTACTGAGGGCGTTGTACGTATTGGCCCTGCTTCGGCGTTTCTTGGTCAAGGTGTTCTTCGGGGAGGCCAGCGCAGGTGGCTTATCTTGTTGGAGGCGTAGCTGCGCGTTAGGGTGGTAGTACTTAGTAATTGTGATAATTTTAAGTTTGATCAGAAGATCAGACTTCTAGAAGAGAAAGATCAGCGGATCAAGGATAGATCAACGGATCAAACTCGGGGTGCAAGGGTAGCTCGAAAGCAATTCCCCTCGCGGTGGGCTCCAAATATGTAAAGGCTGCGTCGAGTTCGAGAGGGAATTGTTTAAATAGCGTCGAATTACGAATATGAGGGAAGGCTTTAGTTGAGACGGATAAGGACTTCTGAGTGGTCTTTCTATGATGCTTCTTGGAGCGGTGAATCAACGGGTGAATTCTGCTACTGTAACGAGTGCACATTCGTGGTATATAAGTGTTTCGAGCCGAACGATTAAGCCGAGAGTCGAGCAAGTAGCATGTGGAAATGGAAAATAAGTCGGCGAAGGACGGTGATGATGGGTTTCGAGCATATGGTACAGTAGGTAAGGAGAGTTAAGAAGGAATGTGTCCAGGTAACTCGGATGCGAAGAGTTGAACTCTTCGCATCAGTGAGTCACGTGGCTGTGTTCGAACTTGTCAGTTCGAACGCCTTGTTTGAGACTGGCGCGGTGCGTAAAGGATATCATATCCTTACAATCCTTTTTGCTCGTGTAAATTGTTTCGTGACCTGGACATAGTGACTGTATGCAGCTGAACATAATGATGGACGGCAGTATGTTCATAGATGAATGGCATCCAAGCGACCACTATATGTCAGAAGACCTCACACGCCCGGCCAGGCACCGTACGCGCACGCAGTCTCCGCCACGATATTACTACATAGACTTTGGTATCTCTCGTAAATATGATGCATCCAACACCAACCCGTTGGAATTACCTATATATGGTGGAGATAAAGAAGTGCCAGAATTCAAGGAAGACTACAGCAAACCTTGGAACCCTTTCCCGACTGATGTTTGGTATCTTGGGCGTGCTATTCAAGAAACATTTCTCGACGTAAAGTGTCACTGTCGCTTTTCATTTTGCATAATCTCATTTGGACAACAACAGCGCTACACAGGTGTGGAATTCCTGAGCGGTCTAGTATCAGACATGATGCACTCGGATCCAGCACAACGCCCGAACATGGACGAAGTTTTTTCTCAATTCCAGGTTCTACGCCAGGGCTTTAGCAGCTGCAAATTACGTTCTCGGGTGGCTCATGATGAAAAGAGATCTGTTTTTCATTTCCTACTTCACTGGGCCCGTCGCATTCAGTACATTGTACGCAGGATTCCCCCAACGCATACCTCGCTGGCATAGAGCGGGTTTCTTTGTAACCAGTCTCCTACAATGCATGAGTTTTTTTCTCTGTTCTTAAGTCCTCGCATTCACAGAGTGAGGTATCGCGCTGACTTCACGCCGCATGCACAGCGTCAGATGCAATCGTCTTTTGCATCAAACTCACAACGACGTCAGGTGACCGGCCGAGAAAAGTGATACTCAGGTTATTGATTTACGCTTCACCTGTCCCTGCACCAGCGAAGCCCAACACCTTGTCACTTGTTTCATCCGCTGCGCCTGATATTGTTGTTTCACAATTATTGTTGTTTCACAGTGAGTTACCCACAATATTTGTTTCAGGTCCTTCGTAGGTCCATATTTGTCTTCTAATTTCGACTACTTTTACTTTTAGTTCACGCCACAGCTCAGGCAGTTTTCTGAGCATGGCCTCGACCTTCGATGCTCTTTCTCATCTTTCTGAATATGAGATATGGTGGAGGAGCCACTACAACTTCCTCGAAGAAAAGGGTTACAAGCTACGAAGTCGCTACAGCCCAGATTGGGTCCCTTCCTGGACGAACACCAACAAAGCTGACATAGACTGCGAGGATGGAATCGTGCCACGAGTAGGTGCTTCAATAATAGCAGTGTGCATCAATGACCATGTATCCTTTAGCACTCTCTTGTGCTAGACGCACGGCGCATTCAAGATGGCGCTCGCGTGTCGCTCAAACGTATAGACGTATCGCGACACCCTTGTGAGATAGAAATCGGTCGTTATTTCTCTACCTCCCCTCTCAGCAAGGATCCAGCCAACCATTGCGTGCCAATTTACGATGTTCTGCAGGTGCCCGCCGACGATCATACTGTGATAATTATTATGCCGTTACTTGCAGATTTTACGGATCCCTATTTTGACACAGTCGGGGAAGTTGTAGACTGCATCCACCAGCTTTTTGAGGTAAGGTCTTGTTGATTGACTGATTATGACTTGTTTATTTTTGCTTTCTTTTGAAGGGTCTGCGCTTCATGCACAGTCATCATGTCGCTCACAGGTACGTGTTCGAGTTGTTCTAATGACTTGTCTCATGGCCTGGGCTTAGGGACTGCATGGACCTAAACATACTGATGGATGGCAGCATTTTCATAGATCCATGGCATGCATTCGACCAGTATATGTCGGAGGACTACAAGCGCGTGGCCAGGCACCGTGCGCGCACAAAGTCTCCTCCACGATACTACTACATAGATTTTGGTATCTCCCGCAAATATGAGGCGTCCAACACCAACCCATTAGAAGAGCCCATATTCGGTGGAGATAAAGAAGTACCCGAGTTCAACGAAGACAACTATAAACCTCGAAACCCATTCCCAACTGATGTTTGGTATCTTGGGCATGCCATTCAAGAAATATTTCTCGACGTAAAGTGCAACAGTGCCTGCTCATTTCAAACTCTGATTAACATAAAACAGCACTACTCGGGTGTGGAATTTCTGAGCGGTCTGGTATCAGACATGATGCACTCGGATCCAGCACAACGTCCAAACATGGAAGAAATTTTCTCTCGATTCCAGGTTCTACGCCAGGGCTTTAGCAGCTGCAAATTACGTTCTCGGGTGGCTCATGATAAAGAGAGATCTGTTTTTGATTTCCTAGCTCACTGGGCCCGTCGCATTCAGTACATAGTACGCAGGATTCCCGCAACACATACCTCGCTGTCGTAGAGCGAACTTATTTGTAACCTGCCCCCTGCAATCCACGAGTCCCATGTCTTCCTTAAGTACTGATGATCGATGATCGCTCGAGCGCGCTCTGGGATTACAACATCTCAACGGCGACAAGCGCCAATCCCCGACTCGTTTTGTTGGAGTGGCAAACGCGCCGTAGTTACAAATACAAAATGTACAAGGAGTAGGCTTTAGTTATAAAAGACTACACTTTAGATACACTACTTTGCTGAGAACTGAGGAGAATTGAATGTGCCAAAGATGATGATCAGATCTAGCCGGGCTCAGGAATCCAAAAAATTGTTTCAAAAATCGACTTGCTACGCTTGTATCCCCAACATCAATGAGAGGGAAGGTTCCTCCAAAAGTCGCGTGTCAAAGAAGACTTATCAATGGCTTAAAGTCCCAGTAGCGCTCGTCGTCTTGACCACCAGCCTCCTTTCTGTAAGCACGGTCCATGACGAGCTCGAGTGTCACAGCCGTTCCTACAGTTGGTGGCGAAGGAGCAAAGATTCAAGTCGTGCGGCAATCACTGTGGGCCTTGCATTCCCAGATGCTCATGGATGACAGCCCCTTTCCCTATTGGCAGCCTCGCGAATTATAGCTTCTCGTTCTGTGCACAAGGATGTGACTAAGAAACGCCAGTCAGGTCTTCCGAATGAAAACAGCGTCTTCGCCTCAATAACTCGGCCTGGGGACTTGAGTCTGCGAACGTAAATGTGAAAGATAAGGTAGTTACCTTGGGATGGCCTACGTCTGACTCGACACCTCGTCATGTCTCTTTCAACGCTCTTCGAAACGAATAACTTAAATACATATTACGACGAAATATGTGCCAAGACCCATGTTTCCTTGAAGTCCACTCTGCAACGCTAAGCCAATAAGTACCACAACGAAACTTGTAAATCAAGAAAAAAAAGCAAATTCTCTTGCTCCCTGCTGAGCACCAGACTACCGTTAACACCATCAAGCATCTCCCATGCTATACGTCACTGCCAGTCGATATATGCACGCGGGCCTGGAAAGCGATTGAGGACATGCCGGTTGCTGCATCGGAGTCAGCCAGGAGCCGAGCGTAATGTTCTCGAACGCTAAGGATGAGGCGTGGTCCGAGCACAAAGAACTGTATGACTTGCGAAACCTGAAGAATACCAATAAAAACATGAGCTTCGATGGAAAATGGGTCCTATGGAAATGATGAACCGCGGTCGCATGCAGAGGTCAGTGACATATTGCCATACCGCTAAGACTGTTGGAGACAAATCAACAATGAGGTTGAAGCAAGACACAGCAACAAAGCTAGCACATTCAATCATTCAGCGGAAAATGGAACCATATTCACAATATGAGCTCACCTCGCAAAGTAAAGCACGTGGGATTTGATCAACACCGTGAAGCAGTCTTCAATTATCCCTCCTGCCGACTGTTGTCGCAGTTCACGGAAGTGTTTTACAGCAATCCAGACTGCGAAACACAGCGCGAGGACCTCCCAGACAGCGCCGAGTATCCAAGTTATGGAATTCAGAAGTGGGAAATTGCCTCCATAGACAATGATGCACTCATGGGTGCCAGAGAGAATGAATTCCTCTGGAATTCATTAATAAGCCTCATGCACGCTTTTCATTCACAGTTAAGTGTACCTCCTGAAGTACGCATCGTTTCCATTGCCATGGCCACTGCGTCGAAAATGTTGATAGCCAAGGACACGACAACGAGAAATATCAGGATCCTTCTGGATCGTTGATACATGGCATGTAACCGAGTGATCATGATGACTGCAACATGTTTCGGTCAAGTCAATATCATAGGTCTTGTAACTGCACAACTCACCACACAGCATTGGAGCTGCCACAATATTCATCCAATTCCACACGAGGAACAGAATCCGGCCTAAAAAATCCGGTTAGTGATGGGCCTTTGGTGGATCACACACTACAAACAGACTCACATCTGTAGCAGTCATGATAGTAAACGAAGAAGCTAGTCAAGAATGACACTCACCCCTACAGGGCGTCGCGGTTAATTGAATGGGAATAGCAGGCATCAGTGCAGAAGACTCACTGCATCTGTCAACAAGATCGTAGGAACATCGGCTGTATGCAACTGGTCAGAAGAAACAAACACGGTGAATGCGAGAAGACATACCCAATATGTTCAGGCTGTATGTGAGAGATGGCTGATTAGCAGAACAACAACTGTTAAGCCTTCCGAACATACAACGTATATAATATTCCAAGATAGCGCACCTAGGATATTTTAAAGTCAGCACAAATTCACAACAGGCAAACTACGTACACTGAGATAGAGAACGGTCATCAGGGACCAACGTTGTCTCTGTCACAAATCAATATTGTTCTTCTGACGTGGAACTGTGCCCACCCAGACCAGTTCGACCTACAAACCAAACTTAGCGAGATGGCTGCTCCGGTCATAGCATCAATATACCTCTTGTCCGAACGTAAGGGCTGGAAATACTTGTGGGAAATCAGCAATTCTCTGATGTTATCATGCTCACCCCAATCATACGTCAATCCAACAAAGGCGGCAACTGGGACACCGCAGTCAAGGTCAGATCAAGGCATCAGCGCTGAAATCTGACTGCTCTTCACGAACATATAAAATAGCTGTTGATACGCAAAGAGTTGATGAGTGGCCAAAAACTAGGGTCGTCTGAGACTAGGGTCATACTGTTAGATGATGGATGTGAGGGAGCGGGGAACTTGGTGGACATACAACAATGATATTCGTGCTAGATATACCACCACCCAGTTCTTGCATGAGATCAAGGGATGATATCCGTTCCTGTGAATGGATAGGTGACTCGCGTTCAAGTTGTTCGTAGGGTAGGGACGTGGATTGAAATAACGCCTGTGCTTATGTAATCAGGCAATGAGGCGGAACACTTGAACACCGCAAAAGATGAAAGAACGTAAATTTCAGCTGTTCGTGATTCGTCACCTTGTTTTCGAGATGTTCTTGTTACACAGCAGTCCCTCATGCCAAAGCAATCAAATCGTAACGGCGACAAGCGCCAATCGGTACAACATCGATGAGCCAAAGATGATGATCTGACTTAGAACCAAAATTCGAAATCCATACAAACAGAGACATTCCGATTCCGATATTCGCACACGTACGCTCCTCTTGACAGGGTTTTTGACCGATCAGCCCTGCCAATGGCTGCCATCAGTGCCGGAGTTTGAACTGATGGCTGTAACTCTTTTGTACACTCTGAATCTGGGATAAAACGTCGTACTGCTCGTCACCATCGTCACGGCTTTCTGGCCCTGCGAGCGCATCCAGAAACCCACGAATGCCCAATCAATGATATATAACTGATACGGTACTGCCGACTAGACGTAGTGAACGCGCTACAACCTGCAAGTCCATTGATATAGTGGCTGATTGGTATCAGTATGCCAATTAGATGAAGAGCTGACCCCTATTATCATCATTAATCGACAGCGAACATGACAAACCTTAGCTTTATCCACCGCGACCTTCAATGTTGTTCCTGGAATTGCCAACACCGTTATTTGTAGGTCCATATATTTGTTCTCTTCGTTTCACAAATTTTACCTTTAGCTCCCACTACAACTCAGGCAGTGATGGCCTCGACCTCCGATGCTCTTTCTCATCTTTCTGAATATGAGATATGGTGGAGGAGCCACTACAACTTCCTCGAAGAAAAGGGTTACAAGCTACGAAGTCGCTACAGCCCAGATTGGGTCCCTTCCTGGACGAACACCAACAAAGCTGACATAGACTGCGAGGATAGAATCGGGTCACCAGTAGGTACGATAATAGCAGTATTCGTCAATTACCATGCGTCCTTTAGCATTATCTTGTGTTAGATGCAAGGCGCATTCAAGACGGCGCTCGCGTATCCCTTAAACGTATAGACGTATCGCGACACCCTTATGAGATAGAAATCGGTCGTTATTTCTCTACCTCCCCTCTTATCAAGGATCCAGCGAACCGTTGCGTGCCAATTTACGATGTTCTGCAGGTGCCCGCCGACGATCATATTGTGATAATTGTTATGCCATTACTTCGAGATTTTACGGATCCCTATTTTGACACAGTCGGGGAAGTTGTAGACTGCATCCACCAGCTTTTTGAGGTAAGGTCTTGTTGATTGACTGATTATGACCTATTTATTTTTGCTTTCTTTTGAAGGGTCTGCGCTTCATGCACAGCCATCATGTCGCTCACAGGTACGTGTTCGAGTTGTTCTAATGACTTGTCTCATGGCCTGGGCTTAGGGACTGCATGCAACTAAACATCCTGATGGATGACAGCATTTTCATAGATGCATGGCACGGAAGCAACCAGTTTATGTCGGAGGACCTCAAACGCGCAGCCAGGCATCGTGCGCGCACGAAATATCCTCCACTATACTACTACATAGATTTTGGTATCTCCCGCAAATATGAGGCGTCCAACACCAACCCATTAGAAGAGCCCATATTCGGTGGAGATAAAGAAGTACCTGAGTTCAACGAAGACAACTATAAAGCTCGGAACCCATTCCCAACTGATGTTTGGTATCTTGGGCATGTCATTCAAGAAACATTTCTCGACGTAAAGTGCAACAGTGCCTGCTCATTTCAAACTCTGATTTACATAAAACAGCACCACTCGGGTGTGGAATTTCTGAGCGGTCTGGTATCCGACATGATGCACTCGGATCCAGCACAACGTCCAAACATGGACGAAATTTTCTCTCAATTCCAGGTTCTACGCCAGGGCTTTAGCAGCTGCAAATTACGTTCTCGGGTGGCTCATGATGACGAGAGATCTGTTTTTGATTTCCTAGCTCACTGGGCCCGTCGCATAGTACATAGTACGCAGGATTCCCGCAGCACATACCTCGCTGTCATAGAGCAAAGTTCTTTGTAACCGGTCTCCTACAATGCACGAGTTTTCTGTCCTTCAGCCTGAGTCCTCACCTTTATAGAATGTGAGGCGTCACGTTGATTTCCCGCCGCACGCTTGACTGCACCGCGTCAGATGTGGTTGTTTGTTAAGGTGCTTACCGACGTCTCCCGCACTTACAATAACAAAACACTTGACACCCATTACGTGGAACGCTAAGGACAAAGTGCCATCTCAAATCTGATTGGTCACGATGATTGGTCGCTCCTGAAGAATACATGCTATGCTTTCCATAAGGAGCACCCCACGAGGATGGTTCTTGGATGCTCACGAAAGCCGCCAAATCTCGAAGAGATCGGTATCTCATGTGCCGCAGAGCTCAACTGTAGTTTAAAGGGTGCCGCACGCTCGGCCGTTAAGATTATGATTGCCTAGTGCATGAAAGACAAACTCACGGTGTTTCTCAAGTATTCTCTATTGGAGAACAACGCTCATTCATAAGTAGCCATATGTGGAACAAAGAGCTTGAACTGCAGATCGTGATGCCATCATACGGCATATCAGTGGCACTTTGTCCTCCTGGCACCCATACGTCAAAATACTTGACATACGCTAAGGACAAAGTACCACCCAAATTCGATTGATCACGATGATTGGTTGCCGCTCCTCAAGAATACATCCCCAACATCATGAATGCTATGCTTTTTAGCCTCGCGGAGTAGAACCTGGGATTACGACTTATGACACTTCTGTGATGCATCATTGCCGGAGTTTGAACTGATGGCTGTAACTCTTTGTACACTTTGAATCCGGGATAAAATCACTAGAACATTCATCACTACCGTCACGGCTTTCCGGCCCTGCAAGCGCATCCAGAGACCCACAAACCCGATCAATGATGAATTACTGACATGGCACTGCCGACTACATATAGAACACGCTACATCCTGTAAATAAATTTCATTGAAACAGTGGCTGATTGGTATCAGGTTGCCAATCAGATGAAGAGCCGGCCGCTATTATCATCATTAAACATCGCGCGATGACATAGAAAGTGAATATGACAAACCTTTATCCACCCCGACGTTCAATGTTGATCCTGACGTTTCTGAATCAAAGGACACCACACTTTGAGTGATATGGTAATTATTCCAGATGATCGTGCAGATGGAGCTAGGAGACGACGGTCTGCTTTGTGAGGGCCGGGGTTTGACTGAGATATCAAGAAATTAGATTATATCATGAGTGATGATTTTAAAAACACACTGGTTTGGTCATCATCATCATCATCTTCTTCATCTGCTTGTTGAGATTTCGCTATTCGATTAAACGTCTCAAAGGCCTCTTGCTCTTCTTGTTCACCATGTACCTCTACGTTTATGCCTCGGATGGTTTCGTCCGGAGGAAGATCATTGACTGATCCACTACAGGTGAGATATGGACGAGGAGAAAGAATTATGGAACCAACCTGAAAAACTCCCTTTATCACAAAGGTGATTAGTATTCTGTTATAGAAGGTGGAGATGATACATACCTTCTACCACTTCACACGGACTCTCTTCGCAAACAGAGATGTCGCCTTGTGCGGACTCCCCGGGGCTTCCCGATGCTGGTCAGTAGATCGGAGTCAGCAAAGGGAACTCGCTCTTTCCTTTTGACATACTAAGGATATCACTCTTATTCGGCAGCAATCGTCTAGCCAGGTCTTCTGAAGTTCTCTGTGTTGTTAATCAGCTGGCATTCTAATTGGATGCCTGTTATGTAGGAACTAGTCGACTTACTCTGATGCTTGAATAAGCCTCATATGAGACTTTATAGAACCGGTGGGCATCCGACTCGCCGCGGCGGTAGAAAAGGTTAACAATGAATTTGCGAAAGGTTTTCTTCTGTGTCAAAAGTTGGTCTCTGATGTTTCTCGCTCTGGGGGAGTGGGTGAGGAAGGCCTTTTGGCTAAGTGAAAAAGCGTACTCGTCATATTGACGCTGGCCAACAGTGTAAGCTCGATTGTAGGTAGCTTGATCAGCTGCTGAGAGGCGATCATTTTCTAATAAGTTGGCCAGCTCTCGCAGGGCTGTCAGCGATAATTGTAGATAGTGTTCTCCCTTTTCGTGATTTTTCCGGCCCTTTAGCTCGATAACGGTCATGGGCGAATTCGCAAATTGGCTCGCATGACCTAAGGGCGTGGTTATCCGAATTGTTGTTGAAGATTTTGGGGGATCCATTGGTTACAACTGATAATGAGGGGGAGATGGGTGTAAGGTGTCGCGCCAACTGCCCTGAAGACGTTAAGTATAAATAGGTAAGAGAACAAGACTGTTTCCCCCGTAGGAAGATTATGGGAACTTCATCATGATGGCGATGGCAGCTCCCGGTAGCCCTGAGACCTGATTCTAAGCCTTGCAAGTCGACCAAAAATCTTACATACGTACATAAACCTGGAAATGATTGCAATAGATAGAACAATGCAGAATGTTTCATCGTTCGGACAAAAGTTTCCTATCATGGTAGATATGGGTTGCAATTGGTTCAAGGGGATACATAAGTCAAAGCTTTGCACTGCAAAGTTGTTGCAAAGGGTCACCTAGGGTCACGCGCACGATGGGGATGCAACAAAGTCCGCGAAGTGCCGGGGTCCGAATTGCCAACAACGTTATTTGTAGGTCCATATTTGTTCTCTTACTTTCACAACTTTTACTTCGCTCTACAACTCAGGCAGTGATGGCCTCGACCTCAGCTCCCCATCCCCATCTTGCTGAATTCGAGATTTGGTGGAGGGATCACTACCATTACCTCGAAGAAAAGGGTTATAAGCTACGAAGTCGCTACAGTCCAGATTGGGTCCCGTCTTGGACAAACACCAACAAAATCGACATAAACTGCGAGGATGGAATTTCATCACCAGTAGGTACTTCGCTAATACCAATATCGTTGATCAATTACCATGCGTCCTCCAGCACTATCTTCTACTGGATGCACGGCGCATTCGAGACGGCGCTCGTGTATCACTTAAATGTATTGACGTAACGCGACACCCGCATGAGATAGAGATCGCTCGCTATTTCTGTAGCTCGTCTCTCAGAGAAGATCCAGAAAATCATTGCGTGCCAATTTACGACGTTCTGGAGGTACCCAATGCCAAACATCTTAAGATACTGGTCATGCCGTTACTTCGAAATGCTGCGGATCCCTATTTTGACACAGTAGGGGAAGTTGTAGACTACGTCCACCAGCTTTTCGAGGTAAGCTCTTTATTCACGAGTTTATGCTCCTCATGACTATTTTTTTTCCTTCAAGGGACTGCGCTTCATGCACAGGCATCACGTCGCTCACAGGTAATGTAACCAAGTTGCTCGGTTCGAGTGGCTAATCTCATAACGTGGATCAAGGGACTGTATGCAACTGAATATACTGATGGACGGCAGCATGTTCATAGATGCGTGGCATCCAAGCGAACAATTTATGTCGGAGGACCTCAAACGCGCAGCCAGGCATCGTACGCGCACGCAGTCGCCGCCACAATATTACTATATAGACTTTGGCATCTCCCGCAAATATGAGGCATCTAACACCGACCCATTGGAAGACCCCATATTCGGTGGAGATAAAGACGTGCCCGAATTCAAGGAAGACAACTATAAACCTCGGAACCCTTTCCCGACTGATGTTTGGTATCTTGGACATGCTATTCAAGAAACATTACTCGAGGTAAAGTGCAAAAATGGCATCTCATTTCTCATAATCTGATTTTGAAAAAACAGCGCTACACAGGTTTGGAATTCCTGAGCGGTCTGGTATCCGACATGATGCACTCGGATCCAGCACAACGTCCAAACATGGACGAAATTTTCTCTCGATTCCAGGTTCTACGCCAGGGCTTTAGCAGCTGCAAATTACGTTCTCGGGTGGCTCATGATGACGAGAGATCTTTTTTCGATTTACTAGTCCACTGGGCCCGTCGCACTCAGTACATAGTACGTAGGATTCCCCCAACGCATACCTCGCTGTCATAGAGCGGACTTCTTTGTAACCAGTGTCCTACAATGCACGGGTTTTCTGCCCTCGAATCCTCGCGTTCATAGAGCGAGGTATCGCTCTGACTTCACGCCGCACATTTGACTGTGCGAGGTGCCTTGCATCAACCTTAGAATGACGTCAGGTGACTAGTTACAACCCCTGCAACAACTGTCTTCAAGGCTCCGACAACCACAACGGGCCTTCCATATTATGGTCCAAGTGCTGACAAGTATTGAAGCGCAAGACATTCGACTCAAGCCCGCGCATGCAATAACGGATGCGTACATCCCATGCTGGGCGGAGGGTGCTCTTTCATTCCTACTTGCCTGTTTGTCCCACAAGTGCTAGGACCTGACGAACATGTCCAAATTGCTCTGCATCTTCCGCGGTTGCATCAAGCTTTCCTATACTGAAGACGATCCCGAATCCGGATACTGTTTTCATTCATTCTCAGTCAATTTTTTTCCCTTTCATGTCCGAAGTTGAAGTCTATGTTGGCCCTCCCCTTCGGGCCCTTCCGTCGACCAACTAATTCGATTTCCAACCCGAACGCGACTCGCTCATAGACACTATCAGATCCACCTATCAGTTGTGGTCACTGGAAATTGGCGCCAATCACAGGGGTATATGTGAGTCATCTCATCATGTATACTTTGCCAGTGCGAACACTTCCGTATAAGCTGGCCGGGCGGTGAGCTCGAGCCACAGACTCAGTCTGTACTACTGCGTCTGAAACCCGAAAACTGAGGGTCGCATAAGGAGCACCTCACGAGGATGGTTCTTAGATTTACGGGAAAGTAGATTGTTCTTGGAACGAGCTGTGTAATCGTGATTGTTGTTTATTCGCCAGCTTTGACATTGGTACTACCAGACGCGTATCCCCGGATAGCAGACCACCGCTACGAAACACTCCCGACCCCCGAAATGATGTACGCACTGTCCATCTCTCATAGCTTCTGATGGGACATGGTTTCACGCAACCGGCTGGGCAGTACCAGCCTGTCTCCTTGTTAGAGTGCAGCCATTCAAATCCGCGCAGGCGTTGTTGTTGCGACTTCAGACCTGGGCACAAAGGTTGGTCAACTTTGGGGCATCTTGTCCAGACGCCAAGAAAACACAGCCTGTCAGAGGTCCGTTGGTGAGAACCAAAATGCATTTCTTGTTATAAATATACTTACTAATGCATCATCCGACTCAACTAGAGTAGTAGGTACACGCATCCCTACACACCATCATTGTCCGTTTCCCTCGCATGTCCCTAAAGCCGATCACGGACAGGACGTGAGTATGCCGTACCGAATCGATAGCAACCCCTTTCTGAATCAGCATGAAGTACCTGCGTAAAACCCCACATAAAAAGCCTACGCGCGAAGGATTGATCACAATCTCAGAAATGTCTTCACCGCTGACTCTACCAACCTGGACCCCTGCGCAAGCAGCAGCTCTCCATGGCATTCGCACCGCAATGGGTGCTTTCGGGCCTACGTTCGGGCAGGCCCAATCGCTTGCTGAGCGCGCACATGTGCCCAGCGAAGGAATTCCTGAAGGAGTTCACATCTCTTGCGAATTAGCTCCGCCTTCCTCTCAGATCCCTGCATCCATTCACTCAACCTCGATCCAACCGGGACAGGTTCCCGTCTTCTTCTATGCAGATGCACCTTCCGAGTCCTTTACTGATGCGAAGAACGACATCAAAGTCGTATTTCATGTGCATGGAGGTGGTAACGTCTCCGGACATCCAATGGAACAGAGGTTTATAGCGTTCTTTTCTCGCATACTTCGTGCACTCGGGAAGAAATCTGGCCCACAAGGATCCAGTTCACCCATGATCGCAGCTCCTTCGTACAGACTTGCAACGGTCGCTGAGAACCTATTTCCAGCGGGGTTACAAGATGTATTCTCCGCATACCATCACCTGATCTTGAAAGGTTTTGACGCCGAGAACATCACTATCACAGGCGATAGTGCAGGTGGAAATTTGGGTGCGTAATTAGTCAATGAATTCTTCTCCTAGTGTCCGTATCTCACTTCCATTCATCCAGCTCTTGTCCTCACCTACATCATCTCGCAATCCAATCTCCCAATGCCGGGGCACGTCGCACTCTTCTCCCCAGACGCAGACCTCACTTACACCACCTCCACCTCCGTACCACATGACATCATACCTCTATTAACCTACCAAGCATGTTCATCTCAATACCTCGGCAATTTCCCCGCCAACGACCCTCTGGCATCAGGCATCCTAATTCCATTCACTGCAAGCTGGCCGAAGACATTAGTGATGACTGGCACGGCTGATAATGTTGCTGAGAGCTCGCGGAGAATCGTGAATGGTATCAAAAAGGCGGGTGGGATAGCGGAGCTTGTGGAGTATGCTGATTTGACGCATGCGTGGTGGATGTTTTCCCATATTTTTTTACAGTCAGACGATGGATTAGATAGGCTTGCAGTTTTTGTGTACAATTAAGGTTTGAATGGATTGCAGATGAGTATGTAACGCAACTCAATGCCAATTGCGGCTTCTGCTGCAAGGTGTCATGGCCGTGCAAGGTGCAGGGCACTTTCGCATGTCTACCGTTGTGCATAGCACCAATCACTGCAGAAACGACTTTTTAGCAAGAGGTAAAACTAACCCTGAGTATGGGTATAATCCGAGCTAATACCAACCCAAGCTGTAAAGTAGACTAAAACCTGACTTGCGAACTTTCCGAGACTCCGAGGTGTGAGTGAAAAATAAATCTGAATCTAACCAGACGTCTGTTACATTCAACATCCATAAACAAACCATATTCGGGTCGGGAGCGGCGCTTGTTCCAGACCGCGATTTCCTTCTCTTTATACCTTGTATATCTACGACAACCCACCTCGGAAAAGTGTTTATGTTCGAATTCTGACCCTCGACGTGTTCAGGTGAGCTTCTAACCAGTACTTCTTTTTTTCACTAAGTCCCCACAAGTTACCATGAACCAAAGCCTAGATTGATACCGGCACCTTCTCTCCCTGGCCTGCCACGCCTCTTGGAGGCAAAGCAGGACCAGAGGCTATTGAGCTGCTCAGACACGCCTCGCGGAGGCGAATCTGAGCGTCAAAGCTCGACGGCTGAGATTACTGCCCCACCAAAGTCTCCTTCAAAAGGCCAACTTCCACTCGAGAGGACGATAGTGTCATGGAGCCCGAGAGTGAAGATCTCAACCAACGACTGGTACAGGTAAGACATCTTTACGCACTAGTACTGTTCACATGAACTAAATTATAGTGTAGGCTGCCCGTGCGCGAGAAACGGGTCATCATGAGGCAAGGCTCCGTTGTCACGAGGCGGCGGTGACAACTGAGGTGTTCCCGCGCTGTATGGCTGAGGGTATGGATTGTTTGCCGGTTGTTGGCTTTCTTGACTTACTGGACCCACAGCACCACTGGGACGTCGTTGGGTTCCTTGGTTGGCGGGAAACATGGCTGCTTGTGGGTGGGGGACAAATGCTCGCTCATCATTTTGCACGGACGAGCGGGATTCAGCGGGGAAAACATTTTAGAAGCTAGTCCTCATCATGTCTACCTAGAGTATAATCAGACCTGCTTTTGTTTAAATCCCGACATAAAACAGATGTGAGGATCCAAGAATTCCGATTTGATTCCGCATCAGATTAGGCACCCGGGCAACAAACCGGGCCCTTCGAAACTCGTAAATCACGAATCGCGTTATGCCCTGGAACGAGCGTCTCTTGCGATCTTATTCTGACGTGACATATTTTCTTTGCAGGTTCGAGTTATTATCTACATAAGCTTGCTAACTCCACTCTATCCCGGTCTGGCTAAAATCTCGTTTCCGCAGTGAATGTTCGTCCAAGTCTGTCTCAACGAAGCACCTTGCAAGTCCATCACACACTCACAAAATCCGAAGACGCATCCCTAATATCTATGCATCTAAAGATATCCCAAAAACTAAAGCGCGCTCATACAAGAGCAAAAATGTCATCGAACGGCACTACCATCCAAATAACAAATCCCCAACCTGCCCAAGCACGCCCCTAGCAGGACTCTGCTCTGCATTAATGATCGGTACGGGCAAAGCATGCGCAGATTTCTGGGGAGTCGGCGCAGGGGCTTTACGAAAAGCAGCCACAGACGGCGCAAGCTTGATCGGCGTCCCAACAGTAGCAGTGCTATCCACCACCATCGCATTTCCATCCGAATGCGATTGTGAAATCTGAATTTGCACTCGCGGTGGGGAAGTCGACGCCGTGAAATCAGGCGCGCGGGGGAGTGTGAGGTCTTGAGCAGAGTCCTTGGTATATTGTCGAATCAATACACCGCTCAACATCGAAGGAATGGTACTTACAGCCCATTTAACGCCCACCATCCAAGTCCCCCCTAAAACCTCACCATTTCTCCTGACCGCACGCATTGCTTCCCCAGGGTCACGGAACCCGATTCTAAACGCGTTCACGATCTCTGTATTAGGCTCCGGTTCGGTGCTCGCGCCAAGGGAGCGGAAATATTCAACTGTGAGGGAATATTTGTCTGGCGGATAGCCGAAGACGATGATGTAGGTCGGTTGGATTGGGGTGCTTGATTGGCTATGGTTTTTGGATTGCGATGCGTTTAGCGTGGACGTGTTTGAGAGGGAGAAGGGCTGGTGACGTGAAAGCCATTAAATCGTGAGAATCAAAATATGAAGGAACGAGACGCACGCGCGATGGAGGTAGAACTGCCCGTTGGGACTCGCCAAAAGAAGACCCCTCACGGAATATATCATTGACTGAACTGGTTGGTGGCGCGTCCATGTCTGTGAATGTCTGCCTTTGCCTTGCAACAAATCAACTTTAGCACGCTAGGATAAGAATAGAAATGTAAACGTACGTGCTCGAGCTCTCAAACATCGACTCAGCACCAAAATGCGAGGCACCACGAGACAAGCCCTTGTTGATCTTCGCCTTGGTCTGCACGACGGGGATTTCATCAGTATTTTGTGCGCTGGGGGACATGACCTATGCGTTTGATTTGTCAGTCTTGTTTCTAAACATGATGAGCAGTCACTTGCATTATGTTGCGCCACGGACTGCGTGAATCATATAAATAATTAGGGTGGTAAGAGGTAGGGCAAGCTCACCATCATGTAGCCTGGTTGGTAATGCGTCCTGGACTGCCCGAAGGTGTCTGTGAGGGACGTACCGAGGGGTCCTGTGCCACTTGTGCTGCCCCATGGATTATGACTCGTGCTTTGGGCATGCGGATGTTGGTGAGCATGTGGATTCGTGCTTGTTGACATGGTCACTTTTCTAAGTTTTCTTGACACGAATTAAATGCAGCAGGAGAGCAAGGACCAACAATTTGAGGACAGTTCGCGTCCGGCTCTTGAGAGGCTAGTTTTCCCACGCATGTTTACACATCTATGAGCATTACTACCACCCGCTTCGCCCACTTCCTACGTGCAGGAACATTCAGACCTGCCAACTGTTCAGTTCCATTATCCAGCTCTACGCTCCCTCTTCGCACCAATATACCTGGCCCGTCGCACCTAAGGTTCCCTCGCGCCGAGTCATCCGCCTTTACGAGACAATTCCATGCATCACACGCGGCGCATGACTTTCATTTTGATACTCACCACTTCGTGCAGCGGCTTGAGCGCGAGGGGCTCAACCGTGCACAGGCGGAAGGCATAATGGGTGCCATGGCGGAGGTCATCGATGAGAGTATACGGAATATGACGAGCAACATGGTCACGAAAGCTGAGCAAGAGAAGGTAAGTGCCACCACTGCCTCCCGTGGTGCTGCGAGACTCAACAAATGGTCAAATCGACCGCCTTTCTTCATTTTTGACTTATTCGCTTCGCATACCAGCGTCAATACACCCAGCAGGTCGATTTCGCACAGCTGAAATCCGAGCTGCAGCTTATAGAGAAGAACGACCTCGCTTCCCTGAAAGCTGATAATGACCGGTTGGTTGCGGATATGCAGAAGCTGAAACAGCGACTCCGAGAAGAGATTACGCGTACTCAGGCTGGCGTTCGACTGGATCTTAACTTGGAGAAGGGACGGATGCGGGATGAGAGCAGTGGGCAGGAGCTCAAGATCAAGGAGGTGGACACGAGAATTGAGCAGGAAATTGCGAACTTGAGGACGACGATTCAGCAGTCCAAGGTGGGTTCTGAATGTTTATTTTCATTCGCGACTTTGGACATTGAGCCCTTTGGTGTTTAGGCAACGACGCTGCAGTATCTCGTTGGATTTGGTATGTGCAGATGCAAATGCCTGGCTTTGGGCTAGGACGCTGACGTTTTCCGTTTAGTAACTGGTTGTTCTGCGCTCCTAATGGCATATCTAAGATTCAGAGTATAACCCGTTGCATAATCGTCTCTTAAATTCGACTCCGGAAGGCTTCGAATGCTAGGGACCGGGATCATAAAGGATCATAACCTAACATATCATCGCACCTAATTGTATGATTGCCTGTAAGTAGATAGATACCACATAGATTCACGTTGTTAGGCGCCAGCAAAGATGAGCTCGAGGGTGTAGCTTGAGTACTGAGTGGCTAGCAGCAGGCCGCCATAGTGTATGTGAATGCACTATTTCACCAGTAGTGATCGCGGCAGTTGCCGCAGCAGTGGCGCCGTATTTTCACGCCGTCCCTCGCGTACACCGTGACGACGCCAGCAGCTGAACGTCAGTTTCCGCTCCGTACTTCACCATGATGTCCGCTCGCACTGGGCTTGGTTCTGTTACGAGGAGAGTAGCATTTGCTCCAGTAATTGGTTAGTCCCCATCACAATTCTGGAAAGTGGTATAATCATATGCTAAATACAGGGAGAAACTCCATTGCTTTGCGTACCGTAATTCCCAAGCGGTAAGGATATCTGGTTTTCGTCTTTTTGAAGTATAATTTCTGAATGCAATCTAGTGGTGTACAGATACAATCCCTGTCTCCATCAGCTTCGGAAGAGATTCTGAATGCTCAGCGTCTTAAACGTCCTTCCAGTCCTCATTTCACAATCTACCAGCCTCAGCTGACATGGCTTAGCTCAATTGCAAATCGTGCAACTGGCGGTGCACTCAGTGCGCGTATGTCCCGATTCCTCATGAATGACTGAAATATGGTGTAACTGATATTATTTAGTCTTATACGGCTTCTCGCTGGCATACCTCATTGCTCCAGGCACTTTCGACAGCGCACACATCATCGAGTTCGTTGCTGGGCTTCCAGACTACGTGAAGTACACCGGGAAGGTTATTCTGGCTGCGCCTTTCACTTTCCACTTCTGGAATGGTTTACGACACTTGAGCTGGGACATGGGTAAATGTATGTTGCCTATGTATTGTTTAATTGATGATCGCTCACGTCGCTGAAGTTTTGAGTCTCACGGGAGCATACAGGGCTGGGTATGCCGTTTTAGGTGCCACGGCTGTATCTACGGTCGCATTGGTTTTGATGTAAAAGTATGTGGAAGGCCGCTCGAATTCGTGTCTTGGTCACATGTATTTGCTCCATTGAGTCATGTTCTGGATGGTAGGTGAGAATCTCGGCCTATGCTGCTCCGTTGTGACGTTACTAACTGGTGAACAATTAAGCCTTTCATGAGATTAGAGGTTTAGGCCTGACCAGTGTCGTGGAGGGCGCTGAGCCTGGAGATTGCCCCGTAGTTGACATTCTTGATGGTATGCCGTACCTGATTGCTCATCTATGTCCCATTTCATTCGTTCGTAGTATTCAAGAACCGCTGGTATCCTTATGATATTTCCAGCACTCGCATTCAGAAAAGAGGTAGGTTGATGTTGATGCAGGAGCAAACATCTCATGATCACTAATGGTGGGACCGAAGACTGAGGTGATGTTGAGTAGATGTTGAGCTCAGATATAGAGCTTAGTATCGATTGTGAACATGCGATAAAAGGAGTCAAAGCCACGCCCTTCGACCCTCCATCAAGCACCGGATTTGAAATCTGCACATCAGCTCCAGGTTGGCACCCTTCACTATGTAGGGCTGCTTGAAGCACAGGCACTGCGAGGGTTACAGAAACTGTCGACTTGTCTTGTTCGGTTGGCTGAGAGCTCAACGTTCAACGCTAAACCGGGCTCTCGATAAGGTCTTTCGTTTCCATCAATGGCGATGTGCAAGCGCCGAATCGGTCGCAAGAGAACAGAAAGGAGAATGTTGTATGAGCGAGATACAGTCGTCCTGACAATGAGCCTTAACCAGGACATGAACGTCCGGATGTATCGTCCAGGCATGATCATCGAGATAGACGGAAAACGTCTGCTGTCGGGCGATAATGATAGTCTTGCAGGTAATGTGCATATGACGGTAAACCGTACTGCGTCAGGCACCTTGTTTCAATAAGACCTCTTCGCGCGCGTGATAATAAGTATGGCAGGACATTGCTTATAAATTGCAACACCACCGTGCACGACGTTCAACGTCCATAACGAAACCACAGGTAAGACAACATCTAGTAGAAAGAGAAATCAGTTGACGGTTGTGATATATGATATGGCTCGCCTGATATAGGCGGACAGCTCGCACTAGCACAGGTATATGATCAAATGATACTAGGAGAAGTTGATGGGATCATCCCAGTGACCCCAAATGCAGTGGCAGCCAGATAAGATTAGGGTATAGATAGAAAATTCTAATCGTCCAAGGGAGGCATCTGATCCCCACTCGCATCTGACTCTCCGTTTGCAATTCTCTTTAACTTTTGATATGCGGTATCAAGATCATCATTGACGATGACGTAGTCGACTGAGCCAGGTTGACGAGCGTAGTCGATCTCTCTGCGAGCGATTGCAAGACGACGCTGGATGGCATCTTCAGAATCGGTAGCGCGACCGCGCAAGCGCTGGTTAAGTGCAGTCATAGAGGGAGGGGAGACGAAAACGACTGTGGCGCGAAGGGGCGTTTGCTTGATTTGTTGGACACCCTGGGATATGTCATGTGAAGATCGTGCTAGAAGAAGAATAAAGGAAAGGTACCTGAATTTCGATATCGAGGATGCATCGCTTGCCTGTTGCTGCGACGTCTTCTACAGCTTGGATGGTCGTGCCATAGAAGTTGCCCGAAAATTGGGCGTGCTCAATGAAAGCGCCCTGAGAGATGAGGTTCTTGAAGTTATCGGTAGTTGTAAAGTGGTATGCTTTGCCGTCTGTCTCACCAGGACGAGGAGCGCGGGTAGTATCTTTGGGATGGGAACCAATTAAGCGGTGTGAGAGGGTCGAAAAGAAAAGCCTCCGTACGAGAGACACTAAACCCAAAAGCAATTGGGAAGTCATTGATAAGACGATTGATGAGAGTGCCCTTGCCGACGCCCGAAGGCCCGAATACGACCAGAGGAGGAATTGTCATGAGTGTCTACTACGACGAAGGGGATGCAGTCTGATGCAGTACTGTTGTGGACTGCGGGGACCTTTTATTTATTTATGACGCGGAGTACCTTGATCACCTAAAATAAGTCAGGTGCGTGTGACAAAAGTTTATCACCAAATTGAGCGTATGTGGTCAAACTAAGTCACAGTTAGCGTGACAGGAATATCTGCTTGAGACGACCACGACGAACGACGTGAAAGGCGTACAAGAGCAATTCAACCAAAGGATTCCCTCTCTCCCGTCCTACCGACATCCCCCTACCTACCTGTTCTCTTAACTCGTCCTTTCCTGCTCACTCCCTCTCGTTCTTCCTTCTCGCAGCAGGTATCCTTCTACTTTTCACATATAATCCCACCTCCCATCTCGACCTCATGGGCGCCCTTTGCTGTCGACCTCAGGTATGCTTTCCTATATTCTCACTTGAATCCACTCATTCGTCGTTATAGCCTGTCGATTTTGAAGGCGATGTCAACCTCTTTCACTTTGTTCTCTTGAGATGTGTTGGAAAGGGCGCCTTTGGAAAGGTCCGTACCTGTCACACCTCAATTTTTGCTGTCAAAACGAACAAGGTCCTTGTTTCCAGGTCCGAATGGTCCAACACAAACAGACTCGAGAGTTGTATGCCTTGAAATATATCAACAAGCCAAAGTGTGTAAAGATGAAAGCAGTTGCAAATATCATTCAGGAGCGAAGATTACTCGAGGAGGTCAGCATCTCTTCCTGTGTTTACAAACTCCATAACATCTTCACTTCCCACTCATTCCACCTTCCCGCATCCTTTCCGACAGATCGACCATCCCTTTGTAGTCAACCTTCGTTATGCATTCCAAGACGATGAAAACTGTTTCTTCGTCCTGGATCTCATGCTAGGGGGCGACCTCAGATGTACGTCCCTTGTCATTTGTTTCTCCCTCTTCACTTAGCTCGTATTCACACAACCCAGTCCATCTCGAACGATTAGGCTCGTTGCCAGAGGATACAGTACGCTTCTACGTCGCAGAAATAGCTTCAGCTCTAGCCTTCCTTCATGAGCACAGAATTATGCACCGGTGTGTATACTCCGATCCCGGATCTATATACTTTTTCATGATTACCTCACCAGTGATCTCAAACCCGATAACATTCTCCTCGACGAACGGGGTCACGCGCATCTCACGGATTTCAATATTGCTGTACACTTTACCGAACGCCGCATGCTTACGGGTATTGCAGGTAGCATGGCTTACATGGCTCCCGAAATCCTCGCCAAACGTGGCTATACTTACCCGATTGATTGGTGGAGCCTTGGCATTTGCGCATATGAGCTCCTCTTCGGCCGGAGACCCTTCCGTGGCAAAACAAACGGTGACTTGACTTACAGTATTAGCAAGGACAGCTTGCGCTTTCCCGACGATGCCGATAAGAAGTGTTCGAGAGCAGGAATGATGGCATTGAAAGGGGTCAGTGGCTCATGTCGCCCACCGTCTCGTGCTCATTTTCGTGCAGTTCTTGGACCGCGATCCTTCCAAGAGACTCACTTGCAAGCAAAACGATGGTTTTGATGTAATGCAACGACATCCTTGGTTCCACCCGATAGATTGGACAGCCCTTGAAGCCAAAGAATTGCCACCACCGTTCACTCCCGATGTGAGTCCTTTTTAGTCCAAACCTTATCCGTTTAAAACCCTCCGCAGTCAAAGAAGGCAAACTTCGATGCATCACACGAGTTGGAAGAACTTCTGCTCGAAGACAATCCATTAAAGGCCAAAGCACGAAAGACGCGAGATGTTAACACGCTGAGCGCCGAAATGAGACAAATGGAAGAGCAGTACGCACTTTCACCCTATTCTGTCTCGTATCCTCTTAATTTGCGACAGGTTCGTATCATATGACTTCAAGAAGATGCTCCGGCGATCATACTATCCCCAGAATCAGCAGATCATATCAACGATCACCGCGACTTCTTCCACAGGCGGACTCGTAGCAAGTAGACCCGTCACGCCGGCAACAGACTCACGGGCCGAAGACATCGTACATGAGCACGACGAGAGCGAATTCGATGGCGACGACGTCCGGATGGAGAAGATGCCCCGGGTACTGGAGAAGAACTACTCGTGATCCGTACCCCACCCCCACTCCTGCCAGATGACCTGACGACTGCTGACGATGTATCCGCAATATTCCCCATGTATCTTGTCGATATGTACGGCACCCGATTCCCATATTCGCCCCATCCACTCATTTCGGGGCCCTAATCTTGGTTGCTGTTGCTCACTTTCATTATGATCTCACTTCAAGTGCCCTGCTCACTGGATACCTTCGCTTTGTTCAACATAACATGTTCGTTCTGACGCTCGATACCGTCATCGGCATTTGTTTTATGAGCCTTCCCTTGTAGTTATTGGATTTTCTTTGGCTCATCTTGGTTTTTGAGGGGTCGAGTCTTTCTTACAATCTTTTTTTTCCGTCTATTTAGCGCTAGTTTGCTGGCTAGTCATGTGGTTGTGGATTTACACAGTTTGCTATACGACGCCCGGACTCCGTATATTATCAACCCATTAATTGCGATTCGTTGCTGTAGGGTCTATACAAGTTGGCTTACTAAGCTAGCACACTAAAGTCTCAGGGCAATCGCCCCACCCATAAACACGTTACGGTTCGACGACTGACATCCATTGACACGCTTCCCAAAAACCATGGCCATGGCGGGGCTCATATCCCCCAAACCGCTTTCATACCTCCAGCATGCTGGGCAGTTTAATCCATACCAGCAACAACAGCAGCAGCAGCAGCAGCGCCTAGCAGGGTCCGCGCTGTCCGGGTACTCTGACACCCATACTCATACTCCCTCTCTGCACCCACACCAGCATATCATGGGTCTTCAAGAAGAGAGCAAGATATATAATCTTGTTATTGACCTTACGGATCCTAATGCGCGTGAAGCTGCGCTGCTGGAGCTTAGCAAGAAGAGAGAGCAGTATGAGGAGCTTGCGTTGGTGCTTTGGCATTCGTTTGGTGAGCTTTTTTGCTAGGTTTTGGTTTGTTTTGCTGGCGCTGATTAATATTATGTGGTCGTGCTAATGACGGGGTTGTTTGGGTTGGCACAGGTATCATGCCAGCGCTATTACAAGAAATAGTATCCGTCTACCCCCTCCTCTCACCTCCGAACCTCACGGCACACGTATCGAACAGAGTGTGTAATGCACTGGCGTTGCTCCAGTGTGTGGCTTCGCATCCTGACACGAGACAGTTGTTTTTGAATGGTGAGTTGTGTGTTTGGCTTCGCTCCGTAGGGTTTGGGTTGACTTGACCCTGAATTTTCATCTTATAATAACAGCGCATATTCCGTTGTTTCTATACCCCTTCTTGAACACGACCTCGAAAACGCGGCCGTTTGAATACCTCAGACTTACTTCCCTAGGCGTTATTGGCGCACTTGTTAAGGTTCGTCCTTCCCCTTCCTCCCCCTTCCATCACCTCCCCATATCCCTCTCCATTATTTAAAACACAAACCCTAAACCCCAATCTCCCCCTAGCAAAACGACAACAACACAGTAATCCACTTCCTCCTCTCAACCGAAATCATCCCCCTCTGTCTCCGCATAATGGAAACGGGTTCCGAACTCTCCAAAACAGTCGCCATCTTCATCGTTCAAAAGATCCTACTCGACGAAACGGGTCTTACTTATATCTGTCACACTTATGAGCGGTTTTATGCTGTGGGGACGGTGTTGAGCAATATGGTAAATCAACTGGTGGAGACGCAGGCTGTTAGGTTGTTGAAGCACGTTGTGAGGTGTTATTTGAGGCTTAGTGATAATATGAGGTGGGTTTTTGTTCGGTTGGGGATGGATTGGTTGAGTGGGGCTGACGGGACTCTTTATTTGTAGAGCTAGGGAGGCTCTGAGGGCTTGTCTCCCTGAGCCTCTGCGCGATCAGACGTTTAGCGTGCTTCTCAAGGTTCGTTTGCGTTCTTCTGCCTGTATTCTTCACTAGAGAACGTGGCTGATACGGCTTCGTAGGGAGACATGGTCACCAAACGATGTCTGACGACTCTTTTAAACAACCTCAACGAGCAGTAATGCCCACCCTGAACTAGATCTATCAAAACGACCCACTCACGAATGATAAAAATTCGGACTACCCATGGGATCTGGTGCTTCTTTTCCACGTCTGCTCTTTTTTTCGAAATGTTACGGACTGTCGCCGTTTGCTCGACTGGTGATTGTATTCGCACTTTTGTGTCTCTTGTACCAACGCAGGCCCTCGCTATCTAAATCTCGCACTAATTGTCGATTATCTGAGTAGAGCATTTGCATTTGTATCTACCTTATGAATACCTGAATTTACCGAGATGCGGTTCAGATGGTGGATAGTGTGAGGCTCAAACTCTCTTGGTCTCCCCGAGCATGAACAGAGAACAGTTGTCCTTCTCAAGTGACAATGGACTTTGTGCGCACTTTAAAGCTGTGATTTGGGTCCACGTCAGTGCCCTCATTCTCGCCGTGGCCTTATAACGTACACATGAGTGCTAAACATCTATTAGTAGGTCCGGATACTCGTTATCATAAGTCCTCACCGAAATGCGCACCAGAATCAGAATTAGAAAAATAAAATTTGAGGCAAAGACAGCCATCATATCGGTGTCTGACAAAACCTGCTGTAAGTTTGTTTCCAAAATTTACTGTGCTTGCTTTTGATTTTATTATTACAGGGCACTATGCCATACATTTCGATCCGGGTGCTCCAGAGCATGATGCGGATGTGACCTTGCCTAACACCGACACCAACCTGGACAACAATGATCCGAGCAATGATGTTACCCCGGCCAATTCTGGTCAATGGCTGATTACGGGCCCTCTGATGACCTGCCAGTACTACAAGTGCCTGAGACTACTTATAAGACAGTCCACCACGAGTACAAATAACTGATAACAGCCTACTTCGATGCCATCGTGGCTCGAAGCTGTCCTTCTCTTGCTGTATTCACGCTTTCAAACGAGCAGCGAAAAGGTTTAGGGTGACTTCAGCAGAGTTAGCCGCAGTTTAATGTTTACATTCTGAGTCACTTACATCGCCAAACCGGTGGTGAATTCCGGCTTCACCTCGATTTTGTCTCCGTTCGAGTCTTTGGCATGATCGATGCGCAAGACGGCGAGTATGGCAGCAGCAGCGGTCCAGAGACCGTTCTCCGCAAACCACCGGCCTGTCAAGGGTATATGTAAGCCCAAAGACTGTGCTAGATTAACTATCTATGAGCCTACCAGGACAAATGCGCCTGCACGAGTCAGCGAACGACTTGAAATGATAGCATGTGTAAGGTATTCACCTGCCATAACCAAAGGCGAAATGATTGACGAGATTGTCCTTGAGCTTGCCATCAGCTGTCAGGTAGCGACTAGGATCGAAGCGTGATGCATCAGGAAACGTGTCTTCATCCCGAGACAGCGCCCTGAGTCATGATAAACTCAAGCAATTGCATGCACTCCAATGTAACATACCATTGATTAACCATTATTATCGCACCTATTTGGACTACAGATTAGCCAGCAGAAACCTCGACTCATACGACTTCGAACCTTTGGGTATAAAATACCCGCCGTAAACATCATCATTTGATGTTGTATGTGGAACTCCTAATATGGGGTCAGCTATGCAAACATGAAGTTGTATTATTGCAGACCGACCTAAGGGGGCGACAGGATACCATCTCAGGACCTCGCGTAGAATGGCGTCAAGGTAGGGTAGTGACGCCCTATCATCAATGCACGGCATTGCATCGTGCCTCACAACTTGATCGATTTCTGCACGAGCCCGAGCTTGGACGTCAGGGAAGAGCACCATAGCCAGCAGGAATACCTGCAATGTAGATGCAGTCTGCGGGATATAAAGGTAAGGGAAGAGGCGGTCAGGCCTCCAAAGTAATGACTCGCCGTCTCTATGCCGGCTAAGATGTCGGATGCGCATCAAATGATGAGCTCTGTCCTTCTAAAAACCCTTACCTAAGAATCCTGTTAACGCAACACCCTTCATCGTGTCTTCGCCAGCGTCGTCGTGAGCTTGACTGAGGAAGTCAGCGACTAAAGAGTGTGAAGCAGTACCATTTGCCTACAGGCAAGCAAATCAGGTAAAACGTCCACCCACAATGCACAAATGTACCATCTGTGCCTTCACTCTATCAACGGGCTCGTTCAAAAGCTGCTGAGCTAACTCTCTACTGCGTCCCATTAGAGCAAAGACCCCGCCAAAGCACCAAAATGGTAATTTTTCAACTGCAATAAATGTTCAAATTAACCTTGTCGAACGCATCAAGTCACTCACGGAAAGGAAAGGCTGTGAACATGGCAGCCCTTTCGGGAGAAATAATATGTTTACCAATATCAACGAGTTCATACGCGCGGGCAAGAAGCGAGTCTTCATTTCCGTGAGCAGAGTATCCGTATGTCGCTGCCATGATCAGGGAGCCCGTGAATCTGCCACAATTGTTTGATCGTCAGCTGGACTATATCACATCAATACCACTGAATGAGGTACATACACTTGCGTCAGTGCCTGCGGGTCACTGTTTGGATCCAAGAGATTGACGACTAGTTCGTTTGCGTGGCGAGAGTACATCTCGTGGTATGAGCCGGAGGCTTCAGCCCCGAGGATTTGATGGTAGATCCTGCGATGTCGTCGTAGAGTCTCACCATACGGAAGGAGCACGGTGTTGAAAGCCAGCCCATATCTGCATAATCAGATGATAGCTGAATGGAGACTGGTAATACGTACAATTCATTGGTGCGAATGACTGGGCGATCCGAGTAGATTGCAGAACGCTTGTCCAGTAATTCCCGCGCGATGGCTTCGGAGTTTATGATTATAAAGTCGATCCCAAGGAGGCGGGAGTGGATGATTTTTCCTATTATCAGGTCGAATTCGGGGGTGCAACAAAAAGGTCATTGGTCTACGGACCATATTTATTTGCCCATGCAGTATATGTGAGCCAAGGTTGTTTAGTGTCCAATTGGAGTAAGAATGGTAAGGGGTGAGGGCCAGGCGGCAGAGGCAAAGGGTAGACACGTCTGCGAGTTAGACCAAAAGCAGCAACCAGTGCAATAACACACGGGATACCGAAAGCGATAACATGGGTTGAGTACATGGGGATTAGTAGAAACGAAGAGACAAGTTCGTTCGCTTTATGAAGGGTTTATATCCGGTTAATACCCACACTACAAGCGTTATCTTTACAGGAACAGAGGACGAAGAGGGTATTCATCGAAAACTAACGGAGTCTGTCTGTGAGGCTTATGTACGTAAAAAATGTGGTAAATATTGCTTACCCGTGAACGGTACCGGTGAACCTACCGACCTCGAGTTTTCGCAGTATGTTATCTGCTCGTATCAAGCCACTCGGCCTTCATGCACAAGCCATGATTTTATAACAACCTAGAATATAAGTTGAACAGGGTCCGCTTGAAAGCTCACCTCCGATGGCTTATGAAGGAACGCAAAGACAATCCGACAAGGTAATCATTAACCGTTAGGGGTACATCTTGGGTCTTCATATATACATGCGCATCGAATATCAGGTTTCAAACAGTGTCAAGCAATCACCGGTGCACCTCATGAGTTCATATCCCTTCCATAAGTCTCCGGAGAATGGGGGCAGTTTGCTTCCTCGTCGCGTCCGCGTTACCCTGCTTGTACGCCCTCGCAACATATGACGCCCCGAACTGCGCTTCATCAGTCGTGACTTCTTCAGTATCCTCGTCCTCAGATTCCTCAGCCGTGTCGGCGCTGCCAACGAACTTTGAGAAATCAAGCCGCTTCAGCTCAAGCTCTTTGCTTGCTTCGAGGCCCTCCCAAAGTTTCTCTGCGATGCCTTCATCTCCTGTCTTGATTATCCAAAGTTGCTCCCTCCTTCCTTTACCTTTCTTGTTCCGGAAAGTAGTAAGCACACCGAGAATGCTAAGATCTCTTTCTGCGAGCCAATCTTGAATTTCCTGCATAGGATGATTCGATGACGCAAATAATGCGGAGAGACGGAGTGGGACGGTGGCGAGACCCACTCTTATCCCATTTGAAGATTGCGCCGCGTCATCGGGCGCAGGCGTTGTGAATGCGTACTCTTTGTAATCTCTCCGCAGCAAGTCCCGCGTGCTGAGATGGGATACAGAAAGCTTTTTCTCTGCCAAAGTCGTGGACAGAGACTGGACTGAAGGGTGTTGTGTAATCGGTTGGTGATCCGATGATATGAAAACTTCTTCGTCGTGTGCCAAAAGGTAATGGGGAATTAAAAATGCAGCTGCCTCCCTGTCGACATCAAGAGCTTTTCCTCCCTCTTTGAGACCTCGGGTATCGACCAAAATAGAACTCAGCAAGAGCGTCGACAGTTCTGGGGGTATGGAAAGATTTGATGATGATTGATATAATCTTGCAACAAGAGACGAGCAACTTCCAGCCGGTTCGACTATCCTGGGATTAGCTGTATCCTTGTATTGACCTTCATCCTCGTGGTGGTCTATCACTGCGACAACCCTGGCTGTTGGAGATGCGTAACTGGTGTGGAGGACGTTATGATCTACAAGTGCAAACTGGGACACTTGCGATGGCATAGGATCACCCGAGCAATAAAGCTCCTCAAAAGGCTGGTTGATTCCGGCAAGACCAAGGGCATGCAGATTCTCTGCTCTGAGCATGAAATCTTCCCTAGGTGTAGTTATGAATGCGATCGCCTTTCCGCTTGTGTTTGAGCGCAACCAGGCATACCCGAGAGCACTAGTGAGGGAATCGAGATCTATGTAACGCAAAACAACGGTAAGGACTGAGAACGAGCGAAATAGGATTAAACACACCGCCTGCTTCATTGCCCATTACCACCGTCCATCCATCCCCATTATCAGCTAGAAAATCTGCCTTCTGGGACTTGAGGTAGGACGAAAAGTTGGATGTTGACATTGAAGCTTGCCGCAGAGGTGTACTTGAAAACTTGATGTTTAGACGTGCCAGTGAACCGGATGTGATTTTTGCAAGTCTAGGCAAGAGTTGGCAAGCGACTACGAAAGTCCATAGGATCGCCAGGAAGGAGTATCTGGTAAGGATCATACGAGTCGGAGCCTCAAATCACATGCATGACGATGCGGCCTGGGCCTGCTTATTTTGGACGTTCAATTTCACCTGCTCACGTCGATGTCCTCACAGTACGACGTTCTTATTGTCGGTGCTGGCATCGCTGGCTCTGCTCTTGCACATGCACTATCACAGTCTTCAGCTCTGCCACGCCGCATTGCACTCCTTGAGCGGAGCCTTGCTGAACCTGACCGCATAGTCGGCGAGCTGCTCCAACCTGCTGGCGTCGCCTTCCTCAACAAACTTGGCTTACAGGGTGCACTAGAAGGTATAGACGCGATACCAGTACATGGATACGCGGTTGTCCAAGATGGTCGCATTGTCCACATTCCATACCCTGACGAACGAGAAGGACGAAGTTTTCACCACGGACTATTTGTGCAGGGATTAAGGGAACATGCAAAGCGCGCAAACGGCGTAGACGTTATCGAAGCAACCGTAAACGAACTGGTGGAGGAGGAAGGAAGGGTCGTTGGTGTAAAGGCTACGCGTTCTAGCGGGAAGGAGAAGGAGGTTTTCCGCGCAGACTTAACAGTTATTGCAGATGGGTGCTTCTCGAACTTCCGTAATACCGTCCAAGGTCCATCCGCACGCCCTTCAAATACAAAGTCGCATTTTTGTGGTGCGATACTCAAAGATGCACGGTTACCGATCTCGCAGCATGGCACTGTTGCACTCGTACGTGGCCACGGACCCGTTTTGCTATACCAAATATCGGAACACGATACCCGCATGCTCGTAGATGTCAAAAGTCCTTTGCCTTCCGACTTGAAGGTGTGTGTTTTTCTGCTCATAGTTTCCATGCGCTCAAGGCTGTCCAGAAACATATCATAACTGAAATATTGCCTTCCCTCCCTCCTCAATTGCACGAGCCGATCCGTGCTGCTCTTTCTGCTGATCGTGTCCGCCGCATGCCTAACTCATTCCTACCACCCGCCCCTCAGACGCACAAACGCGGTGTCATTCTTCTTGGGGACGCTTGGAACATGCGTCATCCGCTAACAGGTGGCGGTATGAGCGTCGCACTGTCCGACGTATACATACTCTCCCAGCACCTTGGTAAAGTAAACGACCTACGGGATTGGAGCCAGATGAAGGGCGTGCTCAACAAATGGTGGTGGGAACGCAAAGGGCTGGCTGCAACAATCAACATTTTGAGTATCGCCCTTTACGATGTGTTTGGGGCTGAGAGCGAGTGTTTGACTGTCTTCCAAAATGGCTGTTTCAAGTATTTCGAAAGGGGAGGGGAATCCGTCCGTGGTCCAGCATCATTGTTGAGTGGGTGAGTGATTTTCCAGTCAGGCGTTGTGTGTTTTCTTTGTGCTGATTGTCGACCTAGAATCGCACCATCGACCTCGCTCCTTGCATACCACTTTTTCTATGTGGTATTTTATTCCATATGGTCGCTATTTGCGCATCCTCGACCTATAAGTGCGCCTTGTACAAATGGCGATTTGCATATGAATGGCACCGCCCATATAACCGGGAAAGATGAAGTGCACACTGAAGGAAAACATTTGGACGTGCGTGTCATGCAGATGCCTTCGGTACTGGATTACCCTCGACTATTCTGGCTGAGCTGTAGAGTCGTAAGTTCCTCTACTTCATCTTGAGTGATGCTGGTTGACGCTTTTATATAGTTGTGGACAGCATGTATATTGTTCGGACCTCTACTGTGGACAGAGATTCGTTGGTGGTGAGCTTGTCAGATAGACCAGGACAATTCGGACAGTTGTTATATTGTACATGCTTGTGATGCCTAATCGTTCGGAGGTACAGCTCGGAATACTACTCCCAAAGGATTGCCGAGTGGTGTTAGCTACGACAATGCACGCTCTTGGAGCTAGACGAGAGCGAAGATACCGAAACGCCTCTTGAAGCCGAGTTTTACCCAAAAGGCATTGTTTGGGAGCGACTTTTGGAGCTTAGTGAAACGATTACCTGGATGCTTCGCCGGGAGCATCCCTCTGCCGTACAATTAATTTTGTAGCATCATCCGAAGAAGAAAGTCTGGCACTCTTCTCTGACGACTTGTTCGACGACATGCTTTGTCCAGCGGAATGGACTTTTTTTATTGCACAAGACGAATTCGAAGAGCAACCGATGGAGAGAAGAAGACACAAGATGGTGAAAGCGGAGTTGTTTATGGGGACATGTTTCAAGGAGTTGACGACGTGGTGGTCGCTCGAGCTTAACTGTAAACTCGGATGGAGTAAGGCTTCCGGCGGTTCGGCTCTGGGAGTCCTTAGGATGCCAGCAGGATTTGTGAGAGATTTGTTCTCGGATTGGAAGCGATCTCCTCGGGGAGTATATGGCATAATCCTATATAAGTCATCAAACAAACTTTTGAACCTGACCACTTCCGTCGTGATGCATGAAATCTTCCACAATTTATTATTCGGAGGTCCATCAACAACATTCAACTCAACTTGCCCATCCTTCGTCACTGGCAACACCGTATGTCTCCCCCCAGTTAAAGTCCCATTCTACTTCTCCCTCCGCCAAAACATATTCGACAGCATTCCGGACACACACGTCGCTCTCGCTGCACCCGTAATCGCTTATTGGCTCCTGTCTTTTGTATTCTACTCTCTTGACATCTCCGGCTGGCGATGGCTTGATAAATACCGTATTCACGAATCAGAGGAGGTCAAATCTAGGAATTTGGCTACCCCTTGGGAGGTTGCACGCGCCGTCCTACTCCAGCATGCAACACAAACTGTCCTCGGTTTAGCATGGTTGATAGAGTCCCCGGAGATCTCAGTTGCCCGCTGTCAGAGTGAGATGGAGGCCTTGGGGAGAACACTGGTATGGGTCGTCCGACTTCTCTTGGGAGAGGAAACCGGAATCAAATTTTTGGAGCTGAGAGGGCCTGAAATGACCCATTGGCTGTACTGGTGGGGAATTCCAGCTGCCCAACTCTTATTCGCGTTGTGCGTCTCATTCAAAGTCTGAACTCGACTTCCCTCTCATGTCTTTCCAGGTTCATCATTGATACTTGGCAATATTTCCTCCACCGCTCGATGCACACGAACAAGTACCTCTACAAGAAAATACACTCCGTCCATCACAAACTATATGTCCCCTATGCCTTTGGGGCATTATACAACCATCCCTTCGAGGGCTTCTTACTGGACAGCGTAGGCGCAGCACTCGCCGAGCGTCTCTCACGCCTCACTATTCGACAAACTATTTTCCTCTTCGCGTTCAGCACGTGCAAGACTGTCGACGATCACTGCGGATACAACCTCCCCTTTGATCCCTTGCAAATGATGAGCGGAAACAACGCGGACTACCATGACATACATCATCAAGTATGTTGCTTCACTACCATCTGCTCCTGTACAGCACTGACGACGCGTACAGGTCGTCGGCATCAAATCCAATTTCTCACAGCCTTTCTTCATTCACTGGGACACGCTCCTCGGGACGCGCATGACCAGAGAAGATATCCAAGAACGCAGAAAAAAGGTCAAGACGACGTGATGCATCGACCCCGATTTTATGACATAGATATTCGGAGTTTTGGTTTTCTCCCCCTTCAAATGAGGACTACACGACTTCCCAACGCAGCCTAATGTCTTTTTTTTTTCCCATTCGTCTTCGATTGATTCGACGCGCTTCTTGGCTGTATAATCCTAGGTTATGATCGCTACGATAATGTTTGTGACCTGGACTTGCCTAGTCATCATGTCCGATAACACAAGTGGACTTTTAACTTGGTGATGCATTCGACTCCTGGTCCTGGAAGCTCCGGTATGGACTAGTGGATCTGGCGTGGGCGTCAAGGTACAAATTTCGGACCGATTTCTCAGCAATTCAGGGCTGGTTGTTCGCCAGCAATCCATGTCATCAAGGTCGTTGAGATCCGATCCTTCGCTTCTAATTTTCCACGTAGACGAATCGTCCTGTTGGTCTCCAAGTTATCATCCGCTTTCAATTGTCTTGCTCCGCAAGGTCATGTTCATATGTTGGGTTCATATGTGCTAACGCAAGCAATAGTCCGTGTGAATCAAAATCCGAAATCAAAGTGTACCAAGTTGCAACCTTACATGACATCATACGGGGCTTGAACGTTGTTCATTTTGAGGGTGCGTGTGTACACTCTCACCATCTAAAACACGATAGGAGAACGCAGCAAGGTATCTGACATGGACAATTGAAGCAGTCGTAAATGCTCCACAGACGCGACCAAACTAGCCACATCCCCGACGAATTTGCACTTTTCTTCGACAGCATCAAATACAACTTCCAAGCAACTTGAACAGCGGAGAACTTAATCATGCTGAAGCCCGCATGAGAATGAGATTCATCGTGGCGGTGATGAAGCATAAAAATAGGTAGAGTGGCGTCTATCTTGTACTTGTGTCTCCCAAGTGTTTCATGGTCAAAGGTAAAAAGTCGGCAATGCCCCTATATATGATACTAAACAAGTTTCATCGTCGAGGTACAAACGAAATCCACTCAAATCCATACAGCTACAGTACCTCTAGTGTCCTGATGTCCATCATGTCACCTACAGAAGTCATATCTTTAACCTGTGCAATGATATCATGATCCGACGCGATCCTCTTGAATTCTCCATCGCGCTGCCGCGCAAGCAAAAATGCACCAAAAGGCTGTCCAAGGCGAATAATCAATCGCAACGCTCGCGAATCAGAATCCGAATAATCCCGCACAGGGCGTAAATCATGTGACGGAGATTCGAGCACGGACCAATCTTCCACGCTCTGCGTATCATCTGCAGGGCTGTGCAGCTCGAGGAGATGGCGACTCCATGGGCGAACAAGCAGGATTGTCTGCCAGGCGGGCGGTGGCCTTGTCGGCGAGAACGGGATCAGCTTGTCTCCCGTGGTGATCTGCAGGTCATGAAGCTCGTCTGACTTTATGTCATACGTATATGTGTGCTGGTCTCCACCGGGCATCCGCCTGGCTTCTGTGACAGGGAATACGATGCAAGGCAGATGCAACCGGCGGTGCGCGAAACGGGAAGCGCTCAGGTTGTCAAGTGTCTGACACAACTTCGAAGCTGACTCCAGAACCACGACACCTCGCAGCCAGGAGACCAATGAATGAATCTCATCTTCAGATAGAGATGGCAGCTTGCATGGTGGAGCTTCGTATGAAATGATATTAGCTGGCAAACAGCTATTGAACTCTGACGACTTTCCAACCCAGTCTAGGGCAGTGATATCGCCCGACTGAGCGATGATTTCCTGCAAGAGCCACCCGAGCACGTTCTGCTTCTTCTCGCCATAATCAACGCGTAGGCGGACGCCGAAAATGCCAGATAACGAGTATGCGATGTCTTCTTGTAATGTTGTGATACGTGTCGACGCCCACTGGAGTTTCTCTAGCGCGCCTCTCATCTCGGTCCCGCAGACGAAGCGTCTTGTCCACCGAGCCTGTGACCATTCGACATCTATCGAGGAAAACTGCCACTGCGCTTACGCAGCTCTGATGATCTTCAAAAGTTCGAAGGGGTGTGGTGCTTGGAATGGGCTGCGACATATTGGAGGTTGATGATGTTGAGCACGGTCGAGGTGGACTTATGGAGGGATTGTTGGCGTCTTTCTTGAAGTTGCGGAGGTATGTGTGTTATGCGATTCATGCTGTGTCACAGCATTTACCTGTCTCTTGTTTCCATAGACGCTCAGCGACGTACGCGAGATGTGATATCCAGGCATGTGCTAGAAGTAGCCGCAGTTCCATATGAGAAATATGAGACGACGTCGGTTTTACTTGTAACGACTGCGGGCAGAAGCGGCGGCGTATTCGTGAATACAAGACGGGTTATTAATTAGGCTTGAATCATAAGGACAAGTCTTGGGGATCAAAATCATCTGTTGATTCCAAAGCAGTATTTCAGGGAGTAGCCTGCGTCAGCCATGGCCATTTGGGAGCAATTAATGAGCTGCTCTGATTATGCTGCATGTAATATCAATGAACGAATTATTGATATTAGATCTCAGTGTCGTGACAGCCTGTCCGAGTCTTACTGCTAGCACTGCAGAGTCAATTTGGATGCAAACCGGATAACACGGGTATTACTAGCTATAGAGCTTATAAGGAAAACTATGTACCATGTAACGCAGGCAAGTTGCAAAGTCCAATAAAAGCCTACAGGTCGAGGTTAATGGGAGTGCAGCCAATGTTGACAAGGCCGTTCTGGAATTTCTCCCTGTGAGACACAAGCTTGTGAGAGGACTTCTGTAACTCACCATTTTGTTGCCGCTGCAGCACATGGGTCGCTGGTTGCACGAGGCACCACTGCCAGTACCGATGACAGTAACAGGGCTGCAGTCAAGGCCAACCTCGCCGACGACCCCAGCAGCAATTTCCACAAGGCCAAGAGACCTTGCCGCCTTGTTGTAGTTGGAAGTCTACACAAATCATGAGAATTAATGAAAAAATTAATAGGAACACATTGCTCACGGTGGTAGAGCTCTGACAGCACTTGATGTCACCGGTATTGCACTGGCCATCGCGGAGAGCGAGGGGACTCGTGGCGACAGCGAGAGCCACAATGGAGGCAACAGCGAAGAAACGAGCGAGCATTTTGTTTGTGAAGTGGGATGGCTAAGAAACTTTGGTGAAAGAGTGTGCAGAAGGCTCGAAGCTTGAGTGAGAGCTGGTTAAAGAAGAGATGTATTCTGAAGAATCAAACGCATCAACAATCCACCTTTATACGATGAATGCATGCTGGAACCCGGCTGCTCCGCGATCTTTGTCAGTGTTTTCTTCTCAGATCGAATAACCGACGGCAGTTACTGTACTCATCGCCAGTCCAGCCCGTGGTCTGGACTCTGGAGCATGTAGCCGTAAATGCAATTGAATATTCATTACGTGAATCACCGTAGAGTGAAATACCGTGACAGACGCGAAATTTGACCACGTGATCTATTATCAACATCAACACGGCGTTTACTCCGGAGACCATCACTAGAAACTACCTGTGTTGTTCTAATGCCTAGCGCTCTAGTCCGGACTCTGTGAATCATTGAGCGATCTGCAACTCGATGGTTGCAATTAACTTGTTTACGCTCAGAAGCATATCTGTTTGATTAAGTACTCGAGTAAGGTTTTGTCGCTAATTGATGTCATTTTGTACAGCTTACAACTACCGGCACCAGGCTCTGCCACCGCATGAGGCGCTATGCTCATGTTTCTCGCTCGTAAGAGAGGCGAGGGAGGGTTGATACACAAAAAGTATTGACGTAGGAGCAGGTTTGCATCTTCATATTGATTTGCATTGAAGAGGGCAATGGCCTGAAATACGGCGTGAAGCCAGAGGTAGTATGCGAGACAGATGTAACCTACCTTAATAAAATCAAGAGCAGAAAATATATAGTTTCTGAATCTTGATCCGTATAAATGGATGCAACATCAAATGCTGCCCTCGCGTCCCGGACGTGCCCTTTCCCGCAAAGAGCGACGCCCCTAGAGATATAGCCTGTCAATGAGGGCTGGATGCTGACAGACTACGTCACGATCAAGTTAGCCTTGCGTAACGGGGCCATGATCGGCCAGTATGGCTCACCTTGATTGCGTGGTCCCAGTCGTGTTTTCGAGACATAACGAGCGAGCGATTAGCGTAGGAATTATAGTTGTTGGAATCGATGTTGATCTCTTTCGTGAGTAGTTCTTCAGCGGTAAATAAGTCACCAGTTATGCATGCACTGCGAGCTGTCGTGAATATCTGCACGAAGCATGTTCGAATTGTGGTATATCAGTCAAAAATCAAAGATAGAAACATGCCTTTGAATTGACGTCGGCGGGTATTGCCCACTCTGAGATTATATTATCTTCACCTCCACTGAGGATGTACTTGCCATCCACAGAGAAAGTGACGAATGCTGCCGAGGCTGAGTGCAAGAAGATGGCAACAGTTCGTCGATCTGAGAGCCGCCAGATACGGGTATGGGAGTCACTAGATGCAGAAGCGGCGAGTGTGCCAGCAGGATTAACGGCGATGGCGTTAATCCTACCAGGATGGCCCGTGCAGGGATCACTGACTTGCTCCCAGGTCAATGTATCCCATTCGCGTATGGTCTCGTCGGTGCTTCCTGTGAGAAGGCGAGTGCCATCAAGCGTCCAGGCGAGTGACAAGTTGTATCGTTCGTGGCCTTTGAGCTTTGCTACGCACTCCCTTGTGTCTGCATTGTAAATTTCGATATTGCTGTTTGTTGCGATGGCAAGAAGTTGGCCAGACGGCGAATACCAAACACAGTAACCACTAGACTTTATTTCTTGTAGCTCCCAGGTTGCGGTGCACCACAACTTCGTCGTGCTGCAGTTTGAACCAATGGCCACTGTTCCATCCGGTGAAAAGTCCAGCGAGTAGATCTGATGGACTGAGTGGACTTTGATCAGTGATTCTCTAGTTTCTCCTTGCTAGGCGATGAGCACTCCGCTCGTATCACCACTTGCTATCATTTGCCCATCTCGTGATACTGCCAATGCCGACACCCCATTGCTATGCCCCTCCATCTTCTTCAACATAACACCCGTCTTCAAGTCCCACAGACGAAGCGTCTTGTCCACTGAGCCTGTGACCATTCGACGTCTATCGGGGAAAACTGCCACTGCGCTTACGCAGCTTTGATGATCTTCAAAAGTTCGAAGGGGTGTGGTGCTTGGAATGGGCTGCGGCATTTTGCTGGAGGTTGATGATGTTGAGCACGGTCGAGGTGGACTTTGGAGGGATTGTTGGCGTCTTTCTTGAAGCTGTGGAGGTATATGTATTGTGCGATTCATGCTGTGTCACCGCATTTACCTGTCTCTTGTTTCCATAGACGCCCAGCGACGTACGCGAGATGTGACATTCAGGCATGTGCTAGAAGTAGCCGCAGTTCCATATGAGAAATATGAGACGACGCCGGTTTAACTGGTAACGACTGCGGGCAGAAGCGGCGGCGTATTCGTGAATACAAGACGGGTTATTAGGCTTGAGCTTGAATCGTGAGGACGAGTCTTGGGGATCAAAATCATCTGTTGATTCCAAAGCAGTACTTCAGGGAGTAGCCTGCGTCAAGCTTCAACTTCGAAATGAGAATACACATCGGTACCGTGTGAGTCGTAGTAGTAAATGATTGCCGCCCGACGGTATTAATATTGAGCGCTTGGAGCCTCATCATGCTATGCAGAATCATACCCAGGGTAGCTTTAACCGTCGTTCTGACCTCTTGTGGAATTTATTACTATCTGTGAGCCTTACAAGCAATAATTATCCCGGCGTGGTTATATTCCGAATCCTGTTAATACACGAGCGACGTGAAAGAAAAATATCAATGCGCGATAATAAGATAGCATGACATCCAGTGATAAAATCGACGGCTTCACACCCGAGACTGAGATGACCCTACAGTTTCAATGAGATGTTCCTATGCACGCATGTCAGGTGGTTAATCACAAGAATCACTGAAAATCAGCACACCTTTGCGATTGTCTGCCCTTCGGATAAAATGACGAGGCAAGACCGTAGACCCTTCAAACACCACTGCCGTTCAAGCCAAGCGAGGAGATACTGATCCCAGAAAGACTTGAATGTATGATCAAGCGCGCCGTTCCATGGTTCCTGAGCTCGCGAGAGATGGACAGCCCAATTTTGGCATGCGTACTTGAGAGAATCGGAAGTTGATCCACTTCGCTCCCGTGCTTCAGTTGCGAAGGTCGTGAACGCGGTCATAGCATGGATGACCTCAATGTCTGGACGATCTGGTGGGAATGCGGAGGTGGAGTGATCCTGGGGCCTTAATGCCAAGAACACCGGAAACATCAAGAAATCTGATAAGCTCTTGAACTCCTGGATGACTCGAAAAGCTGGTGGTAAAGGCAATTGTGGGCTTATTGTGTATTCGCTGATCGTTTCCAATGTGTTCAAGAAGTCTTCCATTGTTACCCAGACAGACGCCGCAGGGGTCAGTTGCCATGCTTGCCCGTGGGGGGTCTGGCGCCACTCTCGCCCGCTCTGGGTCTGGAGCCACTCTCGTCCGCCCTTGGTCTGGAGCCAGTCCCGCCCGCTCGGGGTCAGCAGCCAATCTTTCCCGGCCTGCATCTGCAGCCATTCTTGACCACTCTTGGTCTGCAACCCATCTGGGGTCCACAGCCACTCTGAAGAATAAAGCCATTGTCGCCCTTCTGCGGTCAGGAGCCACTGTTCCCCGCTCTGGGTCAGCAACCACTCTTGCCCACTCTGGGTCAACAGCCACTCTCGCCCGTGCCAGGTATGCAGCCAATCTGTCCCGGTCTGCGTCTGCAGCCACTCCCTCCCGGCCTGCGTCCGCAACCACTCTCGTCCACTCTGGGTCTGCAGCCGATCGTTCTCGGCCTGCATCTGCAACCACTCTCGCCCATGCCAGGTCTGCAGCCACTGTTCCCCGCTCTGGGTCAGCAACCACTCTCGCCCACTCTGGGTCAACAGCCACTCTCGCCCGTGCCAGGTCTGCAGCCAATCTATCCCGGTCTGCGTCTGCAGCCACTCCCTCCCGGCCTGTGTCTGCAACCACTCTCGCCCACTCTGGGTCTGCAGCCATCCTGTCCCGGCCTGCGTCTGCAACCACTTTCGTCTATTATGGGTCTGTAGCCATTCTGTCCCGGCCTGCGTCTGCAACCACTTTCGTCCATTCCGGGACAGCCATTTGTCCCCGGCCTGCGTCTGCAACCACTCTCGCCCGTGCCAGGTCTGCAGCCAATCTTTCCCGACCTGCGTCTGCAACCACTCTCCATCCATGTAATGCAGCCAATTTTTCCCGTCCTGCGTCTGCAACCACTCTCGTCCATTCTGGGTCTGCAGCCAATCTTCACAGGTCCGCGTCCGCGTCCAATTTTGCAGCCAATCTGTCCCGGCCTGGGCCAGCGCCCAATCTTTCCCAGCCTGGGTCAGCAGCCAATATTTCCCAGTCTGGGTCAGCAGCCAATCTTCCCCAGCCTGGGTCAGCAGCCAACCTTTCCTGGCCAGCTTCTGCAGCCAATCTTTCCCGGCCTGTGTCTGCAGCCAATCTTGCCCGGCCTGTGTCTGCAGCCAACATTCCCCAGCCTGCGTCTGCAGCCAATCTTTCCCGACCTGCGTCTGCAACCACTCTCCATCCATGTTCTGCAGCCAATCTTGCCCGGCCTGTGTCTGCAGCCAACATTTTCCAGCCTGCGTCCGCAGCCAACATTCCCCAGCCTGCGTCCGCAGCCAATATTTCCCGGCCTGTGTCTGCAGCCAATCTTGCCCGGCCTGCGTCTGCAGCCACTCTCGCCCACTATGGGTCAACAGCCAATCTGTCCCGGCCTGGGCCAGCGCCCAATCTTGCCCGGCCTGCGTCTGCAGCCACTCCCTCCCGGCCTGCGTCTGCGACCACTCTCGCCCACTCTGGGTCTGCAGCCAATCTTTCCCGGCCTGCGTCAGCAGCCAATCTTCCCCAGCCTGCGTCAGCAGCCACTCCCTCCCAGCCTGCGTCAACAGCCGTGCTTTCACGCGCAGAGTTGTTAGCCAGCCTCGCCCATTGACCATCTCTTGGAGACCCCAAGTCTTCAGTACCGTTTGCTTCTTAGGTTCTCCAATGACTTCCTGGGCCTGACGTCTCCGAGCCCACAGCCACCGTCGCCCACTCTGAGTCTCCGGCCAATCCTCCCCGCTCTGGGTCTCCTGCCAGTTTTGCCCGCTGCTGGTCTCCTGCCACTCTCGCCCTCTCTCGGTCTCCTGCCACTCTTTCCCAGTGCTGGTTTTCAGCCACTCTTGCCCAGTGCTGGTCTCTAGCCACTCTCGCCCACACTCTCGCTCAGTAATAGTCTCCAGCCACTCTCGCCCATTGGTCCCCAGCCACTCCTGCCCACTGCTGGTCTCCAGCCACTCTCGTCCCCTCTGGGTGAACAGCCACTCTCGACCACCCGGGGTCTGTTGCAGCCACGCTCTCCCGGTCTGGGTCTTCAGCCACGCTTCCCCGCGCCGGCTCTGCAGCCACTCTCCCCCAGTTTGGGTCAGAAGCCACTTTCCCCCGGTCTGGGTCAACAGCCATTCTTGTCCGCTCGGAGTCTCCAGCCAGCCCTGCCCTCTGAACGTCTCTTGCCAGTATGTCTCGCTCCAAATCTCCAATGACACTTGCTCGTCAGGGTCTCCAACGACTTCCCGTCGTTTTTGAGTCCACAGCCACCCTCGACTGCTCTTCAGCCACTCTCCCCCTCTCTCTGTCTGCAACCAAGTGTCCCCCGCGCGGGTCCGCAGCCAATCCTCCCCGACCTGGGTCTGCAGCCAGCTTTCCCCTTCCTGGGTCCGCAGATACTCTTCCCCACCTCGGGTCTGCAGCCATGCACGTCCGTCCAAAGTTCCTAGCCAGGACCGCAAACCTGACCTGCGAGCTCCTCGAAGCCATAACAGACCCACAAGAACGTTAAGTGGCTCTGGTGGCTCGACGACGAAGGCTAATGATTGTTGTAAGCTCTTGGGGTCATCGGTTTGCGTAGCTTGGTTGTACCCCTTCAATTCTGAGAGCGCGTCCAGGAGGGCTGTGCTTTTTGGGATGTCTCGCACCATCAAGCGGAAACAAGATTCAGCGAGTAAGGAGTGTGGTGACGTTATAGATTTCTGCGACTGTACTTGTGGAACTTTGCAATTCGAGAGGTCCGAAACATAGTCACGAACAGACGAGTGATAGATATTCAAGGGGAGACTGCTGTCTGTAGGAATATCCATGACAGATCGTAGCTGTACTAGTGTCGTCTCGACATCCTTTCCCTGGCCAGGCCCAAGAAGTTTTGAGATCTGTGAGATCGACAGAGGGTCGGCAAGGGCTGCGACAATCGACAAGAAGAGGTACGCCCGCATGGGGTCTGCGCATGTGGAAAGAATCCGATCATATAATTCGTACACCTCCGTTCCTGGCAGCAGTTCACTAGTAAGCAAGAGCAAGAGCTCAAGCCGATCCCGGGGATCATTGTATCCATCGTCGATGAACTTCATCATTGTAGATGCCACGATGAAACGCCTCCCCGCTCGGCTCGCCAATCGCGCAAGTTCATCCGCCGTTGGCTGCGGAAAATCGGGATGGCGACTCTGCAACTCTGTAAAGGAATGCTGCAAGAATATATATATGTCGTCGTCGACATCTGCTCCGTCTAACGATATGGTGGCAGCAACGCCCTCCCCAGAAGTGTTCACCGGTATCTCGTACACCAGTGGGCGCATCTCGTCTTTTTGAATAGCTTTACGGATATGCTCCTCTGAGCGACTCGTGAGGAGAATGTGGATCACGGGAAGTTCAGGATCACGAAGGACTTGGCCAAGCAGGAAGATGAGATCGGCGACAGTTTCGGGCTTGCATTCATCGAGGGCATCAACAACAAACACCGGAGGCAAACATTCGCGTTGTCTGGACTCAAGGTGCCAAAGAGGTTGGCGAAATAACGCCATCATCTGGTCGCGAAGAGACTGGCTGGGGTTTAGAATCGCTGGATTCTCGCGGATAGCTCTGTTCACGTCCTTCCGGACGCTGGGAAAATTTCTGGCAAGCTGGTGAGCAAGAGTCGCAAAGAAATACCCAGTTGTGCTGCGGTTCGTATGCTTGCGCGAGAAAAAGAATGTCCCCGCGAGCCGTGTTTCGATATTCGTCTCCTTTGTCACTTTCAGATCTCTCATCCTTTCAGCTACAGTGAACGCAACAGCAGACTTTCCAACGCCCGCTGTTCCATGCAACCAAATGAGTCGACTCTTCTTTCGGTCATCTAAAAATCCATGGATGTATTTGAGAAGGTCCAACCGGGTCCCTTCCAAACATTTCGGATGGGGCTGGCGTTCGGAAGAGTCAAATGCGGCGCCTGGGACAGCGACCCGGGCAAGCTTTTCCAAAGGTCCTTCAGACGATTGAGGAACTGCAATTGGGTCAGAGACCGAGAAAAGATAAAGAAGAAGGATACCGACACTGATCCCAGTCACTCATCGACAGAGATTAATGATAAAATGTGATAGAAAGTGTGAGGTGGAGTGCGACGACTCAGGGAAGTCCTGGTTGGGTTCGAACGGTTAGAAATCTTATTGACAATAACTACACAGAAGGACGACGTACGACGACGTGAATTGAAGAATCAAGTTTATGATCTTGTATCTTGTTTGTGAGTCCAGTGTAAGTCGTAAAAAGCCTTAGGCTGTGAAATGATATTTGGGCAGTCAACCACTCAGTGCGTGTGTTCGATTGGGCAACGAAACGATCGGATGATAGAGATGGTTAGGTTTGAAGGATGCTTGCGATAGAATGAATAGATTGGTCGCAGTGCTATTCAAAGCTCGCTGGATGGTGATGGAATGCAGTAGAAGGACGGGCGGGCGCTTGGCCGGCTGTGCGAAGGACAACTGCTGTGTGGCCTCGCGTCTCCCATCCTCGGCGCCAGCCACAGGCTGCATGGCATCAACAAGCCAGAGAACACGCCGATCGCCTGAATTCCTTCCTTCTGTCTCGAGGTGCGTCTGATCATTTCATGGTCCAAGCAACGAATGGGTACCGGCGACTACGCGCCCAAAACCCCGACTCCGCTCTCAGGATTGCATTATGTACAATAAATCCGGTCTGCCGGCGCACTTTGCTTTTCTGGCCAGGACTAGGGCTCCGTGAAAAACTCCCCACGGAGTTAACGACGAGTTTTTAACCTACCCCCACCTTCGAGGGGTTTTCGACACGAGTTAAAAACTAGTTTTTGACCAGTTTTTGACACACTCAAAAAACGTGTTTTTCCAGGTCATTTTGGCATTTTTTCGCTACGGTAATGCAAATGCCCACGGCACGGGCCCTCTCAACGACGCTGGAACTGGTTACTGTGCTGTGCTGTGGGCCGTAGTTGAAGTGTCCTCCTTGCCCCTTCTACCGGCTTCTCTGATAGTAAGTCTCACAATCGAGGAGCATCAAGATTCAAGTCCTCGCTACCCACAAGTACTCCACCTGGGCCTTGCGCAACTGGTTCAGGCAAGTCTGCATACTCGGCGGCATCAATATTGAGTGCCTCGGAGTCACCTTTGGCATTATTTGACTCTGATTCTGCTTGGCGAGCTGCTGTAGCTGCGGCTGTTGCATTTTTGGTGTTGGTAGGACTCGGAGTCTCGGAACCACATATGATGTGTAAGTGCACAACTGTGCATTATTCCTGAGCGCAGCTTCGATACTGCCATAGAGCTCGACCCTATCCGGGTCCGGTCACTCTGGTGCATAATGCTCAAAATTATATTTAGAGTTTCCGAGGGGGATACTATGTAGAAGTTGTGCGAGTGCCGTTCGAGATACTTCATGAATCAAACATATTCTCAATTTGACAGTACTTTCGTCAGTCACCGGTCATATCTTATCGATTGTTTGGTGATTTCGGACGTTCAGAGACAGAGTTGACAGGCTATGTTCCTGGGATCATATACATATATATTCGAGTTTTTGACCAGTTTTTGACACCCCAATATCGACCCCGAGTTATCGACTGGTTAAAAACACGTTAAAAACCTGTCAAAAACTCCAACGTCAAAAACTCAGAGGTTTTTAACGGAGCCCTAGCCAGGACCATCCAAAATATGTTCAAGCAATGCACAGGGTATTATAAGTCGCATACGGCCGAAAGTATCAAAAAGTACGTAGGTTATATAGTGCATATGCTGAGTCACTGCAGTGAAAGAAATGGCCATGCAGGATCGTCGCTGACCACGTTAGCATACAGTGCACTAAGATCCCCCATAAACAATGTGAGGGACAGTCGGGGATTAGATCTCAGTGTCATGACAGCCTGTCCGAGTCCCACTAGTAGCGCTAGCACTGCAGAGTCAATTTGGATGCAAACCGGATAACACGGGTATTACTAGCTATAGAGCTTATAAGGAAAACTATGTACCATGTAATAACGCAGGCAAGTCCCAAAGTCCAATAAAAGCCTACAATTCAAGGTTAATGGGAGTGCAGCCAATGTTGACAAGGCCGTTCTGAAATTTCCCTGTGAGACACAAGCTTATGAGAGGACTTCTGTAACTCACCATTTTGTTGCCGCTGCAGCACATGGGTCGCTGGTTGCACGAGACACCACTACCAGTACCAATGACAGTAACAGGGCTGCAGTCAAGGCCAACCTCGCCGACGATCCCAGCAGCAATTTCCGCAAGGCCAAGAGACCTTGCCGCCTTGTTGTAGTTGGAAGTCTACACAAATCATGAGAATTAATGAAAAAAAATAATAGGAACACATTGCTCACGGTGGTAGAGCTCTGACAGCACTTGATGTCACCGGTGTTGCACTGGCCATCGCGGAGAGCGAGGGGACTCGTGGCGACAGCGAGAGCCACAATGGAGGCAACAGCGAAGAAACGAGCGAGCATTTTGTTTGTGAAGTGGGATGGCTAAGAAACTTTGGTGAAAGAGTGTGCAGAAGGCTCGAAGCTTGAGTGAGAGCTGGTTAAAGAAGAGATATATTCTGAAGAATCAAACGCATCAACAATCCACCTTTATATACGATGAATGCATGCTGGAACCCGGCTGCTCCGCGATCTTTGTCAGTGTTTTCTTCTCAGATCGAATAACCGACGGCAGTTACTGTACTTATCGCCAGTCCAGCCCGTGGTCTGGAGCATGTAGCCGTAAACGCAATTGAATATTCATTACGTGAATTTCAATATCACCTTAGAGTGAAATACCGTGACAGACGCGTTTGACCACGTGATCTATTATCAACATCAACATGGCGTTTACTCCGGAGACCATCACTAGAAACTACCTGTGTTGTTCTAATGTCTAGCGCTCTAGTCCGGACTCTGTGAATCATTGAGCGTACTGCAACTCGATGGTTACAATTAGCTTGTTTACGCTCAGAAGCTATCTGTTTGATTAAGTACTCGAGTAAGGTTTTGTCGCTAATTGATGTCATTTTGTACAGCTTACAACCAGGCTCTGCCACCGCATGAGGCGCTATGCTCATTTTCTCGCTCGTAAGAGAGGTGAGGGAGGGTCGATACACAAAAAGTATTGACGTAGACATTTGTCAGTGAAATGTCTCGTCCAGAGGTATTCTCAGGTCTGACAAGGGACCGCCGGTGTCACCGTGTGAACTTCGCGAAGGTTGGCGCCAGCACCAACTGTACTTCCAGCGCCTTCTCGTTCGCAAATTGACCACTGGGGGACACGCTCAAGCTTGTTCATTTCAACATTGAAGTAGCAAGGGGATCCTGGTATTACATGCTCAAGTGACACAAGTCAGTGTTGGGAATTTGCGATCAGCCTCTGGGACAACCAAAGGTATTTTTTTTGAGTGAGGCTTCTAGCTGGTCCTGAGTACCGGGTCATTGATTCGGGGCTTTGCGCTTCTCTAGATGTTATTCTTGGGGGCAGGACCACCCAGTACGGCGCTCACATTAATGAAGATATGGCGGCATTAGCCGAGTCCTCGAGGCTCGCGCGCCTGTATCGGCATATTCTTAGCTTCCGCCCGGATTCTCCTTGTCTTATCATCGATCTCCAACTGCAGTGTGAGCAATACTGTACGCTCAAGTTCACGATTGAATATCGAATATTGAAGGGACAAAGGTCCCTGGTTGGCACATATATTCACGCAACGCGAGTCCTTGATTACTAGTACCCGCCCTCTGGGACAGGTGATTTTTTTGAGTGAGATTTCATATCATATAGGCTCGATATACTGATAAGTGAGTACTTTCACAGGTCCTCATTGATGACGCTTTCCGCTTCCCTAGACGTTATTCCTAGAAGCAGGATCGCCCTCGCCGAGGAGAGTGGCGCTTACATCGATGAAGATATGGCTGCATCAGCCAAGTCATTGCACACCCTTCGTTCCCACAACAATCCTTTCATATCTTGCCTTCCGCCCGAGATTCTCGTCGATATCTTCACATACACCGTAGAGGAGACGTGCAATTCTCTTGGTGCTATGATAGCCACGCACGTCTGCAGGCACTGGCGCCAAGTGGCCCTCGAGTGCCCAACTCTTTGGACATATATCGACTGTGTCCGTGCTCGCTGGCTAGCCATTCTGCTCGAAAGGTCGAAGGGTGCTGCTTTGATTGTCATATACAGTTTACCGCACGTGCTAGAACGTTGCGCGGAACAAATTCTTTCACAATTACCTCGAATCAAAGTCCTCCGGTTGTGCTCATTTTCATTCGACGCTGATCGCATTGTGGACTGCTTATCATCGCAGCCTGCACCATTTCTTCAAAAGTTCAGACTCGGGGTCATCGATGGCCCTCATCCGCATATAACAGACACTATTTTTCAAGGACAAGCACCCCAACTTCGAAGCGTTGAGCTTTTTCAATGTATCTTCAGCTGGACATTGTTTATTTTCAGCGGGCTTCGAACCCTAGATGTGAGACGAGTAGGATTTGCCTCTTGTCCTACTCTGTTGCAGCTCCTGTCAGCTCTGAAACGTATGCCTGGCTTGGAGCAGCTTACGCTTGATCTGCTGCCTCAATCTGAAAACACTCAGCTCTTCCACGAAGTCTCACTTGCTCGCTTAAAGAGTATAGCGCTCCATGGCTTGACTATCCACACCGCTATATCTCTCTTCTCACATCTACTCCTTCCCGGTGATGTCAAGATCACTCTAGACCTCGCACCACCTGAAAGCCCCGAAAGCTTTCATGATCTTTTTTCTGCCATGTACAAGGATCCTGACAAATCTCTTCCTGTCATTCAGGCCATGCGTGCCGAATTCGCGTATGGTTTGTTTGATCTCCAATTCAGCACATCAACAGCATTCAAATCTGAATATTTCTGGGACCCTTGTCACGGCGATATACCACTCTCGATTAAATTCCAATGCCAGGAATTCAGTATAGAGCCAACCATTGTATTTGATGTGTGTCGGATTGTCCCGCATCGCAAAATCCAGCACTTGTTTGTATCATCCCGCTCCCTTGATCCTCTGGAACATTTCTGGCGCACAGGTTCTACCGTCCTTCCGGAGCTCGAAAGTATGCATCTGAGCGTGTCCACCCCCATCGGAAGCTTTATCGATGCGCTCCAGAGTGGAGACATGCAGGGCTCAGATATAGCGTATCCCTCGCTCCGTGATCTACGGTTCGACCATCTCAGCTTCGGATGTGATGAGCCTGGATACCTTCAGGCCATTCTCATGATGCGAGCCGAGCGTGGCGTCGGCATAAATAAATTGCAACTAGAGATGTGCAGGAATTTGACGGGCGATAAAGTGCAGCTCCTTCGGGATGTGGTTGCAGACGTTGATTGGGATGGGCATGAAGAGGATTTGTTGAACGGCGGATGGGGCTGTACTTGTGTCAGTTGCACTGTACTGAACTGGGATTCTATAATTCCAGTGGACTCTACCAGTATATAAATATGTGGGTGTATGCACTAATATTATATATACCGAAAATTGGCACGAAATACAAGGCTGCAATGAATACTGGCAGATGTATAAAATCAGCGCATTCTGGTTCCAAAGCTGGGCTCGGTGTACATGAGAGTGGGTATACACGACCGGAGTGGCAACCAAATAGTGGATACAATGATATGATATGTACCGGAGGGGGTGAGTGATGACCGTGCGCTGCTGCAAGAATCTTCAACCTAGAGTCCGTCGAGAAAAAAGAAGGCTAGCATTCGACCTCACATTCAGTTCAGGAACTTTGCTGAACGTTGAACTGGAGGTTAGTGTTCGAACTTCAGACATGTCGGAAAATGACACCGGGAAGGATCGACAGCAACTTCGCGCGGGGCCGTCCGAGGAAAAAGATGAACGCACAGCGGCGGGTAGTGGACCACTTCTGGATGTGAACGTGCTGACGGCCCATCGATCTTCTGGTGGCAACAACAATATTGAGTCGTGAGGGACATACTGTGACATGAGCCTAGGAGCAGTACTGCGCTGTGAGACCTTTTGTTGAGCAGGAGGGTGCCGATGCGGAAGAAGACTGCTACGAGTAGAGGGAGGAGGGCGAGGACACGGGCGATGGTAGAAGCATGGGGGAGATTGGGTATGCATGATCAGACACGCAAACACGATAACCTGGACGACGTCAAATGCGAGTGAAAGAGTAATCGTAACCTCGACATGTCTCCGGCTCTGAACCTCGACCGTCGGACACCACCAGCGTCCTTCCAAGGGCTGCCACAGCAAATCCAAGAATCTTGCAATCCCGAGGTCAATGGTGGGAGGCAAGACTATGCTCAGGGCAGCATACACATTGTACGCGAGACTGTCTGCGAGGAATGTGAACGCGAGACGTAACGACGACGGGAGTTATTTGAGGCGAAAATGCGCTTAGCGAGAATAAGGGAGAGAATGGCGAGGAGAAAGTTGGAGGAGATCTTGGATGCGTCGGAGTATTGCATGAATGGGATCCAGGGAGCATCGAGAAAGATAAAGGTGTCTTGATAAGCTCAGTCTTGTGGATACACGAGACCGCCACCAGAATGTAGTGATGACAGCTGTACTTGGATGGATCATCAATGAAGTGCGGCGACTTAACTCGTCGACGTTCGCTCGTATCCAAAGTCTCCGAATGGCCTGCGACACGGTGTGAGGCTCTGAGAAGACTCGGCCACCCTGTTAAAACTGCGCGTTACAGCGACTGATTCAGAAAGCGGGTGCTAGAGACACCTTTCTCTAAAACGCGATATCTGAATCAATCGTCACTAGGAGTTACGTCGATAGATGCGAAGACGTGAGCCTCACACTGGGAGGAAAAATGTCGATGGGTGTCGTGCGCAATGCGCATTGAATATTGAGCGCTTAGTTGCGGTATCCATCTACACTTTGAGTACATAGCTCAGTCTGAAGAAACACCCGAACTCTTCCTTTCAGTCGCAGACATTATTGACAAACATTGTCAAAACCAATATGAAGCAGATTCTGGGTCAGCCAAGTGCATTTCTGGATGCTATCTCCTGCAAAAAATGCGGCACTTGCAAATGTTATTCGGTCCCTGCCTCGACGCAGCTCAGGTGCTCGAAGTCGACAAGAATTTATCTAAGGGCACGTGAGAATGAGCAATCTCAAAATCCAACTTATTAGTATTAGACCCACTCAACCCGCACCCCACAATAAAAATGATCCCTCGATCAGTCATCGGCGCGTCTCCCATACTTCTGCAACCATCATCTCATGTCTCCTGATCCTACGTCTCAGCAGGTAGACGAGGAAACGCCTTTGCTTCAATCAGAGGAAAATGCGCCGAAGACATCGCAAACACCACTACCATGGCGCCAGTTCTCAATGCTCCTAGTGTTGCAGATTGCAGAGCCAATGGCAGCGTCAGTTATCTCGCCTTTTGCGCCTCAGGTTAGGATTTACTATTGAAGATTCAAACTGACAAAGTCACAACTGATCATGCCATACGTAGCTTATTCGTGACATTGGGATCACCCACGGAGATGAAGCGCTCGTTTCGTTCTATGTTGGGCTGCTGGTAAGTGGGTAATAGAGAGCGTTTTCATCGGGGTAATCTCAGCGTTATGGTCTAGCACTCTCTGTTCTTTGCAACCGAAGCGCTCACCATCTTCCACTGGAGCCGTCTCTCTGACTATATCGGTCGCAAACCTGTCCTGCTAATCGGACTGTTCGGACTCTCCCTCTCTATGTTCTGCTTTGGTCTGTCCAAGACATTCTGGAGCTTGGTGATAAGGTCTGTCGTGTTTCTGCACAATCTTTATTTGAGACAGAGTTCACATCTTATCGTGATAGTCGTTGTCTGAATGGCGCACTCAATGGAAACATAGGCGTTATGAAAAGCATGACTGCTGAAATGACAGATTCGACTAATCTGGCCCGCGCGTGGGCATTCATCCCTCTTGCCTGGTCCAGCGGTACTACACTTGGGTATGTTGTGCGAAGATTTCGTTCTCTATATGTACTGAAATAATCACAGGCCGCTCGTAGGCGGAGTACTTGCACGACCTGCGGATAGGTTCCCTAATATCTTTGGGGGTTCTGAATTTCTGAAGAAATATCCTTATTTCTTGCCGTGCGCGGTCCCTGCCACTGTGTCAGCGTTAACATGGATCGTCGTTTTTCTTTACATGAAGGAGGTATGTTGTCCCATCGTGTGACAGGATGAATTTTCATGTAAATCGTAGACCGCAACTCCACAAATAAACATTAGCCAACTGCTACCTTGGAAAAAGCGCAAGACTGTTCCTTCACCTGCTCTAGAATCTCCGCAGGTATCATCTTCAGTCGGTGATATGCCCGTCCCCATTCGAGCTCTTTTCGTTCGTCGTGTAATCATCGCAACCGGGAGCTACGCTGGTGTTGCCCTTGTTGATATCGCATTTCGCACTGTACAACCCGTGTTTTATGCTACTCCCATATCGCTAGGCGGTCTGGGGTTCGATACCCCAACCATTGGAACTGTTCTGGCAGTCCAGGGGATCTTGAATGGGATAACGCAGCCGTTGGTATTCGCCAGGCTTCATGATGTCATGGGTCCGAAAAAACTTTGGATATTCGCTGTGACTTGCTCCCTGCCTATGATCGCTCTCCTCCCGGCCTCGAATACCCTGGCGAGATCTAGTGGTGTTGTACAGAGTGTATGGTGTTTGGTGGCCCTACAAGTCGCTCTTGGGAGTTGCATGAACTTCGCATATGGTTTGTCGTTGTCATTCTCTCACTGGTATTTCTGACGCGTTCTGGCAGGCATCTCGTTCATGTATATCTCTGCGGCTTCCCCTAACCGAGCGTCTGTGGGCGCGACAAACGGGTTTGCACAAGTGATCGTTTCTGTGATGCGCGCTATTGGACCGGCTGCAGCCAACTCCGCGTTCTCGATAAGCATCGAGAAACATTATCTTGGAGGGAATCTGGTGTATTGTGTAATGGCAGGTATGGTGTGCATGGTGATGGGCATCGGCTTCTTGTTACCTCGCACCATGTAGACTAACTAGCTTAGATCAAAGAGGGTTTCATTTGTTGGGTCGATGCGATTGTGATATTAGTTTCGAGCCAAAGTTCTGGGACCTCCTCGATTCCGCTTCCCAGAACGCCTGGCTCGAGACCATTGTAATCGGTGACTTGTTATCTGGTCCGATTTGGGTGAAAACGTAGAAGATGAGCTTTCTGTCCTGAACATGGGCTCCCGCCCTGCGGTGCATCGGAGTTACGGTCAAGCTACTTGCACCAACCTGGCAGGGCGTAGAGACATCCACCCAAGGACCCTCACGAAGCAAACCACTGATTAGGTCGTCGCTTCATTACAGACTAGACTGTCATAGACGACTGAAGATAATGTTTTAGGCGCGCTAATACCCCTAATGGTCTACCAGGTTTGGCGCCGGGTGATTTATTTGGCAACATATCTGAAAACTTAAGCCAGCATTCAAATTATGAGGTAGGGATACCACAAAGGTGCCAAATTTTCCTATGATAAGTAGCAATCAGATACGTGGAATACCCCTCCCTCAACTCTGAGTATTATTTTGGTCTAGATGGAGGGGGGAGGTGGTCATGTTCAGCTAAAACAGTAGGGTTGGCTTTGTTCCTAAACTCAAACAAGGCAATAAATTCATGTTTCAAGAGCGCGAGAATGTGTTGTCGAATTTCAACACCACATTTCCCGCTCCAAACCTGAACAGCAATCACGGTCCGTTTGTCTATTTTTTTCGAAAACAATAATGCATGACAAGGACTGAATCAGCAAAGCAGCTTGGCAAGAGGGACGCGTGACAGTTGCTGCTATACAGCAGCACCCTGTTATCGAATGACTGAGGGAGTGATAGTGGCAGCGTGAGCTAGATTGGGTGAGAGGCCGGCGCGGGTGTGGGGTCACGGGTTGCGCGACCACGTGTGATACTTCTGACGAAGGGTGATAAGCCAGGATAAGATAAGTCTTATTCATTTACGCACCTGACGTGGGATGGGAGGTGAAGTTATGATAGAGATATAAGGAGCTCCTTCAACCCCATTGTCTTCATTCTGGTCACTCACCAACTCTTCACATTGCAAAGTATATCTCTGATGGCTGAACAAAAGGTAGATCTTGCATCGCTCTCAATCTTCCGCGCGACACGCGCGCAGGTTGAAGAGTCACGGCGCCGGTCGTTTCCGCAATGGGGTGGTACTCTGAGTCTTACAGAGTACCTTGCGCGAGATGCGACGATGGAATGTGGCGAGCACGCCAAGGATGGAAAGTTGATCACTTGGTGAGCGCTTCACTTTGCTAGTAGAAGGTAGCTAACGGGAGAGAAGGGTGCTGGCGCCACGGAACGACCCCACAACGCTTGATTTTATGAGTGCATGTGAGACGTAAGCGACTCGAGCTCCCTCGACAAACGAGCATTTTTCTGATGCACGTCTATGGGGACAGATACAAGCGCACAGGTCTTGTCGCATACCCCTCTTCCTCCCCGTCTGAACCCAACTCGGTGCACGAAGTAACTTGTTACGGTGTCGCCTGCGTGTTCACTCCGCCCTCAAAGCGCGCGCGCGGCTACGCCAGCCGTATGATGAGCCTCCTGCATTGGGTCAATGGCTTGCGTGCCAATCTTCCTAAATTCCCAGAGGCATGGGGCGCACCGCCGGAAGAGGTAGCGGATGCCGGTGAAGGACTGTTCTCGGTGCTGTACAGTGATGTGGGGGAGGAGTTTTACCGGTCGGCTGGCCCTGGAGGTAAAGGGGGTGGATGGGAGTTACGGGGAGCGACCTCGACTATTTGGGAGGTGGGCACCGAGGAAGGTGATGACGAGGGATGGAAGTGGTTAACGGAGGAGCAACTGACTGGGCTTTGGGAGCGTGATGCCGTGCGGATCAAGAAAGAGCTGACGGACATACCAACGAGCGACAGCTCATACATTGTGGAACGACCAGCGGCATTCGCAACGTACCTGCCAACGGGTGGTGTCTGCGGGTTCCACATCACAAAGTCGACGTTCGCCTCGGATTTTTCCATAGCAGGCGGATTCTGGGGTGTAGAGTCCACGAGTGACCCAGACACATACGCAAGCTGGAGCGTTGACTTGAGACCACCTCCACCAACGCTGATTGTCACGCGACTCTGTGCCAGTGAAAAGATGTTCCCTGGGCTGATTACGAAGATCAAACAGGCGGCTAGACGAAGCGGAATTGGGAAAGTGGAAGTGTGGAATTTGAGAGTAGGATTAAAAGAGGTTGCGGAGAAAACGGGTGGGCGGACGTTCATGCGAAATGAGCATTTGCCTCAGATAGTGTGGTATGGGCCTGAAACAACGGGGAATGTAGAATGGGCGTATAATGAGAAGTGAGTCCTCCTGCTATCCAAAACAATGGGATAACTGACAGTTTTCAACAGATTCTGTTGGTGCTGACAGTGCGTGGTCGCTGGACAACCAAGCCTATTGCCAGGAAAATTTGAGATCATGCCAAGAGGTTGTCTCCTCTATACAGAATCTACAAATACTATACTGCAATATGTGGACAGACCAACCACAGACGAAGAGAGAACGCACTCATAACTTGAAGGAGTAAGTCACGTGGAAACCGGTGTGCCGCGGTCAACCAAGAACACGCTGAAGCTGGTCCATTTCACGATTGAAGTGAAGACATGGCTGGCTGAACTCTACAGTACGCAGTTTCCGACTAAAAAGTCGTTTCCCCAGTGAATTGTGGAGCTAGCGAGCAGTAGCTACAGGGATGGGTGCTGGATTTAGGGCAGGACGATTCAAACATTCGGGTGATGCGAGCCACTGGTGGTGCTAGTATACATAAACTCCGACTATCGAACTGCAGGAGTGTGACGGATGGTGATGTGCAGCTCTTTGAGAAAGTGTTTGCAGACGTTGATTGGGATGTGCATGAAGAGGTGTTGGTAAACGGCGATGACAGTTGTGTTTGTCCCACTAGTTGCTTGCTAATGGATGAAGATTCTGATGTCGATGCACATTCGGAGGACTAGATCACAGCTTAGACTTGACGAAGTTTATCTTATCTCGTTCGGCTGAGAGGTCATACTAGGTGCTTAAACGGTTAGGAGTCATTTGTGATTAACTAGGCCCGGAGACTAGAACGGTGAACTTGGTTTGAGATTTTCTCCCTTCTCCTCCATCTAACATGGCTCAAACTGAAGAAAAACCTGAATTCTTCCCTCCGATCGCAGACGTTGTTGATAAAACACATGCAGGAGATGAAGATATTGGCGCTAGACCACTCGAAGAGATCGAGTCTCTTTGCATGGAATGTGGGGAGCAGGTGCGTTCCCAAACATTCCGGATCGATCACTGTTGAAATACTCACATCCGTCAGGGAGTAACACGAATGATGCTCACATCTATCCCGTTCTTCCGGGAAGTGATCGTGATGAGTTTCCGCTGCGAACATTGCGGCCACTCAAACAATGAAATTCAGTCGGCGGGAAAGATCAGATGTGCGCACTGTGTTATCTCCTTATCTCTACCTCCTAACATTGCACCTACGAGACAGCCGAAGGCACTATCTACACAGTAAAAGTTCTTAATCGCGGTGACCTTGACCGCCAGCTCATCCGCTCCGAATCCTGTAGTATCAACATCCCCGAGTTTCAGCTGGTTCTTCCGCCCTCCCGCGGTCAGCTTACAACTGTTGAGGGTCTCCTCCGGGATATTGTTGCGGATCTCAGCGGACAGCAGCCGCTCCGACGCATTCAGGACGAGAACGCCTACGCCAAGATCCAGGAGATCATTGATGGTCTCAAGGCGATCATTGCCGATGACGAAGATGAAGGAAAGGACGAGCTTGAGAAGAGAGAACTTTCGAACGAGGATCCAGTCTCACGCGCGATCACTATTACTCTGGACGATCCATCTGGGAATTCATTCCTGGAGTTCGTGGGCAGCATGTCCGACCTGAAGTGGAACATGCGCACATACGAGCGATCGCTTGAGCAGAACCAGCAGCTTGGATTGGCACCTCCTTCAGAAGACGCGGAAAAAAATGCGGCAGACGAGGCAGAGCAGGGTCCGAACGAGGAAGTGTTCGAGTTTCCCGGAATCTGCTCGCGTTGCGCACGACCACTAATCACGCGCATGAAAAAAGTTTCTATTCCCTATTTCAAGGTGTGTGTTCGAAGGCACGCTACATCCGGGTTCCTGACAAGCACACCAGGACACACTTATCATGTCAACTAACTGCGATAACTGCGGATATCGGGATAATGAAATCAAGTCAGGGTCTGCAATTTCTGAGCAGGGCAAGAAGATCACGTTAAAGGTTGAAGATAGAGACGACCTTAGTCGCGATATACTTAAAGTAAGCACAAGTGTTTTTTTTTTTTGAGTTCTTTCGACTCAAGAGTGTCCTGTAGAGCGACACGAGCGGTCTCAGCATACCAGAGATAGACCTCGTTCTTCACCCCGGCACACTAGGAGGACGTTTCACGACTTTAGAAGGCATATTAGATCAGGTGTATGAGGAACTCAGCGAGAAGGTATTTAACGCGGGAGATTCTGGGGTTGTAGACGTCGACGACAGAGCCGAGTTCCAGGAGTTCTTGAGAAAGCTTAAGCAGGTGCGTTGTTTCTCTTACCATCGCACGACTCTCATTTTGATCTTTGCATTTAGGTCAAGAATGCCGAGATACCTTTTACCTTGATTCTAGATGACCCCCTGGCGAATTCACACGTGCAGAATCTTTATGCACCTGATCCAGATCCGAACATGGAGATCGTCACATACGAACGAACTTGGCAGCAGAATGAAGATCTCGGACTGAATGACATGAATGTGGAATCGTACAGCGGTGATGATACGAAGGATAGTGGTACTCAGCTAGAGGTCATAGGTTGAATAAAAGATTCAGACGGGAATCGTCGTTTGGTCCGTCACCATAGTATAAGCGGAATGATTGTCCATGGTTTGCGTTGGGTGATTACCGCCACTATTGATACATCGACAGCATTCAAACCAGCCCTTATCACAAAGGACAAATAAGAGAGGACGTCCAATGTAGCACCCATAAATACGCGATCGACGGTGATCACGTGATCATTGATAATTTTTGATTGACTGGTTCTAAAGTTCTGCAATCCGAGAGTTCTGCCTCGTAAACGTCCTTCGCATCTCTGGCCCTGTTTTGGACGCTGAAATCATCCAAAAATGCAGAGCGACGACGTGATATGGTCTGTAATCGGCCATGAATTCTGCTCGTATAAAGTCAAGTAAGTTCACCGCTATGATGATCTCCGCATAACTTACACATCATACATATTGCAGGACTGTCACTCAGGGTTTCTGCCGGAATGAGTACAATGTCACGGGTCTGTGTACACGGCAGTCATGTCCACTCGCGAACTCGCGTTACGCGACGGTGAGGGAGAATGAGGGCAAGTGTACTTGATGCAAAGTCGTACGTCGTGATTGATGTCCACCCAGGTGTGCTGTATCTGTATATGAAGACGATTGAGCGGGCACATACACCTGCGAAGATGTGGGAGAAGATTGAATTGTCAAAAGATTATTCCAAGGCACTGGAGCAAGTGAGTTGATCCCTATGCTCAAATTATTTTTGATGCACATGCAATGCGTCCGTCATCCAGATCGATAAAGAGCTCAAGTATTGGCCAAACTTCACCATTCACAAATGCAAACAGCGTGTCACAAAGATAACACAGTATCTCATCAAAATGCGTCGAATAAAACTACGACAGGAGTGCGTTTCCAACCCACGACCTTTTTACTACGCATTTACACTTTTTCAGGCCAAAACTCGTGGGTGTGAAAAAGAAGTTAGATAGACGCGAAGCGACACGGGAACGCAAAGCTCTCTCTGCTGCCCACCTTGAAAAATCCATCGAAAAGGAGCTGATTGAGCGGCTCAAATCAAAAGCATACGGCGATGCACCACTCAACGTCAACGAAAGTGTCTGGCAGGCAATTCTCGACCGGGAAAAGAGTGGAAAGGAGAAGGAAATGAATGCTGGTGCTCCGTTGGATATGGAAGATGATGAGACGGATGGAGAGGAGGACGAAGAGGAGGTGGAGGAGGATTGGGATGCTGAGGGAGGCGAGTTTGTTAGTGATTTCAGTGGAGATGAAGATGGCGATTTGGATGATGATCTGAGTGATCTGGAAGATGTAGTAGACGGAGGACTGGGCGCAGAGGAGAGTGGCGATGACCAGTCAGACGATGACAGCTCACCAGAAGATCAACCACCATCCAAAACCGTCCTTGGAAAGCGGAAAGCCAAGCCAACAACGAAGGCACCCCCACGAAAAAAATCGGACAAGCCAGGGAGAAGTGCGTTGTCTCTAAACTCGACATCCAGTAACTTATCATTTCTTCACACAGGAGGTCCGAGGGTGGAAGTGGAAATCGAGCGAGAAATGGAGAGCGTACCACTTACAAGGTCCGCGTTGGCCAATTGGTAGCCATCGGGGACTTGTTGGGTCCTCAGCTGTTTCACATATATATTTTACACTGCGGTACGAGCAGCCACATTCAATATTCGTGAGCGATCTTGATTATCGACTCAAGACACACGAATCAGCTCTCCATAGGCTGATCACCGTCATCATCACCCTCTCTCGCCATTGTTGTTTTCCCCCATTGAATGAGCTCTGACAACCGTGGCTGAGATGCCAGTGGCTTCCTGCTCAACAGCGCCCGAAAAACCTTTCGACAAAACTCGGCATATGTTGCTCGTTCCTCCCCAGATGATAGGCCCTGGTGTTCAAGTTATTAGCTCCAAGATCAGGAATCAGGACAATTGCACGAACTTCATAGTTGTCTCTCATAGCTGAGAGCATGGAAACTAAGAAGCCAAGATACTTGTGCTTGACAGGATCTACGTTATCTTGCAAACACTCAGCGACATTGGTGAATACCGCTGATTGACGTTGAGCGGAGTGTGACTCTGATGAATGAATTCTCACATTCAATCAGCGTCTGCCGCATTGTTGAATATTCTTCCAGCGATATTTTGAATGTGGAAGATCCGGTTGACGGCTCGGCCAGCACGCCACGTAGAAGTGGGTGTCGAAGACCGTCCAGAGTGAATACAATGGATGCATATTCGTGTTCGATTGTCGTCTTGGAGGGAACAGTACTTGCGAGGAGGACTTCAATAAAATAGTCCTCGTAGGCCTTCATGCGCTGAGTATTTTTTTATGAGAGTTCAAAATGTGTCTTACATTGTAAGCCTTCGAGTCAAGTCTGAGAAGTGCGAGACAGAATCGAAGACCAACCCGGCGACGCCATAAGGGATCAGGGATCCGTTCCCATGATTCAGGCCCAAGGTGCATGTGGTTTTTCCAGCTCTGAAAAGGAAGAGCTGAGCAGTAGCAGTCGAAATAAGTATCGAAACAAACCGATCCGTTGTGAACGAGCACATTTCCGACTCCTACCCAACAATCAATCCATCTATCAGCTGTCTCACGGCGACTATCGACTCTGCTTGGTGCGGGCGAGTCAACTACATATCTGCAAACAACCCGGAATATTGCTGAAGACAGCGGTCCGCAGACCTGGAACCTGTCAGTCAGGAAAATATGGGAGGAACGAGACCGACCTTGCAAACTGCTTCTTCTTTCCGCTTCCACTCCATTCCAGAAGTCTGTGCAGGCTCGTCACCAAGAGCAGCTAGGATTTCAGGGTCGTTCAAGTCGATGAAGAATTTGTCGTACTCGTCCTGGCTCTCCTGGTTATCGACACTCGGTAATATCGGCGGTGCGACGGGTCGGGGTAAGGCTTTCATTCGAGCATCCAGAAAAGCTGATACCACCTCTTGGCACGCAGCACTCGAGTCGTTCTCTATGGCGATAGGATTTTTGGGACTGAAGACGTCCTTTACCCATGCTGACGAGCCAGAAAAAGTCAGGGGACATTTCATTGACATTGGTCAACCACTTACGTCCCTCTAGAAAGCCAGGATCTGGATACTCGTGTCGCTCATCCATAGTGTCCAGTGAGCATGTCTCAATCATACGAACAACTGACGTGAGGAGACCCTTGATCATCTCCACTGTCTTATTCTTCACGATATTCATGTTCTCCTTGCTCGTTAGAGCACGGGCTTCCTGATATTCATCCAGCAGGATGTCGGTAACCTCGGCGAGCCAGCTGAGGATGTCTCCAAGCTGTACGCAGTGATGACGCATAATAGCACAAATATGTTCAATGCCTCGAATGCACACAGCCCTGGTAAAATCGTGTGCTTCTTTGAAGTTGACGCATCGTCGAGCTTGCCCGACACGGTGTCGAACGTTGGAGGTGGACGGATCAAGATGAATTGCCACCGCCATAGCATTGAGCCGGTTGAAAAGCATAGAACTTTCATGCCCAGTCGGTTGAATGGCCCTTGTCGATGACACCGAGCCAACTGGAACGACCATATTTAACATTTTCTTCACCTGTATATCCCGCTGTTTATTCTCCGCGTCACTTGTGCTATCCGCTTGCGCAACTTGTACGATCATCTTGAGGAGCACTTCGAACACGTTGTCGCCCCTGTCTTGGACCGAAAGTAAAGATATGTCCCTTTGCACCATGAACTGCATGAATTTGGGCTGTTCGTGCCGGAGGCTGGCAAATCTACGGCTCCTGAAGATTTCCACAAGGTGGTTGAACATTATCATCGCATCGTCCAAACTCCAATGCCAACGCTTCCACAGGAGGAAGCATCGAGAAGCGATGACGGAAACGTACTCGTCTCGTTTGTTCAGGGATGCGGTATTTGTGAGGGCATCCTTTTGTGGATCGGCAACAAGGGAGATGAGCTTCAGTGTAGCCAAAACCGTGTCCCATGAAGGTGCGATTCTACTGAGGGATGTCGACATCCCGTGCACAGAGAACTGAGAGAGGGCACAAAAAGAGAACATATTCCGCCAAACGTACTCGCTCGCCTCAACTGCAGTAGTGAAAGATAATGCTTCGTCTTGGATCAACTGTTTGAACAAAAGCCAAAATGGCTCCGATGATAGTTTGCCAGGAGACTCAGACGTGCAGTTAATCAAGAGGTGAAAGAGGCATATCCACGACTCTACAACCTGAACGGGAGTTGAGTTGGTCTCCAGAGGGCCATCGGGTTCCTTAAACGATTCTAGAGTCTCCCGGAGGTCTACATCTGTCAGAGGCCGCATGAGCAAGAGCGCGAATTTGAACAACTCTCGGGTCTCTGATGATCCCCGCCGAGTCCTTGCGGCGTGCGTGATTCGTGCAGCGAGCTCCACTGCAAACCAGCAAACCAGCAACGAAAAATGATGAAGATCCGCCTCCAACACCCGCGCCACCAAAGAACCCATAGTCTCGTGTATCGTGAGCTCCAGCGAACTGAATTCCTGGTCGCCGATGCTGAGACACTGCCACGATACCAACTGGCACACCGTTCGCATCGCGAGTTCCCAATCCTTCCCAGCCGCAGCCGTCCATTCGTGTCCTTTGAGCACGTCATCCGCAAGCTGATCGCACAAGGGTGCAAATACAGTCGTAAGGATATGTACCGATGTATCAGGTCCAAGGTCGAACCCTCGAATAACATATGGCGTGGGGGCAACAGGCTGAGTATGCCCCGTAATAAGGCATATCAGCTGGTGAAGAGATCCACGGCCAATATATGTTCCGGCCGAGAATGAAATTCCTGAGGGCAGGGAATCGATACCCAAGTCGACTGTGGTTAACAACGTCCGTTGATCTATAGCATGCATAAATTCGTGGACATCGTTATAGCCCTTCCTCCGCACAGGTGGTGATCGTTCGCGCAGAGGATCTGGCTGCATATCAAAGTCAACGTGGCTACGCCGGGAATCGACCCGGGAGGGTGGGGGACGGGGCCGAATACGTGGTTTTCTCTGACATTCGTCCTGACTGGACTCGATACCAGATTGAGGTTTAGAATCAACACGCGAAAATGGGATTCGCTGGAACTTAGACGGGGTATCTTCTCGACGAACTCGAGATGGAACCGTAGACGCAGGCTGCCGCGTTGATCCAGGCTGCTTTTGCCACCTATCCATCTCCTTCCTCCAAGTCGGGTCCAGTGCCTGATGAAATCCTTCATCACCCAGATCGATTCGCAAACCTCTTCTCGCGATATGCGTGCCAGATTGGTGAAAAATGTAGAGTTCTCCTTGGTCATTTTTGCGCTTCTTCCTCCTCCTTTCCTTCCGTAGTGCCTTGGCCTCATGCTCCGCCGATATCATTGGTTCTGTCTTCTTGTGGACCTTATTGTGATGTGAATGACGAGGGCGATGGTCATGGTCAGAAGAAATAGTGGGGAACGAGAGAAGGGTCTGGTTGCTCATTCGCGCGCCACCTGTTACAATGTTGAGCTTCGGCCTTGAGCGTTCACCTCTGCTTTCGCCCAGGGCTCGTGATTTTACACCAGAACCTTGGGACCTCCGACTTGACTTGGCCTTCTTCTTTCTCCCACCACCCACCGTCCTAGTCCGCGTAAGCATCCAATCAATCAGGCTCTTCTCACGCATAGGGCGGCGACTCCGACTCCATGCGTCGATCCGTGCATCGTCGATCATACCGTCGCTGTCCTCATCATCACTTTCCAATCCACTCTCGGAACTGGAAGAAATGCTAATGGCCGGCGACCTTGATGTAAATTTTGGAAACGTCCGCCGATGAACTTGTAATGCGATCTCTGGAACCTCCGCATCAACGTCCATGTCCTCATCCCGAGGGATTTCGAAATCCGAGCTCTCAGGGTCTCCCTGAATCACAGCATCACGTCCGCCAGTACCCATTCGGACGCGTGCATATCCAGGTCTCAAGGGCTCGTCGCCGCTATCAGACGGCGTTGGAGAACGCACTCTTTTCATGCTGGCGGGGATTTTTGCTTGGGAGCCCTGCTGCTTGAGCTGCTTCGTGATCATGACAGCAGGCATCATACGCTGTAAGAGGCGGAAACGCTTGCGATCTTTGGAGGATATTTGGAGCGAAGGACTGCTGGACTCCTCGCGCGACTCACGGGTGGGCGGATCATCGGACAAATCCAAGTGATCGTCCTTGTCAGGCAATGTAGACGAGGAGCGTGGTGGTGTCGACGGTGCCGAGGGGATTTCAATTGCATCGTTGTCGGTATCAGGATTGACGTTCTCTGCATTGTTGTGGTCGTGGTCGTTGTGGTCGAAGAAATTGTAGTAGTCGTAGTCATTATCTTGGTGATACTCGTATTCGTCGGTCACAGGGGGATTCCTTGCCGGCGAACGGGACTGAAGCTGTGAAGGACCAGCATCAAGGGAACGTGAGGGTGAGGGCAAGCGGGAAGAAGACCGTATAGCACGCTGCTTTCCCTTCAAGAGCCTGGATAGGACTGGCGGAGACCGCTGAAATGCAACGTATCCAGCATGTCAGCATATTGCGAGTGTTTCCACAAGAATCTCACCTCGTCCAATCGAGACGGCGAGCGCCTCGAGGATGCTGAAGATGGTCCCGCAACAGAGTGCTTTGACGATGAAGCTGCCAGAGGGAAATTCTTCAAACGTCTCTTCGTGGCAATTTCTTTCGCATTTGCCTCTTCCTGCGCCCTCAAGCGAGCTTCTTCCTTCTCCCTTTTTTTTGCCTCAGCCTCAGCCTTCTTCCGAGCCCTCCTCGCCTCCCTCGCCAATTTGCGAACTTCGTCTGCTCCCTCAATCTCATCGCTTTCAGACAGATCTTTGAGAGCCTCAGGAAGCCATGCTTCCTCCCGTTCACGGTTATGATGATCAGCTTCGGCAATGGCGACTCGCCTGTTCCGCCGCTTTCCTTCCACATCCACGTAATCTTGGTCCTCCTCCGGATTATCAACAGGAAATATATACTCTGCTTGCGTTTCGCCTTGCGTTTGCCCATCCGCCCACTGTGACGCATCTTCTCCATGCATCTCGTGACGCTGCGGACTCACAAACTTCACAATTGCATCAGGATTTGCCTTCATCTGCGCCTTGTACTGCGCCTTGTCATACGCGTACGGTTGAAGCTGACGTGCCTCCCTGCGACGAAGGGAGTAGCGGTTGATTGGTTCTGGGTCCTCTGGAATAACGAGAGATGGTGTCGGTGGGACAGGTGGAGCAGGCGGGAGTGGTAATCGATCCGGAGATAGTACGGGCGGAGATGAGGAGTGTTGAGTTATTGGGGTTGTTGGGGTCGGCAGGTGTCTTGAGCGGGGTGCAGGGGAGATAAGAAGTAGCTCATCAGGGGATGGAGATCGACGACCAGAGGGAGATGAAGTGCGTTGTGACGTGTCTCGTGTTCCATGAGAAGGCTTTTGAGTACTTTGGACAACAAGTCCCTGGGACGACTGTGTCGAAGGCCCTGGGGGAGAAGAAAACAATGACCATGAGTCTACCGGGCGTGACATAGAAGGGGATGGACTCGAAATTCGTCCCTCGTGTTCAGATAGAGCAAGAGGCGCTAGCGTCTGAGAAAACTCAAGAGCCTGAGGTACGGTTGCGTGGTCAAGACCCAGCATAGAAGGGGGAAATGTCACAGAGGCGGGTGATGACGGGAAGAGGGCGTCGTGCTGAGGCTGGGATGAATCGGGAAGCGGCGATTGGGGATCAGCCTGTGGCTGCAGATCGGCTGAAGCTGTAGGATGATGGGACACGTCTCCCAAATCAGCTGGAATAGGTGAGGTGGATTTACGGTCATTGAAATTCGGCTTCCCAGGGTGTGTGGCCTCGTTGTGCAATGACGCTTGGTGGGCATCGGTAGCTGGAGATAACAGATTGGACATATGGTTGAATGCAACCCGCGATGGTGAGTGCGGTGCGCTTGCATGGAGCACAGAAGATGTGGTAGGTTTCACAGGCGATGTATGGGATGAAGAACTGAGGTCGACAATCAACTGCGTCTCAGATTCGCTATGAGTGGTCTTCAGAAGCAATGAGCACCACAGTAAGATTTATATTGAGAATTCGGCTCTACCTTGACACGCTTCCGTGGATAGGGTTGACCTTCTTGCCCGTCATTAAACCTCCTATGCAACTTGGTGGCAGGACCTAAATTCGGTCCCGTCTTCTTTGGGGAGAAACAGGTGTAATAATCGGCCTCTGAGACATCAAATTCGCGTTCTTCAACGTCAGATGTGTCCACGACTTCATCAAGGTCCATGCAAAAAAAATTGGGTTCAGTGATAAGTACAGAGACAAGGTCAAGACTCGAAACAGGTTAGTGTGACAGCTACAACGCGACGTGATTCATCACGTGGTTGTGACCTTGGAAGCAGAGCCTATTTTTACAAGCACCACGGCAAGAGTTTGAAGCAAGCGTTATTCCCACCACAGTCACTGAGAGTCACTGTCGCGGGTTCTATGCATAGCCCCAGATAGCAAGTTGACCCGGAGCTGGTAATATTGATAACAAAAAATTCCTGCGCTTACCGAGGTCAAATATTGTGAGCACCGACTACCAGGGTATGAATATGATGCATTTTGTTATTGTGCGTGAAACAGGGGTCATAGTCAAGAAGGAAATTAGAACAACGGAAGACATAAGTTTGCGTAAGCGAATCGTGTGGTCCCGACAAGATTCATTGAAATCAAAATTGAGAAGGCGAAACCCAGACTTTAGATCTCTGTATGCCATAAATCGGGGTTGATTCATCACGTCGTCTTGAGCTTCTCTCTACGTTCTTGAATATCTTTTCTGGTCATGCGCGTACCGAGGAGCACATCCCAATGGACGAAGAAAGGCTGTGAGAAATTTGACTTGATGCCGATTGCCTGTACACCTCATAAACACAGCTTTCGAGGACAGACGGTAGTAAAGGAGCATACCTGATGATGTATGTCGTGGTAGTCTGAGTTATTTCCGCTGATCAATTGGAAGGGATCAAATGGAAAGCTGTATCCGCAGTGATCGTCGACGCCCTTGCCTGTGCCGTATATGAAGAAGAAAATGGTCTGCCGTATTGAAAGGCATGCGACGCGCTCTGCGATGGCTATGCCTAGGGTGTCCAGGAGGAAGCCTTCGAGAGGATGGCTGTAAAATGCCCCGAAGGCATAGGGGGCGCAAATTTTGTGGTGCACGGAGTGAATCTTCTTGTAGAGATACTGATTTGTGTGCATCAAGCGGTGGAGGAAGTATTGCCAAGTGTCAAGGATGAACCTAGAAAGACATCAGAGGGAGTCAAGAAACGTTTTATGGCACGTACAGCGCAAATAGGATCTGCGCAGCCGGGATTCCCCACCAGTACAGCCAATGGGTCATCTGAGCCCCCTGCAGCTCCAATATTTTGATCCCCGTCTCCTCCCCCAAGAGATATCGCACGACAAAAACCAGCGTTCTTCCCAAGCCCTCCATCTCGCTCTGACACCGTATAACCGAGATCTCTGGCGACTCTGTCAACCATGCTAAACCCACCAGAGTTTGCATCACATTCTGGAATATGATGGCCCGTCCGATCTCCCAAGGTGTTGCCAAGTTTCTGGACTCAACCTCCTCTGACTCGTGAATGCGATATTTATCGAGCCATCGCCAGCGGGAGATGTCAAGACAGTGGAACACGAGAGACATGAGCCAAAAAGTGAGCACTGGCGCAGCAAGTGCGACATAGGTGTCTGGAATTCCATCGAATATGTTTTGGCGGAGAGAGAAATAAAATGGAATTTCAATTGGGGGAAGGCAGACGGTGTCGCCCGTCACAAAAGCCGGGCATGTCGAGTTCGTTGATGAAGAAGAGAGTATTTTGAAGACACCGTGAAGTAGTTCGTGCATTGTAGCTCGGGACGGAATAGTCACCCCTAGCCAGACCATATAGAAGGAAGACAGTCCTTCATGATTTATGGACCAGTACTACGGTATCGCTAGTTGTAGGCGGACCTCTGCCATTCCGCCACGTAGCAGGGCAGAACTGGCACTGCCGGGCAGATGACAGAATTTGAACCTCTGGGGTAAAATGTGGCGGAACTCAGAACCGCGGGGCCCGCGCGATACCGTAGTACACTCAATTGGTTGCATTTTTGACCTAATTACAACGATCAAGATGAAAGTTGCATGATGGGAGAAGGACACTGCTTAAGCCTCCTCAGGAACTTCATCACAGGACCAATGATCGGTACGAAAGTTGCGTGATGGGAGGAGGGAACACTGCTTAAGCGTCTTGAGGAAGTCCCGGGAACTCGGCCCTGTCGTCTTGTGACCCCAGAATCTTCCGTGTACACACTCTGTCGGCGAGTTTAATCCATAGATAATCTAAATAGCCTTCTGGAAGTCGTAAATTTGGCTTAATGTGCGAGGCCTAGGGTGGAGCCTGGTATGTTGAGACCACTCGTGTCGTTCTACAAGATACTTTGTGTCATAGAGCTCAAGAGAGAGGAATTAAGGCACTCACTTCAAACGAGCGGAGCCCCCTTTCCATGTCCAGAAATTGCTAGCCCCCAACTTAATATCATAATTCCGATGCTTCGCAGTGAGTTTGACGCATAAGAGTGTCCTGGTGGGGTTAAATATCAGGAATGTGGATTCAATCAATTTTAATGTACCTTGATACACACTTTAAACTGTAAGGGACAAACTTTTTTGCATACGCATGAGAGACGCTGAAAAACGCCGTCCGCGACCAACGGGCTGGGGAACTCGAACACGCTCATGCGGACTTTGTCCTGGTTACTATTGCTGTTCTGTCTCATCTGCCGTATCTTCTGTAGGAAGTGCCTATCCCAGGTCTTTCTGCTCAAGAGATCGCTCAAATATACGGATCCTGACAGTTCAAATCGGACGTGCCGCTCACGAACTCGAGGAACGAATTCCCCGGGACAACTTGCATAGGTGAACGGATCCACTTTCGAATGTTCTCTCTTCTCCGGCTTGTCCTTTCCTTCGTTTTCCTCTTCGTTGTTATGACCTCCTTGGGTCCATCAACGATTTCCTGGGTCTCAGCGTAGATATTCGCATCTTGAACGCGTGTAAGCGGCGACTGTACCCTGAGACCCGCAACAGTGCCCTGGAGAAGACCTTCGACAGTTGTAAACCGCCCGCAGGAGTTGGCGCTACACCTTGGGAGCGGGTAAGTTGACGGTCGAGGTCACTGCGATTAAGGGCCTTTACTGTGTACAAATACCTCACGAACACCTGGTAGGAGAGACGTATAACGAGATGAAACAAGTGACATGTCTGATCTTCCACGCCGACTGAATCTCATTGTTTGAGTGACGGTCGCAATCAATGGATGTGAGGATCATTCGTGTTACTTCCTGTCGGACGTGAGTATTACTATACTAACCATCGGATGTTGGCGAACGCACCTGCTCCTCACTGCATGCAAAGAGAATCGATCTCCTCGAGTGGTCTCAGGCTGGTGCCGGTAAATTCTTCACCTCCAGGCACAAATACTTCGGAATTGGGCTCCCCGACTCCCACAAACGTGGAGAGGGTTTTGGTTTTATCTGCATGAAAACGCACGTTACAAAAGTGAATCATCAGGCTTCCGACCGTATGGGCATCAGCTAATATCCACATGTCCTGCGTCAATCACCTCCGGCTCCTCCCCCTCGATATCAGAAATATCAATAAAGCTCTGCTCAATCGCACGTGTATACGAGCTCATCTTCCACATGTCCCCTATTTTGATATTAGCATGGTCGAATGCGAATGCAACGACAGGATCTCCAGCCTGACGCTCAGATATCGAGGGTGGCATCTTGGGGTAGCGGGCCGAGAAGTGTGTAAGGAGGATGTTTTGTGCGTTCATGCTGTTTACTCATAAGTTGAGAAAATTCCTGTGAATGTATTGTAGGGAAACGCACCTTTTGCCTATGTCGATTGCCTGTCCAAAGGTGCTGTGCATCTTGGCGCGCGCCATTTCAACTTGATCGTTGGCCATGGTGGCTTCGTGGATGAGCAGAGTGGTTCCAGCGCCTGCCTGAACGAGGTTTTGGGTTGGGACTGTATCACCTGAGAATCTGAAGGATGTGCTGTCAGTAACACGACATGCGAGGGAAGTGACGCCATACACGACAGACCACCCATCCAGATGTTTGACAATCAGTCCATGGCACCTCGCGCGATGTTCCACTTCAACAGTATTGATTTTCTGCAATCTTAGGGTTTTGCACAACTCTGCTGCTGCAGGTCTCGATCTTTACAGAAAGAGAAAACAGAATACGTCAACAGATGAGAAAGCCAGGAGCTCAAACAGGCGCTCACCCCTTCTGGTCTTGGTCACCGTGATTCCACCCACTCCGTCCCTTGTTGCGCCAATGAATCTCATCACTCAGGATAGGTACAACACGGGCCCGTGCGTCCTCCGAGAACCCAAGCTCCTCAAGCGCGTTGTAATCCCGAAGATAGAGGAATACCATGCGATTGCTGATGATGTAGAGTGGTTCTTCCGGAGGGGGGTCAAGCTGTTCCACATCTTAGCGTCAAGAGATCATCAGGGTGGGGATACGCACCTGCTGTCTCATCGCCAAAATCTTTGCGAGACCAATGTGATGGTCGCCGTGAATGTGGCTTATGAAAATGCACTTTAGGCTTCTCAAAACAGCCCACACGCCAGCTCCATAATTCCTGGAGAGTTGCCCCCATGTGCCCTCTCCTGCATCTAAGAGGAGATATCCTGCTCCGGGAATATGCAGAAGCGTGCCAGAAACTGTACAAATAATTTGGTGGGTTTCCTGAGGTGAAAACAGGGGTGTGCGAACCATTTCGATACTTGCTAGGAACTGCACTGCCCGTTCCGAGGGTAACCACCATGACGTCCTTGCCTATGACGTTGGGCACTGTAGCCTCGTCGATGCGTGCTCGTGCCTCAGAAAATTGTGTTTTCGTAGCGTCAGATAGTGTCGGGGGCTCGCCAGACAATACGGCGGGGTGAAAGAGATCATTCGCCTCCGCCTCGGAGTCTCGTAGTGGGGGTCGTGGCGGACGGATGTCGATGATGGTATGCGCACGCATACAATCCGTATTGGATGGGAGATCCGTGGCTACCACAATTGTCAAGTTACGTGACATGATTGGGAATTGAACAAAACGCACTGTCGAGAGCTTTCTTAACCTCTAGAGAATATTTAGGAACGGGGAAAATGTCACTATCCAGCTGGTTGAGCCTCAGCTGGTTGAACGCCGCGCTAGTAAATGTGATCGGATCTGACGCATGGTCTTTAGATGCAATGATATGCTGCTCTCTATCGCATCAGGACCGCCATTCCACGTCCAGAAAAGAAGCTCTCACGTGTACATCGTCCTTGAAACCTTTTATGAACGCTTTATACCGCTCATGCTCAAATACATCATTTCCACAAAGATGAAAGACAACCCTCAGTGCATGATCTTTTTTCTCCTGCGCCTTGCCCCAATATTTCGAGAACGCGCCACTCTCAAAGCCCTGGACGAGAGAAGGAATGTGCGCAGTGCTGGGTGTGTCCAGTATCAATACGACCTATTATTTGGTCAGCACGCTGCCTCCCAAATCGAGAGCGTATGGTTTGAGAACATGGCACGAAAAAGGAACGTACCCCAGGATCCTCACTGACACCTACAACGTCACTCGGTCCGATAGTTCTCTCCACTCCATCTTTGCCCACAACAGTAACCGTCTCTCCCCTTGCAACCCGTGCACGTAACGGCCCAGCCTTCAGACCAAGTGCCTCCGCGCGCTTGACATCAAACCTTCCCCGAACCCGTGGACCAACCACAGCGTATGCGAGCGTTGCACGTCGATTGCATGGGGGAAGCGAAGGTAAAGGACGGTTGAACCCCGATGGCTGGGAGACATGTTCGACCTTCGTGGACGAAGCAATGGGTTTGGCGGCAGACCCAGGAAACATTGTGCGTACAATGTCTCGAAGCCATTCCTGTGCCATATCGCCAACTAGCGTGGTAGGGTCGAAGTTGGGATGAGATATGACTTCATGTAGCAGTGGTGCAGCAGGGGAAGGCGAGCGCTTCCTCTTTCCCGATTTCATGTTGACGACACTGGTTTCAGAGTGCGGAAGTGTGACGGATTCCGAGGCTACTTCCAGTGACTGGACATCAGCGGAAACTGGTAATGCGAACACAGAAATATTATCGTCCTTGTAGATAAGTATATCATCGTCAGATGAGTCATCTGGGAGGCGGGAAGTAGGTATTTCGATCGGGTTCACGGAGAGGTTTTCCCTATGTCAATGGTGTTAAAATGAAGCATTGAAGATTTGAACGTGAGTACCTAAATGTATATTTACGCATAGCTGCCATGAAGTGCAACAGCCCGGCTGGCCCGGCGACATTGAGACTGGTAAGGCCCGAGTCCGCAAAAGTCATCAATAACCCTGTTGAAGAAACGACCAACAGTTGACGTGCTTGCCCATGATTAGGATATAACTCACCTGGAAGGCCGCTCGCTCGTTGGGTGCCTACAGAAGTCAAGAACACGCCTCTAGTCTTCTTCCAGTTCCTCCTGCTCTGGAGAAACGCGCGGGTGGTGTTCTCTCCGACATTAAAGATGTACTTTGCAGAGTCAAAGGCGATGACAACGGCAGGCTCTGTATCTGAGGATAGGGAGCTGAGGACTGACGCGTTCCAGGACATGGGCGCTGACAGTGATGATGATCGTGAAAAGAATCGTGGTGAAGAGCAGTGAAAAGAACGAGCGATGCGGGATAGTATGTACAAATTACGACGACATGTCCAGATAGCCAGACTGAGTGAGACTTGGATGATGTTAGACTCTATTCCACGGCTAAGTCTCTCTCCCCTAGCTATGATAGAGACCAGAAAAACATTTGGATGCTTACGCAATATTGGGCGCTAGCTAGGTTTATCGTTTGCCTGTTTGCTTGGACTCTCCTGGACTACCTCGCACATAGTATCCGCGTCCGTCTGTTTCTAGTATCATGGAGACATGCTGTCCAAGACGCTCATAACAGCCGCAGCACATGCATCAACCATCCAACCTTCCACGTCCATCATATCCCTCACCTCTCCCTTCACCCGTAACTCCTTACGCACGCTCCAAAGCGCCATCATCACGCACGCAGCAACGTCCAAGACTACAGTGATCCCAGGAGAAGCTAACGCAGCAGTCCTTGTTCCGCTGTGTAATGTAGGCGACGTACCAGGCGTACTACTTGAACTACGAGGCGGTAATCTGAGGGCCCATGCTGGTGAAGTCAGGTATGATATCGACCCCCGACATTTTAAGCATCCCGCAGCTCATGATGCTGGATGATTCCCAGTTTTCCAGGGGGAAGGGTCGACCCGGTGAGTCTATTCAAGAACTTCTGTGTGCTTCCTAATCGCACTCGCAGGAAGACGCATCGTTCCTAGCTGCTGCGCTCAGAGAAACTCAAGAAGAAATAGGTCTACGCAATGAGCAAATTGATATTCTCGGCCAATTTGGCCCGCCTGAGCAAAGCCTTATGGGTCTCAGAGTATGGCCTTACGTCGTATGTTTATTTTCACCCACTATGAGCTATGTTTCGACTTAAATTCGGGGTGCAGGGCTTCGTATACCCACATGACAATCATAGAGTTGATACCGGGTCCCCAGACGATCCTTTGCCCTCCATCTCGCTTTCCTCACTCACGATATCTCAGGCCGAGGTAGCAACCGTCTTCCATCTTCCCCTCTCCGCATTTACGTCCCCTGCGCGTATCAGGCTTGACATGTTTCGCGCCACTAGCCCGTATTGGGCTATTGATGTCTCCGACCTTGTCGAGGGGTTCGAGGGGGTAAGCAGTCCATTGGGACAACCGGAAGTCGGTGGTGGGAAGGAGGGACGTATAGAAGTTTGGGGGTTGACAGGTTGGTACATGTCATTGCTCATGAGAATCATAAGGGTGTACACTTGAGTAGAAAATTGTCGTGTGGTAAACTATGTGCAGGGTCTTAAGACCATCCTCGAGAAACTAAACACACGTCATGTCGTGTTCGTTCAAATGCACCATCCGGTGACCTTCCACAAGCTGAAGCATTGTTACATTTGTTTTAAAACGGTTGAGAGGTGGTGTGCACGAGAAGTCTGTTCTCGAGCTTTGGAAGCACAGTAGTCGAGGGTGTCGCAACGCGGAAAGGTCACTGCCGGGAGAGCTGAAAGACATGAGTCTGGTCCTCATTTATTGGGCCAGAGGCGCCAGCAAGGTGCCAGATAGGCGATTTATTAGGTAGACCGCGAGTAGCATTGAGTCAACAAGATGAAAGATACAATATCATACATGAGAGATCCAACTGACGAGAATCGCCTTCGTGCCATTACTAGTTAGCATCCTGGTGAATGAGCGCAACGGCTTTTGCAGAACGAGGCTTAATAGAGCACTTGAAGGGCTTGGGGTGACTGGGAGTGTGTCTATTCAAACCAGCATCGCAGATGTGATAAGATGCGCGACATACCTGACCGTGCCTGATGTGGGGTCAATCTCAGGAGTGATCTCAACGCCGTTCTCGACGACCTTGGAGATATCAAACACTGCGAGTGACATCACGGTGGATATCCAAACGGAAGCATCAGCGAGGTGGAGACCTGCACATCAAAAGAAAAGGGGAATTAGAATACTGTTGTGTTGGAGGCGCTTCTATGGATTGAGCATACCAGGGCAAATACTGTGGAGCAGAAAGTGAGCATTACACTCAAATCAAACTCCGTGCTTACCGTCTACCAATGCCGAAGCAGATCGTACGAGGCTCAGGCTCAGGACCCTTTCCGTCGTTGTCCAAGAAGCGTTCAGGATTGAATTGCGAGGGATCAGCAAATGTCTGGGGGTCATTGAGCATGAACCTGTCATTCGATTCTATAAGTTAGTGTGTCGAATATGGAAAAAAGGAGTATTAACCAAATGTTGGGTATCACCACAGAACCTTTCGGAATGTAGTACCCGTCATGGATATCGTCCTCAGTGACACAATGGGGAACAGCTGTCATTGAGTGATCAATTCCGCTCGGCAATTAAAGAATGCGGTGAACGAGAGACACGTACCAGTAGGGGCAACAACGTTCCAGCGTAGGACTTCCTTCACAACCGCCGCAGTATAGGGTAGGGAGTCGCGGTCTGCGAAGGAGGGAAGGCGATCAGTGCCAACAACCTTGTCTATTTCAGCCTGAGCCTTCTTCTGAACATGAGGGAAGAGTGTCATAGCCAGGAAAAGCGAGTAGATTGCAGAAACTGTCTGAGGAGACAGGTGTTAGTCTCAAAATATGATAATGTGAAGGGAGGAGCCAACCGTATCGGAACCAGCAGCATAAAGGGATGCAGCAGACCATTTCACATCATAATCCTCTCCCATAGACAAAGTACGGCCTTCCAACAGATTCGAGGTAAAAGACTTTGGGGCAATGCCAGCAGCCTGTAAAACGTTCACCACATGATCGCAAAAATACAGATGTCGGTCACCATCTGATCCTTAACGAACTTGAATGGTGTAGCAGCCATTTCTTCACGAGTCTTGTTCCATTCATGAGCCAAGCGTTTGAAGCCAGCACCAGGGAACCACTCGGGGACCTTGGCCACTTACAATAGTCAGTCCGATTACAAGTATACATCAGCATGTTATAGCCTTACAGAATGGCATGATGTCAACCATGAAAGCACCAGGAGCAGTGGACCGCGAGAATTGGTCCATAGCACGTTCCGCAAGGTCGATCAAGGGATCGTTGTTCTCCTTCACCTCATAACCGTGAGAGATTCGAAGAATGATAGCGCCAGTGGTGCTAGAAAAATTCAAGGTCCCATTCATGGCAAGGGTGAATTGTAAAACATACTGTCGAACATGATCTTGCAATTTCTCGGGTTTCGCAAATACATGCTTCAGGAATCGGCGAGTCTCGATCTCCTCGATTGGGTGGTAGACATCTAGGGCGGCGCGGTTGCCCATGATATGGTGGAAATTCTTGCGGTACTGGCGAAGACGGTCACCATACGGGAGAAGACCCAACGAGTGCTTCCAGCCACAAAGCTCACCACCCATAGGCAGAACAGGACGGTCAGAGTATACCGTGCCTTTCTTGTCCATCATGTCCATTGCGCTCTTGACAGAATTCAGCACAACAATGTGCTGACCGAGGATCTCGACATGCGAGATAGGACCTGCACAGCACAGAATCGAAGTAAGCAATTTAGAATTTAGGAACAACGTGAAGCACTCACCATACTTCTTGCCCCACTCCGCAAATGTGAGCCAAGGCCTGATGTGAGGCATGTCTTGGATGTTCCCAATGAGAGGCAATCCGCGGGGGCCGGGTGGGTATGGTGCAGGGTTCTTGTTCAACACCTGCTTGACGAGATATACTGCGACACCAGCAAGGCATAGGTCCAGCCAAGTGACGTTGGTTAGTGTCAACATGGTCAATAGAAGAGAATGAACAGATGAAGAACGGGGCTGTATGGTGAGCAAACAGATGAGAGACCTACCCCGTATATGTTATACGAGAGCACGAGCGGCCGGATCACTAAGATAGTAGTCATGCATCATGCATCATTGATGGCATCATACATCATGAATGTTTAGCAAGAGTATCTAAGATGATTTGCTTCAACCAAAAAGGCATTGTGTTTGACTTTTTCCTCACCACTCGGATCCTCGGTCACTGTACTACTACTCACTTCCTTGTCTTGATCAATCGATATGATCATTGATCAAGGACAGAAAATGCGTTCGTAAGGACATGGCAGTGGTGTTGAACGTTGAACATAAGTGTTTCCATTAGAGGAGACTAATGACCGAAACCGGTGACCAGTAGAAACCCTAGGCCGATATTTCATATATTTCCTTCAACCTCCGAGCGTCGCACTAGTCTTATTTATATCACCTACAAAAGCCCCTGTTGAGTTATACAAGCCGAAAAACACATCAGGTAAATGACCTGAAAACGATAAATTCTTACAAATCATTATCTGATCTAAAATGTGCACAATATCTATCATAATTGTAACCCATGTGAGAAAGCTGTATATACCCGGACTTAGTCGGATGAAAGCCACCAAATGCACAATTGAGACACTTTATCGCAGCTCATCACCGAGATGGTACATGTTCCAACACGTACCTGCAATCACAAAGAAAGATTATGATGTCAGGAGCGACCACCGTCCCCAGGTTGAGAATTGGCGGCAATACACTACAATTCAGCTTCTCCCTGGTCATGGTACATAATCTTGGTTTGTTTTTATGTCGCCCACAATGTCTTGATAAATTCCAGTGTCAGGCAAAGTATTATATGGCCGGACTACATCGGACCAACACCGCTGACGGTCCAAGTCTGCTGAGTGTTCATAATAGATTTCAAAGCTATCTCAACCCCGTTATCATATGCAAGGAGAGCTTGATATTGGACCCTCGACAACAACTGTCATGGCGCTGATGCTAGGTATGTACCTGGCACGCTAGCCCACAATGCTTATGTTTTTAAAGTACACAATTCAGTTCACAAACGGCAGCGCACTGCCATACGTCTCAATATCGATGTAATACGACAATAACACACGAAGTAGTTTATCATTGTATTCTCCACATTGTCTATCTAGCTTCTGGATCCTTGTGCCAAGGCCAGACAAGTACCGCATCGGGGATGCATGACAATGCGGTGTCATCTGTTGGCTGACTGCTGAGGTACGGTTGCCGCATGCAAGGAGAGCGGGCCAATGTGTCCTCGGAAAATTGCCAGAACGATGTTGCCAGACAAAATTATATAATGCAAGGTTGCATTGTGGAAAAGGCGCCAAATCGTTGGTGATGGTAACATAGTTGAGCACATGTGATATTAGAGCAATATTGTATAAACGACAGGCAATATGACGCGTTGCCGACCCGCAATTATTTCCCAGTCATGTTGCACGTTTGTTCCCATGCGGTCCCTTGAATTGATTACAGAGCAAGCTATAGTTTATATTTCTACAAAGTAAGAAATAACACGGTTTAATTAAATACTACGAAGAGAAACTACACAGAGGGGATATCCAAGTTGGTAGCTTGTTTGAGGGCAATACACTTTTGTCGAATCTTGGATAAGGCGCTGTTAGCACTGATAGGCCTCTTGGCAGCTGAGGAAGTGGGAAAAATTTGGCTAAGTTGCGCGATATCAGCTTAAGCAGCATAGTGAAGAGCAATAAAATATACCGATTCCACCACGTTAGCAGTTCATCGACTTCCAGCGATTCCTCGGTGTCTTCTAAAAGGTCGAGGAGACTATGGTAGAACATTTCCGAATCTGTCGTGGTGTCGGTTCGCGAGAATACTGAGGACGAGCTTAAAGCAAATCGCACCTTCAGCACTAAATTAAAGCCTGTATTTTACAGAAGTATGATGATCGACAAACCTGAGTTGCGATGTACGCTATTGAGGCGACGGTAACAGATATCATGCCGTGGAGGCGGGCATTACCAGATCGCGTGGCCTTCGGCTCCCTGTCAACCGAGCTTGGAGATGTAAAAACATATTTGTAGGCCTGGTAGAATAAGATGTAGTAGGTAAGTCATATAAAATGCAGGCAAATACGCACAAGCGGCTCCTAAGAAGGCCGCACCACGGGTCTTCAGGATTGTAAACCTGATTGGCATACAAAAAAATCGGCCATTGATCCCCAGAGACCAGCATTTCGCCACTTCGTAGGTTTTCTTTTGTCCTGGCCAAAAAAATCAGGATCGCGCTGATGTCAGTAAATTGAAACATACTGAGGATCATTCCAGCTTAACCTGGCAGGGCAGAGGAGAGATCCGGTAAGTTCGTGGTTAAACCCACAATTAATCTTAGTATTTCTATGTAGAGGAGGCTGTATTGCTTCTCCGTTCGGGGTGATCCAATCAAGTACCGCTGCCTTCAATGTTTTGGTATCGTCGCCTCTGGCACCTGCGGCGCCCTTACCGATCTGTAAATGTAAATAAGCATAAGCTCCGACGACGTAAAAAAAAAAAAAAGGTGCACCAGCTCTCCAACGTGAAGTATTTCCTCCTCAGACCCGTCCTTCAAACGATCCAGGAGGCCGGGATAGGAGTCCAAGAGCTGCTCAAAGACGCAATGCTCTCGCCGCTCTCTGTCGAGCACATCAGCAAACAAGCAAAAAAAGAGATGTTTTTTACTCAGCAGGGAAGTCTTCCAATGGATTGTCTTCCATTGTTTCCAGCCTCAAAATACTGTTAGTAAGTAAGGAGGGGTAGTTACACAACGCGAACACTGTTCGACCAAAGTGGCGTCCATGGGAAACAAGCGGATCTGATGAAGAGCTGGAAGACATGACAAGTCTACAAAACATGTTGTCAAGATTAGAAACAGCTTACGCTTTTTTTCGAGGCCCCATTTGGAGGGCTGATGAGCCACGCTTGCTCGGAATGCTGGATGTGGTATCGAGGGCGGCCATGAAAGCTACTGTGAGAGAGGAAGATGGGGTATCCCGGGTTCGCAAGTGCGGGAAGTAGCTTTTATCCTTGGCTTTGTGTTATGTAATATCTGGCGGCCATGATAGATGGTGGCTAAAAAGGTGGCCACGCCGCAGGGCAGCCAGGGTGAGGGACTGGCCCGCCCATTCATCGCGTACTGGTTGATTGTACTTCAGTCAGAATGGCGAGTTTGAAATTTGTTACCCCCTTGACCTTCAAGTAGCACCCAGTAGCAGGTCGCTATTACCAGTAGAACTCAGTACAGCCGCCTCGACAGTATGCCACAGCCCTCAGGACATCAAACCAACATACAAGGACATGTTAGTCATGGCAGCATCAAATTGAATTTGCGGTAAACTTGACCCACCCACCTGGTGGTGCGACGTGCTGATCTCATTGCTTAGGATCGAGCTACCGTGTAGCTGTGATGTAGATGAGAGCTGTGAGGAGCGTCCCCATGCAAAGTTCATAGCGAACGCCAACAATCACTCGGCGCGGAATGGCTGTGATACTTCGCTTCTGCCAGTGAAAAGTCTCGAAGATGGAGATGAGGACTCGATGGCAAAGCTCAAAGAGAGATTGAAACTAGCGGAAACCAACTGTTCAAGACTGGAAGAGCTGTACCAAGTATACAGACATCGTTGGATTGAGGAACACTATCGCGCGAGGGCATTAGAACAGTACGCACCCGAGGGAATAAGTACTTGGCCTTCCCATCAAATCCCATGGGATGCTCCCTCCCCTGCTCAAAGTACGTTGGCCACATGGTCCCTTACGGGCACATGAATCGAACTGACTGTGTCGGTCAGGTGAATTTCAAGAAACCGACTTGGGTTTGCTTGTCCAAGATAGATAACTTAGAGCAAATCCAGAACACGGTGTATCTAGATCATTGTGTCACCGTGCTGACGTAAATTTTGATGCGGTGAAAAATACCTTGTCTTGCATCTCTGATGCATTCTGAAAACTTGAATGTATCCGAACTTTGTAGTACGTCGAACATTGATCAAGGTATCACTGCGCGTGCAGAAGGTTGCACTACGTAGAAATAAGGTGCCATGAAAAAAGGTTCTGATACTCCACTTGTCGTAAGACAAAATGTGTGATACACATTACATAATACAACAGCAAACAACGGTTGATACAGGTAAGAATAAATCATGTCAGTGGGTGAAAATAAATAAATGCACTTCCAGACAGTCAATATAGTTCGGGGTCATCAGGGCATTCGTCTGGGTCGAAATCAAAGTCAATAGGCTCTTCAATATCACCGTCAAAGAGATCGTCGTAGGGGCTCGCTTCCCCAGGCAGTAGAGACGTTCCGACAGTTTCATCCCAGGCTGAGTGTGAACCTGTAAAGACATCAGTTGTAGAGTTAGATATGGTTGGGTTTTGCTCACTGAGATCGGAAGAGTCCAACAAACGAGTGTTATCAATAGCCACCGTATAGAGCTTTATCTCAGCTTGCGCGCGTTGCATCTTCGAATGCAGGATGAGCAGATCCAGCCCAAGATTGCGGAGGTAGGCATTGCTATGCCTAGTAGCAAGAGATTTCAACATTAGTTCTGACTGCATGTCCAGTTCTGTCTGGAATGCCTTGTAAAAGGCATTCTGAACGTTGGCAGTTACCCAAGTACTGAGTAGGGGCATTGAGGGGCCGATGTGCTGTAGAGACATTTGAGTACAGCCACACAAAACATTACAGTACTTACATTCAAAAGGGCAGACACTGGACTTTCCTGCTGCGCAGTGGCCCGGGGGGAGGGTATGGATGTCAAAGGGCTCAAGCCATGCCAATGTGAGGAATTGGCTGAGCTGAGATACACGTCATTCTGCACTGAACAGGCGTTACATGTCTCTCGCGTAGAAATGGAGCAGGCTAAAGGTGCACAAGCCAAAGGCAAGCAGGCCAAAGGCGGAGCACTGTGCCTCCAGGCTGCAGAGGGTGTTCTGATCTCATGCTTGGCTAGAAGTCCGACATGTGCTACAGCCGGAGGGTTTAGACAATGTATTTACATCGCAAAGTCAAATAAACTCACGCATCCGAAGCTGTTCCAAGATTTCAATGGCCTGAGAGTATAGAGACACTTCCAACTGGCATCGTCTCTTCCTCTCATCCATAAGATATCTCTCCACAGCTGCATGGCTTCTTCCGGTTCCATTACAGATGCTCTGGTGTCTACGCAGGGTTTCCTCCTGTTTCGCCTTGATACTACGCTCCCCAGCTAGTTCCCAAAGGTCGCCATGATAGACTCGACCTTTGAGTAAATACGACAAAAATGTATAGTTCAGTTTGGACCTAAGAAAAAAGGCAAAAAATTAGGATGCACGAAGATGCGAAGATATTGATTGACCTTCTGGTTTGTTATCAGCCCCACGTAGGCATCAATAAATTCACTGCCTAATAAGTTGGAAAGTTGAAAAATGCTCAGACGAGCAGTCGTGTAGTCAAACAATTCCGGTGACAGACAGGTTGACATCTTGCATGCTTATCACTCCTGTGGTGGTAGTGTGTACGTGGCGCTCGAGCTATTGCAGACTATTTGTAGTTTCAAGGACTCAGGAAGGGCAGACATTGTGAGAATCTTGACAGCTCCGCGGCACTCACCTCTGGCCATCAAAATAAAGTGATCTGGCCATCAATTTTGATCGTGGGGGCAAAAAAGGTGTTTGCAACTGTGCTAAGTTCCCGCCGAGTTCCAAGTGATTTTACACTATCAATTCTGATTGATGATCCAAGTAGAGTCCAAGGTGTACGCTGGTGTACGTGCATTCTTTGCAGGGACATTTGTTAGAATAAAGCTTTCTAAAAATCAACAAAACATTATTATGTAAGGTTGCCAGGGAATCTTCCTACATGGCACTGATCAAGCACTATGAGGTTCAGGTCGTCCTGAACAGACTCGAATATGGCGGTTCATCGATGGCCTTGATACTACTTGCAAGCATCTTTTGCAACGTTTAAACAGAATTCGGAACTCATTCGACGTAATTCCATATCCATCAGGACAGCCAAGCCTATTCAACAACTCAGTCTGCTCTCTGTGGTTCCACTCGAATTCGACAGGCAAGATCCGCTGCTCTGTATAATTCATCAATGAAACTGTGGCTCCCCAGTGAAGTAAACTCATACCTCTGAGTCTTGGAGGGTACCGGAAGGTGGCTACAAATGACAGCCGGAAAAACTTATCTATGTTCACTTTGTGATGACCGTGAGTCAGGATTTATAGATATCGTTGAGCATGAAGAGTGCTGACCTTGGTATCCGCATCTGTCTGATGTGCATCTTGCCTTCCATTCAGCCTTATTAGTGCTTCTATTCCACCAAGAGTACACTGCTGCCTCCGTATATGCCCCCCTTCCACGCTCATCAGCACATAAGCAGCACGGGTATCTCAATTCATATTTGTCGCGGCATCTCTCTAGGCCAGATGGCGGAATCTTCTCTCCATCAATATCGAGAGGCCTATATGGTATCATTGATATGTGAGTGTCATGGTCGGATATTCGCACGGTATTATCTCACCAACACCACTCAATAATAGATCTAGAAGTGCTGTCGTAATGCAGGAAGGCGAAGTCGCAGGTCATGGCTTCCATGATGAGTTTAGCTAACCTCTGAGAGGTTTCACGATAGTCAGGCGGGGCGGTTATTGTAGAGGAAGGTGAAGATGGCATTTCCATTGAGCAGTTTGGTGCAGTAAGGACGTGTTCGTAAGTTTTAGTCCCTTATATATGAACTGGAAGCTTGACTTTTGACTACTAGTACCATTAGCCGCCCAGCTTGCTTTGCCGGCATCATGCCTGTCAGCCCAGCCAGCAACCCGAAGTTCAACCTGGCGCTATGATAGCAATGCTATATTTACGCTAGCCTCTGACACACCGTCGAACTCTGACGCCCTTTCATCCAATCTTTTAGCTCCTCCTTGAGCTCCTCATGGACCCAGAAGGTTCATCTCGGACTTCGGCTCGTTTCAAATGCACCTGCACATGTCAGTTTATGCAGGAGAGCGCATTCACCAAGCATCAACGCTCTTGCTCACAAGGCAAGAAACACTTATTTTCTGCTTTATCCACGGCGAAAGAGCTTTTAGGCTCTGTAAAACGATCCCGAGTGCATGGCAGTGGCAGATCGCTTACACAACCTAACAAGGTGCCTCCAAATGCGCAGGGCCACCGTCCATTAGACTCGTCCTCATCCCTCACACATGTTAATGAGGCATGCATTGCGAATTCATCTGGTTCAACTCCATCGGCGGGGCAAGAGGATGCGCTGTCCTCAGTATTTGACGCCAATGTCAATGCTGTGCCTACGCAGAACAACGATAACGACGACTTATCGCTGGCACAGAGGAGGATCCGTCGTGTCAATATTCCCATGCCTTTGCGCTATAGGCAATATGAGGATGTTCTTCCACAACCTCCCCCAAGTGTTCCCTTCAATCATTCTTCTCTGGCAGCGGATCCCATTCCACAACCGAATTTCTCTGACGTGCCCAGGAATACGTTGCCCAGAGCCCCTCCTTTCCGTACCGCCAGGAACGTCTTTGGACTAGTACGGCAATTTTTCTCATCCACCCCTCCATCTCACGACCCAGAAGAAGTTGTGGACCTCCGAGATCTCAGCTCTGTCCTGGATTTCGCTCCAGCAGAGTCCGATTCCCCCATTGTATCCGAAGACGTCGCATTTCACCCATACCCCAACAGATTCTCTTTCGAGCTCGGCCACTGGTACTGGAATGGCAGTGTGCAAAAGTCTAATCAAGGCTTTAAGGAGTTGATCAATATCGTCGGTCATCCAGAATTTGATCCTGATGACATATGGAGCACGCCATGGGATAGTATCAATTCGAAATTAGGTGCGAGTTCTCTGGAACAGGAGGGGGGTGAATGGGAGGATGAGGACATGGGTTGGTGTAAAACGGAGGTGACTATCCAAGTGCTGTTTTCTCGGACCACTGCCCAGCCAGGCACTCGCCCTTATGTGGCAGCCAACTTATATCATAAAACTCTTGTCTCGGTCATTAGGGAAAAGCTCTCAAACGCCAAAGACGACGAACTTTTCCACTACGAGCCTTATCAACTACAATGGAGCGCTCCTCATCTTCCCCACAACGTAAACATTCAAGGAGAACTATTTACTTCGCCGGCCTTCATGGACGCACACCGCGAACTTCAGGAGTCCCCCAGAGAGGCAGGATGCGATTTACCTCGGGTGGTCGTTGCGCTCATGTTTTGGTCGGACGCTACACACCTGACATCATTTGGTAATGCAAAACTATGGCCAGTATATATGTACTTCGGAAACGAATCGAAGTACCGCCGTTGCAAACCGTCTTGCAATCTGAGCAACCATGTCGCCTACTTCCAAAAAGTACAGCAGCTTTTACAAATCCTCTTCCGCATTAACGCTCACACTTTGACAGCTTCCAGACTCGTTTAAAGATTTCGCGTGTGCATCCACTGATGGCAGGGGAGCTGGTCGTGAATGCTCAACACATTGTCAGCAGGAATTATTCCAAGCTCAATGGAAGGTCCTGCTTGACGAGGAGTTTTTAGAGGCTTACCGGCATGGTATTGTAATCCTCTGCTGTGATGGCGTCAAACGCAGGTTCTACCCGCGAATATTTACTTACTCCGCAGACTACCCTGAAAAGTGAGTCGTAAACATATTTCGCGGAAGTCAAACTCAGAAAATCCAGGGTTCTTATCGCGACAATTCGGCAGTTGGGAGGCTGTCCTTGCCCACGTTGTCTCACCCCGGGTGCACAGTTTCACAACCTAGGATTGAGCTGTGATCGACAACAACGTTTAATGTTGGTGCGGTCTGATGCCTCGAGGACCCGCCTTGTTGCTGATGCACGCAAGCTCATTTACGACAAAAACTACGGTGTAGATAGTTCAGCAGTCGAGCAACTCCTCAAGCCTGAATCGTGGATACCTACTGTGGTGAGCATGACCATAAGCCTCCTCTATCACCCTAACTAACTCTTGCTTAGAACGTTTTATCTGGCAGCCTTGGCGCATCTGGGTTTAATGTGTTCGCCGCCCTCATTGTTGATCTCCTTCACGAATTTGAACTTGGGGTGTGGCGCTCACTTTTAGTTCACTTACTGAGAATACTTGTCGCCTTCAATAAGGACCTCATCAACGAGCTTGATAGAAGGTACCCAACATGTACCTGATCAAGGCTCGGCATGCCCATACTCACGTCTGACAGGTATAGGCTGGTCCCCCCCTTTGGATCCTCAACTATAAGACGGTTCTCCGCAAATACATCTGAAATGTCCAACATGGCAGCAAGAAACTTCGAGGATCTTTTGCAGGTAGGTTCTTCAAATGATTCTCACAAATTCTTGTCAACTCACTCCATACAAGTGTGCTATCCTGGTCTTTGACGGTCTTCTCCCCCATGCTCAAAACAAAATCGTTATTGACCTTCTTTTTGTCATGGCGCACTGGCACGGGCTTGCGAAACTTCGCATGCACTCCGACCTAACCTTGCAAATACTCGATCAGCAAACGACTGAACTTGGGGGACACCTTCGTCAGTTTAAGGCGAAGGTATGCTCTCTATATAACACTCAGGAACTCGATCGTGAACTCGATGCGAGATCTCGTCGGCAAGCGAAAGAGGCAGCTAAACGTGCGGTGAACGACAGCCAACAGAGGGCTACGGCTGTACGACCTAAGGCAAGTGCCAACCTCAAAGGGAAACAGAAGGCGGGCGCAGCCCAATTGCAGGACACTCCAGGGCCTTCACCACGGCAACCAAGGAGGAAGAAGTCCTTCAACTTGCAGACCTACAAGATTCACGCGCTGGGGGACTATGTAGCATGCATCCGCCATTTTGGCACCACAGATTCGTATAGCACAGAGCTGGTGAGTCCTGGCTATTTTCTACCTACGCTACAACTCAGCTACTATTAGGGTGAGTTAGAGCATCGTTTGTCTAAGGGGAGATATCGTCGGACCGATCGACGGGCCTTTATCCACCAACTGACACAGATTGAACGCCGTCAAGCGAGATTACGTCGCATCAAGCAACGGCGGCAAAAACAAGCTCCTCAAGCAGCGCACTGTGACACCACCACAAGTGACCCCCATTTACACCACCACATCGGCCAAAGTGAGAAGATCTACGACGACGTTGGTCATTACCTCCGCAGCCATGCCGGAGACCCTGCTATGAAGGTATTTGTTCTTTTGTTGGATCATCATCACTTTGACACGCGTTCAGGACTTCCTTCCCCGGTTGAAATATCACGTTTTGGAGCGCCTTGATCTTGGGACTTCTGTAGAGAAGCACAGCGCCCGTTCCGATGAAGCCCGTAATTCAGTTCTCTTCAAACGTAATCGAATCTACCACCATCATATCGCCAGATTTAATTACACTATGTATGATGTTCGGCGGGCTCAGGATGTCGTGAACCCCAACACTCCTCATTGCAACATCATGTTGCTCCGTGACGACAATGACCCCAACGACAATTACCGCTACGCTAAAGTTCTAGGTATCCATAACGTCAACGTGGTTCGCACCGGGAATGTGTACGAATCCCTCCAAATGGACTTTCTCTTTGTTCGGTGGTACGAAACATTAAGCAACCATTCTTGGAACTCACGTACTTTGGGGCGCATGCATTTCTTACCCCTGGCCAATTCAAACACTTTTGGCTTTGTGGACCCGGCGGCCGTTCTGAGGGCGTGTCATGTCATTCCGGCCTTTTCTCGAGGCCAGCGCAATCCAAATAGTGGCCCCAGTATCTCACCTCTCGCAGGAGACCATTGCGATTGGCATGAATATTACATTAATAGGTGAAAATCACACCATCCCTTACAGCTGTTTTTACTGATATCATAGCTGTACAAGCTTCGTTGATCGCGACTCACTCATGCGGCATCACTATGGCCTCGGTGTTGGGCATCTGTACTCTCATAGGGCGGGAGTGTTAGAAAGTCGCAGCTCAGCACTGCAACCTGTCAGTTCAACACCCGCTGATGAAAATTTGGAAAGCCTAATGGAACACACGCACCGCCCACATGCGACTGCCGATGATGCGGAAGAGGAGGACGAAGATCACGTTGGTGTGGAGGAACCAACACCCTTTGAGCAGGTGCACAATGGGAGTACAGAGACGCTTATAGAAGCCCTGGATGAAATGTATGCTGACCATATCTTCGATTATGAAAACTAGAGTTACATTACATCAATTTATCGCGGATGGGCGCAAACCGATTTCCTCGCTGTCTCGTGGCCGCTTCATCAAGTGCTGGCCAGGCCATTTGTTAGGCGCTGGCCATCTCTAACCCTTGTCTAATTCTAGCCAGCGGTCGATGCTTATTCCTTACAGTAAGCGATCCTATTGTATTTGTTTGTACTTATTTAAATCGGACATCAGTCTTACAGGCTCGCACTGTCCGTCCTCAACATTCAAACCGATCTCAACGTTGATAGTTTTACGGTATCAAGTCAGTTCAGCTCCTCATCGACATGCATCCTGCGTATCTGTACGTTCCCGAGAGCTCAGACGTTCTCAGACTACTTCAACTTCCAGTAAGTGACTCGGAGCTAATACTTATGTTGGACCATCGTTAATCGTTTCCCTCCAGCATGAGGAGGTTTGCCGTCTTTCGCTGGTGATTGTCTCAGCCTAATTCTCGCCTTCAGCACCCGTTTACAGGGTTCTCGGGCCAGTCTTATGTGGTAGTTGGATACATCGCCGACTACCATGAAGTATCTCCCATATATGTATGATCTCATCTTTGACTTTCGACTCACGCTGATGTTTATGTTTTGTAGGTGGATGCAACCCTCAAGGAGGCCAAGCCCTGGCTGAATGTGACCAAGAACATTGGGACCTTGGCTATTCTTGATGGGATGGGTCGCATCCAAGACACTCTCCCACTGTTTGAAACGGTGAGGGATTTGTAGCATAAAAAGTTCGTTTTTGAAAGGGCGGATGTAGAATGCCGCTGGTGGTGCTTTTGTCCGGGCTGTGAAGACCCGACACTGCAGGTCGAATGAACTAGGCGTGCCATGTCCTATGTGGTTTGTATGTTGTTTTCGTATACTAACTTATTCTCGCCTAACGGTGCTTCAGCAGCTCCCCCACCTGTTGGATGTGTCCATCCAATTCAACCCACCACAATATCCCAATGGATTTCCGCCCCCCGTCGACTATAATATCCATGAGATTCCAGTGCCTATGTACGGTATACCGTCCGCGGTCTCATTGACGGACAGATTTGTGACAAACCCACTGGACACCATCCTGCCTACCGCTCTAGCCGAAAACATGCAGTTAACATCCTCTCAAAATACGGACATCGAGCTCGCATCCCTGCAATCACATGATATGCAGTCTGCGTCCCTCTCATTCCTTTTTGATTTCGGCAACACTGGCTGGCCACTAGCTTCTGCCGTCTCCGTTAGCGGCAATGGTGACCCAACCGTCCCAGACGATTTAAACCAACCGTCCAATGCCTGTACCGGCAGTTTAGTCCCCGCCGATACATGTTTGAATATTTATCCAGAGCTAGCTTGGAGGGACTCTACCGATCTGTGGGGTAACTTGCTGGAAAATGACAAGAGAAAAATAAGCCGTAAAATGCCGACTACAGCCTGGTTGCAGCGCATGAAACTCACGAAGGCCCTCTTCTTGGGCAGTCTGTGGGTCGGACTCCACGGAAATCCATTCAAGATCTCTGCCGTGGAAATGCGCCGCCTCATTACCCTCAGTTTTCTTACCGCTTTGCGTATTGATGGGAAAACCTACGCGGAGGTTCTTGATCAGCCATGTGGGTACCTTATATTTCTAATCTTCGAGTCATGAACTTATAGTTTAATCAATGACCTGGAAGAACGGCCCCAGTATCGGATGGCCAACAATGCGCACCACTGTGCGCCTTCCCTTGTCCTTACCCTTGCTCGCTTACCCCTAACCCATCTGAGCAGATGCTTCAAACTTTCGATAACGGAAAGGCTGAACTGCGCAAGGTTGTAAAAGCCTCCTTGACGCACCTCACAGACTTCTGTGACGATTCGCCAAATCATAGGGCAGAGACGATCGCCGCGTTTGTTAGACACTTTAACCAGGATATTCACGAGGTAAGCAGAAGACTTACGATTTGGATCGCGTTATTTTTTAATCAATTCTTGCGTCATTCAGTTGCAAAAGGTCCTCGCCGAACTCATAGGGAAACAGGCATTCAGAGAACTGGTCTGGGCAGCATTATTTGTCCCGATCGATGATTTGACCAGTGAACACGATAGCGGGAGGATAGCGGACTTGTTTGTCGAGGAGGTCCGCACTGCATCTGGATGCTTGGCACAGGACACCATCTGTAACCTCGCGACATTGGTGAGCCCATCTCCCTCCATCCTTTCTCGTGCAATAACAATGCCTTTAGTTATATCAGTCAATGCTCATTCTCATGGTGGAATCCGGTGGCAAGACGGCGATCGCTGGCTTCAAGACGCACGTGAACATGAACAGTGACATCATGTTCGCGCTTACTGCAATGTATCTAAACCCGACGGAGTTTGCTCCCTTCACAAAAACAATACAGGAGCTAAGGTAGCGGTCTGGTGGATTCGACGAACATCACGTGCATGTGACCAAATGTGACGCTGTACGGACAAGTATCTCAAAAGTATGCCGAACTCATGCCGAAGCCTTGCTAAGTAGATTGAAGAATTTGGTACCATGAAGTTAAAGTAGATTAAAAGCACGATGCAGCAACAAGTATTAAATGAGTTAAAACACTAGCAGAAAATGTGTATTGTCGCCCATGGGTCTTTTTAGTAGGCGGGAGGATGGCAGCGGCTTCGCGGCACATTGTGTCGGAGTATCATGCATGGTACTTTGCTGCCAACCTCTGCTTTCAATAATGTAAGAAATTGGGATTAAAAACTTTCCACTTCACTTCTCTTCATTCTGAAAAACATCAAATGCTCACAATATTATTACCGAGGTAAGTAAGTAAGCGATTGACGCAGAAGGCGCCTGATCAATAGTAATTACATTTTTTGTCTTTTGTCACTCTTTCATCATGTTTGTCACGTGACGTTCGTCGAATCCACCAGACCGCTACCTTACCTTTCATCACGTCAGTGTTCTCCCTGTCCTACTGGCTATTACTCATTGCGGTCTATGTTCAGGAGCGCAAATGTACTTGATTTTGCTCCAAAGAGGAAAACTCCTCGACGTGTTGTGGTTGGGAAGGAAAAGAGAGCGAAAGTTTTGAGCGATATCAAGGACATCAATACTAGTCCATCAACTCAGACTGACCAACACGTCCTACCAAACAATGCAGGCTTTAGATCTTACAGGTCATTTTCAGATGTATCTTGCCCTGCTTCCTATTTCCAACCTCAACTTGAAGCAGCCGCAGTTTGAAATTCACATCTCACAGCTCTTATCTGTTCTTGTACTTGTATATTCGATTGTCGTCGTCAACCTGTACAACACCATGTGTAACACTTAGGCCAGGCCGCCAGTTGGTCAGAAATTTTATTGTTTGTTTACATGCTAGGGATTCGCATTGTGAACTTTTGACATTGATATTGATCCGCCGGTCACGTGACCATCGAAACCACAATTTCAAAACAAGCATGAACGGAAGATACCGAAATGGCGTAAGAGTCGGTGTGCGCTAAATCGTCCAAGATCCATCTTTGTTTCTACCATCATGACCACCTAGATCATCGACGGCACTACCATAGCCCAGTAAGTCATTTGTTATCCACGTCCAGCCTGTCCTAATCAATCACGTGGTCTAGATCGATCCGCGATGATGTCGCGCAGAAAATTAAGGTGTTCCGAGCCCAGTACCCTCAGTTTCAGCCTCAGCTTGTAGTCGTGCAAGCTGGAGAGTGTCCCGATTCCACCACTTACATCCGTATGAAAGCTAAAGCTGCAGAGGAAGTCGGCATCAAGTTCAATCACGTCACATTCCCAGAAACGGCTATGGCAGAAGAGATCATCCAGGTCGTTAAGAAGCTTTCAGATGACGATGCTGTTGGCGGTGTTCATGTTCAGCTCCCTCTTGGGCCCAATGTCAATGCGGACGATACACGCGCTGTCACTGAGGCGGTTTCTCCCGAGAAAGATGTCGATGGGTAAGTTGTTTTCATGTGGGAAATCACTTTTTCTGAGAGATCCAGCTTCCATGCGTACAACATCGGTCACTTGTCTTTGCGTGCTGCTTCCCCGTTGTTCGTTCCATGTACTCCAGCAGCTGTTATTCGTTTGCTGGAGAACACTGGCGTATCCATCGCTGGTGCAAACACAGTCGTGCTCGGTCGCAGCGACATCGTCGGAAACCCCGTGGCTGCACTCCTGAGAAGTCGCAATGCAACTGTCACCCAATGCCACAGTCGCACCAAGAACGTTGAACAGATCGTCAGTTCCGTCTATTATCAGATATCATATCGCAACCGAGCAGCGCACCAGCGCACGAAAGCAGATGCCCTTGAATCCCCATGATGCACGATTGTCAGATTTTGTAACTTTCCACACATATGATGAGAATATTGCAATTCTAGATTGCCAACTGGCAAATCACCGTCGCAAATTCAAGCTTAGGCAACAAATGACCATGATGCACAATTGTTATAGAGGTATTGTAATGTCTCACACACATGACGAGGATGTTGCAATTTTAGATTGCCAACTGCAAGCGACCATCACAAATTCAAGCGCAGGTAGCAGATGATCATTGTTCAGGAGAGATGCTAGCCTTCCTTCATTGATTTATCTATAAGTGCCACAGTTGTGAGACATGCATGTCTTCATCGGAATTACAATTTTCTTGTCGTTCGATGTCGAAATGCTTGCGCTTAGGTATTGCTTTGTATTTGGATACAATTTGTGGATACTTTGTACGGTTTTGCCAAAAATATCTATGAAAAACATCGCCAGCCCGATTTCGTGATGCATAAGTTTGCGCCGAGAGCGTGAACGTGCGTGCTTACAAAGCACAAGTAGCGGACTTAAGTTTTAAGTTTCAAAGAGAAAACATATAATATAAAAGAGATGTACCTAGGAGATCCCCTATAATTAACATCTTGCGCTCACGCGAAATTGTCTGATCCAAACAATTCTATTCATCTACACCTCATATCCAATACTCGTAATCTAATTTACAATAGGTTATGAGCCCTGGAGTGCGCAAATAAATATCTATCTATTATATCAGAAGAGATCTAACAAAAAATCAAACCCCTAAAATGGCGGACCAATCTACTGGTTCATTGTTGACGTCATTATATCGGATCAAACACCTTAATGACACCAACTGGCTGGGATGGAAGCGCCGAGTCAAGGCGATCATGTTTGAGAAAGGAATAGAAGGGTATGTCGAAGGTACCGTCCCCAAGCCTGCATGTGGTCCAGATCCTGTGTCGGCACAGAGGGATGCTGATATTGCAAAGTGGGAGATGCAAGACCGTAAGGCCCAGACTGTGATTGAGCTGTCAATAAGTGATAGCCAAATGATTCACTTAGCTGGAGCCAAGACGGCAAAAGACATGTGGGATCAATTGAAAATTGTGAAGGAATCACGAGGTAAACAAGCGATCACCACATGGCGGTGAAAGTTCTATAGAACGGTCGCCGATGAAGGCGATGACGTCCCCACGCATGTCAAAAATATGAGGGAAATTCAAGAAACCTTACATATGATGGGAAGTCTGGTGACGGAAGAAGACTTCTGCACCGTACTCATTTCATCGTTACCGGAATCTTGGGACACCTTCACCACGACGTACCAGATCAGGATGGGTGATATGAAGACGATCATGTCACATGAGTTAATCTCCCTTATCTTGGAGGAGAACTCGCGACGAAATGAAAAAGATGTGAAAGGAAAAGGAAAGGAGAGTGCGCTCATTGTAAAAGGAAAGAATTTAAGTAAAAAGAAATTGTGAAGACGTGAAGAAGTGCCGGATCTGTAAAAATTCCGGCCATACCGAAGCTGAGTGTTGGTTCAAGGATAAGCAATGCTCTAACTGCGGAAAAGCGGGACATACTAGAGAGAATTGCTGGAGCAAAGGAGGAGGAAAGGCGGGGCAAGGCCCGTCTAAGTTTCCTCTCAAAAAGTGCATCAAAAATGACAACGCTCACGTCGTTGATGACGTAGAAGATGTTGCAAAAGAAGCACAATATGAAGAGGAAGATGTTGCCTTTTTTGGCGAAGAGATGCAGGTCGAGCCAATCGAGGTCGAGAACCAGACAGTAGTCGAGGTCAATGATCAGGTCGAAGACGAAGACCATATTAATGTATCTAATAATAGTGATGAATACGAGAAGCTTAGCTATTATGATTGGCTGGCAGACTCAGGAACGACATCACATATTACTAAGATTCGATCCGCAATGACGGATTATGTTCCATTAACGGATCACAAAGTCAGCGGGATATCTAATGAATCCCTTAAGGCTGAGGGACGTGGAACAGTCGAACTAGTAAGTACGGTAAATAAGCAGCAGGTAACCTGCAAGCTTAAAAATGTACTATATGTACCGCGTGCCTCAAACAATCTTCTATCTATCACGCGCCTAGATAGAGAGGGAGGACATGCCATAATGGGTAACGGCGTAGTAACCTTAAAAGTGTGCGGAGGACGCACAATAGCCAAAGGGAAGCTTCAAAACGGGTTGTATTTATTAAACTCTCGGGCTAAGTTACATCCAATAACTAAAATATATACTACTCAAGATGAAAAACCTGTAGATTGGCTTACCTGGCACAAAAGGTATGGGCATATAGCCTTTAGCGGTTTAAAACGACTGCACAAAGAAAAATTAGTTGAAGGTATGAATATTGATGAGAACTCACCTATGCCGCAGTGTGAAGCCTGTATTCAGGCAAAGCAAACGCGTGATTCATTTCCGCGTAAGGCTGATGATCGTTCTGGATCGATCGGAGAACTCACACACAGTGATGTGTGGGGTCCAGCCAGAGTACAGTCAATTGGCGGATCTAAATATTATATTTCATTTATCGACGACTGTTCCCGTAGGACCAGCGTCGAATTCATGAAAAATAAAAATGAAGCTTCCACCAAAGTAAAGCAATATGCGATGTACCTTAAGAAGCGCTGGCAAAACCAACCGAAAAAGTTCTGAGTCGATAACGGAACAGAATATGTGAATAACGATCTAAAAACCTGGTGTAAGAACGAAGGGATTGAGCTAGAGACAACTGCACCGTACTCACCTGAGCAAAATGGAGTCTCTGAAAGACTCAACCAAACGTTAATAGAATTAGCTAGGGCAATGTTGATCGAAAAAGACTTACCAGAGTCTTTATGGGCAGAAGCAGTATCTCATGCTGCTTATATCTGAAATCACGCACCGACGCGAGCGCTGCAAGGCGCAACACCGGAAGAGCTATGGAATGGTAAGAAGCCGAATATAACTCACCTACAGGAATTTGGTACACCGGTATACGTGCTACAAGAAGGCACCACTCAATCTAAGATGAGCCCAAAGTCAGTAAAGCAGATCTTTGTAGGATTTGCAGACGGATCTCGAGCCATCAAATATTATAATACCCGTACTCACCAAGTTCGAGTGTCAAGGAACTATAAGTTCCTGACACAAATCGTGCCAAGCACATCTGATGCACAGTGCGAGGGGGAGTTGGATAGGATGGACATGCAGTCATCAGAAACTGACGCAGTATCACCTACAAAAGGACAAGAAGACCATCAAAAACAAAATCAGCGTGATGATCTGATGGGAGAAGACGAGAACTCACCCTTAAAAAGGAAATGTCCTCCCGAAGATGAAATGATGCCTAGAAAATCTAAAAGACAAACGGTAAGACACGACTACCAACAATTAAATGACCCAGAGCCAGAATGGGCTTACCTCGAGTATGAACGCCATGAGCTTGAGGAAGAACTCTATGAAGAGGATGTAGTTCTCGCGGCCTTTGTTGAAAATGGCAGCTTCGAACCACACGAGCCTAGATCATTGAAAGAAGCACAATCATCAGATGACTGGCCGAAGTGGGAAGAAGCAGTGCGAACAAAACTCACCCAATTAGAGCAAATGGGCACCTGGGAATTGGTAGATCCTCCGAAAGATCGCACCCTAGTAGGGAACAAATGGGTCCTCATAAAGAAAACTAATAAAGAGGGAGAAGTGGTCAAATATAAGGCACAGTTAGTAGCCAAAGGGTACTCACAAATACCGGGCATGGATTATACAGATACCTTTGCCCCGGTAGTACGCCTTGAGACGATACGTTCAGTTATGTCCACAGCCGCATCCCTTGATTGGGAAATTCAGCAAATGGATGTAAAAGGGGCGTACCTTAACGGCATATTAAAAGAAGAAGTATATATGGAGCAACCCAAGGGCTACAATGATGGGACCGGCCAAGTATGTAGACTACGAAAAACCCTCTATGGGATAAAACAGTCGGGCCGAGAATGGAACCTAGAGCTAAATAGCCGTCTGACAAGTATCAGATTCAAACGATTGAAATCTGATCCATGCACATACATCAGAAAGACCGCGGAAGGAACGGAAATAATTACCGTATGGGTCGATGACCTATTATTATTCGCGGATCACTCAAGTCTGATGGATGGATTAAAAGGGCAATTAAAAAATATCCTTGATGTTACTGACTAAGGAGAACCGAGGAAAATTGTTGGGATTGAGATCACACGAGATAGACCTACAAGGTCAATCCGACTCACACAGACCAAATATATTGAGTCTATCCTAGCAAAACAAGGACCCAGTCATGTAATTCAGTAGGAATGCCACTAGATCCGGGGGTTGCACTTGAGAAAGAAGCGACTGATGGAGAAGGCAACCGAAGTAACGGGTATGCATTTTTGATCGGATCGTTGATGTATTTGGCGGTAACCACGCGTCCGGATATAGCATATGCTATACAAAGACTTAGCTCGTTTCTGGGTAGCAGCAAAACGTGTTCTAAGATACTTAGCTGGAACGCGAGAACTAGGAATAAAATATCAAAGTACTAAGGCACACGACCAAAGCCAAATTCGATTTGTCGGATGGTCGGATGCAGATTATGCTAACGACCCGAGAGATCAGATATCTATATCAGGATATGTTTTTAAACTAGGAGGCGGAGCGATCACATGGAGTTCAAAGAAGCAAAACGCAGTCACACTTTCGTCAACGGAAGCAGAATATGCTGCGATGGCTCACGCTGCACGTGAAGCTGTATGGCTTCGAAATTTATTTGAGGAATTAAATTTACCTCAAAATGATCCAACCGTTCTTCACGGTGATAACATGTCCGCATTAGTGATTGCGCGAGATCCACAGTACCACGCGAGATCTAAACACTTTGATGTGAAAGATCACTACATCAGACAGAAAATTCAAGATCGGGTAATTCACGATCAATACTGTCGCACTGATGAGATGATAGCAGATATATTAACGAAGCCACTACATAAGCCGAAACATTGGAAATTTACTAATGATCTAGGCATGTTCTCGGCTTGAGGGGGAGTGTTGAGTTATACAAGCCGAAAAACATAAGTTTGCGCCGAGAGCGTGAACGTGCGTGCTTACAAAGCACAAGTAGCGGACTTAAGTTTTAAGTTTCAAAGAGAAAACATATAATATAAAAGAGATGTACCTAGGAGATCCCCTATGATTAACATCTTGCGCTCACGCGAAATCGTCTGATCCAAACAATTCTATTCATCTACACCTCGTATCCAATACTCATAATCTAATTTACAATAGCCCCAGTAGACAGTATTGTAACGCCCGGCGTTCTTACAACTAAGCTATCACCTGGTGGCATTGCGCGGTGTCGGATCGTATTTTAAAAATGTTGATATTAATATGTTGCGCTGTCGCCACATATGCGCTCTTTGAAACAGGATGGTGTACTACTCAGCATGATAAACCTGGTCATGAGTTGCCGGGTGGTCACCCATGCATAAAGCCTATCCAGTGAGGGGAACAGAAGAGGAGTATGTCCATGATCAGTGTGCAAGAAAGGCTGATCATCAAGTAGATCATTAACGTTTTTCGTCATGAACATGCATTGCATATAGTGCATCAGTGAACTGACCAAAACCTGAGATGGGCAAATATTACCTTATATAGTGGATAATCACCAGCATCCGTATAATTTTGCCATGGGCTATCACATTGTTATGCTTGACTTTATAGAGGACAAGGGAGTTTTTCATTGACGTGCGCAGGTTTGCAAATTGCCAAAAACTCATTGTTTAGTTCAACTCGAATTTGAGGTGGTAGGTGAGGCAAAAGCCAATGGTCCATCTCAATGAATCATGGCCACGACATTTGGATCAAGGTCCACAACTTGGAAGGTAAGCCCAAATATCAGTATCTTACAGACACCGACATTTTGTGCAATGACCGCAGAAGCACAGAATCATGTATTCATTTGGATCTTTTGACTGTCTGTGTTGTATGTATAGCTTTGTTCTACTGAATATTCATCGCTACTTCATGCAGTGTCGCTTTTACTTTTCATGGAAACAATAATTGACGCACTGATCGAACAAGAATCAACTATCTGCTACTCTGGACTTTGGGACTATTTGTGGGGAGGGGCAACACTCAGTCAAATTCAAGCTCCGACTGTGATTACCTGTTGCAGGTGTATGCCATAACAAACGGTCAAGAAATATATTACATGTTGCGGCTTGAAAACAGGATTTTGAGACAAGGGTTGTGACAAGACATAGGCATGAATTGACTGGTTGATTGTATTCTTGGTAACTGATTTCAAAAGGACGCGCTTCTGATAGCTCACACTCTCGATAGAAGCATTTGAACACGGGAATTTTCATTAAACTCTACCTAGAATACAACCAGCGAGTCATTTAATTGTCATCCCGATGATAACCTCCTTTACCATGTGATGTGGTATGATACTGGTGGAAAGTCTTTGAGTGCGCGGAGAACATGATTAGTAAGCGACATTGACGCGACGCGACACGTCACATTGCATACTCGAAGACATCCTGTAGGCCAATAATGTCAAAATTCTCCAAGTACAATCGTTGGAAACCATTGAAGAAGCGCCCCGCAGCTCAGATGCAAGTCACTGCATTGATGAAGTCCCACACAACTTACCAACATGCACAAAACAAGGAGAATATTGCTCCTCTGGCAACAACTTCTTCCCCTGCATCTGCAATATCAAATACACGGCTTGAACGAGAGAAGAAGCGCAAGAATACCTACCAGAGCCGCTATAGGAATGAGAAACAATGTCACGAACGTACTAAATCTCGCACCAACAAACTCCAGTCACATTTGGATGAAGCACGAGCATCCATGACCGAAGCATCCTCGCAAGTGCAGACAACTCAAAATGCTCTCACCACTACACAGCATGAGATGAGACACTTGCAAGCATGCAATGAGGTGCTCACCAGGCACAATCGTGCTCTTGCTATGTGAGCATCTCGAGCCCCTCTGCAAAAGCACATGCCGTGGACAAAGCCCTCGCACGCACTGCTGTACAATCCGAGCAGAGGGATACCTTCTCGCTGAAGGAAAAGAATGTGATTACGGACGAGGTCCGTGACATGATTTGCGAACTGGTAGCAAAACACGACGTACCTGTGTCAAGTGTTCAAGACATCATTTGCACTGTTGCGAGCTGTCTCCGAAAGACTGTTGACAGCAGCATCAGCACACGGAGTATTCGTCGTGTAGTCCAGGAGGCAGAGGTTGCAGCCGAGGTTCAAATGGTGGACGAAATTATGCAAGTTGATGGTGTGTAAATTTAACCTGGCCATTGATGTGTTAGGCTAAAATTTTATGAAGGTGTCACATTAAGTGGTGATGGAATGTCTCACAAGAATATCAACTACCAGTCCCATCATATCACGTACACTTCTCGTCATGGTGCCGGTATCACACGCTTTGCCGGGATTCAGCACAAGGTTAATCACACGAGCGAGACCCAGCTGCAAGGGTGGAAGGACATGATACACAAGATGTGTACTGTATACAATGAGTGTATGGTTGGGAATATGGCAGACCCAAGGGAACTGGTCACCAAGGTCAAGGTTGATGGATCATGCCGAGGATCAGAAGAAACTTGTCCGACTTTTCAGAGAATGGAAGGAAGCGTGTGAGAGAGAAGTTCGGGGTGAATGAGCTCTGGCCACTTTACCCCCTGATGATGTTGTTGCCCTCTTATGGCAGATGACAGATGGGGCAATTGTCACTGTGGGAGGAATTGAAGGCTGGGAAGCACTGCCTGCTGAAGAACGAGATCGACGCTCATCTGAAGCTCAGGTCCAGCTTCATGCAAAGATTGGCCAGGAGCGATTTTCTATGCTTACGACGGCCGAACAGGAATCTATAGATTTCTTCGTGTGGGGAGGATGCTGCATGCACAAGGACCTGAATGCCGTCAAGGGTGGAAATACTCGCATGCGGGCTTGGTGGGCACTTAACGACGTCGATGGACCAGCTCTGTTGATGAACCGCGACAATGCAGCTGCAGCATCAGGAGGGCCATCTACTGCACAGGCTCGTGCTGTACGTGTTTCCCAAGGGGGAGCTGCCAAAGCACTGGCACTTGCAGGATCAGTTTTCCATCACAAAGACGACAAGAAGGGTCAGCAAGATTCTCTTCGATTTTTCCTTGAAGCACAACTTGGGTACTTCTCGCCTTGGCCAGATACAAGCAACACCCACTACCACAGTAATTGTGATGGTGCCGGCGAGTGGATTGTCCATGAGGACTTATATATTGTCTACCTCCAAATCATCATGGACCGGAAGGATGCCCGCACGCACACAAACATCGAACAAAACATCTATTGTGCCTTCCGATGCGACAAAACGAAGCAGGAGATGGCCTGTTTCAGCACGTGGGGACAGTGCATCAGTCACCCCTACTTCCGTGCTGTCTGTAATTCCTTGGGCAATATTCTTGACCTTGGCCCGCTCCACGAACAGCTCATTGCCCACATTAAAAAGCTCATTGACAACGTCGAGCTCGTCTTTGGTACAGACACCACATACGAAACTGCGGCATTTGATGGACAGCCGTTCGAATGGCCCGAAGCTTTTTATATCATTCAGTGTATTGCCCGGAACACTACAAAATACCCTCACCTTTGTTCGCTTTTTGTTGCTTTCCTGGAAGGAGCACTCGAGACTCTTATTCGTTTTTGTCGAGAGTTTGCTGCCAATGGTGTAATCGCGCACACATCACCAGAGACTCGAAAGCTAGCTCGCATGAACACGACGAACGACGCGAACAAGGGTGCATTAGGGACTCTTTGAGTTTCGATGCGACGTGCACCTCGAATGTCCCTGGCCCACTTCAATGCTCGTCTGAAATACAAAAAGAATCAGACAGGTATGTACATGAAGACGGTGCTTGGTCCAAATGCACGCAAATACTTGCGCAAAAAAGCTCGTATTAATGATGCTGCTGGAGCGGAGAAGAAACACCGACTTGCACAGGTGAAATATGATAACTGGGTGGTACACCGGAACCGCGAGATTGATGCGAAGAGGAAGAAACATCGTGAAGCATCATCAGCCAAACTCGCGGCAGTTGTACCTCGTGTAACACCGGATGAAATTGCGAAGATGCGTGTTGTCGATGTCGACTTGCAGATTCGGTGGCATCGTCAGTTTGATGTGGAAGTGCCTCCAGCCAAGCATCTAAAAGGGAAGAATGGACCGGAAAAGAAGGCTATTTTGACAGCTGCTGTGGGCCGGTACGTCTGTGGTGGGGTCGGACCCAAGATCCTGGACGAGAATGTGATGGATGGGCAACAGGAGGATGCAGAGTGTGCAATGGGTGACTCTGATGATGAAGAAGGCTTGTAGTAAGGTCATTCTGGACTTTCATTACTCGTATAATGCTTACAATGTTCCAAAACATAATCTTGGTACTTCCGCGCACCTATTGTGCTTTGTATATCACCGTCGTATATACCTTTACCCTCCTTTGATTTTGTTGACCATGTATTCGGACGTTATTCGCTTACATAATGTCACACTTTTTTTGACGTGGCTGCCCCTCCCCACTATTTGCTCTGGATGTGTAATTTTTGTCAGTTGGGAATGATTGGCTAATCTGTATGAAACAGCTCTAGATTTGTATTGACATTGTGTTCTCATGGCATAGTCTCCTGACCAGAGCATCGACAACATTGAGTCACAGTTCACCTTGGCACCCCGTTTACCTTTTCATAGATGTTTGATCCTGCTGCGCAATCGTCGGGAGAATTGAGTGTCTTTACTAGCTACAACAATACTTTTGGATGCAGACATAAGCAAATAGAACATAATGACTATCCCACGTGCAATGAATGAGGCTGCAACGGCGATATGTTTTACAATAGCGGTGACCTCGCAGGAGTAGACCTCATCATTCTCACCTCGCATTGTCCATAAGATCACGTGTCGGTTCACGCTGTTTAAGTAATCAGCTGTGTTCCCATTTGGAAACCTAAGTTATTGCATTGGGCAATGCAACAATATTGTTGTCACTGGGCGATACCAGGGATATATGACAACATCTCAATATATATGTCATGAAGGCTGAAAACATCAGAACAAAGAGCATATCTTGGCTATCCCACTTGTCACGAGCCTGGCTGTGATTTCGGTATGTTTGATAATTATCGTCACCTCGCATGTCAATAATTTTTGCCCACAAGCGGAACAAAGACCAGTACATGCACATGTCTCCACCGTCGCACTGCATTTGGTCACATCTCACATGTTTACTTTCTGCGTTGCAAGCGAAGGGATGCGCAGAAATTTCTATCACCCCGTATGCATTACCTTCTTCTCTTTTGAGCGGAATGATATGTGGAAAAAAAAGGCATCACCACTGTTACACTATATTGTGTTATTGTGGCCTCTTATACTTTCCTTCTGCAATCTGAATGATGAGTAAGAAAAACAGATGTTTAACACTGTTGTGCTTCATGTTGTGACCTCGCATGCATGTTCTTTCTGTCTTTGATCGGACTGAAGGCTCATCTGTGCATTTATTTCCGATGTTGCTTTGCATTTGGTCACCTCGCATGTGTATACTGTCTGCGCTGCAAGCGGGGTGATGAGTAGAAACTTCCATCACCTCACACGTATATACATTTTTTCCGAGTGGAATGATAGAGTAGGAAATACAAACATTACCACTATCATGCTGCATTTCTTAGATTCAGCTTCAGAAAATACAAGCACGAAGATTCAAACCCACGGCCCCACCCGCCCCATTCATAACATGTCCACGAGATGCAAATAGCATCACAGATGCTGTCTCAGATGCTCGGCTTCCGGATTTTCACAAAGAGACAAGTCAACCATCACATTAGAATTGCAAGATACTACTGTATATAAATAACACCACATTATTGAATGTTGATATACGAAAGAAAAACAGGGATGACAGCAATGTAGAAGCTGCACTTGCACTAAAAATGGACTACTCTGAATCGAAAAGGGCATCATCCAGTCGTGCTCTCTGTGTTGTGAGAGCATTGACGGACATCCTAGCCTTTGCACCATCACTGAGCTCCACGCATCGACTTGTTCCGAAGACTTTTCTAAGAGGCGGAGATCAGTTAAGGACTGCTGAGTGTATAAAGAATGCACCTCGTCCACCATGCCAGGAGTCGCTTGACCCTCTGCTGCGCTGTTCGACCAGGGGGCCTTTTGAAGAAGTCTACGATGCTTTGCCAAAATAGTGTGTAGTCGAAGTCACCGTCAATCGAGCACCATGAGGTCACAGAAGACAGCGCAAACCGCAAGTTGTTGCATATTGTCATTCCATAAAAAATTAGAAATTATTGCTACTTACCTGACATGATACATATGCGATTGAGCGGGGCATGACAGTGTGCATCTCGATGATTTGTGCCACGTGTGTTTTGACTTTCTTGCTAGAATGGAAATTCTTCTTAGCACATCGGTTGGCTTCTATTATATTACACCTATGATTCCCACATATCTCAATTAGTTAAGTGGCCTCACGGCACTCTTTCTGCCACTTAATTAAGTCCCTCTGCATTCGTATGGAGCACCGGCGGTGCGCCCCAGCGGTGCGCCCCAGCTGGTTTCAGTCACTTATGTGTGTTTTCTCCAACAGCCTTTACTTCTCTTTCCGGTATGTCTTTCCCATGCCCGTTTTGGCCACCACGCCAATACAAACAATGCCGCCAATGCTGCCAAACAACGTGCTCATCGTTTACCACGATGAGCTCTCATATCCCGCCAAATACTACTATTTCTTTCTGCATTTTGGGGCAGTACACGAGGACTACAGGCCTCACTCTACTGATATATCAACGCACGAAGGCCTGGCTCTGCTTTCTGCACACGTGGCCCTCACAACCATTCAACACTCCGGCAGTCTTCGACTCTTCGTCTGGTGGTGCAATGACAGCACAAGTACCTCAGCGCTTTGACAGACCAAGCCTGGTGCTGCTTTCTGCACACGTGGCCCCTGCGACAGATCAACCAACTCTGTGGGAACATGTTCAACATTGCTGCGGTCTTTGACTCATTCATTTGCCAGTACAATGACCGCACAAGTACTTTAGCCTTTTGTGTGAGGGACTGTGAAGATTCCAAGGGTTATTGGGCTAATTATTGAGGCATGATACATAGACAGCGAGCTTGTACTACTTCAGACAGGATGAGCAAATGAAATGTAGGATATTGCCAAGCTATTCTATGTGTTTTCGGTGTCGGATTCAACATGCGCATTACTCTTTTTTGAACGCCGAGTCCCCTTCTTTGTTGGCCCACACCGTGCGCGGGTCCTTGACTCCAGTTCAGATTGGCCTTTCTCCGTGAGTTTCCGAGCACGTTTCGAACGTGAAGTGCCGGTAGACACATCTGCGGCCCTCTTACCACGGTTGGTCGCCACGACAAGAACATGCGCTTCACCAGCTATTGGAAGAGGAGTAGGCATGGGTGGAGTGGGAGGAAACTGTACCATGGGAGGTCCATTGTCAGAAGCGGCTGAAAGACAACATCAACACTGTTTATACAAGAGTAGATTATAAATATTTACCATGATCAAGCGCACGAAGCGCGGGATCCACCATTTCATCTGTGAATGAGGAGGGGCGCACATAAGGCTCTGACGAAGCCACACAAATGTTGGCCGGCTGTGTCAAATTGGGAGTGGGCAAGTTGGGTGGCATCGAGGGCTCCAGGTCAGGAGTGAGAGAGGGCTCGATATCAGGAGTGAGAGAGGGCTCGATATCAGGAGTGAGAGAGGGCTCGATATCAGGAGCGAGAGAGGGCTCGATATCAGGAGTGAGAGAGGGCTCGATATCAGGAGTGAGAGAGGGCTCGATATCAGGAGCGAGAGAGGGCTCGATATCAGGAGCGAGAGAGGGCTCGAGATCAGGAGTGAGAGTCTCTCCATCCTTGATACGACGCATCCGCTCTTTGGCTTCCTGTGGTGTTATTGTTACAAACTTACAGGTATTGGCCTGAATCGCAAGGACCACGTTCTCGAGGCTCTCGATGCCACCTTTCAGGTCAGAGGGATTGGCCCAGTAGGGGTGGTTCCATCCTACGAGCTTAACATGGTAGCGCTGGACAAGATCATTATAGCATTTGAATTCCATTACTGCCGCTGGATTATTCGTCACTTCGCCTGCAGTGAATCAGCGGATAATTTAAAACACAAAAAAACGGGGCTTACAAAGTGATACACGAAGACCATTTCGAATGGCAGCCTTCGCATTAGCAACACGCTGTCGATGATTAGCAGCTGTGTCTGGATTACAATAAAATTGAGCCATGCATACGGGAGAAAAATGTTAGGTACTAACTCATAATGAGGCCATTGGCCAGTATTGTGCTCTCGAAGTCGGTTGCCATTTGCGCGATGTCCTTGCGTAGATATAGACGAACAAAGTGTTCAGCCGCGGGGCTTGTGAAGAACGCCTTCGGCACCATGGTGAAGTCGGAAACACCACGAACCATAACGATGAAAGCTTCAGCGCCAACGCGTTCCTTGAGAGCTTCGAGCTTCATGAAGTATTAGTCAAACGCACAAGCAAATGTAACACGGCAAGTACACACCTCTTCTCTCACAAACTGGAAACTCCGGGAACATTCAGCAGAACGCGATTTAGCGGTGATATTTGGAGGACGATCCTGAGAGCTCTTTTTGACTTTATCAAAGTCAATTATAAGCTGTTCCTTCTCCTCAGTGGTAAGGCGGTGGTAGTCCGTTTTTTCCTTGACGAGATCGGCTATGTTCGACTTCTCACTGAAACTTTTATCTAGGACAGCCGTAGTTAGTGACGAGCACAGTAGTAGTACAATGGGGAAAAACTTACTGGCATTGTTCTCGATGCCTTTGAAGTGCATATAAGCATGCCAGGCACTTGTCTTGTTGTGTTTGCGGCGGTGGATAACAGAACCGAGTGACAACCGCTCAAGGTAGCGGCGTCGAGGTTGTTTGAACTTCGACGCCAACTCTGTGGCCTTCGCATGAATGTAATTTAGAACGGCCTGAATTTCTTGGTCCTCATCGAGGCGCTTAGCCTGTCGCCGCTCTGTCAGTTGCTGACGCACTTCTTTCGATACTTTGATATACGGGGCACGCGCCCGAGGAACCAACCGTCGAGGATTGTGTGAGCGAGCAGTTACTGGGAGCACCATCACAGTAATTCTGACGGTGAACGAGGTGACAGGCTGAGAGGTTGAATAGCATTATAAACGAATCATACAAGGTCAGATTAAAAAAAAAACAGTACAAAAAGTATTATGAGAGCGACACCTGAGAATCAGTCAACATAGCATTCCCGATGGCCTCCGCGTGCTCCCCCGAAATCTCAGCGAGCTCCTGCAATTTCATAATCCACCGCTTCGGAAGGAAATCTTTGCTGATTGATATGCAGACCCGATGAAAATGATCCGGGTAGCCTAGCTCTTCTAGGACTGCCTCCGTTTCAGTCCCATAAGGAAGAAGTGTCGGCACGTTATATTGCCGTGATTCAGAGGGGGACCTAGCAGCGATCAACATGGGTGTGATGGGTGTGGGTAGAGACCATCCAAAGGATGCGCTTTTGCCCTTTGTAGGAGTTGCAGGAGGGTAACATCTCTGAGCCTGGTCACTCATTGGAGGAGGGTAACGTCTATCGTCACTGTTCGATGGAGGGTAACGTCTATCGTCGCTGTTCGACGGAGGGTAACGTCTATTGTCGCTGTTTGACGGAGGGTGACGTCTCTTACCCTGGTCACTGCTCGAGGACTCACTGCTCGTGGACTGGTCGAGAACGGTAAGGGTCATTGGCTGAGGGATCAATTAGACAATAGTTCGAGTGAGAAAAACAAAAATTTACCTGACGTACACTCGTTGCCGATACGGCAGTCCTCCGACTCGGCTCCTCTTTGCGGATCAAATGACTCGTACTGACCCTCTCCATTGGCTGAGCGATCAATTAGACAATAGTTTGACTAAGAAATACAAAAATGTACCTGACGTACACTCGCTGCTTGTACGGCAATCCTCCGACTCGGCTCCTCTTTGGGGACCAGATGACTCGTGCTGACACTCTCCCGAGTATGCGTTAGTCGGATCTGAGTTGGCTTCCACGTGATTCTGCCATCGTAGACGGGCACGTATGATAAGATGGAGCCTGAACTCAGGAGACCTTCTAAAGAGCCTCGAGGACGTCCATGAAAAGTGAAGTGCGTTGATGATGGTGAGACGGGTGAGGGAACAAGAGGCATGACATCGGCTCGCCCTTTGCCTTTCGATGTTGTCTTGCCTTTCGAAGGCGTTTGAGAGCCACTGCTGTTCCAATTGTTCTGAATCCGATTTTCTGCAAAGGCTCGGGCTAAAGGTGTCGCATAGTCAGCGATAAAGAGTTGAGAAATTTGAGCGATGACCGAGTGAAGCTCGTGATGGTCCAAGAGCACTTTGGGATTGACATAAACTTCAGCCTTGAGGTTTTCAGGAGAGACGTCCAAGCCTGGAGATGTAGCGCCAGGATGATGCAGGACAATTGTTGAACCACCCGTCAACCTATCTAAGGCGGTGCACTGAACATGCGGTTCAGCAGAAGGAAAGGTGTGAATGAGAGGCGACACTTGCCAGGTCAAATATAGTGTGCAAGATCTGCTCTGCATGAGTCGCTCGAGCCCGCCAATTCTTTAACCTGTCCTGCTCTGTAGCTGGCTGAGTTTTAGAATACCCGGTGAGATAGTGTTGGCTAGTCAGTGCGTGAAAGCCGTTTGTCTGCTCTAGATGCCCATCATCACTGTGGAATCCGTGCGTAACCAAAGATAAGAGCGCAGAGTTCCAGCGACGGTCGTGTCCAGCAATTGAATTGAGATGTTCAGGGCAAGGAAGTAGAGCCTTGCACTCTTCAATGCCATTAAGTGTAGGAGATCTGTTGAATGCAGAGGATTTCCAGTCTAAGAGGTTAGAGGACATGATGGACAACGACTGAGATGACCTGGAGGTTGCAATGAGGCAATGGTGTTCGCTTATTTATGTAAGATCTGGCAGCGCAAATATCATCATGAACACGCTACAATTCAAGCTCACTGCAACAATGTATAATGCGAATGACTTACTGTGTTGCACATGATATATAACGACTCAGAACAGTAGTAGCTCACTCTATTAAGTACTGATTGATATACCTGCGTCCGTCATAAATCCTCAGTTGTAAATCAATCATCAATTCACAGATATTAGTGTACTGTCTGAATCACTAAATTCAAAGGTACGCAGCGCATATTTCATTTTCATGGCCAAACGATCTGCAAAATTCTCGGGGCGTTATACTTTCACAATCTAGCATTGAAGGCAAAGGCATTGATATGATATGATGATCTATAGCTATTACATGACAACGGTATGACTATTCTGCGGATTCTGAGTCTACACGGTGATGATCAAGTCCCTCGATGTAAGCTTGTACGTCTTCCAGCTGTTGCTCAAGCTCTACATTGTCTCCGTCTCCCTCCTCTCTATCCTGTTCATGTGGCACAGCTTCGTAGGGAGAGGCACACGCAACGTCAATCCGACCTACACGACTGCCAGGGTTCTTTGGCCCACTGTAACCAGGAAGCTGCATGATTTGCTGGATGCGCCAAATGTGACGTGCGTTGACGGACCGAAGCTGTGTCCAGCGACGCTGGAGTTCGGCTGCAAGGGGTGGGTCACTGGACTGAAGTTGTGCGATGGCATGGGGGTAATCAACGGCATCATCTCGCATCTTTGTGAGTAAACGTCCGAGCTCGACATCCAGCCGACGAATCTCTTCATTAGCACGTTGGTGCTCAAAATATTGCGTGGACGCGTGTCGGTAAGATGGGTTGGCCCAACTCTTTGACTGGATCTCCCCATCTGTTTCCCGTAACAAGTCAAATTCGGCAAGGAAAGAATACTCTACAATCTGGTCCCATTGTAATGGGGGGCGGGGAGGGCTTAGGAGAGCGCCGTATTTGTTGTATCGAGTAAGGGCGTTTCGAATTGCATTCGCACGACTCTTGAGTGCCTTGGAGATTTGAGTGCGAAGCTTGTAACCTACAAAGACAAGTGTTAAAAATGCGAAATCATAGTGTAAAGCCCTACCTAGACCACTCATTTGTAGCTTAGTCAACTCAAGCAGACGCATGACGACAAGGCGTTCAACGTCATCTACAGCCTTGTGGAAGAGCCGATTGGTAATGCGTGACTGTGCCTTCATCCGTTCGGGGTGGTCTGGACCCCATCTCGAGTCCAGCGCCATTTGATGTTCGTAATGCGTGACAATCTCCAGTTTCTGATCACGTTTGTTAGTAGCATTCGCATGACGGCGGCGTATGTCGCCAGATTCCTTCGTAGAATAATTGAGGCGTAAATCGAGCTCGCTGAACGCCACACGCGCAGATTCATATGAACGCCTTACATAGTCATAGTATTAACGTGATCTGTCCACGGCTGAACAAAAAACTTACTGGGCTTCGTCATACTCATTCAATGCTCTTACATAGTCAACTTCCACGGTGGATTCTTCCTTCTTGCGAGCGAGGCGTTGTAAAACTTGGTGCTCATCCTTAAGATCATCTTCGAAGTTGGGCTTGATGGTGGCATTTGATGCGTGGAAGTTGGCGAGGAATATGCTTGTCGTAGAGATGATTGTCAGCGCTTGGACGTAATTATTATAGATGAAGTCAGCTACATTCGGGGTTAGCGTGGAGTCCGCAAAAAATGATGTGACATACATAGGGCTGCAAATTTGTCCAAATCGGCAAAGGCGAAATGTTCGTCAAGCGCTTGGTGACGGTGAAAATCGGTGGCGTTGCGAATTTGGGCTGCAAGTGCATTAGATTCAGAGAAGACCCGTTCACAGGTCTCGAAATCCTCCTTCCCCGCACCGACTTTATACTTCGAATGATGCTCAACTTGGCAAAGTCGGTTGTGGGCGTGTCCGTGGAAGGCGGGCACAACACCCTGCAGGTTTAAGCGTTTTGCATCGTCAGCGAGCGAACTCCGTTGTATAATCTTTTCGAAGGCGCATTTGATATCATACCCGTAAAGAATATTGCTGCCAAAGACGTCCATAAGCTTCTTCACACTAGCAATCGGGTATTTCATCCTGGCAATGTGTTAGCCTGCATATCAAACATTAGATAGGTGGAACCGAAATACAATTCGCCGCTTCGGACCATATCGCAAATTGTAAGGAGAAACCCGTGCCGGCATACTGTGACAAAAATCCCTGACTTCTTGAATATAGCAAACATCTTCTTGCGTGATTCGGGCGCTGCATTACGCCAGCGGTCAACGCATATGGTGGGTGGCTCTGCAGAATCGTTCGAGTCCGGTTCGTCTATCCACGGATCGTCAGGGTCACTAGGTTGTTGCCGAGCAGGTTGCCTAGCTTGACGTGCCCGCGCAGATCGGACTTCATCCTTAAATTGGTCAACATATGACTCCGTGAGCCAGATGGATGATAGCCCTGAGCGAGGGTCAAGACGTTCCTCACCGCTACGTACTGCGGGATCAACCAGTTTGGCTGAGTTGTTCCCATCACATGCGCACAGAATCGAGAAGTCCAGAGTCGGCTCATTGACCAGCTTGTATTGGCAAGCTGGACAAGAATTCAGCATGCGCCAGTTCTCTGTGTCACGTCCAAGGAACTTGTCGAGTCGGCTATTGATGCGACGATGTATTTCGAGATACACGTCGAATGCAGTGCGCATCTGTTCGGCTAGGTGCCGACGATAACAAAGCTAGGGCAATATAAGAATATGTACAAGAGGATGACAAAAGACTCACGTTATGCATGAAACAAAGCATCTTCGCGGCAGCGTGGATGCTAAACCTTGGGCATACCCGATGACTTTGTCGGAACACGTCAAGGGTACGGATGGTAATCGCAACCGTTGGGCGAGTAGGCGAGCTGCCTATGCAGCCGTTATGAAGTAAGGACACGTTGATGAATGGGGAAATGGATCTGAAAGTTTGGACACGGCGCTCTAAGTGAATGTTAGATATGCGAACATTACTGGAATAGACAGCGCACCAAAAAGATCAACAACTTCAATTGAAAAATTCTCTGCCTCGTTGTCAGAGAGTGGAGGTGGAGTGCAGTTTTGCTTGTACGTCAGAAAAGCATTGGTGAGATCGTCGTATTGTGAGGCCCACTCCGCTACGAGGTGTGCAATCCGTCCGCTGCGATTGCGGGTGTCAAGTCGTCTATTCATATATTCAGTAAGAGGAGATTGTGCGCAGAGATAAATGGAGGAATACCGTGTCTTTGTCATTGTAATAGTCTCAAGCTCCCGGTACAGCGAAATTTCGTCTCCAGCATGACTTACTGAGAACCCTTCCTCACCAGGAGGAGGGACCATAGAGTCTACATCCATGAAATAGGCGGAGAAGTCGGTGAGGTCGAAATTGTCCGACGGTACTTGCGACGACATGCTTGGTCCACCACTCTCTGCGCTTAGCAAACGCTCACGCTCCACCAAAGGAAGTTCTGGGAGACCGTCAGTGGAAACAGAATGGAAGTACAAATGAGCCATACCTTTGAGGAGAGCAGAGCGAATTTCACGGGCGTCCTGTTGACGTTCGCGAATGGCTCCAGCACGCAATGTTTTGGCTTTGCCCCCGCCACCAACATGAACAACGCATCGTCTTGAAACCCCGCCCAGAGAATTGCGACTGGGGGGCATGGGGAACAGAGGCGTAGATGAGGTGTAGTGAGTGCTAGCAGTAACAAGGAGGTTAGGGTGTTTCCCACGTTACCTTGTTGATTTGTTGCGGGGGCCACGTGTGCAGAAAGCAGAGCCAGGCCTTCGTGCGTTGATATATCAGTAGAGTGAGGCCTGTAGTCCTCGTGTACTGCCCCAAAATGCAGAAAGAAATAGTAGTATTTGGCGGGATATGAGAGCTCATCGTGGTAAACGATGAGCACGTTGTTTGGCAGCATTGGCGGCATTGTTTGTATTGGCGTGGTGGCCAAAACGGGCATGGGAAAGACATACCGGAAAGAGAAGTAAAGGCTGTTGGAGAAAACACGCATAAGTGACTGAAACCAGCTGGGGCGCACCGCTGGGGCGCACCGCCGGTGCTCCATACGAATGCAGAGGGACTTAATTAAGTGGCAGAAAGAGTGCCGTGAGGCCACTTAACTAATTGAGATATGTGGGAATCATAGGTGTTATATTAGCAGTGTCGCCATCACCAGCAACATCCCTAGCAGAGGAGGGTGAATATAGCTTTGAAAGCCTGCTTACAGTGAGATCTTTGTCGAGTGACTTGGGCATGACTAACCTGAAGCAAAAGGGTGCTTTTGAAGAGGCCCTCCTCCAGATTGTCCTGATCCGCTGTGTATTTGTGATACAAGAATGCCGGCCAGGACATTTCCGTCATGACATAGCTGTCTGCGCGATCCCTGATTCCTGCTCTGATGCTAGCAGATAGTTAGTGTCAGGCAAAATCTCAAGTGAGGTGCTTACATTGGGCTATTCCAGTCTAGCTCAGTCGGGCAAAGTAGTCTACCACATACATCACTGACAAATCCATGGCCGTGTTTGTCCTCGGAGTCGACCGGACAATCAGGCTTCAATTCACAATTGATCCAATCAGCGGCAAGGCTTTTGAGCTTCGGGTTTTTTTTTTTTTTTGGAATCCTTGTTTATTGTCCTGTGGGGTGGGGCCCTATGATGGACGTTACATGTTGTATGGTACTCTATGTTTGTAAGTCGTGTACGGTGAATTCATATCTCTGCAATGGTCCAGGCTTTTTGGCGAGGACGATAGAGCCATCTTAAGGCATCTGGGTGTGGGTGGTACAGTTTGTTTCCTGGTTGCGATCTTTCTCATTCTCATTCTCCTTTTTCTATCTTCTTACCTCGCTCCTTTCCTCTCTCTCCATCTCCTTTGGTGGCATGACATCTCCGAAGACCTGCTCCATCCTTTTCATTCTTGCTATGTACTTGAGCGTTGCTTTTATTCCTTTGTCCTCGCTGAGCAGATATTTGATGTTGAGTTGACACGGTCCTACTTCCATGCTGAGTGTCGCGCAGTGCCCTGCGAACTTTGGACATGCTAGGAGGAAGTGGTGCACTGACTCTTCATGTGATTGGCATTGTTGGCACATCGCTGATGGGGCACTTGCGATGTGGTGGAGGTACTTGTTCAGCGCGATGTGTCCAGTGCATAATTGGAAGAGTAATGTTCCGTGTTTCCTGGGTAAGTGCTCGATCTTCTTCGCGAACTTCTTGGATGGTGCTGATTGGTCAATCATCTGCAGTCGGGTATACCGGGGGGACGATTTCATGATCATGATGGCTTCTTCCTTGATCCTGGAGTAGAAACCTTGCTTGAGGGCAGACTTGCTTGCGGGTAGAGTTGCTGGTGTGCCGTCCTTTGCTAGGAGTGGCTTTGGGAGTAATGGTGCATCTGACGAGTTTCCTGCAGCTGCTTTCTTCGCTTCTGTGTCCGCAGCCTCGTTGCCCGGGATTCCGGTATGGCCTGGTGTCCATCTAATAACAAGTTTTCTCCCATTGTTGTAGGGTAGCAGTTGGCGCAGGTCGTCATGAAACTTGTCCGCCAGATAATGGCCTGGTTTCGACTGGAATGCCGTCGTGGTGCAGATCACCGCCTGATTGTCGACTCCCAATGCCATTGTCCCTCCCTCATTGCCCCTCTCCTCCCTCAGCAGCTCAACTCCCAGTATCATTCCTATCAGCTCTGCCTCATACACCGTATTTTGCTCGATGCCTCCTAAGTGTAGGTGTTTGCTTCTGATCACCTCGTCTCCTCTCATTAGGACCGCTGTGAGTAAGGAAAATAGTAATGCTAACTCTGGGGAGTTGCAAGAATATCTACCTCGAGAGGCGAGCTAGTAGTTTCGTCCCTTAGGGGATGCTACCGAGGCAAATCTCTCTAAAATGATGAGAGGAATCAAGAGATGACTGAGGCCTGAGGATGTGCGAAAGCGCGCGGAGATGCGCAGCCAGAGCGTGAGAAGCGCAAGTAGCGCTGGATATGCGGAAGGATGTGACCGAAGTGTGAGGCGCGCGAGATATAGAGAATGGGTGGCGCCTGACGAATGGGAATTCTTGAGGAAACTAATGAACTAGTCTTCACAATAATAGAGAGAGGATAGACAAAAACAGTGATGGTATTAGCACTCTTCTCACAACTAGACAGGAAAACTGATAGTGAGTCCTAGTAAGGGAAAAGGTAAAAAAAGGTCCCCCTGAAAACCTCTGAGTCCTTTAAATATGTAAGTCACTATGCGCGCTCTCAGGGTATTGGGACGTAAGGGAAGTGGATAGGTAGCGTGGAAGCGTAAGGGAAGTGGATGTATGTAATGTGGTGTGTAACAGACCCTGGATGTGGTCAGCGATGGTAATAAGAGTGGGAATACGCACCAACGGAGCCGGTGTAGAGAGTGATATCTCTACAGGCTCGTATTCCCCTATTCCACCATCGCCCTCATCACTATCCTTAGACAAGTGCAAGCCTATAGAGTCGCAAAGGGCTCGCGCGGCCACTCGCGCTTTACCGCATAGTGCGTGCTACACGCGCACCCCTTTCTGCATAGAGGTGCTATACTCGGCACATCCTCCCATGTCTTCCCATGTCCTGTCTCATCTATCCGGCTCCATTGGTGCGTATTCCCACTCTTATTACCATCACTGACCACATCCAGGGTCTCTTACACATAGCATTACATACATCCGCTTCCCTTACGCTTCCGCGCTACCTATCCGCTTCCCTTACGTCTCAATACCCTGAGAGCGCGCGTAGCAACTTACATATCTAGAGGACTCAGAGATTTCGGCAGTCACTTTACTTTCCCTGACTTGGACTCTGCATTTGTTTTTCGGTCTAGTCGTGCTCCAAGCTCTAATATCATCACTGTTATTGTTTATCATCTCTCGGGCTTGTCTAAGACTCGTTTCCATATTCTCCGAAGCATTCCAACTGTCAGCTGCCGCCTACTTCCTTATCTTGCACATCCTGCGCTTCAGTGGTACTCTTCCGCATACCACGCGGCCCCAGTGCCTTTCTTGCGCTTCCAGCGCTTCCGTCGCGCATCTTCCGTGCGCCCTTCGCATCTCTTAGGCTCTAGCCATCTCCTTGATCCCTCTCATTACTTGAGAGATTGCCTCAGTAGAATCCCCTAAGGGACGAATCTATTAGCTCGCCTCTCGAGGTAGATATCTTTGTGACTCCACGGAGTTCACATCACTATTTTCCTCACCCACACCGGATAGACAAGACAGGACATGGGAAGACATGGGAGGATGTGCTGAGTATAGCGCCTATATGCAAAGGGGTGCGCGTGTAGCGCGCGCTATGCGGTAAGGCGCGAATGGCCGCGCGAGCCCCTTGTGTCTCTATAGGCTTGCGCTTACTTGTGGATAGTGATGAAGGCGATGGTGAAATAGGGGGGTACGAGCCTGTAGAGATATCACTCTCTACACCGCCGCGCCTCCCACTTTCCCTTCTGTTGCGTATCCATCTGAGTACACCCTTAGGTCCTCCGTGGCTTCTTCGTCCTCCTTTGCCGCTCTCTCCTTCGTGTCCGCTATTCTCGTGTCTACGTCCGGCTCCCACTTGGTATAATGCCGTACCGGTGCGATTTTCTCTATCTTGGATGGATCTATCTAAAATTCATTCATCAGTTTGTGAAGCGGTGAGGGATGTAGCTTTGAGGTGTCGTCCCCTCGAGCACTGTCAGCCCCCTGCCTAAGCTAAATAACAGCTCAGTAGTATACAAATAGTTTGTGATAGTAAAGAGTACCTTTTGTAGCATATACATGAGATCCTCATTCTCCAAGTCTGAAGCTTTTGAGTGAAACCATGGGAGGGTGTGATTAAGGGCAATGTATCCGATTTGTAAACGATGCTGACTATGATGACAAACTAGTGATCAGCAATCATGAAGCACAGGTGAAAAAAGACATACTCGACAGTCATATCCTCATCCTCATCCAAATCACACCTCCTATCATTCTCGGATATTAAGTCTTCGATGTTATCAAATAATGTAACGATCTGTCTGATGGCTCTTCCTTTCGATATGTAGTAGTCCATCTCTCTAAAAATCATAGTGAATGAACAGAACTAGGTGTAAATGGCGCTCATACCTTTTTTTGACCGCATGCCCCGATTCCAGTACCTGTAACTTTTCTTCTAAAGCAGTGATTTTCCGCTTCTGATGAGCACTCTCAGATGTCGCTACCACTAGTGACTGTGACAATTCCGGAGGCTCAGAGACGTCCTCCATTGCCTGAGACATGAACTTCCAGGGCGAAAACACGACAAAAGCCAAGTTGAGCCTATGGAAGAGGGTAGGAGATGGGGGACAGGACTCGCCAAGTTGAAAAAAGGAGCACCTGCCTTATATGATGGCCGTCTAGCTAAGGGCAAGCTGCCTAACACATATACCTATAATGGAAAGCATCAAATAATCTTTAAGTTAGTGCCCAAATTTGTATGCCCAAAATGTACATGTCAGGAAAGCGCATTGACATTACATAACACTGAACGCTGAAAATGGGATGCGGGACAAGGGCGACATGCTAAAATCAAATTCCTACTTTTTGAGCGACTGTCAGTTTGGAATAGTGCAAGGAATATGCACTTAGCCCAGTGTTCATTTCCCATGTTCGGCTGGTCCAAGCATAGTGAGTGAAAACCCTCAGATAATGTAAACACTACATTGCGCTGGACCAGCTTACAACACAACTTGAATGATGGGAGTGACGATGCGCACAAGCAAATCCCAGCTTCAGAGAACTTCAGGTTCATTGAAAGTACATCAGTAAACTCACACGCTCTGTACAGAGCTATACAGGGCCGCACAGAATGCCAGGCCCACAGCCTGGTCCCCTTGTGACAGACAGTAGGGTTCTGAAAAATATTTGAACAAGTCTGTACAGTGTCCCACAGACATCACAGAAGGCACTGCTTGTCCATAACTCGGACCAGAATATTTGAACAGGTCTGTACAGTGCCCCACAAACATCACAGAAGGTACTGCTTGTCCATAACTCGGACCTTGGCATGTTTGTAGATTACTTTCCCCAGTGCTTCCCAGTAGTATAGCACACCAGTAGCACAGACAAATACCAAACAAATGAGATCATATTGCAACTGACAAAGACGGCTTACAAATGTGTATCGACATGCAGTAGTAATAGTACAGTCTGACGAGCGACAGGAGAAAACGTGAAGCTTCAATGCCTGCGAGGAAATATGCCACTCTGGAGAAAACTCATCTGTCCGGTAGTCCAACAGAAAATTGTTCAGAAGGTTCAGCACCTAATCGAGTACTACCTTCAAGTGCTCGTGCTTTGTTTCCAAGCCATAGCCACCATCAACCTTCAAGCCTTCTGACCTAGACGAAATGGCACTAAAATCAGCATCATAACAAATGAAAGACTCGGAGGAACACTTACCATCCATATGCGGCCCAGTCTTCAAGTTGCTCAATCAGTTTGGGGCCATGATATTCATCCAATAAAATGGACTCGATCATCGCCATCATCTCTTTGTAGATTTGTCCGTATTCCTTCACAGTGAATTTGGGGAAAGTCTTGCCGGTACCGTTTGTTGAGAAGCCAAGGAGGACGCAATCGAACTGCAAATGTAGGAGTCAGTGACTTTATTAATCAACTTTTTTTAAAAATACCGCGGCGGAGACAAGCGCTAAGGAAGTTATAGGCACCTGTTTGCGAAATAGATCTGGCCTTCTCCGAGCTAATCTGTATGATCCAGTGTAGTAGAATAAAACGACGGCTTCTCAGAGCGGTGGATTTGCCCAATTATTAGTCTTTCCCTGTTCTCGTGTGTCAGCGCTGCGAGGGATGAACAAAAAATATAAATAAAAACATTTTTATCAAATCCATCCCGCAGGAACAGAGAGTCATGACATAGTGTTTTTGCTCTAATTGTGACCCATGCTGGCCGTTCCTGGGCGGGTATCTCGATGGGGGGATGAGGTCTAACATGATTGGGGTCAAGTAAATAACGACTTTCTTCAACTCAGACTGCCAGGTCGCAAGATCATCATAGAGCTATGATAGGAGGTGAGCAGGCTTGTACAACGACAGGGACGCACTTACCAGCCTGGCCATGTTAGACTGCTGCGCAGGCCACACACCTATGCTAAGATTGAGACCTTGGAACTCAGGAACATGTGAAAACTTACCACTTTCTACCTGCTTCCCGTTCTTCTCCCACTCAATCTTGAGGGCCGACAGGACTCCTGTTATTGACTTTGGTAAGTCCCCCGCCAGAGTTGGAAATGGGTTGGTTAACGTGTGCACTGTGTGACACTCTCCCTTTGCTTCCTCCAGGAAGACTTTCCAGCCGGTACTGTACCACCTGAGTTGCGTGGGCCTTGCTTCGGATCGTGATTGAGGAACTTCGTGTTGAACTTCACGTTGAATATTGATCTCAGATTGCTGGCAAAGTGTTTCGAGGTACTCGGGGTCAGGGAGGCGGCGCAGACCATTTTTCTTCTGATGTTGCTCGAGGACATTATTCTGCTTCTGGGGTTGCTCAAGGACATCATTCTGTGTCCGTTTTGGCTTGGGCTTGGGCTGCGCTGAGGTGAGATTTGCTGCTGTGTTGACTTTGTTGCGTGAGTACCAAACATTGTTCCTCAGCTGCGCTGAGGCCTGACTAGCTGCTGCATGGCCTTCATCCTCGTCGCGTGAATACTGGAAATCAAATTCAGGCGTCAAAGCACGTGGGTTCGGAGGGGGCTGAGGGGGCCATTCCTCAGAAAATCCTGGACGGTGTATTATCAATCAGTGAGAGAAGTATGTGAGTAGAGCATGGAGATCGCCTGCTGTGTTGACTTCATTGCGTGAGTACCGAACATTGTTCCTCGGCTGTGCTGAGGCCAGACTAGCTGCTGCATGGCCTTCATCCTCGTTGCGTGAATACTGAAAATCGAATTCAGGTGTCAATGCACGTGGGTTCGGAGGGGGCTGAGGGGGCTGTTCCTCAGTAAATCCTGGACAGTATAGTATCAATCAGTGAGGGAAGTACGCAAGTAGAACATAGAGATCACCTGGATGAATTGTGTGTCATCCATGAACTGCTCCCCAGTTCCCAATGTCAGCATCTCCATCACTGTCTTCATCCTCTGCTCCAGTGTCTTCTTCCACTGAGCTCTCACCACTCCCATCCTCAACGTCTGATGTATCACTCAACTCAACAGACTGTGGAAGCCTTGGGAGCGCGGCAGACTGAATAAATGGTGGATTGACATACTGGGTGGTGTTCGAAAATGTTGGCACAGAGCATGTATTTGCGTCAAGCGGTGATGCCCGAGTGCATAGTGCTGGGTCTATGAGATGCTCCGGAAGCATTGCGGGTGCAGCAGGCTGATTGACAGTGGCATTAAACCTCGGCTCCAGATGCGCACTCGCGGGTGCAGCAGACTGGTTGACAGGCCTCGGCTCCAGATGTGCACTCACGACAAGTGATGGTGCTGAGGGGAGTGTGGCTACATACAGATTGTAGGTGACTGGAATTGCCTTGTTTCCAAATGGTACCTGCTCAGACCTGGCAGTTGCATATGGGTTATTCAAGGCGAACAAGTTTGGTTGGGCGTCGGGAGGCACAATTGATCTTTGAGCTTGGGGAGGCTGTGATGTGCCATTTTCACATTGTGAGTTGGATGCCTATAAAATAGTAAGATAAATCAACCTAAGGAGAATAAATCTTACCTCGGATACATCCATGGAATTTGCATCAGCTGGGGCATATGGAGGGGGAGCGGTAACCTAAGAACTGGATTAAGTCTTAAGTAACCTCCCATATAATATTTTACCTTTCTGGACCTGCGGCTCTTGTGAGCATCAGGGGCTTGTGGGTTCCTTGGAATGTCAGCGCCAAGGGATGTAGAGCCTTTCAACACCTGTTTGCGAGCTGAGGCATCAAAGACTGAATCAAGTTTTTCTAGTTGCGCATTTCGTCCGCCTGTCCCTGCATTTGAATGACCAGAGTGTCTAGGGCCACTGAGTTCACCCGAAGGAGCAGGGCGACCATCAGTAGCTTCTATACTCTTTGGAGTTCATGTCTTCTTGACTTGTTCAGCTGGAGGTCCATTATCAAGATCTTGAACCTTTCTCTTGCCCTTAGACTTCCTGGGACTGGCCATTGGTGTGAGGGGATGAGAGAAGGCTGGAACACATGAATTTGTTGTCCAGACTCACCGCTATTTCAATCCCTGCTGTCCAGACTTCCGTGACGGAGTTCGAAGCATCTGATCCTGTTTTTCGCCTTTGAAACTAAAAATCAGAGCAAGGCAGACAAATTGAGCCTTGCACCTCGAGGCGCACATGTAACATGATAGAATGGCTTGAGAGTCTCTTGAATGAAGAAAAACTGGACACCTGTATCAGATCTCTTCCCCCATGTTATGGTCTACATCACTTAAAGAATGGATGGTCCTCCTTGGGTCAGATTGGAGGAAAGGACCAGACACATATGGCACACATTTTGCTGGGCTTTATAATAGGCAAAGTTCCTAGATGGGATCATCAGCTACAGGTCATTACTCAACTTCATCTATCTGGCTCAATATCCTTCACATGATGATACACTGGTGTATATGAAAAAGGCCCACAAGGATTTTCACCATCACAAAAATATTCTCTTCAATCTTGGAGTTAGAGAATATCTGGACATCCCAAAAATCCACTCCCTTCTTCATTATGTTGACTCTATCACATGGTTTGATACAACCGACAACTACAACACAGAAATGATGGAGTGTTTTCACATTGACTTTTGTAAAGAGGGATGGTACACATCAAATCACCACAATGAGATGCCTCAGATGATATCCTGGCTAAGTATAAGGGAAAAGGTGATTTTTTTTAAAAATATATTGATGTTCTTTACTTAAAATATATATCATAGGCATCTTCATTCAAGACCTATCTCAAAATGACCCTGGAAAATGAGGATGAGAATTCTCTTACTCTAGATTCAAAGATCAAAGCATTCTCATCACAAAATATCCAGCCAGGAAGAACCAGGTCATTCAATAAATTATGGAGAAACATACCTGCTCTGGCTTTCAATGCAATCTGACCTACTTCATCAATCTCTTTAATAATAACAATATTGCTGGTGGACGACTTAGAAATGCCTCCCTTCCATACAGCTCTTTGGATGTCTATCACGGTTTCAGATTTAGTCTGAATGATTTAGGCGATGAAGTTGATTTGGACCTAGGGAATGAGGAGATAGATAGTGTCAAGGCTAAACCTAAGAGCTTAGGAAGTGCAGCCAGATTTGATACAGTTGTAGTTTTGATCAGTGAGGCTTGTGAATCTACTGGATTACAAGGTAAGTGATATAGTTTTGTTCTTAAATGCTTGAGAATGACTCTATCATTTTAGGTGCTAGGATTGGATGTTTAAAAGTGATTTTCAGATTACCCACCAAGCTCTATGATTTCTGGACAGCACCATCTATCTGGCCTTTTGAGCCATTGACATATGTAGAATAGTTTGCTAAACTGAAAATAGCTCCTGAGCTTCATCATGACATGTATCTTGTGACTAATTCTGTACCATTAGCTGATAGTCATTCACCTGGAGCCATTATAAAGCTTTTGTAAGCTCGCCACTTATAAATTTTGTGTCTATTAATACTTGTGTACATGACACCCTACTTACCACTCAAACTCATGTGTACTTATCTTATCTTATCTTATCTTCTCTTACCTGAACCTCCATCATCGTTAATAGATTGACTTGTCTGATTTATTCCTTGTTCGTCTCATTTAAGTGTTTTCCACTCTGCAGGTTTCCAGCTTTCTTCTATATGTCAGAGTTGTCATTTGATACCAGACTTTTCTAATGGTGTTCTTGCTGCATGGACTACTGATACAGTATTAGATAAATGCAAAAGGTTTTATTTAGATAACTTTTCCAGCAAGTATTCTTATCAGACAATCTGGTAGACTTTTTTTTTCTACTTTACTTTGATACATGATATGTTGATATAATACTCTATATTTCCTATAGTGTCCAAAGCAATATTATACTATACAGAGAAGCACTATTAATATATATGACCTTATTATGACCTAAGATAGCTATATAACAGATAGTCAAATGACTATTACTTAAATAACTATAGTGTTTTTCCTGATGCATGGTCTGTGCCAAAGGTTCTACTAAAGTGTGAGGTACTGCCAAGCCTTGCAAAGAGCAGAATTAAGTTGAGGTTAGATACTTATAATATATTTTATACTTGACACATCAAAATTTGTTACAATTTCAATGCATTTCCCTATAAACACACCACGTTGCGCCAACACCTTTCTCTCTTACCATCATCAAGTGTACCTCTACAATAACAAACATAAAAGTAAGACCATGAAGAAAATTAATGATGTACCTTTAGATGCAATATGGCAATGAGTTTGGCAGGACAAACAATGGAAATCTGAAGGACATGGTGAGCAAATGCCATGAGTACTATAAGGTGCTTACCTGTGTTTTTAGGGCCAGGGGGCCAAATTGTGAACGCCAACACCTATGCTAGCAGCAACAACAACAATAATACCCACACCTACGCTGGCGGCAATAACAATATTAACACTAATGATGGCACTTAATAAGTGAGAGGTACTTGTTGTTGATAAAATGAAGTACTGATATGTTAGTTAGGGTCAGGCACCAGGAGAGCTGATGTTCACCATACCACAGGAAGTCCTGGTGAGGGTTAGTATGTTATGTACTGTATGGTGTTGATAAGGGTGTAGAACATATGGGAAGAGGGCCGGTTCATATGGCGTGAAACTACACCAGAGCTGCTCAGGGCCTTCCCCCATTGGCAAGGCCTCATATGTCGTGTTTGGATTGGTGCATGTTGATGGAAGTAACAGAACACCAGTGCGCGATGCTAATAAGCCTTTGGAATGAGATGGAGGCCGTAGAGCACCTGCTAGGCTTACACATCGTATAGAGAGGAGGCAGTTCAGCAACCATAATAATGTACTACAATATTTAATATCCCCACTCACATACATACCATTAGCATACTCAGCATCATGAGGTGGTTAGACATATACTATGCATGCGCAAATAACTATATCCCCCATGCCATTGACCTGACTGACAGTTAAGTGGATCCCTTGAAAATGACTTACAACACTCTATTGTCAATGTATTGAACAACACTCAATTTAATTAACCATACCTCTCATCTTAACTAACACCTGCTCATGCGTGTTATGTTAGGTTTCACTTAATATCATTTGAGTCACGTAAACCTTACATAATACAGTACAATGCCGGAGTCCATCTGACTGCTACATACCTGACTAGCGACTGTCTGACAGGTGCATAACAGGCATGAAGGGGTGTGAAACTTATGCAACTTCAGCGTGCTAATGTGACAAGTCCCTGACTCCTCCCTTGCACAGCTAGGATTAGTTAGGGTCAGCAGTTACTTGCAGAGACAACAATATATCGAGGTAGACTCAGCAAGTCAGGCAGTGTCATTGATTAACTGTGATAGAGTTAGTGGGACAATTGAAAATTCATAGAGTCTGTGTACCTTACTTTATGCTGTTGAATTACCAAGTAGTGTCGCTGAGATAGAAGAATAATGAACTGTGATCAAGGTTTCAGAGGGAAACCACTGTATGATGAGGGACTGATCGGGGTGTACCAGACCTCACACAGATCTATTTGGCGGTACACCTTAGCACTGAAATCTCACGCAGATTTCTAGTGGGTGCGCTGAAGTATCATCAATGTCAGAGCCCCTCCATTAGCCTAATGCAACAGCCAATGGCCAGATTGTACCAAGCTAGTTTGCCAACAACAAAGACGACAAGACATTTTGGTCATTAAGAGTGCCTTCTATTTGCAGTTGCATGTTAGAGTACCTTTGACTGAAATGCAATAATATGTCCAGGAGAATATCTATTAATCATAGTTCAGCCAGTGTAACATTAAGTATAAGAATTTGAGGATTGAAACTTACTTGAGTTTAAGAGAGAGATCTGGAAAGATGGTCTCCCACCTCTGCATATTTTCCAGAACTGAGAATTACACATAGGAAGTCCTTCCCATTAACATGCAAGAATGTTTGCATTTCTGTAATATTATACATTCTAGAAAGATTCCCCCATGGTCCTCAGCTGAGTCAAACAGGGATACCGACCCAGCACCCAGCATGTGCTGAAGATGACAGTGCAGCATACTTTTCAGGGAATGCAATCTTAACACAAAGAAATCAGTGAGCTTATTATCTGTATAAACTATTGCTGCAGTTTGGATGTGACAATGGGCAGAATTTGAGCCATTGTTAGACCTCATTAGGTCTACCAATGGCACAAAGGTGGCCTAGTAGTGGCTACATGAGCATGATTTAGTATATCACAGCACACTTACATTAGGATGACCTTGCTCGTTCCAAGCCTCGCAATCATGCCACAGTCATTTTGTTTCGCTAAAATCCTCACCTTCTTTAATATACACTAATTCTTAATTCTTGAAGTCATTCTCATGGCACCTGTTGATAGAGCCCTCAAGCAGTTTGGGCTGAAGAGTGAAGAGTTTCTGTATATCATAATGTTTATTTCAAGACTCTAAATATAACAATATGAACATTTAGGGTCTTGAGTAGCAGCAGTACAGACCTACCCTTAGGAAAATTAAGAGGTGCTAGCAATGCCTAGATGCCATCAGTCTGTGTCCCCTTAGTTACACAAAATAGTGAAAGCCAATATGTGTCTATGGCACATCAGATTGTAGCCCTTCACAAATTTGACTCACAGCAGAGGGTGAAGGAGTCCTGGTACTACCATTTGAAAATCATTTGGTTGAAGGAACTCAAGGATGATAACATCATTAGGTATAACATCCTAAATTGCATCAACCATTCATGACTAATTGTAGTGCATATCCACTGAGACACATCAAGACATATCTTTGATACATTTCTACTGGAAATGTACTTTTTTGTTTTGCAGCGCCCACAAACTATACTTTTTAGTATACTCTATTATTCCATAAAATGTTGGATGTAGGTAGTTGAAAACCTATAAAATTACCAAGGACCAGATTGTTGCTGGTCTGTATGCAACTGGTAAGGTCGCATGTCAGAAATTGCACACAGAGAGCAACAGTGATGTTCCGTTGTTGAGCCAAGTGATTGGATGCATGTGGTTGAATTAGAAAAATATTGAAAATTAGCTAGTTTGGACTAGAGCATTGAAAAAATTACAGAGAAAAACAAGAAAGTCAATGGAAAATGAAATGCAGAGGGAGATCCTTCAACAACTACCATAGTTGGGGGAATAGTTAGTCATAGTACAAATAGAAAAAGTTCATGCTAGTAATTGCAGATATAGGAGACCATATAGATGGCAGCTATAGTAATACAAGCTGCTGCATAGAGATCATTTCAAGTTTCACTGCAGATCATTTGTGGTAATATACATGCTTACCATTTATGGCACAAAACTGTTTGTATTTGGCCATATTTACCTGTTGGTTTGTGCTCTACTTAATTTATATATATAAGATGGTGCAATCATTCTCTTCACTCCAGCTTTATTCTGTGTTCTCTCACTATACTGCTGCTCATATATACTTCACTGCCCAAGTATGCATTTATGCTGTTATAGTAACTTGCAGCTAAATATTTTGTCAAGGCCAGAGTTTTGATTGCTACATAGACTGATATATCTAATGTTGTTATAGTAGAAAAAAAACACAGCAGCTTCTGGCCTTGATATGATGGCTCTTGTCATCAAAGAGGTTTCAGAAAATGCAAAAATTCTCAAGCTATTTTCCAAAGCAGCACATCCTTATTTTATAGCACTCTTTGAGGCAGCTCTGGTAAGGATATTGAAAAACACTCTGGCCAGCTAGAGCTCTCTAGAAGGATTGTCTCTAGTCACTAACCATATTTTTACATACTCCACAAACCTCTTCTTCACATTAATTCCTCTAGCCTTCAACTAGTAGTGCATGAAACAAAAAGCTGCATTATTAGGAATGTAGCAGATTCTAGCATCATTGCAGTAGTAATTCACAGTTTTTGTGGCCATCCTGGAGTATTATTTTGAATTGATAAAGTTGTCTGTGATGCAGTGCAGAAGAAGAAAAACATCAGGGTATGTTGAATTTTTACACTGTAGTACAATGATCTCTAATATAACTATATACTTGAGCTTGAAAATCTAGTGTTCTTGCTCAAATAAGATATTTAGCAGGATCTTGCTCTGTACTGAAATTTAACTGGGTGTAAAACCTACTGTCAATTTAATTCTCTTCTGATGAGGTATATGCACTGGACTTGAGTTCAAGTTCAGTGTTTGCACTAGTGCTGCCGCAGTCCGGTCCCGAACCGTGGTTCGAACCCGAACCCATCCAGACTGGACCAGTGGTTCGGTCACAGGTTTGGTCTCTCTCCTGGACCGAACCCCCTAACAGGTTCGGGGTTCGATGTCGTCACTGAAAAATGCGGACCGGTTTAGACGCGTCCGGACCGGTCCGAACCTGCACCACGCGCACAATTCCAGCTGCGTGTTTTTCGTGAGGCTTCCTGTCAGTTTAAGTAGTGCGCTCACCAACTTCTGTTCCTTCTCTTCTTTTGACAGTAGCGTTCCCCACATTGCGCAAGCAACAAGGGTGCTTTTTTCAGCTATGCAACGACTCAAAGCACCGGTACTATGTTCACCGTCTCTCATGTTTGATAAGTTGCTAACTTCTAATGTTTTTTCATTCAGAATATACCTACTACTGTGGTGATTCCTGGGTTTTCCACCAAGTTTGCGCAATGGATTGTCATTTTGGAACTTGAAGGTGCGCAACATTTTTTTATTGAGTTTGAGATATATATATTCACTTGTGGTATAGGTTCGACATTCGCACTCCCTGCTGCAACTATGTTCGAGTCGTTTGCACCAGCCCGTCGTCCTGACGGTTTGTTGAAAAGCGCTGAAGAGATGGAGTGGATACACGACCCGGATGATGACACTACCATCCTCCCTCCCCCTCCTCCATCCAAAGGCACACTCAATTCATTCATCCGTCATTCAGGCCGCGCTGTCAAGCCTACAGAGAAGATCCGGGAGACTGCCAGCAGTATCCCGGCCAAACGGTCAGCTGTAGGACCTCCTGCCCCTGCACCCAAGAAAGCACTCATGCGCACCAGAAACGAAGAGCGTGACGACAACGACAGTGACGAATACGACGCCGAAGAAGAAGCCCCTCCACTTGAGGATTTTACAGATGATGAGGAAGACGATGAGAACGAGAACGAGGAAGCTTACCAAAAGACGAAGAAGCTTGGTGACCAGGATTGTGAAGACCATAAATCCCTCAAGAAGGTCGAACGCAGCGCCGATTTGACCACGATCTTTACTTTCAAGAAAGATCGTGTTAACCCCCACACCCAGGAGCGCAAAAATGGGTGGTGGTGTGAGGTATGCAAGGCTAACAATGTTTCGCTTCACCAGTGCTTTTTTAAGGGGGGTATTTCGACTCGACGCACGCACATTGCACGGAATCCCAAGTGCCATTACCCTATCTACAAGGACCGCTGTGAACAACGGGGTCTCACGATGCACGATCGTGCAATCCCTCATAACTGCAAAGCGGACGTGCCGCAGCCTACCTTGGACGCCTCACTTACTCCCAAGATTCCTGCATTCACAAAGGCTGGACTCATGGATTACATTGTCGAACTCATTGTTGCCGAAGATGAGGTGAGCGACTCTCATTTTTGATATATTTTAAAACACTTATACAACATTATAGGCCTTTCAACTTGTAGATAAAGGACCCTTCCGCCGCCTACTTCAATATCTCCGGCCATCACTTTCAGACCGAGACATTCCCCACCGTACCAAAACTCGGGACGAAATACTCGAATGTGCAAAGCTGGCAGTCGAGCGCGTGAAAGAGAAGCTCAGCCATGTCGATAGCAAAATTTCCATGATGTTCGACCCTTGGACGTCTTTTCCTGGTCACCCTTTTCTGTCAATTACAGCGCATTACATAGATTCCCCAGCTGAAAACCCTCATGAGTGGGAACTTAGGGTGGAGCAGCTCGTGTTCGCACCCATTCACGGCAATCACAGCGGTGCGAACATCGGGAAGATTTTGATCGAGAACATCAACAAATACGACATCCGCACGAAGCTTGGGTGGTTCACGGCTGATAACGCATCAAACAACGATACTGCCATTGAGATGGTTGCGACCTCTATTGACCCTTACGGAGTGGAGTGGAAACCAATTGAGCATCGAGTACGGTAAGTTCGTTCATTAAGTACTGAATTTGAGATTACTGATGAATATTCAGTTGTATGGAGCACGCACTCCACTTAGCTGCAAAACACTTCGTTGAAGAAGTGGCTCCTACATCGGCAAGCGTCTTGCACAAGAAGTCAGCTCAAGCTGAAGACGAGGACGAGGACGGCGAGGAAAGTGTTGAATTTGACATTGGTGACACTATTGGCAAGGCGCTTGCATTTGTAGCGCAGGTAAGCTCTTTAATGATCTATCTGCTATTGTATAGTACTGACACGAGACCTTTGTTTAGGTCCAGAAGTCTCCTCAAGCTCGCGTCTTCCTTCAAAAGTGCTGCAAGGAGGTGAATGAGCCCCCATTGGAGCTTTTGAAATGGGTCCGCACACGTTGGGCGTCTCTTTTTAATATGTTGGAGCGTTTTTTTAAATTGCACAAAGTAAGTTGTCTACTACCGACTACATGAACACATTACTGACTTGATTATTAGGGAGTAAACAGATTCATCCAGCTCGCTGATGACAGCGACGAGGTCCCAAATCTGAAGGGAAAATCATACGCGGATTTCAGGCTTTCAGCGCACGAGTGGGCAGAGTTGGAGTTGATCCGTGAAGTCCTCCAGGTAAGTCATTTCTCTCTACCTTCCGCAATTATGCTTATGTGCTGCACACCGCACACCAAGGAGCCGGCAGATGCTCAACAGAGCTTCTCTGCCACACGTGAACCAACCATATGGAGAACCATTCCAGTGCTCGAATGTCTTCAAGACACTTTGCAAAACATGGCGAACACATCAAAATTTGCCCGTTTCTCAACGGCCATCGAAGCTGGTGTCACTAATCTCCGCAAGTGGTATAGTAAGACTGACGACACAGATGTATATTTCATTTGTCTTGGTATGTATCTCGTATCTATTCTAATGCCTTTGAATGTCATTGACCTTGTTGGTGTAGCGCTGGACCCCAACTACAAGGTCGCGTACACGAAAGACAAATGGACCACTCATTCTTTCAAAAAAGGCATGCAATGCCTCGAGAGCACGGTACGTCACTCATCACTCATTTCTGTCAATTGTATACTAATCTTACATAGTTTGATATGTATCATCGCAGTAGTACTCCCTCGCAGGCTCCTGCAGAGCCATCTGTTACTGCGCCTCCCTCGCTTGCTCTCCAAGGCTCGTATGGCCATAATTGGATGCGAAGCTCTGTCAAATCGCGTGTCGTGAATGACGCAACCACACGAAGGCCTCGTCAAGAACTCGAGGACTATCTAGATGCACCGCTCGAGGACGTCAACAATGTGGTGGCCTGGTGGGGTGTACGTCTTGTTATTCTATTTGTATTGCTTTCGTACTAACATGATTCAAAAAAACTTTAAAGCACCATTCTATACAATACCCGACTATTTCCTGCATCACAAAGGACTACCTCGCCATTCAGGGATCAGCTGTTGCGTCTGAGAGAGCATTTTCGAGCGGCGGTGTTACTGGGACCGTGCGTCACAGCTGTTTGAAGCCGACAACATTCGAGGCTCTTCAATTGCTCAAGAGCGCATACCACCAAGGTCATATCTCCGCAACAGCCCAGGCTGAATTCGCCACTCCTTATGATAACCGCGTCGACGTCAATGAAGAGTTCTAGTAGCTATTCATATTGTACATGTCATTTTTGTTTTGATTTTTTTTGCTAATTAAATCAATGGTTCGAGGGTTCGAACGCGTTCTGAACCTGAACTGAACCCTTGTGAACGCGTTCGAAGGCGTCCGGTCCAGGGTTCGGCCATCTTGCCTGAACCTGACCACTGGTCGAGTTCGGGGTTCGCAGATATAGGGTGATGAACCTGACCGAACTGGACTTCGGCAGCACTAGTTTGCACTGTTTTAGAATGCATACAAGGTTATGCTACCCCAGGAAATCATTAGTGATCTCTACAAGTTTCTGAAGGCTAATAATATCTGTTGCATGGCTAGAGTTGCAAATCCCACTAACAATCTACACCCACTTGGCCAATATGTAGTTGGAATAGGAGAAAATGATGTTTACTATGAGTTTAATGAGATGGAAATAGCACCTCCAGCTGGTGTCTTAGCCTTAAATTATTCTAGGTATGTTTGGTTTTAATGGTTGATAAATCCATTAATTATTGCACCAGGGCTACACATTCTGAGCACCAGCCCCATAAATTTACCATCTCATGGACAACAAACTGATCATCTCAAAGTATTAGTAGACACTTTTATAACTGCTTTCATGGCATTTAGGTTAAAAGTGCTCCTAATACCTTTGTTGTCTGGCAGCAAGAGTATGTTCATGGCACCAGTCTTCAAGTCTGAAACCCTAATGATACTAATCCAGCTCTTGTCCAGACTGGAATAGTCATTGTAACTTCAAACAGACTCTCTAATGCATGGAAAAAGTACAAGAATATCAATTCTGGAGTTGCACAATTAGAGTTGGAGCTGCAAGAGGAGGAGGTAGATGATGGTATCTATCACGAGGTAAGATAAAGTATTAAGTAACCCACAGAAACGCTTGCAATGAATATACATAAAACAATTTCCCACATAAGATATGTTAACGTGGTAAACCACAAAGCCAAGAGATAATAGACAATTATTGAAAGGCAAGCAAGGAAAGTCAAAATATATGTAATGTACTGTTGCGAGAAGAATCTCGTGACTTGGGGTGATTGTGATAATTGCTGTATGAATTAGCATTTAAACATATAACAATAATTTTAATGACTTACCACAACATTGCTTGGTGAGCGTAGCAAATACTCCATACGCAAGTAGTTGGGTAGCGCTGAGACGGTACCTATAGCACAAAATGATGGTGAATATTATTTTATTAATGTTTAAATTTACATGCACATACCCAACATTGTACAAACTTGGCATGTCACCAAGATGTAATAAGGGATGCAGTGTAGGAACAAGTTCCTGGTTAGGCTTACTTTACCCCTATTTACCTTGCTTGTGTTGGCACTTGGATAGCTTACATAATGAGGTTGGTCTTTACCTTTACCCTCACCTGGAGTGACTTTGAATGCAGTTTTCCTTACTCTCTCTCCCTCTCTGAGCTCTAGGGTTGATAGTTGACGGTCCAGGAGTTGAACTCATGTGATCGAGGGACTCGGATGCAAGCACATCTATGCAGCAAAATCTAATTGTACATCCAGTTTATATAGTCACGAGGATATGTGTTTAGTAAATATTAGAATAGTAATTTTAATATGTTTGACACAGCCTGAGATTTGCCACAAGATCTGAATCATGCAATTATGAGTATCCCTGATATCCCTGACATTTAGTCTACTATAATACTGTCCTATGTGAGTGTATTGAAGGGGTGTTGCACTTAGTTGTGTAGTCATACCAAGAGTTGAGGTTCTGCCTTCAATATAAATATCTGATATCGCCCCCCAATAAAACACAAAAAGAACACAATGTATTGCTGGCAGTACTTATGACCCTTAGTTGCACCACAAAAAAGCAAACAATAGATTGACTCAATATGTGCACGAGTCAGCATGACCAACCACTCCCCAGTGCTGATTCTTGGGACCAGATTGCCAGCATCAACACCCCCAATGTCAATGTCATCCCAGTACCCTGTGAGGTCCAGCATACAGCCACTAGATATGTCAGCAAGTGCCAACATATTGTAAACACAAACACATCTTATTGCAAAGCACAGAAACAGCAAGGAAGATGAAGAGCCCACACTTATCGTGCAACGGCTTGAGAATATTCTCATGGAGTGGAGTAGGTAGGGTTGCAACCAGTTGGTTGGATGATGGGGAATGTGATGGTCTGGAATAAAGAGTTGTTAGTGATTATTGGATTGTCGCACACAACTTACTTGAATTGATTGAATTGATGGTTATCATCTTCAATGATGGCCTCTATAATAAACTCATAATCATTGATGGACACATCAGAGAAGACCTTTGGGATGAGTCAGTGTGCAAAATTATTGTGGGAAAAAAAGCATGAAGGCCTCATGTCTTGAAATCAATATTGGTGCCCTCAGGCTGTCCTTTGCCTCTGAGAAAAGAGATAATTCCCACTTAAAACTATCAAAAAAGCTCAACACAGGTGTGAATGTCCAAAGGAAAAAACTGACCATCTTTTTGGAATCTCAAGTTTGGGCTCTTGTACTGAGGAACACATTGTGAGTTGAAAACCATGAAATTTGTGGTTCAATGCTGCAGGATTTGAAGGTAGGATTGCAGCCAAATAGGCCACTGGAGATATTGAGGTCTGTTTGTGGAGCTGAGGGAAATTCATTTTAAGAGAGCTCTCTTTGTATGGTGTCACATTTTTTCTTCCCCAGAAATTGTTGCTCAGTACTCGGTGTAGTGAGAGAGGCATAGTGTGCCTGATGTGGCATCATGGTCAACTACACTTATATAAATACAGCAGAGCTCCGAGCCTTATCGGTTGGCAAAGTTTTGTGTTTTTCCCTGCAGTGCCTTGTTAGTTAGAGTAGTCCATTTTTCTTGTGATGCTGATTTAAGATGTCGTCAGCTATAGGCTGAGAAGAACCACCAAGTTCAAAGACTTTGGGCACATTGAGCACCTTCCAAGGCAATCTCATCACTTGACAAATTGTCCAAATCTAGTATTTGCTGGGTGTTCATGTTATCTCCGTTATGGGAGTATTAAAAATTGAAGTCAGGAGCAAGAGAGGAGGTAACATGCACTGGGGAAGGTACTGGTTCCTGAGAAAAACCTGTGAAGTAATTATGGTGACCACTACATACAAAAATGTCATTTACCTGGGTGCACACAATGGCGCTCGCCAACTTCCACCCAACCAAACTCGCCTTCACCAGTGTTATCGCCATCAACAAAATCATTGTCATCTTCACCACCCATACTACTTTTACTAGAGCCTATAGTATCTGAATCTTTCTTTGGAATCAGATTGTTGCAATGAAAGGTTATTCCTAGGCTCAGAACCGACTGTTCATAGGGATGGGTCTAGATTTTCCTCAGAAAAGTCGGAACGATGCATGTAGAGGACAAAGGATGTGAAGGTAAGTCAAAGGTAGCTGAAGGTGGTGCTGATCATAGAAGATCTTCATTGGCTGGCCCACTGGAAGAAAACTGATGGCCTCCAGCATGGCTTTGGACAGTGCTGCAGGCATAATTATTAGTGTCTGTCTTGAATGAAAGGTTATTCCTAGGCTTAGAACTGACTGTTTGCAAGTTGATCCAGTGATGAACACTCGCGAGTCCTGCTATGCATCATTGCAACTGAGTTTAATGTTGTGCAAAACGGGCGGACACTTCAGATTTCAAGCACTTCAAGGCAGCCCACCAATCATGCCATATGGAACAGAGCCAGATCTGTAAGTACTTAAGAATTGTTATGTAGCGATCATGATGGCCAAGACAGACACTAATAATTGTGCCTGCAGCACTGTCCAAAGCCTTGCTAGAGGCCGTCAGTCTTCTTCCAGGTGGGCCCTTCGTCCACTACACATATTGTTCTGATGTTTTCTGAGGAAAATTTAGACCCATCCCTATGGGGTCAGATGTCTATTTGAATGATAGGTCATTGTATCACCAAGTATGGATTAAAAAAAATGCCTCACCTTGGCTTTTTCCCCCTTCTGATGGGAACTCATGATGGTAGAGCCCGCACCGTTTGAGACACTATACAGCGGAGGAAGCTTCTAAATATTTAACATCAGCCCCAACTGTCTGGATAAACACTTGAGCTTACCTGTGAATGGCTGCCACGGCCAATTTGACGCAGTTCTGGAGGTTGTTGGCATCACCAGTCGACAGCTTAACCTTGCTGAATTCTACGAGTACCAATGTCAGAAAATTCCTAGCGACATCAAAATGCTCACGTGTTGTAATGCGCCCGAGGGGCATTGTGATCAAGATCAGAATCAATATCTGAATGTGCCTTAGGCTAACATTAGCTGAGTTGAAATGATATCCCAATGATATCAGAAACCATATCCCTTGTGCTACATCCATACTGTTCTGTATCACCTTTATTTGTTGTAAAATCTAGAGATGCCGAAGGACTCGCAATGCCCATCAGAAGAAGTTTCATGTGGTATATGTGGCATGATGGTATGAGCCCAAGGATTGCTGTCTCATATGAGGAAGTGTGAAAAGAAGGAGAGATCAAAGAAAGAGCAGGAGGAACTTACAGTGATCCTTCAAGAAACTGTCAAAAAGTGTGAGTCGTCATGTACTTTTATCATATGCATTGTGGCTATTATTATTATATTTAGATTGTTGGAAGAAATCTCGTCAGAATGCACGCAATGATGAACCGGTGCTTCGCGGTCCAGCGGGTAAGTTCTCCTCGATGATTTGTTGCACAACTATTCTAACTCAACTCTATTTGTTATTTTTAGTTGATCCAATTTCAATATGGACGATACAAGATGGTCCAGAAACTGCTGGTGGGTAAAATGAGGACATTGGTATGTTGTTTCAGCCTTTCGAGTCACTCAAGTTTGCGAGGGCCTGACCTGTATACTAGATATGCATGGGTCATCGCCGGTTACAACAACGGAGGGGGACATGTTATTGTAACATCGCCACAGAGTCAGCAATTGGGGGATTTCAATCCAGGATCCCCAAATTTTCATGTAGACATTGACTACAAACTGCCTGAACCACGACCTCGATGGTATGATATAAAAGTGGAATATCATCCCCATAGTAAACTCCCTTCGACTGTCCATCATTTCACAGATTTTTCCCGCAGATGTCCTACTGAAGACACTGTGCCCTGCAGCACTTCACCATGGGAATCATTCCGGACATGTCTCGACTTTGAGATCACAGAAATTGCACTGGAAGCAGCAATGACCAAAGAACAAACTAACTGACTGATTGACCTTGTATACTGCTCTGTGAATGGTCAAGAGTACTTCATGTTACAGAATCATGACGAGGTTTGTTCATTTTGGGCAATGGCTTCCAAACGGTTCACACCAGTGAGTTTCTTTGAATAATTTGTGATCAATGTAATTAATGTTTGAAGCATAGTTCCAGGTCAGTGTAGTATCTGTGGCGTATTGAGATGATGTGCACAACTTCAACATGCACTATCAGCCCCTTTGGGACTGGGTGCTCGACCTGCTGCAAAACAGTTGCTTTGCAAAGCACTTTGTGTTTGACGCCCAACATTTGTACAAGTTCAATGGAGAGCACTTCATGCACTTTTTTGATGAGCCCTGGACTGCTAATTCATTTTGGGAAGCACAAGTATGTACTCGTCAACTATGTAATATTCATTTATTGTAAATTCATGTTGTAGTCACGACTTCCACTGGATGCTAAGCCACTGGCATTCATTCTTTATGCTGACAAGAGCAAGCTGTCATCTTTTGGGACTCAAAAGGGCTACCTGATTGTCGCACGGATTGCAAATTTACCAGTTGAAATCAGGAACGGTACTGGCATGGCTGGTGGTCGGGTTGTGGGTTGGCTCCCAATCATTTGTCTTTCCAAGCCTCAGACTTTTATCTTACTTGCTGAATTAATTTTTTTGTTAGGTTGACAAAGACAAAATGCAGAGCGGAAACCAAAGTTTCATGAACTTCAAGAATGCAGTTTGGCATAAGTCATTTTTCCTGCTCCTGGAGGCAGTCATACAACACTCGAAGACTGGGTACTGGCTCGACTGTGGTGACATGATAAGGCGCTTTCTTTGGCCATTGATACTGATTCTCAGCGCTGACTATGAGGAACAGTAAGTATGATAGTGGTCTGTTTCTTTACATAATGCTAAGTCGCCTGCTGCAGATGTGTCATGGCCTTAATTTTTGGGCTGAAAGGAAAATTTCCATGTCCAATTTGTCTCGTCCCCCAAGATATGCAGGCTGTCTTCTCAGTAGAACATGTGCTACGTACAAGTGCCCAATCTCAACAAACTTTGGAGATCGCAAGAGCAGCAAGTACAAAGAAGGCCAGAGCAGCAAGTACAAAGAAGTCCAGAGAAGCCCACCTAAAAGCATTCTCATTGCGTGATGTTGAGGTAAATCATTGATGTCTGTCTTGAGCTTATGAATGTACTGATACTAAGCCTCACAGTGTGTTTTTTGGGTTTGGTTTTGTGATGTCCATCGCACCCTCTCATGGGATCATCTGCACGCAAGCGGGTTATGGAGCGATCATTTGTGGGAAGAGTTGCACTTCTGGCTCGCTGAATTTGGGCGAGAAGCTGCTTCTGAGATTGATGCAAAGTTCATCTTGATATTGAATCTACCATCATCATTCTACAACATGATTTACTAGTAACTAACATGTTGTTTGTTTTACTTCAGCATGGATGTTCTCCCAAGATGGCCGAACTTGCGGCACTTCATGCATGTGATCAAAATTGATTTTTCCGATGGCTCAGTCCACGAAGATATATCAAGGGTACATTTGTCGGTCAGAATTCCACACATCCATTTACTGAGCCTGGCCGTGTTAGATGATCATCTTTGCAGATCAGAACATCCTCACAACTACTGAGAGTGAAAACTGCTACCTGCTTCTACAATGCATCCGTCTCTTCATCAAATTTGACATGTATGCATTGTTGGAGGTTCACACGGAAGATACCATTGCGACAGGAAGAGAAACTTTGCATAAATTTGTGGTGCTGCTGGATGTAAGTAACCTTGCTTGTCAAGGTTTCTAGCACCCTAAAATTCATCACGTTGTCATGCATGGTATGCAGTCCATACCATGACATGTGTGCCATACAAAAGATAAGGAAGGTTTACTCTACCATATCACCAAGTGATTCTATCATTTTTCATTGATTCATTAGCTTGTTTTTCTGATGCCTCATTTCTCGTATCAGACGCGAGGATTTCCATGTATTTCTATTTTGTTCTGTAGCCTTCTCTTTCTTTCCATTTTTCATTGCTTATTCATCAGACTTTCTCACTAGCTGACTGATCATGTTTGTAATCATGTCATGTGACTGGGAAATAAGGTGATTTGTAAGGATTCAAGCCTGACTCATCATGTTTTGTCACTGATTTATCATGGTTTGTAAGACTTGCAAGTGTATTTATAATCTTCTTAGTAAATAGGATGACTCAGCTCACCAAAAGGCTTGGTTTGGAAGCACAACCTTACCAATCCATGAGATGACTCATACCTTTGATTCATCATGCTTTGTAAGATAACAGTGTATTTATAATGTACTTAGTAAAAAGGCTGACTCAGCACACCAAATGGTAGGATTTGTAAGCACATTCTTACCAATCCATGTGATGAATCATGCTTAGTAATCTGGCCTCCAAAAAGGTATAAAAGGAGCCCATTTTACACCCATGCAAATATAACTTCCCACTTTAAACCTAATTCACTAATCTGAGAGTGAGATTCAGGCAAGACATAGTTAAAGTGCAGGCAAAACAAGTGCCTTGAAGTAAGACTAAGACAAAACTTAAACTCTAAACCTATCCCACTAACTGAGAGTGAGATCAAGGCAAGACATAGTAAGGGTGCAAGTACTATCATTTTCAACAAAGTAACTTTAGGTTAAAGAGCCCACAGGGAGGCTATCCAGAATAACTAAGTTACTCATCACTACTCTACTGAGCCAAGCTCTACATATACTTAACAAGGACCTTTCTCTTTTACAGGAAGAGAAATACAAGACAGGAGAACACGACAAAGTTGAGACATACTTTCATAGGTTGAGACATGACCTACTAGGGTGAAACATACCTATCATTTTTCAGACACAACAAAATCACAGAAATCAGTCAATATAGTTTCTTCAGACAAAAAGGTAACTTGTTTACTCTTTGACCACCCACGAACAACACATTATCAACCGAGAAGTAGGGAATCCGTTGACCGTGAACTTGAGGAGCTGGCAACTTCTAGTCTTAGCTTAAGTGTAGTTGTGATTGTCACTACATTTTACACTGATTTTACATAATACCCTCAAGTAAGAAGACATCACTGGAGCCCACCGCAAGGGTGGCTTTTTGTTTGACTTTGCAAAAGAAACTATTTCATTATCAAGCAAAATCAAGAAAAACATTGGGTTTTTCTTTGATTCATCAAATCAAATTTTTACTATCATTCATATCATATAGGATTTCAACATGACGACACTCTCTGTGTTGACAATGCCTAACCCGGGCACCAAAGCAGCACCAGCAAAATTCAAAGGAAGCTATTCAGAAGTGAAAGGCTTTCTGAAACATTTTGAAAAGTTATGTGACTATCATAATGTAGTCTCTGACTCAGACAAATGTGAGTCTATCACACAGTATATGTCACGCCATGTCACAGAATTCGTCAAAGGATTAGCGAGCTTCAGGACTCCAGATTGGAGCAAGCTCAAGGCAGACATTCTAAAATATTATGATGCAGATCTAGACACTAAAAGATATAGGAGAAAAGATCTGATTTCTTATGTAAAAAATATGTGCGATAAGTGAATCTCTAATCTTATGGCTTGGAAGAAGTACGTAAGAGGATTTATCTGCATTGGAGGCTGGCTTCAGCAAGCTAGCAAAATAACAAGTGAAGAATATGCCAGTTATGTCTGGGAGGGGATCAATAAACAAACTCCGGACTAAAATTGAGTCCAGACTCATGGCAAGCGAGCCAGACAGAGACTTATCGAAAGCCTTCCCAGTTGACAAAGTCGCAATAACCGCAGAGAAGCTTTTGCATCAAGACAGGTTCGATGCAGACTTACTAGTGTCTGATATCAATTCGGACACGGATGAAGAAAAATCGAGCGAGGAATCTTCGGACGAAGACTCAGACACGGAATCAAGCAAATCCGAACAGGAGTTTTTTCGTAAGAATTCCAAAACTCAAGGAAAGAAATCAAAGAAGAAAGAGACTAAGAAAGTAAAGTCTAAAGGAATGAAGAAAGATAAAAGTTCCTATCAAGATCAGAAAAGTATTAATCTGAAGGGAAACAACCCCTTGGAACCTTTGGATGAGATAGAGGGACTTATCAAACAAATGAGTTCAATCTCACTCAAGGATCCAGACTATGCATTGCTATACTATAGAGCAACTAGGATGGATCCCACTATCAAAGACCTATTTGCTGCGCCAGCCAAGAAAAGAGACAACAACATTGTCTATTCACAAAATGGGGCAACTACTAGGAACAATGAGACTACAGACGGCAGATCTACACGACATCAGGAAACTACCAGAGAGGAGGTCCTCCCGGATCCAGATTCTATTCTACCCCTGACACACCCTTCCAAGAGCGAAAATGCTATGGATGCGGAGAGAAAGGGCACAGCAGTACCTACTGTCCACAGCTAACAAAGCTAGTAACAGATGGTAAGCTTAATAGAAACGAGAGAGGGAAGATCACAAGGCCTGATGGGCGCATTGTTAAGAGAAAGCAAGAAGAAAGTATCATTGAGGCATTGAACCGAGAAGACAAAACACCAGTCACAAACTTCATTAAGATAGATGAAGGAAAGCATCAAGACACGCCGTCGGCGCTCAGCGTGAAACGAAAAAGAACTAGCGCGTACATCGAGGCGTACACCACTGAGTCTCAAACGGAGACAGAACAAAGTGAAAGGGAGGAGAACACATACCTAGACACTAGCGAGGACTCAGAAGATGAGTACCGCGTGTATCCTGTTGAGAGGACCACACGAAACTCCACTCAAGGGAGACAAGAGAGGTATGAGAAGTATCCACCCAAACAAGGGCAGAACCTAAGGAAGACAGATGAGAAAAGTAAGGGAAAGGAAAACGCACCAAAGAAACCGCTCAACGAGATCCCTACTCGTCCAAAAGCCCGCAGCACCGAACCCACACTGGTCCAGAGAACTCAGAAGTCCCAGCCAGACGCAAACAATCGGTCCAAAAGCGTAGACAAGGGTTGGGATAGTGAGGACATCGTAATGGACGATGTGGAAGAGGTAAAGAGAAACAATAAAGACACTTACAAATCCAATTCAAACCCCGATCGGCGAAGTGCAACACGCCAACGCGTCTCGGATATATCAGCTAAGGTTAAGCCAGAGAGAATTCACGAGACAGTTCTAAAGACACCGATCCGATTGGAGGTGGGAGAACTTCTCGGAACATCCCGATGTAGAGAGTTATATCTCTACAGGCTCGTATCCCCCCATTTGTACGTCGACCTCATCCCTATCCCCATGTATTCCCAGTCCTATAGAGATGCACGCGACACGCGTGACCTTCCGCGCTCTCCGCAGAGCGCGCGACACATCAGCAACATTCCACACCCTTCCGCGATCCAGCGCATTGATCGGAATACCCTCCCATGTCCTGTCCTGTCTGTCCGGTACTGTTGGTGCGTACTCTCACTGTCATCTCCGTCTCTGACCACATCCAGGGTCTTGTTACATACTGTTACATACACATCCGCTCCCTATACGCTTCCGCGCAGCCTATCCACTTCCCTTGCGTTTTATTACCCTGAGAGTGTGTGTAGCGACCTACATATCTAGAAGGCTTGGAGAATTTTCGGACTTACTTACTTTTCCCTTACTTGGACTCACTATCTGTTTTCCGCTTAGTTGCGCATAGAGCGCTAATAACATCACTGCATTTGTCTATCATTTCCCTATTCTTGTGAAGACTCGCCTCTCAGGTCAAGAAGCCTGCCTATTATCTCCCACCGCCGTTCCTCTACTCCGCGCATATCGCGCGCATTCCAACTCTTCTGCATGACTCGCGCGTTCCGCGCATTCATCGCATCAGCCCCGCACGTCCCCACGCGTTCCTGCACGTCTTCACATTCTTCCAACTCAAGCCTTTCTCTTGATCCCTCTCATCATTTAGAGAGATTGCCTCAGTAGCATCCCCTAAGGGACGAATCTACTAAGCTTGCCTCTCGAGGTAGATATTCTTGTGACTCCCCGGAGTTCGCATCCCTATTTCCTCACCCACACTGAGAAATTAGTGGCATTCTGGCCAATGCAATCAAGCCGAAGCCATTAGGTAATGATCCGAAAATAGAAGCTCACTCTGTATGGACGAAAACACGTGGTCTATTAATAAAAATAGCTATGCAATGTGATGGCCAGGCCATCAACGCGATCATTGACACCGGCTCACAATTAAATATTGTTACGACTTGGATAGTTCTTGCATAACTAATCCAATACAGGAGTTCTTTGTGTTATGATGTTCAGTTCAGACACTTGAGGGGCTCTCCCTCTAAGTGAAGTTCGAGTATAGACTAGTCTCTATAAGAGCTAGATCGGAATCAAGTATCTTCCTCAGAAGATGATCAAGTATCAGAGAGAACCAAGTAGATTCAAGTTAGAGAAATACAAGTACAACTATCGCAGTATTTATAGGGAACAAAAGAGGCACGGACCAAGCCGACTTTGGAAGTAAAAAGGAATCAGGAAGAACATCAAAGAACTATCTGGAATGTTCATGCAGTGCATGTTGATAAGCAGTCAGTAATAATGAGAATAAATGGAAGTACGAAGCGTGATGATGGGAAAATAGGTGGGGCCACTGTAACATTACCCCCCTACTAGCGTCTGAAGTCTCCGACTTCAACAATCTTCTAACCTCACATCGTCATAGTAGACGAGATCCACGTCAGCATTGTGAAATTCCAACAGATTGTCTCCAGTTCGTTTGTTGGCAAGTTGCTCCGCCTCACGTTCAATCTGCTTGACAAGTTCGTCTTGGTCTGCTTCCCATTTAGCAAGGGCATTATAGAAACCATCTTCATTGTATGCCATGGGGAGGATTTGCTCGCCATTGAGCTGAGGGCAAAGACGGACAGGTGTTTGGGTGCAAATATGAGGCACACTCTGCAGTAATACGTAGGACAATTCTTGTGACGATGTCCCATTTCTTTACAGTGGCGACAAACGACGTTGTCGTAAGAAGCAGGAGTG